ATTTTAAATATTCCAATTTCTAAACGTCAGCTGTAAAAAAGTCAATAGAGATTCTATTAATAGTCTAATTCCCTATAGCATTCTAAATTAATTCATTTCATTTTTGCATCGAAAATTTATGTGACTTTTCTAAATTATGTCTTTTTGTACTATTTAAAAGAAGGAAAAAACAACTTGTCACAAAGAGTGAAGGACAATTTAAAAACGAATTGTTCCCAAATAAATTGTGATGCGACAATTTGCAGCGCCTGTTTGTGAAAATACCAGAAAGTTCTCATTCTGGCGTTGAAGGTGGCCAATTTCCGCATTTTCCACTGCCTGGGCAGCGAGCAAAGTTGTCAGAAGAATAATTTTTCTTCTTCGAGCAATTTCTGTTTTAACGTAGGCGAGCGCGGGGATCGATGCATGGCAGCGGCGTGTGCGGGAAAATAGCCATCTGTCACCCACACATTCTTTGCCCTGCTGCACCCGCGAGCCACACACAGATTCTGCCCATTATTAGCAATTACATGCGCAAAAATTGCGGCCCCATATCAAAACACATTTTCGACCACACAGTTAACAACAGAGTGTGCAACTCGATTTTTTTTAAAGGCCACTGCATTGATATTGATAAGACCCGCAAAGTGCTTAATTTTTCTATTAAGCAAAAAAAAAAATTAAAAATCGATAAACCTTTTTTTATATTAAAAAAAAATCTTCAGATTGTCGTCTCTTTTAAAATTTTATTGAAAATATTTTATTAAAAAAAAATACTTGTGCTCAAGATATTATTAAGGTCATCGACATACATCAAATGAAAATCTTGAATTTGCACAATATAATTTCTTGTGTAGTGTTGCGTTTGTTGTCATCCATTTAATCTATTAATTTTATTATAAATATCAAAAATTATGACTGCTGTAATTTAAATTTATCAAGCACCTTTTTTTAATTATTATAATACATATAATCATTTAATGGCGGAAAAAATGTCGTCCTCCCTCTTATTAGAGGGGCGTTTGTAGGCGCGATAGTCGTTGGGGCGACCTTTTAGCAGCACCTGTTCCGGCCGAGAGTGTTTCGCGGAGATAATCCCGAGTGTGTGTGGCTTTATTTGTCGCGCAGGCATCGATTAATGCACTCGGTATGTGCGATGACACGCCATACGGGCCGCACTCGGCAGGACGGCAGGGTCTGGGCCCCGCTGCGCGAGATAAGACACGATCGGCAAAAACCACCAGCGCTGCACTCGCCGCCTGCACTCCCGATTGATGCTGCACCTGCTCACTCCTCTCTCCGCGGCAGACCTTTTTGCCAACTTTCAAACGCACGATACATATTCCTACTCGGGGGAGAAGAGTTGGAAAAAGTTGCAGATGTGACAAGTGTGACCAGAATTGGATGGTATTAATTTTTTCCAAAATAAATGGATTTCTTTCGCCGACTGAGCTGGATAGAAACGATGGAGCATAATCAACACCTCAATAAAATCACCTAATGACATATTTAATTGTTGTGTTCCCAACAAAGTTCCGTTTATGAAGCAAACAAAGAGCCATTAGGATCGGCATCGCAATCAGCATAAATTCCGCAACACATGCAAACTCCCGCGGTCGGGGAAAACCAAAGCGAATTTAATTATCGGACGAAATAAATAAGAAAATGGTAACACATGCACAAGGCGATATTGCAGGCAGGGTGGCCGTTCTTATTTTTGACATGGTATATATGATGAGGCGAGGAGCAGCATTTATTTTATACGCGGCGGCGGCGGCACCTCCCACGCGGCGCCTGCTGGCAGATGCAGCCCATATGGCGCCGCCTCGCCAGCAGGGCCATGTGTTTCAGCAATGAGAATTGTATTATATGATGGCCGCCTTCTTATTTCAAAATCCCTCGCAGATGTCGCAATTCGGCGCGTACACGAACCATGCAAAAAACGCGCAAATTTCGGCCTAATATTTATCGCGGTCGGCGGCGCTGCTCGGGAAATTCTTTCGTCGGCGAAACTTTTATATTCGCACCAATTTATGCCAGTACTTTTGTGAAATTTCGTTTTTGCCATAGCAAGTGTGTGTAATAGCAAAGTTCCAATTATTTTTACCCGAATGAATAAATAAAACGGCGCAAAATTGTTGGAAAGCGTACAAATATACGACCGTGTTGTGCTTCTGTCAATGAGTCTATTCTGGCTGTTGTCAATCAATCAAGTGCAAACAATTTCGTTAGCGCGCCTGCGAGCACTGGCACATCAAAAAAAGTTTCCATTGTAGGAAACGTGTAGCACCTGTCGTCGTCGATGATTTTGGAGCAAAAATGTGTCAGTCATGTACCATGTATGTTATAAAATAATTTTCTTCACGGGGCGTTTGTCAGCACACGATGATTAGATTACTTTTTGGGGTGAAAAACTGTCACCGAAAATGGAAATGGTAAACACGAGAAACTAAAAAAAGAATCAATTATTACTAAACATTTAAAGCGTAGAATTACTTAAATTTTAAGCTTAAGATCAGGAAAAATATTAATTATTGATGAGAGGAGTTAAAAAATCACTCGTGACGCAAAAGTTTTTAATGTTTGCAACTTGGAAAAATAATGATTATTTATTAATTATGTTGCAATATTGTTTTAAATTTTAAAATGTCGATCAATTAAAAAGTTTAACAAATTTTAATTTAAAAAACCAACGTTTAAAATAAAAAAAGATTTAAAAAAAACTTCGCAATACAATCGGGTAATTATTTTTCCAAAATCTTCAAATATTTCATTAAAAAAAAACTTCTTAAAAATAATTAAATAAAAATTATTATTCGAAAAACTTAAGAAACAGTTACTTGCAAAAATGATCACTAATTTATCCACTTTATTTTACAGTGGTCAGCGATCAAAATTAAATTAAAAATAAAGTATTTTACTTAATTTTAATATTTATTTGGCTTTACTTCCTTCATAAAGTCAATCAATTTCCTCAATTTCTAATTAATTTTTGCATCTTTTTTCTCTCGATTTAATTTCAATTTAAAAGGAAGTCACGTCAGCAAGTACTGGCATATTGCTGAAACTTTGCACGTTTTCCAACACAACGCACCGACATAAATTTCCCAGCAAAACTTCTTCAGAGGCGCGCGCAATACTCGAGGCAATTTCTTCTTTCTCTCTCTTTCTCGTAATTTGCGACTCGCGTGAAAAATCCCACACACGTTTTCGTCAACTTTCGCAGACAGAATTCTCACGGGCCGGCTTTCCCACGCGCCAAGCAAAACTTACCAACCATAGTGGGCGAAAGAAAAAAAAAGAAAATTGCATTAATAAAGTGTTGGCGAGAGAGAGAGAGTGTGAGCAGCCGTTCGCGCGCGTCAATAGTAAAAATGATTGGCGTTTGCAATTCCGGCGGCAGTTGCCGCCTTTCCCACACGGCCTGTCAACAAGGGCTAATTACCCTGCTGGTGAAATTCATTGCACGTCGTGTTCCCATCCATAGTCGGCGGCCCCCGGCGTGCTTATCGTCGCGCCGCACTTGCCTCCCGCCGCTCGCAGCCAAATTCTTTTAATCGTTTTCGGCACGTGACATTTTTATTCCGTCGGATTCAATTAATTCCGGGGTGGAATTATTTTCATTTCGCTCGCCGTGGCACAGCTATGGAGCAACTGCTCAGAATGCAACGGGCGTCTCGGCACTAAAACTGGCCCTTCTTTAGCAAGCGCGGCGCTTAATGTACGCAGTTTGAAAAATATGAAGGCAGTTTTTTAATTAAAGTAGATTCACACAGAGGCTTTACTGCTAATGTTTGTTATTTGATTTCTTTTTAATTGAATTTTTGGTGCAAATGGTTTTCACTTTCAATTAAGTAAATCATTGAAGAAATCAAGAGCAGTAAAAAAATGACAAATAAAATTATTTTACTAGCTGAATTTCTTGAAAATCTAAAGAAGTATTTTATATTTAATTAAGCCACTGTCCAACTAATAGTAAATGATATAATAAATTAAAATAAAATTATGCTTTTTTTATTGATCTCATTTCTTTAAAGCTTCTTTGTTCTTTTAATTAATGTTAAAATTAATTTGTGAGTTTCAGTATGGTTATTTCGTTTTAATTATAAGGGATACTTAAATTAGAAAAATAAATTAATCAAAAACTTTTAGAGTGAATAGCAAGAGGAAGAAAAAATAAATTAAACTGAGCTATTGTTTTTACAGAAGTTTGACTGTTTCAATTATATTCTATGGCATATTGATTCTAACTGCAATCCGCTTTATTTCGATATTCGGCATGGTCGACGCCGAGGCTGTGCTAATTACCCGCGATACTCAGCACGCGCAGTGCTTTTTTAATGAATTAGCGGCGCGAATATCATTAATTTGCTGTGTGATGGCCGATCGGGAGGGCGGGCGGGCGGCGTGCTCTCGACGCCGCCGTCAGTTGATATTGGCGGCGAATTCTCATTTCGCCCGGCACCCTCTACTCGTCGTTCGCCCGCCGCTTGCACACTCGCGCACACAAAGCGCACACACACAACACACTACCTGTCGGCAACAAATGTTTTCGCTGTGAACGCCGTAATGGCGAATGAATCTGGCAAAGCGATATATAAACACACACAACACACCCGGCACACACTACACACAGAGCCTTTGTTTCGGGCGTGTGACCTGATGCGATATTTTATTCAGACGCAAACACAACTTGTCGCCGTGGTTTTATTAAACGCGCAAAGAAGCAATTTATTCGACCGGTGTTGGCAGTTTTGCATTGGAAATCCAATTTTCCACAGGAACTTTTTTCATTTATTGTTGGTCGAAGATGCTGAAAATTGCAACGCGTTTATTTTGTATTATAACTTGAAGAAATTCACAACACAACTTGTGTACAAAATTTTGAATTTTTATTAAAATTCAAATGTCATGTTTTTCCGCAATATTCAAAATTTGCCTCAATATCAATCGTTTTGTAAACAATCCCCAAAAAGTATCACTATCAAACCTAAATTTCCTTCTTCTTTTTGTTTTTAAAGGATCTACCAAAGAGGCGCCAGACAGCCCTGAAGGCGCCCAGCAAGCTCCGAGCGTCCCCATCGCAGGAGCGACCATCCTTTCCACGCCAACTGGCAGCGAGAGCAGCACCAGCAAGAACTCTCCTCCGGCCATGGGTGTCGTCAACGGATCCAACAGGGACTTTCCATCTTCGCCGCCTGCCTCTCTGAATGGCAGTGGAGGCAGCCCATCACCTCCTGGAGCTGCTCCTATTGCAGTAACTAAAACTAATTTTTTACAATGCAGTTAATTTTAAAAATTATGATAACATTATGCTTCTTGCAGAAAGTTTTACACGACTCCTTTAAAACTGCAAGGACATCAGAAACATTAGAATATTTTTCATCTCATGAAAATCAAAACGTTTTTCTCTCGTGGCGTTACAGGTGCCGATGAGCTCAGGTTCCGCTAGTCAGGCGCAGCTGCTCGAGGCCAGGCAATTGGCCAAAATGCGAAGATTTTTAACCACCATCGTGCAGTTTGGCTCTGACATTTCACCAGAAACGGGCGAGCGGGTCAAATCTCTGGTGCTGGCGTTAGTGGTGAGTATCAGTACATTTAATGCTCGATCGGCAAAAGACGCGGAAACTTGACGCGCGTTTTGCGGTTCGCAGAGCAACACGCTTGGCGTCGAGGAGTTCCAGCGCGCCTTGCAGGCCGCCTTCAACTTCCCACTACGACCCTTTGTGCTGCCCTTTCTTCGAGCAGGCATCCCAGCCATGCAGCGAGAGGTCGCCGCCCTGGCCAGAATCGCAAAGCAGGTACGAATTACCATAAAAAAATAACGTCAAAAGGACAAATTGTCGGTGCACCTGTGCAGGACACACGCAGAAATCCAAATCGATTTACAAACGTCTTTCACAGTTTGGGAATAAGAAGCAAAATAAATAAATAAATAACTTTCTTGTTTATTAAGACGGCTGGAAAAAGAGCGTCAAGTGCGTCGATTCCCAGGCAAATTCAAATCAGCGGCGGCGCATCTCATCATTATTCTCGAAATAAAATTGTTGGCGAGGCAAACGCGTTTGTTTGAATCAAGAACGGCCTAGCGAATGAATATTAAAACGTAATCCTGAGAAAAAGCGGTGGCGTTTTGTTCTTTGGCGCGGGCAAATTAATTTCAGCCAAAAGTTTGCTGGGGGATGAATTGAAAACAAATACACACACAAAGTGCTGGGGATCTCAGCCGAGAGCGAAATTCAAGTTCGGGTCTGTCCATTCAGCTGGTAGAATCTCACATAGCTTGAAAAAATAATTTACCAAACAAATTTTAGAACCAACCCCCATAAAATTGAATAACATGAAGCCTTTCAATCATACATCATACTTTCAATTTATATCTTTTTTCTGTTGAAGCAAGGAAATGAATTTTAAATAAATATTTAGAGAGGAAACATTTCAATAAACTTTTGGTGCCATGCTACATTTTTCTTAATTCTAGTTATCTGGCAGTAGTTTGCCTACATTTTGGTAATGATAAATCTATTAATTGGATTTAAACTGCATTTCAAGATCATCTAATTTTGAGAGAAAGATATGAGCCTCAACAAAATATATGTAGTTAAATTTAAGTTTAAGACCCCTACAAATTTTTTTATTTTCTCAGACTTAGTTATGAAATCTGTAAATTAAGATTTGTATTTCTGCTATTTTTATGGGGGAAATCTTAAATTTTTGTCTAAATTCGGAAAAATTTTTCTTTCGAGCAATTTTTTTCTTTATTTCCAGAGTCCGCAACAGTATCTCCGTCAACATGAGCAGTTAGTCATGGACCCTTCGTTCTCGCCATCGGAGCCGTCCGAGATCTTCCACTCAATGGGCGAGCACCACGCAGAGCCGGCGTTCGCCTTGAAGCGGCCCCGCGAAAGGTACGTGCGTTATCGACGCAAGTTGGATGGGCGCACCTGCAAGCAAAGGGTGGCAGACCGAGCGGCTGGTCGCACGCGCTCCGCAAACAACACGACCGCCGTGTACGTGTGTGTGTTTATGGGAATGCCACCAACTGGTGTGTAATCAGAGCAATCAGCAGCCAGCTCGGCTCCAAATTAAAACGGCGAAAGAGGCGCAAAAAGTAGCTCAGCGCCGCTGCGCAACCGACTGCAGATTTTTTAGCTGCAGCAGCTTGATTGACGTTTGTTTGTTGCCACAGATGTCCAGAGTATTGCAATTTCCAGATTGTTTCTTTTTCAGTCGGATGGTAAATTTGCATTAGTTTTAACTATGGCATTCTCGCCAGGAAAAATTATATCGTTTTGTTTGTTCAGACAATTTTTATATTTTATAAATGAGCGCCCCCGATAAAATATAAATCATGCAACCAGCGCATCTCAGCTGTAGAGCGGATTGCATAGCTTCATTAATTTAAGTAATGGGGGAGATTCAATAGACTTAGCTCTCCCGGGATAAAAGATATCCCGGGATAAATCCAAAGTGATAAAATTTAGACCACTGTCCCGGGTTAAATATTTTTTGTCCCGCCTTCAATTTTTTCTCCCCAAGTCATTGGAGGGTGTCTTTTCTTAGCCCCCTCTACGGGATAAATATTTAACCCGCGCTAAAATCAAAACAGCTAGCTGGTAAATAAAAGGTCGTCAACATGTTTATTTATTAATTATTTATTTATTTATTCATTCATTCATTCATTCTTGGAGTCGTTTTGTAGTCGTTTTGTAGTGAATTTGTAGTCAACTTGGAGTCGTTTGTAGTCGTTTTGTAGTGAATTTGTAGTCAACTTGGAGTCGTTTGAAGTCGTTTTGTAGTCGTTTTGTAGATAATTTGTAGTCAACTTGGAGTCGTTTGTAGTCGTTTTGTAGTGAATTTGTAGTCAACTTGGAGTCGTTTGTAGTCGTTTTGTAGTGAATTTGTAGTCATCTTGGAGTCGTTTGTAGTCGTTTTGTAGTGAATTTGTAGTCATCTTGGAGTCGTTTGTAGTGAATTTGAAGTCAACTTGGAGTCGTTTTGTAGTCGTTTTGTAGTGAATTTGTAGTCAACTTGGAGTCGTTTGTAGTCGTTTTGTAGTGAATTTGTAGTCAACTTGGAGTCGTTTGTAGTCGTTTGTAGTGAATTTGTAGTCAACTTGGAGTCGTTTGTAGTCGTTTTGTAGTGAATTTGTAGTCAACTTGGAGTCGTTTGTAGTCGTTTTGTAGTGAATTTGTAGTCATCTTGGAGTCGTTTGTAGTGAATTTGTAGTCAACTTGGAGTCGTTTGTAGTCGTTTTGTAGTGAATTTGTAGTCAACTTGGAGTCGTTTGTAGTCGTTTTGCCGTGAATTTGTAGTCATCTTGGAGTCGTTTGTATTCGTTTTGTAGTGAATTTGTAGTCAACTTGGAGTCGTTTGTAGTCGTTTTGTAGTCGTTTTGTAGTGAATTTGTAGTCAACTTGGAGTCGTTTGTAGTCGTTTTGTAGTGAATTTGTAGTCAACTTGGAGTCGTTTGTAGTCGTTTTGTAGTGAATTTGTAGTCAAGTTGGAGTCGTTTGTAGTCGTTTTGTAGTGAATTTGTAGTCAACTTGGAGTCGTTTGTAATCGTTTTGTAGTGAATTTGTACTCATCTTGGAGTCGTTTGTAGTTGTTTTGTAGTGAATTTGTAGTCATCTTTGAGTCGTTTGTAGTCGTTTTGTAGTGAATTTGTAGTCATCTTGGAGTCGTTTGTAGTCGTTTTGTAGTGAATTTGTATTCAACTTGGAGTCGTTTGTAGTCGTTTTGTAGGAATTTTTTTCCTTTTTTTATATGTTAATTGTAATTTAGCGAATTTAATTTATCTACAAATAAAAAATTAGTTTCAAAATTTTAATTTTTTTGAGTTGAAAAATTTTACGTGCACAAAATTTCAAAAGAAAAAAATCCTTGTATAATTTCGCTTTGATGAAGAGGTCTTTAGAAATTTCTGATCAAAATAAATAAGCAATTTTAAATTAAGTTAGATACAGATTTTTGTGTTAGCTTTAGATTTCAATTTTGCCCTCATTTCCGTGATCCTCACAAAATTCTGATTTGAAAAAGATTTTTGTTCATTGCAATTGGCCAAAATCTAAAAAGTTCGCGAGCATGTTGACGACCTTTTAATTAACCTTTTATTAAATATTTATCCCGTGGAGGGGGCTAAGGAAAGTTATCCCCCATTGACTTGGGGAGAAAAAATTTAAGGCGGGACTAAAAATATTTAACCCGAGACAGTGGTCTAAATTTTGTCCCCTTGGATTTATCCCGGGATATCTTTTATCCCGGGAGAGCTAAGTCTATTGAATCTCCCCCAATGTCTTTTTATTTGAAGATATTATTTATTATAAAAGAAACGCCACAAAATTCTTCTACGTACTCTAAAATATCATTGAATTGAGACGAATAAATAAAAAATTTAGAATTTCAATAAATATTATTTTTCAGTATTGTTCTTTTTTTCAGTGAATAAAATATGGGTATTTTATACATGCTAGTTTATATTATTATCTTTATAATTAAACTACCGATTGAATTTTCTACAAATTTGATTTTTCAGTCATTTTTTCTTAATAGCTTCAATTAATTGCAGTGCGTGGTACAATTTTACTTGGCGTCGGTTGCAAGTTTGATTGAAAGCAGAAAGTTTTGTGCACAAATGTAGAAATATTGGATAAAAACTAACGGAGTAGTATTTGGGTGGGCGGTGTTGATGTATGTTATTGCTGCGCCCCTGCAGCGCGCTGCCATCACTCATTTTAATAAAAAGCATCTGAGTCGGGAGAGAGGTCTGGCCGAGCTGTTACTCTCGTACAATGGTCCCAGGTGTCCCTGATTTCCTCCGACGTTCGCCCCACCTGCGCCCGGCAGATATTTTTCTTCTTTCCATTTTAATCAATTGTTTTATAACGGCTCGATAATAAATTCTGGCTGCGAAATTAAAAACGATAAAAAAACGCAGCGTCTCGCAAATAAATCCGTCGCGGAAGAGAGAAAGAAGGGTCGAAACTTGTGGAGCCGAAAAGCAGATTTGAGAAGTAAAAATAATATTATATGTCCCCTTTAATAATGGCCAAGCGGCATTTCCATATTTAGATTTTTGCGCATGCAATCGCGTTGGTTTTTGCCGCCGGCAATTTATACTTCTTTTTAGCATCTAAATTAGCAGAGCGAGACTTTCCTCCCTGCTTCCTTCTCATTTTCGAGAGCTACTCCTTCTGGCCGCGCGCACGGCGGCTGCTTCAACTAATTACTGCCAATTGCACTTGCCGCCAACAGTGTTTTATAAAAGAGCACCCTCCCAACCCCGACGCACGCCAGCTGCAAGGTTGGAGGAAAATCAATTTCGTGAGCGATTTCGAATCGCATAAGCCCAAGGGTCTCGAGACGATTTTTGTTTACAAAAAAATATAACCCCAGTTTTTTTTTCAACCGAACACTCACAGGGAGAAATACAAATTTATTGAAATATTGCGTTTTGAAAGAAACTCATTTTATAAAAAGAAAAAAATCTATGGAATCCATTTTTACGTAAATAAAACAGCTCCTTTGCTTGAGAAGCATGCAGTAATTAACAAATTATTAAAAAAAATATAAAATTTTGTTTCAAATTCTACAATTTTTATACATCGTATTCTATCTGTTTGCCATACCTAATTGTCTCCCAACTAATTAACTAATTATTTTTTGTGTGTTTGCAGTTTGTACGAAAACGGCGTTGGCGACTCAGAATACGCTCCGGCCACCAAACGATACCTCAGCTACTCTTCTGGCCAGAGCAGCACTTCTTTCTTCTCTAGCCACCCGCACCACATGATGCTGCACCCGACAGGTCACTCATCCGACCTCGGGGGCAGGGCCTCCGTACTGGGGGTGACGCACCCACCCTCCACATCTGCCCACTACAATCCCTTCTTGACGGGCGCCGCTGCGAGTCAGAGTTCAGGCGCAGCTGACGAGTCGCGGGGAAGATGCGGCGACGATGAGTGGAAAAATATACATGTAGTACGTTCAATTTTTGACTCAATTTTTTTTTCAATGCCACATCAGAATATCAGTATTTTTAATAAAATCGATAAAATATCCAAAATATCACTCAAGAATTTTACCCCCAACAGTTACTTTCTGTCTTTTTAATTTGAATTGAACAAAAAATATATTTAAACCAATTGATACAATTCACGTTTGAAATTTATTGATAGAAGAAGAAATCATTAAATTTTTTAACAAAATTATATAATTTATTAATTCTTTTTTTTAAATTTCAATTTAAGATGTTGAATTGTATACTGAGCATGGTTGAGAAGACCAAACGCGCCCTGGGCATCCTCCAGCAGAGACCGCAGCCAGAGTCTTCGAGCGCCGAATTCACTTCGAGTTGGTTGAGAAAACTGCCGACGGACAGCTCTGAGCAGAGCGACATAAAAAAGGCGGCCGGCGACATCATGGCCCAAACCATCAAGCTCACCGAAGAACGCGTGGCCGAAGTGAAACGCAGAGCAGGTTTGTTTTTCTTATTTTCTTTCTCCTGAATATCAAATTTTCAATTTGTCCCGCAGAGGAGGCGGTGAACGAAGTGAAAAGACAAGCGATGCTTGAGCTGCACAGGGCGGTGACAGCGGCTGAAACCAAAGCGGCCGAGCTGGTAGCAACCGAGAGGCTTCGAATGGAAAAGTTGTTGCTCGAGGCAAGGAAGCACGCCGAAGAAGCACCCAGCACGTCAGAAGCAGGCTCGGAAATAAGTGGGGTAAGTCAACTCAGCAGCCCATTTTTTGGATCCAATCAAAATAAAAAATATAAGAGAAATAAAAAGAATTAGATGGAAAAAAAAACAGAAATACAAAAGAAGAGATTAACTTCAGAGAGAAACTTTCTCTTCCTCCGGTGTTCAAAAATCGTGGTTGTAATAATTTTTTTGCTCAATAAGTAGTTAGTAAAATATCTAGAAAATTGTTTATTTGGATAAAAAAAAATGGCAATTTAAATATTGTCAAAACTTGTTATAGAAAATATTGAGTAAAATTTTGGTTAACTTCTGAAGATTTAAAAAATGACGTTTTAAAAATAGGGATTTTTATGCAACATTATTCAAGCAAAAATCTTTTTGTATTAATCCTGAAAAGAACAGAAGTAATATTTTCTGAAAAATTTCTTTTATTTTTGCAAAGTATTGAGACGTGTGCACCGCGTGTTGCAGAACTGCTGGAACTGCGGGCGCAAAGCCAACGAGACGTGCAGCGGATGCAACACGGCGCGCTACTGCGGCGCCTTCTGCCAGCACAAGGACTGGGAGAATCACCACCAGGCGTGCAGCATCACCGCAGAGAAGAACGCTTCAGCGCCCAAGAGCACGGCCAGCCTCAAAGTGGCCACCGTGAGCCTGACGGCCACAGCGGCCGAGGGCAAGTGACGCCTGCGACTCGGCCGGCCCAAATCCACGGCCCAGCAGCAGTGACTTGCCCGAACTAGTCCCCCGAGTGGCCCTAGTGAGTTGAGCGATTCTGAACCAAAGCACCTCTGATTTGGAGTTTTTCTAGCAGAAGATTGTTTCAAAAACAGTTCCTAGAACTAATTTGGAGAATTTCTTTGAATGTGAATATGGTAGGAAAAGAATTAACAAGATGACATTTATCTTGAATTTTTCATTTGTGAATTTTGAGGCTGAACTAATTTTTAACTCTGGTTTTTTTTAGTCACTTACACTTGTCAGCCAATTTTTTATTCTTGTACCGTTACTGAATCTTACTTTGCACTGAAGCTGTAAAATATTGACACCGTTATACTCATGCTCAATCAATAATAATATTAAATGTTACTTGTACAAAGTCGCGCTCTGTTGACCACACAACCATAGTCATTTTAAATCATTACCAAACAAAGCACTACAAATTTTTTTGGGATTAAGTATATGTTTAAAAAATAATAATAATCATGACAGTGACGTTAGCAAAATCCGTTAAATGTACCACACATAACACATACTCCTAGTCACCGAGTCCATCCTGAACTAGACAGCTTCTTTTTGTCCGAGTAGTGATAGTTTTGTTGCTATATAATTATTAATGTTGGTTATTGAGAACTCACGAATATACCAAAGGTTACAACTAAATAAAGAATTTGTCATTACTATATATTGCACTCAATGTTCCACGATTAATATAAAACATTATTTTCTAATGGATAATGCAAAAAATGTTTTACTTCCTCAGTGTAGCTAGATTAAATAATTATTGTAATTATGTATCTAATGAAAAAACGCTACATGCTAGAGGACACTACTGCACCCTCTGCACTAAAAAAATGTCAACCCTTTTGTCACACAATCTGGCAGCTCTATGGCAAACTATCTTTTTACTTAATAAAAACACGTGAAAGTAAAAGCAAAAATAATAACCACGTTTATTACTGCAACAACTTTTAACCCTTGTTTTTCTTGATCTTTTTCGTCGCAGGTTCGTCTTCGCCCAGAATGTCGGAAAATAATTTTTTTGCTGTTATCTCCTTACCTTGCGCCGTAGCCCAGTCTTCTGGATGGTGTTTGAAAAGCTCCAAACCATAGTTGGTGACGATAAATCGTCCATACTGGTCCCCTTTCAGTTTAGGCAGTTCTTTTGAGAGTTCATTCATGATGGACTGTCTCATCTTCAAGGTGCTCACTTTCCATATTGAGTCTAAACTGCGGGAACCAAATTTGCTGCAGCCTAAAATTGCCCAATGACCCTAAAAAGAAAATATGATTGATGTATTCTCTTTCATTTGAAAAATAGAAATTTACCTTCAAAATGTGGCAAAGTTTCTCTCTGCTTTTCTCTCCAATAAATTTGCTTCCCATAAATGCATCAGTTACGTGGCAGCCCTTGGGTTCGCTAAGTATCTGGACCAAGCTCTCGCCATCCAATGATAAAAAACTCTGGACAAACTAAAAATTTTATTAGATAGGCCTTCGATGGGAACTTGTATTTACCTTGATAGGCTTGTTGAAATTGAGACATGCTTGAAGCAACAGTGAGCCTTGAAGAGTGACAGGTTGGACTGCGTCCTCATTCATCATTCGGAAATGCTCGTACTTTTCAAAGTCCTTCATCGCAAGAATCAGCGGGGAAAGAAGATTCATCCTGTCATTTGGATTGTTGCAGTGAAGAGCCCCTATTAAGCTCTGAACAACAATCGTTACAGCACCAACCATGGAAGAAAATATTCAGATTAATGCTAACCTGGCAAAAACTTCCTTGATTGGTTGCTAAATTTTTGCAGGATTCTCCCATGGCTCTGATAACTCCAAAATTTCCTGACGAAAGCAAAGATTCAATTACCTCCACAGTATTGAGTTCTTCCAAAATTGCCTCCAACTGCAAGTAGCTTTATATAAACAACAAATCAATCAAATTTTTTAAATATATCACTTGTTCCTTTGATGGACAGTTTTCCAGCAAGCGTTGGACACTGAAGTTTTGTTCCGAATCTGTGGCAGTCTTTTTTAGACTTCCCTTGAAGAATTTCTCGTACATCTGCTGATTTACTTCTTCGTCTTTAGTTGCCAGAATTGCCTCCAAAAGTCTCCAGCAAGGGCCCTCCATTCTGTCACTGTTCTTTTTGTTGTCCAGCGCAGAAACTAGTTTTGCCGCTAACGGCTTAAACAGTTTAGCTGAGACAAGACTGGAGCATTTCAACAAAGTTTGCAAAAAGCCACTGGTGATTACCGCAGAAACCATATCTGCAAAGTTCAAACTTTAATTTTAGAAGTTGAAAATTTCATAAATTATTTACCTGGTAATTGAGGCATGTTTTGCACATGCAGACAGAATTCTTTGAAAAATTCTCTTAAAATTTTTGGCAACTTTTTCTTTGTTTTAGCCTCCTTTGCATTGGATGGTTCTGAGCCACTAGAAGTTTCGGCGACCGTTCTCATGATTTGGTTAGCATATTGATCCCACATGAAGTCTTCCATGTTATTCGACAAAAATCTTCCAACTTTGATTATCCAGGAGGTGTACTCCTCCTTGCTTTTGCTGTCCTCGTCTGCTGGAATTTCCTGCAAATTCGATTGTAATTGCACATTTTCCATCCCAAACTTCCGAAACCCAAACCTGTATCCTTTGCGCGGCTTTCTTCAGACACGTTTGGAAGACGTGACTTGCAAAGCAGTCGTTCAGTATGGGTCTCATGTCTTCAGCAAGAGACTTCATAAACTTCAACACACATTCGTCCTTTCCCTTTTTGATGAGTCGCTCAAGAGCAACAGATGTGAACTGGTTGGTGGAAAGTAAAACCTCTTGTCCCACTGTTTGCTCAAAGGTGTTGGAAACGAAGACATCTGCAAATTTAATTTAATGCAATTGTTAACAATTCATAATTACATAAATAAAAAAATAAATTATGTAAGAACCTCGCTCCTCGTCTGAAGCAAATCCAGCATTGTCAAGTTCCACCACTCGAACGAAATAGTTGTAAACATCTTCGCTCACGTAGCTCCCTTTTCCAAAGCGGCCGCTTTTTCCGAACTTCTTGGCTTTAGAAAGATAACTCTTCTTTTTCTTCTTCTTAATTTTACCCTCAAAACTCATTTTGTTGGTGATCGGGTGAGCTTATAAATTCATACGAAGCAGCAACACACTTCACAGCAACTTACTCTCACGTGGGAATGTTTACATGTGCTTTGTTCAGTTGGTCTCAAGTCTCAAGGTTGGTCTGTTACTCTGTTCTTGCTCTGTTCCCTTGCTCTGTTCGTTCATCAACAACGCTCATCCCCCATCACCGCCATTGGCTGCTTTGAGTCGTTGGGCCAATCACGTACACGTTTCTTGCATTATAAGAAGCGGCAAATTTTCTACATTTTTTGAAAGTTTTGTGAACATTTTTTGCTTTTTTTTGCAAGCATTTTTCTTTGATTCATATTTTGCTATGTAATTGCGTGTGCTTACTTTTTGTTGAATATTGATAAGAAAAAATATGAGTATGTTATACCGTGTTTTATCTTTGGCCTCTTGAATGGTTTAAATCAAGGGATATTAATCTCAAAAATAAAAATGCCATTATCATTTATTCCTCTTTTGTAACGATTTCAGTTTATTTAAAAATGCATATTCGCTCGATAGTGCTCAACAGCAGTGAAAATTCTAAAATTTGCTGGCAGAAATTCTTTACAATTTTTGAGTAGCAGCAGGAACCTCTTATGGCAATTAGTTATAATGTTTTACCAAAACTGCATGTAAGGTATAAATGATGTCAAAAACCATCTGCAAAATTTTAAATTTCACGGAGGCAGTTTGGAGCAGATAAAATTCAAAAATCAATCAGCAGTGCATTTACATTGAATTCTATAAAAATTTGATTGTAAAAGATCAGCCTGACACTTTTCCACCAAAAAAATTTTGAAATATCGTAAATCTTGAGCTAACATACTATAACTACTAGGCAGTCAAACTGCAAATTTAAATGTCCTCACAGAGTAAACATCATCCCAGCATCTTCTTAACCTATGTTGGCAAAATAACAAAGGCCCAAACACTCCAATTCCAATAGATCAAACATCAAACCCATAACTGAGAACACTATCTAGTTGTAGGATTTCTATTCTTGGTTGCCTTCAACTTCACCCTGAAGAACTTTGTGGCAAGAATTAAGGACGGTTCGTCCATCCAAGAGAGAGGCCTCAGTGGTTTGCTTGAATCCCAGCCCAAGAATTCTTCATTTGTCAAATACTAGAAAATAAATTATTTTACATCAATTATAAAAAACATTTTTTTTTCATTTAATATTACTTCAGCAGGTACGTTGAGATTAGGAAATTGTCTCTTCAAGCTAACTTCTGATGAGGTTGAAGCTAGAAATAGAATTTAAAAAATAATTTACACTTTCAAAAAACATTTGATTTTTACCTTTTTCGCTTTCAGGGATAGAGTTGCTTTTGGCAGTATCTGCTGGCTCTGTCTTGACCACATGAGCAACCTTCATGGTTTTAATAGACGAACATCTCTTTTCAGGCACAGATGTGGAGATCGCAGGAACATTATCCGACGAAGCAGCAGAAGATACAGCCCACAAATCTTTTCCTGTTAAAACTGCCACATCTGCAGTCGGGCTGTCCTTCTTACTTGATAAGTCTTTCCTCTGGAACATCATTCTCACGAGTGACTCGGCAGAAGAAAAAGACTTACTCTTGTTTGCAACTACTTTCTCTGGCATTTCTGCCAATCTTACAGGGATATGGCCTAAAACCGATGAGCTCACATTGGAAGGTGCCCTGAGCTTAATGATCTTCATTTTTAAGCTGGGCGGAGGAGGCGCCAAAGCAGAAGATTTCTTCTCTTTTTGAACCAAATTATCTGGCTTGTCTAGTTTGTTGGAATTTGTTTTTGCTTCTTCCTCCAGGTGAGGTGTGTCGGCGAGCTTGGTGTCCGCTTTCGCGGAGGGATCTGCGGAGGCGTCTGAGTCACTTCCTTCCTTGGCTTCTGGAATCACTTTTTTGCCAGGCATGGCTTTCTTCTGCTCTTCTTGGTCTGACGAGCTATTCTTGTCAACATTGGTCTCCTTATGTAAGGTCTCGACGACTTCCGACATCTCCTTCACTTTCACATCTCTAACATCATCATCGAGGGAACAAGGTTTGTTGGCATTCAAGACAGGAGGTTTACTCTTGTTCAGAGATACCAAGGCTGAGGCCATAGGAGGTTTTTCTGCACATTCGTCCACTTTGTCCGAGCAAACAGAGACAGAGGAAGAACCGTCCACGGAGTCATCACCCGACAAAGTACTCTTTGTATAATCCTTTCGAATTTGTATACTGCTTTGAACAGAATTTCCACCTCCAATCAACTTTGTTTCTGCCGAGCCGGGTGAGAAGTAGTTGACTGGATAGCCGTCTTTGGGTTTCACAGTGAGGATTGGAGTAATGGATGCAATCGCCGGTGGTTCCTTGATAGGCGTGCTTGGTTTTGAAGGAGAGAGAACTGGTTTGTCAGACACCTGCCGCACTAAGATGTTTGAAGCGTTTGACTTGTGGGTCTTCAAAAGCTTTTCAATGACCTCTGGTGTTTGCAGAGGGGCAACAGGTGGAGGAAGTTTTGGCGGCGAGTGCGTTGCCTTGCTATTTATCACAACCAATTCTGCAGATGATGGAACTTTGACTCGAAACAGAGGTATAGTGGGGAACATGTTTGTTTTGCTCCTTCTGATGTCAGACTTGAGACTCTTCTTGTCCTCTGGGCCCGAGTGCCTGGCGCTCCTTCTCAGATTACCTTTTAGTGGACTTTTGGCACCGTTGGCCATTTTTCCACGGTCCTCATTCAAATACTTTCTCACTATCTTCATGGGGGCGCTTATCTTTCGGTTCGCAGCACCTTTGTTCTTGAGCAGAGCCTGTATGGCAGGTTTCTTGGCTGCCTCCTTTGTCTTTTTGCTACACTGCTTAGCGTGTGCCAACAAAGCAGCTCGGCGCTCGTACTTGGTACCACAGTACCCACAGCGATGGTCCCCAACATCAATTGTAAAAGTGTGGTCATTCCACTCCTAAATTGAAAAAAAAAAACAATTATCAAAAAAATCCTATATCCAAGATTACCTTCAGCTCTTCTTGTTGCGCTTTGCTCAGCTGAGTCGACGCTTGCACCATTGGGGGTGGCTTGTGCACAGGCTTCGGAGGAGGATTGTTGTTGTTGTTGTTAGCCGGTGGAGATTGTGGCCTTGGAGGCTTTTTGTTCAGAGTCACCAAAAATGCCTTTTTCCTTATGGTGTTTTTCATCCTTTCCAACTGTTCATTGTTCTTCTTGTGAACTATGATAATATGAAAGTAATTATCAAATTATTAAAGAAATTTAACTTACTATCTCTTATGTGTCTATAGGCTCCATTTGGTTTGCTGAAAAACTTTTTGCACAAGGGGCACGGGTACTGAAGAACTGTGTAAGGCACGTCTTTCTTCTTGTCACCTTTGCTATGAGAAATACTCGGAGTTTTTCCCGAGTCATTTGCTGTAATTTTATTAAAATTCATGGTTAAACTATTAATTTTGTTGCCAATCTAACTCACTCTTGGGTGTGGAAACAGCATTCACAGGTTTCTCGTCACCTTTCTTTGCTTTAGTCTTCTTGCTGGGTGGTTCATATTCAGTAACTGTTTCAAGATCATCAGCAACCTCCATCTTAAGAAAATAATTAGTTTAATTACAATTTTACTTTCCGTCTCTAAAATATTACCCGGACAGTTTGTGACACAGCCTTGCTTGTACCAGGGAGGGGTGATAGCATAGTAGTGTGCTCCACTCTAGCTGCCCTCCTGCTTTTAATTGTGTCGGCAATGGCAGTGTAGTAAGCAACATTTTGAGAAGCCTCGGGATTCTCTCCCCGAACGCCTTCCGCCCCAGCAACGGTTGCTGTTTTGGCAAGGCGGGTAGCAATTCGATCTATGTCTCTACGCCCTAGCTCGCCCTGTAAAAATATTTACAAGTCACACAAAGTCTTAATAATTTAATTGCAAAATTGAGCATTATTATTACCTCTATAGCTTTGATGGTGGAGTAGTATTCAGGGAGTTTGTTATCGTGGAGAATGCTTGAAAGAGGGGGAGCTGGACGGAGACAATAAGCTCGCTTGTGAGAAATAAAGTTTGGCAAGCTGCGGAACATGTTCTGGCAGATTTTGCATTCCAGGATGATGTTGCATTCCTGGCTCAGCATGTTTTTTATCTGCAGAAGTCATGCAATGAAAATCGTTAATTTCTTTTCACCAAAAATTGTTTAAAAAAAATATGACTGAAAAATATACTATCGTCTAGTTTTTGTAAGCAATTTAATATGGCAATTAATTTAATAATACTGGTCTGCATAGAAATTCGAGTCCAAATTTCAATTTATGCCACAGAATAATCTCCTGACTGACCTCAGATGTCCCAGATCTATACGCTGACAAGAGTCGGTGAACCCCTTGCGTGTTTGTGGGCAGGGGTGGAATCAGTTGGGACAAGTCTGGCCGCTCCGTCTCCATTTTGGGAGGGCCAAAAACTGAAACAATTGTAAATAAAATTTTTTCAACTAGTTTAAATATTTCAGTGCAGAGGATTTATAGAATGCAGGGAAGCAAAAACTGTAAGCTCTAGAGCAGCTGCAAAACATGCTACAAATGTTGATAAACTAAAAAATGTGACGCACTTGATAAGTCCATAAATTGCACTGCGTTCTTATAAACTTTCTCAGTGCTCAACAGCTGTCTTTTGTGAAGAAATTTTATGTAATTTATATCAGTAAATACTTCAGCATAAATTAAATTAATCTTCAGTCAGACAAGACGAATCCATTTCTTGATAAAATATGTCTCAAAGAAAAAGTTGTGTCAAAAACACATGCAAATAAATGGCGCCTTAAAAATGCGCCAAAAATGTATTATTTTGCTTGTATTTGCACTTGATCTTTTAAATAAAATGTGCAAGTGACACTCCTAAGGTCATACTATCCACTAACAACAAGTCAGCCTCTGCTATAGCCGCCTGCCAACGACAGTCAGGCTTTTCAATCCTGTCGACCCATTGAAACGCGCTACAAAGAGCAGCAAAGGGAGATCCAAAACGCTCGTTTCTGCAAAAGAATTTGGAATCAATTATGCGTCCTAGACTGTGAAAAATACATGCATAGCAATAGGCTTAGCGTTATAATTTAGACGAGAACTTGGCAAGTGCTATTTAAATAGGCCGAGCATCAAAATATCCATGAAAAGTGCGTGCCACAGAGAGCGAGCGAGAGCCCCAGCAGGTGCCGAGATTCGCATGGCTATATTAGCTCGCGGCTTAAAAACAGCGTCGTGGAATGTTGCACTTTTAAAGCTTCCACATTTCGGCTTGCGATTAAGCGTGTTTTCATTACCTTTCCCTCAAAGATTAAAGACAAATAGGCAATTAGTTTTTGGATCCTCGGTGTGGTTGACCCTTCACGACGAGTTGAGCCGAAGCGCTATCGCACCACCAGAGGCAGCACGGTCGCTTTCAGCTCCCAATCCAGCCCCACTTTTTGTCTCGTTTCTCTCTTCGGTATGCTGCTCTGCCAGCAACAAACTTTCTACGTAGCTTTGTGACTGAGCATTTAGAGTTTTTTTTATGAATCCACTCACTTTTTAGACAGTAAAAATATTACGCAACATTTTTTTTACACACCATCATTATCATGAATATGATTTTTAGCATTTTTAGTCTTTAGCGTAGGTTGGAGTGGTTGGACCGAAATTCAAATACATAATTTTATTTGTATTATTTTATAAATACATCATTTTTTATTCAAATAAGGTAGCAGCGGTGGCAGCTTAAGGACATGAAATTAAGTGTAATACACACAGGCGCCGGAGATTAGTTTTTATTTGAAAACGACAGTGTCGAGCATTGCACCAAGACACTGCACAATGTTGGACGTCATGACGGCGTCAACTTTTTCTTCCAAGTGCCTCTTGGGGTCTTGCTTGCCTACGTTCTTGATTGCCAACTGCTCTGGGGTCATTTTCTCTTCCTCTTCCACAGCCTACAAAACACATTTATAAAATTTGTTTTGTAAAAATTTTAATTTAGTCTTACCTTATTGTAACTTGAAGCCAGAGAAAGCATTTCAGCAACAGTGCTTTCGTTGATCTTGCAATGTTCAGAATAATCAGCAAGACAGAGGCCATCCATCCAAGATTTCTTGTGCAGATTCAAAAGCATTTTCTGCTCTAGTTCATTTTTGCGGTAATTGATACTGATGCTGTAGTAGTGGCGGTTGAGACCGTGTATCAGTGCCTTAAGTTAAAAATTTATAAATAAATTTGTTTTTAGTCCGAATATTTTTTATATACCTGTACAGAAGGTTTCTGCAAATGTCCCAAGTTTGACGTGGTCTGCCTAGGTTCCTGTCCAAGGACCATCATGTTAGGGTTGATGAGCCTGAATGCATCGATAACAACCTTTCCTGAAATATATTATTATCTCATTAATTTGGGTTCATTGAAAATTTTGTTACATTAAAATAATGCTACAATTATAAATAAGCAACAAAAACGTATCTTACCCTTGACACTCTGGATGGGGTCAACGACCACAGCAACAGCCCTCTCAGAAAGAGCCTCAAAACTCTGTTGCGTGTTAATATCAACACCAGACAACCAGCAACCAAACCCAGGATGAGAGTGATACCATCCAACGACCATTTCCGGCCGACCAGTCTGTCGCAGCATGTCCAACATTTTTGCTTGGAAGACGGGGTCAACAGCCTCGACGCTCACACCCTGAACATAAAAAAGTCAGGAATATGTGGCAATTTTGAGTTAAAAACTAACCGTTCCAGTCTGAGGCATTGCAAAAACGTCAATGACGCGCACGGTGTAGTCATCGACAAACTCGCCGAGCATCAAACCCATGACCTCCATAGGCACTCCAGCCCGACCGTGCTTCAGCATTTTCAAGAGAGCCAAAGATGAGATGTAGACCTACAATTGAGCAAACTTCTTTAATATTTTGAGGTTTTTAGAAACAAAAATGAGCAAATATATGAGAAAAAGAAGAGATGTGAAAATGACAAAAAGCCAAAGTTTCAAATGACCTGTTCTGCGGTGTCAACAACAGGAGCGTCATTTGGCGGTGGAGGGGCCTGCGAGAGGCCGGGGACGCTGCCGCCAAGTCTTAGCAATCGATCCATTTTCTTGAAATATTTAAAAATTTGGCATTTAATTATTGAAGAAAGTAATAAGAGGAAAAATTACAAAATTCTTGATGTGACAAGTGAACTGAAGAAATTGCTGTGTTAATGCTGTCAATTTTGGTCGAGTTTTAAAGGGAATTCGGACTCAAAAGCACCCAAATAATATCTGTTTCCAAAGTATAGTCTATGCTTTTATATCTAATGCAGTGCACTAAGAATTAATCTGGCTAAATACAATAAAATTACCTGAAATTAGCTCCTACAAATGTGAGCGATCACGATCTGACAACAAAACTTGCAAACTCATATGCCGGTCATGCTGGCCAACATAACCACATAAGAGGAAAACGCGTTTCTAATTATTTAAATCTCAAAAATTTTCTAAAGTCATTTTCTAAAATAAAATAATAATTTTATACTAATTTTTAAACGTTTAGTAGCGTAAATAGTAGTAGTTTGCACAACATCCTCTTTATTTAAGACGCAGAGATTTCCCTATAGTGTTGGATTTCTTGAATAATTTTTTAATATTCCTTCTTGTTTTTGAAGTGCGACCGCGTATGTACAGAAATGAACATAGGCGCGGATAAATAAAAAATAATTTTTTTTTACAATTCACAATGATGCAAAATTTCGGAGTTATCTTTATATAAATAAATTCCTTAAATTTTAATATTGCTATCAAATATTTTATCGACATTTTTATTAATATTTATCTATATCATTTTTTTAAAATAAATCATTTCCTCTGTTAAATAATTTTCCAGAAATTAACTTTTAATTGAGATAAAATTCAGCAATACCAAATGTGAATTAAAGAAATTGAAAATTATAAATTAATAAACTAAAATACACAATTTATGGATACCTTTTATTTTATTTATTCACAGACGTTCAGACACCCTAGCAGCTACATTTCTCAAATGTCCATAGACTTTGGAAGGAGGGCTACCCATGATCAAATTGCACAAAGCCCTCCTGGCCAATTGGATATTTTGGAAAGAGCCTAAAATGTGGATTTTGGAGTCCGCAAGAACAATCCTCGTCTTGGTTGCATTTTCGATGGTATATTTTGTGCGACCGCCTTTGCCAGCAATTCTCCCAATGGCTCTTGACAAGTGATCACCCTTTAGAGGCTTAACATCAGTAACCTCAAAGGACTCCAGAAATAAATCATCCAGTCTTAGAAGGGCAAGGGCGTCTTCAACTTCGAAACCGAGAATGAACGCTTTGACAAAATCTGCAGCTTTTTGCAAATAACTGATGTCCTTTGTGTCCTTGCAAGTGCGAATCTCGACCTGCCTGGTCTTCAGATTAAATCTAACTTGCAACTGAAGGTGCTCGACGATGGGCGTGAAAATTTTCATCCAGTTGTCCTTCAGGGGTGTGTACCGATGGGAAGGCACAGGTACCTTTCTTGTTTCAAATTCACTGTCGGCAGCCTGTTTACGGTTTTGGCGTTTTGCAGACGGATGCTGTAAATAATTTAAAATTATAACTATATTTAAAAGCAAAATTGAACGTGAAATTTACCTGCGAGAGAGCCATGCCTTCAATTCCATTGACAATTTCGACGGCGGAGTCGGCGGCCCGCTTTCGCTTGGTAGCTTTCCGGCTGCTGACCTGAACGAAATCACCCTCTTCTCCTTTCTTTCCACCCTCGTTTACTTCCGGCATAGTTGTCTTCATTAATGCAGGTCCCAAAGTAATGAAAATTAGGTGTTTTCGACAAAAATTGGAAGCTTTTGTTATGAATTTTAAAATTAACGTGGCCGTGGCTGGGCTGAACTTTGATTGATAATTCAAAGTGGCCAACACAATATTATTAAAAAATAAATATTTTTTTCTCTTTTTGGGGAAATATGAAAAGGGCGTAAATTTTTTTACTATTGAGCAAAACGTTTTATTTAAAAAAAAATTTATGTTGAGATTTGGGATATTTCTCAGAAATAAGGTCTGTTTGAATTTGAAGATACCCATAAAAAGTCAAATTGTGTTTAGTTGGCAGCAATTCTTACTTTTCATGCGGAAATGTTTATTTTAGACTACTTTTGACTTTAGACAAAGAGGATTTTCAACAATGACTAAAAAATCCATATTTTCATCCCCTTTTCCCTTTGATTTTATTTCTTGAGAGGTAAATGCTATGGATGGAGATTACGAGTGCTTAGTTTTACACAAGCACCCGCAATTAATCGATCAATGTTGTGATTTGATAAACTCGGAGTGGCCCCGCAGTCACATGGCGAGGTAAGACTGGTTGCGAGACACGAGTTTTCATGTATGTAATTTACACATTTTTAACAATTATTTTTAATAGAAGAAGAAATCTTGAATGTTCTTGTGATAACCTGCCTACGTGCCTGGTGCTAGTGCAAAGAAACAACGTTGTTCCTCGTGTTGTTGGCCACGGAAAAATCTCCCGAATTCCTTCAATAGAGCACGGAGCCTTCATAGAGTCTGGTATGCAAAAATTTAAATCAATGTAAATGTTATAACTAAAATTTATAATTTTCAGTTGTGATCGATAAAAATATGAGAGGCAAAGGCTTGGGGAGAATATTAATGCGCCACACTGAAAACTATATGAAAAGGTATGCATGTTCCTTAAGAAGTTTGGATAAAAAATTTACAATAATTAAATTTAAATTGTCAGCATTGGCTTGAAGGAAGCATATCTGTCGACCTACGATCAGCAAGGATTTTACAGCAGATTAGGATATGAATTCTGTGAACGAGTGTCTATTTATGGTTCTGCGATAACATTTCCTCCTCTCGTTATTAATCAGCAGGTAGGAAACTAGCTCTTTTGTTATATTGGATTATTTAATTGTAACTTTATTTTATTCCTATTTTGATATACCTTTCGTATCAGCAGTTTTATGAATTATTAAGGAGTTTTGCCTTTTGCAGGTGGCAAAAGAAGACAATCATAAAACATTCATGGGAATCCAAATTTCCCCAATCAATACAAATGCACCGCCACCTCCTCCTTTGCCACCTTCTCTTCACATTTCCAAAGTTCCTAATTTTTCTTCAAATAATGTTCCTCACACAAACATTGCCAATGGGCAACCCAAGAAAGACTTCATGAAAAAAACACTTACTTAATTGACAGTTTTCCCTTTACCTGTCAAGCTTACAATGAAACCACTATTTGGTTTTACAAACCTTTTATTGTGACAAAAATAAAAAATAAAAGTCAATTAATACTATTTTTGCCCTCCTAAATTTTAATAATTAGTTTGCTGAGAAATGCATTATTTATGGTGATGCAATGCCGCAGATCTTTTGGTAATGCTCTGGTGTCAAAATGCTTTTCACCAAAAAATGTCCCAAGTCATAAACTGAGACTCTTCTTCCCTTGAACTTGGTGCTTTTATCTTCCTCGTGGCTTACCTGTTTGAAAAATTAGAAATGAAAAAAAATTGAAATCACTTTTGCAAAATTTTACCTCATAAGCTCCGTCAGCAGTGCCTGGTTGATCAGCAATGTGGGGTGGGTAAACTGCAATCCAATCAAGTCCACTGTTTCTCAAAACTTGGTCCATCCTCTTGTGGTCCTCAGTCAGAGGAATGAATTGTTTGGGTAGCATTTCCGTTTGAAAGAACAGAAATGCTAAAGAAAACTCAATATATTAATAAACAAACAAAATATTGAAATAATTAATTACCAGAGAGACAAACTGAAACCGGTCGAACTCCATTTTCTATCATAGCTAGGACAATATTTTTCATACCCTCAGACATCATAGTAGTTGGAGCTGATTCAAAATAATTACAAAAAAATCTGCTTCATTAAAATAAATTTACCTATATCATTCCTTGTGCCAAGTGCAACAATAACTGCATCCTCGCCTTGGACCGCCTTCCGAACGTCGTCCAATTTCAAAACATCGCCTTTGAAGGACTCCACTTTGTCTCGCAGGTCCGCTGGTACTTTTTCAGGGTCTCGAACAAATGCTCGGACGGTCAAACCTGATAAAAAAATTCCCTGAGCTCCCCTCCATTAGCATTTTAGCAAAAGGATATTATTACCTTCATTGATAGCTGCCTGGACGGTTTTCAGTCCGGTGTAGCCGGTTGCACCAAAAATAACCACATTTTTAATCGCCATGCTCCCTCGATCTGGAAAAATTTACACCAAACTAAATGAAATCAAATCGCTATAAGTTCCTTTACGTTAAGCCTGCTGATTATGTAATAGCCGATCCTATCATTTCTGATTATATTGCTTTTCTGATAGCTTATCTGTTGATGCTCCGTAAAATTTAGTACTTTTATCATTATATATAAGGTACGCTTTTATATAAATTCCAAATTTGCTGAGTTTTTCTGTTTTAATATTTACGTATGCTTTTATATTCAAAAGGTATTTAAAACAAAAAAACTTTGCTCTTTTGTTACTTTTTTGGGAAAGAAAATATTTGCAAATTATACAGCAAGAAATACATGAAAAGCAAACGAGAATTGTGAAATTACCGCAATTGCAGCACCTACTTCGCGCTTCCGCCTTAATTTTTTGAGACGATATTTAACTTAGCCGGCCCGACTGGGAGTATCAGATGTTCGCCTCACACGGGGTGTGTCCCTTTGCATTATGGCCTATCTGCCAGCAGTCACATAATACGCGGCTAAAATGCTTGTATAGCAATACAAAAAATTCACTCTCTCTCCAAGGGGACTCCCATTGCCCTTGAGCCTTTAGACGCTAACTAAAGGTCATTAACTTGATAACTCGCACTTGTATTTCCACTCAATTTTAGTTCAACCGTTGTTTTGTGAATGCCCCTTTTTAGTTTTTCCAAGTTTGAAAATGGGTGATAATTAATTTATTTTTAATTCAACACTTTTATTTGATATATCAGGAATAATTATTTTTCAACTTATTAAAAATGCACCGTACTGGTAAAAATAACAAAGAACAAAAACTTCTAGTCTCTCCTTTGTTTTAAAATGGGAACTCTGGATGTTCACGGATCCTTTAAAAATGGAATGTTTTAGCTATTTTTTTTTTATTAAAAATATATATATCTATACCCTTTGAAAAAACTGAAATCCAAAACTCTGGCCGCTGGTCCTTGGTCCAGAGCATCAAGGGCTTTTGCATCCTCAGAGCTCAACTCAAAATCCAAAATCTGTTTAAAAAGTATGAAATTGAAAAATTGATCTTCTTTTTTTATGAGCTCATTATACCTCAAAGTTTTCGCGCATCCTCTGTGGATTGACACTTTTTGGAATGACCGCAATTCCTCTTTGCACAGTGTGTCTGAGTAAAATTTGCGCCGGCGTTTTCCCCAATTTGGTTGCAATTTCCAAGACCACCTGGTTGTCAAACAAGTCGGGCAGCTCTTTTCTGTCACATAAAATATATCAAGTCATTCTCGCAGCAGAGACTAAAAATATTCTTACTCAATGCCAACTTGGGCAAGAATGCGCTGCATGCTTTTCGAGCCGAGGGGTGAATAAGCGACCATTGAGATTCCATGCTTCTTGCACAACTTTTCCAAAGACCTTTGCTGGAAGTACGCGTGTACCTCAACCTGATTAATAAATTTTTAATGAAATTTCTACAAATAAAATTAATTTCATCACCTGCAAATTTACAGGCTTGATAGTGGCGTTGGCCACGATTCTTTCAATCTGGCGCTCGTTGAAATTTGAGATTCCGATGGCTTTTGTTCTGCCGGCAGCGACTTGCGCTTCCATTGCCTAATTTTATAAAATTTATTATTGAAAATTAAAAATGGTAGTAAACAAAATTAACCTTCCAAACAGCAACATGATCCGTTGTTGGGTCAATCAACATAGATCCGTCCTCTTTCCTAGGGTGAATCTCGTCGCCCCTTTCGAGATAGCTGAAAGGAACGTGAACTAAGTACAAGTCCAAGTAGTCCAACTGCAGTTTTTCCAGGGATCTCTTGATATATTTTTCAACTCCTTCTGGACGATTTCCAACTTCGGGCAACTATCAGGAAAAAAATAATTTTACTTAAATCGTTCCTACCTTTTAATTATTTTTTTTTTTTTTTTTTTTTGTAAAACTATCATTTTTGGATTACTTTTTTTTAAAGATTTTTAAAGTTTTAAAGAAATCGTTCGTAACCGCACCTTAGTGACCACAAACAGATCCTCCCGTTTGACTTTACCGGCGTCCAACCACTTCTTCAGCACTTTACCGACAACTTGCTCATTTTCATAAACATAAGCGGTATCAATGTGCCGATAGCCAATGGTCAGGGCCTCGTCGAGTGCGGCCTCCAGCTCGGAATCCACGGCCTGTGACAAAATAAATATAATCAATACTTGCGACGCTAATGAATACAGCTTCTGGCATAGAAATGCGATCACAAAACAAATATTTGCTGATAGCGGTTTCCCGTCGTGGACTTGAACAAACACACTTACTTGCGCACTCTCTAATTGAATTCTCCACTTATGTGTATAGAAATTTTTCAATTAATTTAAATTGAATTCATGCCTTTTATTTAAATCTTAAATTCATTTTTTTTTTTCTTTGAATAGCAAAAATTTTATAATTCGCAAGAAGAAGTTTTATAAAAATGGGACTGCGGAGATGATGGATGTGGGGGAAATGAAGTTCATTCGTAAAATATGAATTTCAACACAACATTTGCGACAGTTAGCAAATTTATTAATTATACCTGCCACGTTCCGTAGCCCACGATTGGCATTTTGCCCACACCGCCCGGCAAGTCGATGTACTTCATCTTCAGGCCGATTCCGAAAAGAAACTGCGCTCACTTTGCTCACTTTGAATCGACTCGTTGGAGAGTGGGTTGGTTGTCGGTGTACTTTCTCGTATGAAACACTTGTGGGCACCAAAGCGTGACCCTCAAAGGCGTTCTTCCCACCAGTCGCATACAATTCAGGTTTTTTAAGCTACCAAATTGTGTAGTGTGTACACCGAGCGGCATCTGCTGACTCGATTTGCATTTATATTATCCACGCATATTATCCAGCATTGAAATGAAGGAGATAAAAATTTATAATTGCATCTGCATGGTCTCTGATTTAACTCTAATTGAATTATAATAATTTGATTTTTCCTTCAAATTAGTTACTTTTTTCTTTTTGCGCGCTGTTCTTATCAAAAATTATTTTCAATAACCCAAATAAAAATGTTCCCTTTAGCCTGTAAAAGATAAAATGTGTACAATAAAAACTCGACCGTCATTATCTTATCAATTTATCTCTTAAAATTTAGAGATTTACAGTCTGTAGGGTGATTTGCTAATGACTGCAATTTGCACAATCCTTCATATAAATTAATAAATCAATAAAATCCCCAACCTACATGAAAAAAAAAAAAAAAAAATCTCGTTCATCAGTAAAATTTAGTTATTTAAAATCCCGTCATTGGCCTAAATTTTTATGATAAAAATTGTTTATAAAAAAAAATTAAATACAAAATATTTTAAATAATAAGAAAATTGGTTACAAATCAAAAATATAAAATAATTTAATTTAATAAATTTCACATTCTTAAATTCTTTCAAATTAAATTTAAGAAAATTTATTTGATGAATGTTCGGATCAAATTTTTGAAGCTCTAATGATTACAATTTTTAATGGTAATTTAGATTCAGACAGAATAAATATCTGAGATTTGATATTATCCACGTGCTTAATGGATAAATGGAACCACTGATTATTTGACTAAATTAAATTATTGAAAAATAAGAAAATTCGTTACTATCCATTTACCCTTGTTGATCGCCTCCCAAACCGAAACGCAAACACTGTCAATTCATTCAACTTCAAAAGCAACGAGCCAGAGTATCATCTGCTTGCAAGTTCACGCGTTTTTAAACACTCAAGAGTTTGTGTTGCATTTCACTTTCGACAATCGCAGCGCGCATCTTTTCTACTCGAATATACTTTTTATTGTCATGATACTGGCACTTGAAATGTCGCTCAATGAAATTGTATTTAAATTCAGTTAGAGTGAAGTGCCCCTATCCTATGTATTCCGATCCGCGTTCAAGATAAGAAAACTCCGAGTTGCGGCCAGCGTTCGTTTTTATATTTGATAATATATCGTTTAATACGTTAAATGAAAAACTAGTGGCGTCTCACCTTGTAGATAAATTTATTAGGTGAAAATTTAATTTCGTCGTTCCGAAAAATATTATTTCTGCGCGCATGTGGCAGCCGCCGCCGTCTTTTGTATAATAATTGTTATGGGAGATAGGGAGGTGGCTGCCGTGGAGCGTTGGAACCCCCATCGGCAGCATTTGATATACTGGTTCATGTTTGAGTGTTCATCCTAGTGGAAATGTGGATGGACCAACTAAAAACAGTATCTGCTTACCTAATTTGCATATCAGCCCATTTTCTGATTCAGCTGACATCATCATTTTGGACAAATTTGTCAAGAGCTATTTTATTAACGGGAGCATCAAATTCAACGTCACAAAAATAACGCAAAATCCAACTAAATTTTACAGTCTATTAAAAGTTTTAACATAAATTTTTCCCAAAGAAAACAATAAAGTGTTCAATTAAAAAAAAAAAATAATATTTAATAATTTACCGTAATTTTACCAAGTTATCCAATGTTAAATTTAATATATTTTTTAACGAGATATCAATAATGAAAAAGTACCTAATTATATGAAAAATTATTATATGTTCCTATAATTATGTATTCATTAATGACAATAACAAATGAATTTTGTTTGTTGAAGTTTTAGGTAAAAAATTGGAAAATGCTCTCATTTATTCTTTTACATTTCTTATGTTTTTTGCACGTGAAAAAAAGTTGTCTCAATTTTCTATAAATAATTTTTTATCAAAATCGAATTTTAAACAATATTTTTTTTCAAACTAGAGCTGCTCTGTGTAAACTTTTTTGCTCTTCGCCGAGTGAATTTGTGGCCACAGAAAGACACGTTTTGTCGTCGTATTCTGTGCAGGCCGGGCATCTCAATTACAGCACGCGTCTCCTGTGGCTCCGAAAATTGCATCTCTCCTTTGTGTGGGCGCCGCGGCCAGTTTTGAGTGCGTTTGTTTATGTAACCGAAGCGAGCGCGCGGATTAGATGTGCAGCGGCAGATTTTTTAGGCCGTGTGTAATCGGATATTATATTTACGTGATGCGGTGTTTGCGCCGCGACGAGATGCGCTTGCCTTTCGCAGTCTGGCCGAATAATGCATGTTTATATTATTAAATCCCCCGATGGGAATTACATTCATCCCCTGGTTGTGCAGTGATGCAATCGCGCCGCACACTCAAAGCAGGCGGTGTTGTTTGATCGAATTTCGCCGCTGAATCAGTTTATTTAGGGCGGAAATATATCACAATATTGTGCCAAGAGTAACAGTTTCACACACTTCGGTTTACTCGCGTATTTGTTTTAATCCAAATTATTTTCTTATTATAAAATGCTGCGCAGTTTTATTCTTCAAAACATTTGAAAATCAAATTATAAATCAATCAAAGAGAAAAAATTGAGATGTAAAATAAGCCTAAAAAAATTTAACCTTTTACGAATAAAGTTTATGTTCTTTTTCATAAAGACTCCTTAGCTTATTACAGAGCCACATAACACTTTCAGCTTTTAATCTTTTGGCTCATGCAAATTCAAATAGGCCTTTGTTGCTTGCGGTGACTGAATATTTATACTAAATGTGCTAATTTCATATAAGTTAATTTTAAAATAATTTTTATCATAGTTACTTTTCTTACGTTGAGATTGGAAAAAAAATTGAATTTATAAAAAGCATGAAAAAATTGAAAACAAAGCCAATTAATGTTTTTTTTTTTAAATCTTTAAAATTTTAAAGCATTCATTTGCCTTTCAAAAGCTTCCCTACTTTAATTTAAATATTTTTTAGGGCTGCAACAGCAACTGTATTGATTAATAAATTAAGTCAGATTGGAAAATTTTGAGATTAAAATCTAAACGAGCCAATACGCTTCCCTTCGCGAGCTCTTTTAAAATAAACACGCAAAAGTCGAGTTCGTGCCATCGTTTAGCGCGGAGACGCAACAAAAGCAGCTCATGTTCGCTCTGATTTTTGGCAAATCGCGTGACCGCGCAATCCCATCACATTTGCAGTCCTTCAAATTCCTCGTTCGGGGCTCAAGTTGCCTCTGTCTGTGAAGAAAGAAATCGGCGCGACGATCGAAAGGAAGGAGGCTCTGCGAAAAAATCTGTCGCCGCGATTTGACGCACAGCAGCTGTTGGCGGTGGCGAATAACGAGATAATTGGTGGTGCCGTGTTGGCCAAGATGTGTATTGGTGCATTTGGTTCGCCAGGCAACGGCATTCACGCGTGCACGGGACCACCTTCCTTCCGCCTCAGCGCTCCGCAGGGTGTCTTGTTACACGCGCGCCCTATACCTAGAGATGGATGCTGCCGGCCGGCCGGCCGGTCCTGCACAGATCCTCACCAGCAGATAAGAGCACCTTGTCCGAAATTCGGGCCAGAACCCTTCGCTTTGAATTACCGATCGCCTGTGTGCGGCGCGCTCAAATATTGGAAAATTATTCAATCATGGTGTGCTGCGCCGAGGAGAGACACTTGAGCAACTACTACTTCTGCTGCTCGCATATTTTTGCCGCAGCCAAGAGATAAAAAATAAAAAATTGCGTTTTTAAATATTCTAGTTAACTCGTAAAATTTCACAGTAAATGTCACATGCCATAAAAAAAAAACGAAACTAAAAATTGAGAATCTTTTTATAAAAAAATTTTAATCTCTATTTTTTGCTTTTAAACTGGCTTGTTGACTTCAAGTAAATTCTTACTCTCGTTTAGTGCGTAACGGCAAATTATCGTCATTTATTTTTGCAGGTTCAAACCTCGGGGTTTGTATGCATTTTTTTGAGGTTTTGGAACTGCTGTGCACCAAATGAAGGTATTTCACAAAGTAGTGGCTAATCCGATGAACTTTCTTATCAACAAATCTGTAGCGATGATCTTATAAGATAAGATAAATATAAAAAGATTTGATTCTTAAGAGTTAATTAACATGATTTTCTTTGTTCCGAATACCTTTTGATTTTGTTTTAAGTTGTTAATTGAGTTTAAAGATCTAATTTTCAGGCGAAAAATTATTACAAAAAATATTGTTAATATTTCTCTCTCAAATATATATTTTCAAACTAAATAATTAATAATTTGTAGCAAGTTCCCGCAGATTTGTAACTGTGCTATTTTTTCTTAGATTTTTAGCTTCTTAAAGAGTGAATTAATTATCAATTCCTCTTTCAAATTGTCAAAATAAAGTTTTGCCATAGAATTCCAGGTGCCACAGAAAGCTGATTTTAATTAGACACTTACACGCAATTCCTTCCTAACTCAATTTTATATTTATAGGCTTTACAGATTATCTGCTTGTCAACATACTAAACAAATTCACTCTCTTCAAGCTCACTGGGCAGGTTTATTTAATGATATTGTGCACAAACTTTTTACCCAGCCATCAGAACATGTACTTGCCAGCGCAGCTGACGAATTAATAAACAATGCACGCCTGACAATACACTCGAAATCATGCTTCTTTGCTCCGTCACAGGGAAAATTATCAGATAAGCCGCGCGATCTGGTCGCAATCGGGGGCCAACTGGACGCGGCGGCAGAGAGATTTTTATCTCGACTCCTTTTCAAATTTTCAAATAGAAACACGCCGAGCTGCTGCCTCCGCTTGCATTTCGGAAGAGATACAAATTTTCTGAAACTTGAGTTGAACGTGTTTTGATCGGCGCGAGGTAGAAAGAAGGGGTATCAATTACAAACAAAGTCGAAAGACAAAAGGCGCCGCCGTGCAGCTTTTTTGTTTCAGCTCGCTGCGGAAAATCATCTTTCGCATCGAGAGGGAAAGATGCGCGAAATCAGATCCGGCCGCGAAGAAACTGGCAGCCCGCGGCCATGTGCTCACATTGTAGACGAGTTTCAAGAAGGGTTGGTTTCAAGTTGCTAATTATATTCATCCCTTTGGCTGATGGAAAAATGGGCAGATTGCTTTAATAGAAAATGTGCAACAAAAGGTGCGGCGAGGCGGCCGCACTGTTTTTCTTTCCGGACCGCACACATTGATTCGATTACTGGGAAAGCGGCATTGTCGCCCCGCGTCTCCATCACCGCGCCATCCGCCCGTGAAAACTTCTGCGCCCTGTACAAAAAGAAATAGTAATAATATTCTCGGCATATAATAAAACTAGTAACGTAATCTGCTTAACAACCGACTTGCGCTTTTTGTGCCTGCTAATGCGTTCTGGCGTGCACGTGAATTTGTTTTAGGGGCGCCGCAACTAATAAAGTAATCTCTTAATCTTTGATGTTGCTAATTGTGCTGTTAATTATTTACGAGGGGAATAAGAGGATTTAAATTAATTATGCAATTTTAGATTAACGAGTATTCTATTAAAATAGCTGAATTTCTTGCAAGTATTAAATATCTTGGAGTTATTAAATCTTACACAAATTCAAAATTTCCTGTAATTTTTTATTCCTAATTTGATTGTTTTTAAATTTTTAAAAATAAATGACCTAATAAATATATAATTATTTTAAAACTTGCACCAATTTTAATTTTCTTCATATTTAGCTTGGGCTTTGTTCAATAGTTCTGCTTCCAATTTTTTAAAATGATGTATAATTTTTTAATATGATTTGAAACTCATTTAAATACCTAATGTTTCAATTAAATAGCGCTACCTTTGTTTCCTATTTCAGAGTCGTTTTCACTTACTTAGACGGGGAATTTGATTGTTCAAATTTCATTCATTAATTTTGCAATAAATTGGCGCTCCTTATATTAAAATTAATTTTTTTAATATTGTGCATTCTTTTTTCCCCGTTATGAAATAATCGTAACAAATTGGTTAAAAGTTTGAGTAAACCTAAAACTTTTAATTTAAAGCTGAAAGACGCATAATTTTAGTCACATTCATTTTTTAAATTTCTAGTAAGTTATAAATTATGTTTTTACCAGGTTTTTACATTGAAACTCATTTGAGTTCATCCTCAACTTTCGCGTCTCGGAACGCAATTCCACGTTAAAGGCGATTAGTCAAAAGTTACTATATAATTTAATTAAAATATTTTGTTTACCCTCGATAAGAACCAGTTTTGTCATTTCTTTTCCTTTTTTTTTTGACGAAACGTTTTTGCTGCAAAACTGCAAGAATTTGGTTTTGAGTCCGTGCTACTTTTCTGGCGCATCTGCCTCAAAAGTGTGCGCCTGCTTGCATTGTCACAAAATCCCTTTATCCAGAACCCTGAAGATAAACATCGCAGCACGGGACAAAGCGATTAAGCTCATTGTCCGCGGCTCGAGTAAAAAGGCTTATTGAGGCTCAAGATGATGCGCCCAAAGCGCGCACCTTACTCGATCCCGCCCTCAGTTCCGACCAATTATCCTGAGCGCAATCTTGGAAATTGCTACAACCAGCACGTGGGACACTTTTGTAGGGGTGAAATAAAACGTGCGGCCGTTGCACCTGGACAAGCTCAAACCCAGCAAACTTTCACTCATGGAAATTATTTTCTTCGCACTAAGATTTTAAAATTTTTGTCTTTCTAAACCACTAATTCACAGCCCAAAATATATTATATTAGTTTAAAAAAAAAATGCAAGCAAAAATTATCGCTTACAAAATTTAAAATCAATTTTTTTTCTCCAGAAACTGTCCCGAACTAATTTATAATTTAAAACTTATGTAATTTGAATTTTTTTCTGTGTAGTTCAGTCAAAAAAATTGAGAGGTAGTTTATATTTTAAACATAATAATATTCAGTGGCTCTTCTTTTTGTGCGATTCAGGGGGATGGACCGTCGCTACATAATATGATAAAGAGAGAGGTGGTGTTGTCAAAACACAGCCTCCCCACCCTGGCCGCGAATAATAACATCTTGGCACGCTTAATTAACCTCAACGAGGATCCGTTTTGCTAGAGATGAGCTGCCGAGGGAAGGGGGTTGCTATTTAAGCGGGCGGGCGGTGGGGCCGCGACTACTCGAAAATGGAGCGCGACACAAGTAGGAAGACCTCCGACTTCAGCATCGCCAGGATACTCGGCAACCTGGACGAGAGCGGCGCCGAGGAGGACGAAATTGTCGTAGACGACATCAACGACGACAGCCCGCCCAACTCGCCGCCTGTAGATTCGCAGCAGAGATTTGAATGGTTGCATTGCACTCGATATAGGCCGCCTAGATTGCCCAGTAAGTGATTCATTTTTATTTCTGTTAACTATTCTCAGAAAATTAAATTTTTGTTTTAAGCTAATTTTCGTTTTGTAATTAGTTTTCATTATAGTTGTTTAAAAGAATTTAGCTGAAATAAATTTTCTATAATGCGCGGTTAAATCTTTAAAGGGTGTAATGAAAAATCTTACTTTTCCTATGATCGCTATGATATCATTGATCAATTCAATTCTTTAACAATCATATATATATATATATATTGTGATGATTAAAGAAAAATTTTATTTAAGCCATATATCCGATCAACTGATTCGTTTTTTAACTTGCAGATGATTAAAAATAATAAATCAATAAAACCTTTAAAAATTTATTTAACAAGTACAATAGATTGGGAAAATCAATCCTGAGCCTTTTCCATACGAATACTGTTCCGCACTACACTAATGTCGAGCCGGTTGCATAAAACTTTCAAAATTGATTTGCTTTTTTCGTAGTCAAGCCAATCCAGCAGTGCTTGGAAATATTTTTGTTAAGAATTTATTCAACTTACAGTTGAATTGTTTTGTTTTTTAGGAACCAAACGTAAAGAGGGCGCTCAGAAGAGAAAACTAGGCCGCAATCCTCGCATTCCCTTTTCCAGCTCACAAGTGTCGGTTCTTGAGCAACGGTTCAAGCAAAGCCAGTACTTGAGCAGCTCAGATGTGGCCGAGCTGGCAAATTACCTCAATCTTTCCGAAACGCGGGTGAGCATCATAAATTTATTCAAATTAAAAAATAATAATGCCATTATAATTATTTATTTTAATAAATTAATTCATTTTTTGTTTTTGTTCACAGGTAAAAATTTGGTTTCAAAACAGAAGAGCAAGAGAACGACGTGACAGAGAGACAAGACAACGCTTGTCGTCCCAAGAGTTTGCGTCTGATGAAGAAGGCATTCCACAAATCAACAGCGTTATATCAAGGACGTCCCTGCACATCATTTCTGGCAACCAGTCTGCTTTTGCGCCCGTCCCTCCACACATGCGACTTCTCTCCCTCTCGCCGAATCATCCCATTAGCTCACACATTCAAGGTAAGAATTTAAACAAAATTAATTGTAATTTTTTTTGTTTCCTTTCCATCCATCTGTATATTTATTTATTAATTTCAAAGTAAAAATAAATGCAATTTTGGCACATTTCTCAAATTAAAATCTAGAAACGGAAAGTAAATTCAATAATCCACAGACTGCAGTTGGTAAATGTTTGCTCCCTTTTTCAGCAGAAAGCCCTGCAAGTTGAGAGTGGCCACAAAGTTGCTGAAGTCTGGAACTACAATTCGCGCCTGGGCAGCAACCTCCTTCATCTCAGACACAGTGAACAAAGACTTTGTCTGCAGCTCTGCCTTACGCTGAAGAATGCCAATGAACTTCTTGGCCTGGGATTGTGTTTATAATTAAATATGTTAATTTATTTGTAATATGGTTGAAATAAACTTAATATACCTGAGATCGACTGCTTGTTCCTGACCCATTTTGAGACCTTTGAAAATCCAAAGATCCCAGCTCGTCACAGAAAGTGTCCAACAAAGAGTGTTTCATTAACTCCACTACGTCTTGAGCATCTTCTTCTGTAGCCTCTTTTCTCAGCTCCAATTTAGCTCGAGCCTTTTGGTTTAATTAATTTTTAAATATATTTTTTAATGTTTTTTTTTTTAATTACTTCAGTGAGGCGAATGAGGGATTCAAGTTGCCTAGTGGTGACTGGAGTGCAGTCCTGGTGACCTCTTTGAGAACGAAGCTTGAGGTAAAATTTCTGAATTACTTCTGCCGCTTCGTTGCTCAATTTTGGGTGCACATTTTTCTTTGCGTAGGCAATGTACTTGCGCAAAAGCTGCGGTGGGATTGGATCAAGCGGCTCATTACGGGGCTGTTTCAGTTTCTCACTAATAGTTTAGATAGAATTGGATATTATAATAATATATTTTAATAATAAATTATTTGAAGAATTTTTTTAGTCTCACCTCAAGGGAACATTTGCTGAAAATGAGCTCAATTGACTGTCCGCCCGAGAGCGATCAAAAGTGCCCATTTTAATTTTCTTTCCCGAATGCAAGGCCATGATGTGCTCAGACAGCAGAGAATCAAGGTGCTAAAATTAAATTATATTATTTTGTTTATGAGGAATTAGATGATGCGCCTTACTTCATTAGGCTGGTCAAGTAGGATGAAGACCAAGTCAAATCGGGACAAAAGCGCAGGGCCCATTTTCAGATTTTCAGCCACTGTTTTGGCCCGGTTGTAATGGCCCCCTATTGGATTGGCAGCAGCCAAGACAGAGGCCCTAGCTGGCAAAGAGCAGACAACTCCTGCTTTAGCCACACTCACACTTTGCTGCTCCATGGTTTCCAAAAGAGCCTTTTTCAAAGATTTTGGTATAATAAATATTTAAGGATGACAATTTTTAAAGAAACCTGGTGTTGATTTGACATTTTGTCAAACTCGTCAATGCAACAGCAACCCTGGTCGGCCAAAACAAGGGCTCCTGCCTCCAGGGCAAAGTCGCCTCCGCTTTCTCTGGTTAGAGTTACAGTGAGGCCAGAAGTGGTACTTGTGTTTCCACAAACATAAACCCCTAAAATCGTTAAGGTTATAAAAAAATGTATATTTTTTTCATTAACGTCTGTACCTCTTGGAGCAATAGAGGTAACTGCATGTAGCATTTGAGACTTTCCAAGGCCAGGATCTCCAACTACCAAAACGTGGACGTCGGATCGACCGGATGAAGGTTCTCTAGGCGTTCCTCCAATCAGTGCCAGGAGCAGCCCAGCTTTGACCATTTCATGTCCGTAAATGGATGGGCACAGTGAGTTCACCATCAGACGGAACAAGTCGGGCTCAGAGTGAATTGCCTGAAATAATTTTATATTTCTAGAATTGCACAAACAAGTGTTTACGAGAAATATAACCTTAATAGCGTCATTATCTCGAGTGTTGAATTTGATGTCACCACTGGAAGTTAGGCCTCCATTGTTTTTGTTGCTGGTGAGAGAAACTGCATCAAGGTACAAGAGGAACATGTTTGGACCTTTCTGTTTAACTTCTTCACTATTTAAAACCTAAATAAATTTGTATCATGTTAAAATCTAATGCTGTAGTAAATAAATTATTATACTTTGACAACGCCAGTGACAGTCACTTCATCACCAGGGACACAAGTTTCAACCAAATCCTCTGTCAGTTCAACCTCCAAAGTTCGTGGGACTCTGCCACCTTCTCTCTTTAAAAAAGAATTTCAGCAATTAATAAATTATTTACTAGAGAAAAAATTAATAATGAAATACAAACCTGGTCATCATCTAGATTTTCCTGCAGCTTCACCGTTTGCCAGTTGGAAGTCTGCGTCAGTTTGTGGGAGTGCAAGGGTGTGAACGTCTTAGACCTGCAGCCCTTCTGGACGCAACTGCTGGGCTGCGTGAAAGCTCCCTCTGGCTGTCGCACAGCCTGGACAAGACCGCACTGGTTGCACGAGTACGCCAACCAGGTGCACTGCAACTTGAGACCTCCCACCCTGATAATGGTACCCCTGATGGTGACCAGTTTGCCAAAATAGTTGGCTTTGAGTTGCTTCAGTTGGATGACAGGCTCGTGGCCGATGATGCGCGCTCGGACAACAGGGAGCTCCACTTTAGGAGGCGTCGAATCATCGTCCTCATCCACATACTTGGATAGTTCAAGTTTCAGCGCCTCGCACACAACCTGAATTAATTTTTATAATCAATGTTAAATTAGTATTTTTAAATTTTAAATGTATTACTTGATGCATTGCAAGACCAAGTATGTTCAAGGTCTTTTCTGGCGAGTCGATTAGTTCATTGGCAAAGTCTGGCCACGAATCCATGAAGACGTCATCACTCATCAGCACCTTCAGGTCCACAGGAAAAGCCCTCCTATCTTTGACCTCTGATGTTTTGACAAGCTCAGGGTGTCTGCTGATGAATCCTTCAACCGCTCTAACCTTGACCACCGTTGGAGAACCTTCCTTGAAGCCTAAAATAGTCCAAATTAATTTATGTCCATTTTAAAATTTCCTATTTGAATTTGGCTTTTAGCTTCTGATTTTGTTTTTCGGTCAAAGAAAGTCTTGGTTTGCTGGTATGTAATTCACTACCTTTATTCAAAATACTGATCTCTACAATACAAAAATACAGGAAAAAATGGTAATCCTACAAACAGTAAGGATAAAAAAGGTCAGCGATTTTGCTCTTGTTAAATCACAAATCAAAGTTGGCAAATAATTCCGATTGAGCAACAAAGCAAATGAGCTTTATTTTTGGAAAATTATAAGAGATTTCACGTACGAACAAGGGAGTAATAAGAAAGTGGTTGAGAACTACCAGGTTTTTACAGCAAATGCTTGAACTTTGTTCCATGTGTCGCGTTACAAAATATTGTATAATGATAAGAAGCGTACAACGAGGTTCATTATTGCTTTCACTTGAGAACAATCTGTAATAAAAATATGTCACATATTATTGTTGTATCTGTGAGTGTGTGGCTATTGACTGTTGTGAGATGGCGATGGGTACCGGTTTCCAATTTAACTTGCTTTCTATTTACATCGGATTTTTATCTGTTTTGATTTGTTAATACTGTGATGGCGAGCGTGGGTGAGGTGATTTGTTTGTATTGGCATGTATATATCAGGATCACTGTTGTTGAATCAAAACCAAAATTTCACCGTTTCTACAATTACATAGGAACAAGGGTCGGGATTCAATCAGTAAAAAAGCACAGCATAAATTAATGATGTTAGTTCACTAACACTCAAACACACAACTTGCTGTTACATTAGTTTTATAATTTACTCCTACGGCTCATGTTATAATATTTTATGGTTGTTTGTTGTCATGTAACACAATTATAAGGCTCTCTATCTTAATTACGAACGGTCAATCAAGTAGATTGATATTCTCTGAGGTATTGGCTTGTAACAGGTTTTTTTACGGAATGCACTGTTATTCTTACAGAGTTAATTGCTATGTTTGTTAACAGCACAGAGTTGTGTAATTACTTTTTAAATAAAATTCTAAACATAGTTAGGCTACAAAATAATAGAGACAATGCTTATGCATTTAACTTTGTCGTATACGATTCGTCCAAAAGACTACAAATAAAAAGTCTACTGCCGAATTTAAATGCTTTAAGTAGGATCAAAATCGAGATCTGCAGTGTGAGGGGAAGCAGGGCTTTCTTTCATTTTGTTCAGTAGCGAAAAAAAAATTACCATCCCATTGGTCTAACTGTTACTCTTTGTTGTCATGCATCTAAGTCTATCACACATCAATAAATTATGTACATAGCGTCAACTAGCTATTCCATTATTACCAATGTGTATATCTTTGCAGTATAAATGTTCATTCTACAATGTATATTGAATATACTATCATTAAGTATGGCAACATTTTATATTGCTAATCGAGTTACTTTCTATGTGCAGTGGTTTTCTGTATTTTCAGATCTTTTCAACCAAATCATTGAAGAGAGAGTTTAAAGCAGATAAAATGGCCTTTGTTTCAGACCAACGAGCGAGTGATAGAGAAGCGTTTTCTATAAATGCAATCACGTTCTCTTTTGAAACAACACAATTTTCATTCACAGGATCATTTTCGACAAGTATCACTCAAAAATAAATACGCTTTGCCTAACGATCAAACAAACTAGCAGCACTTAAGTATAGATATTTCCGAAATCAAAGCTAACGTTCCTGTTCATTACAGAAAAATTCGTCAGCAGCTGTGAAAGCTGCTAGCAAGGCTGAATGGCAGCTCAAAATTACGATGCTCTCTCTCCCTCTCTCTCTGGCGTCACGCATACTTCAATTTTGTTTGAGAGCAAATCAATAACTAGTCTACCGAAAAGTGAATCGAGTCTTCATCCTGTCAATTGGCACATCACTAACATCTTCAGCTGTCGGCAACATCCTCCTCCTCAGCAGCCTCATCAACCTCCAGCTTGCAGCAAACCTCACTTGTATCAGTGCCTTCGAAGGTTTCAGTGCCCTCGGGGCTCTCCTGCTTCTCCAGCAAATTCAAAATGCGTTTCTGCATCTTGATGCTCTGCCGTTGCAGTTTGATCTGCTGCTCTATCATGATCATCAAGGCGCGATTGTGCAGCTCGTTCTCATGTTTGGTCTGTTGGAGAAACTCGAGGACGAAGGCCCACCCGACACTCTCTGGCGTCGGGTTGCTCTCCTCTGAGTGGGTGCTATTGTGGTCGGCCCGAGAAGCGGCTTCCTCTGCCCGCACATGTGCCAGCAGTGCCGAGTCTAGAGAAAACCGAGGCTTCTTCCCGACGGTTTTTCTCGAGGTGGGAGGCGGAGGTGTCCCTTCCTGACTGGGTCGTTTGGTGCCCATGCGGATGAGGGCCGGAACCCGAGAGGATGAGTGGGTGCCGTTGGGCGCTTGCAAAGGCGGCACTGACGTGAGGCTGATAGTAAGAGAGGGAGGGATGTTGGGCAAACCGTTCGTGGGCAGATTCATGGCGGGGGGCAGCGAGGAAGGAGCGGGCGCTGCAATGGCGGGCGCTGGCTGTTTTTCCAATTCTCCTTGGTGGGTCCCTTGCTGGTGATCGTTTTCATTTTCTTCTTCCTCATCACATTCCTGCTGGGCCATCAGCATGCCTGGATCAATGTCACAGCAAAGTGCTTCAGCACCCTCAGTGTCTAGTTCAGAAAGAGAAGAGCAATGTAAAGATTTAGATATAAATTAGTCATGAAAAACTGTAAGAAGTTAAATAATAAATATTAATAAGTATTTAAAATAAATTCTACAGTAAAAATAGGCAAAACTATTTTATAAATTGTTAAATAATTAGTTGCTGGAAAATTTTAAATTACTTCCAATATTTTTTTTTTAAACAAGAGCATTTTAAAGAAATTTTTCATTTGTTCTAAATTATAATTTTTTTCTAAGATTAAGAGTATAAATTAAATTGCTAATGATTTCACTGAAATAAAAGTTGTTAAGTTTATTTACCTGATCCAGAACCACCATGCTGAGCTTGTTGTGCGGCTACTAACTGTGCTTGCTGCTGCAAATGTTGCAGTTGTTGCAACTGCTGCAGATTTTCAGCAAAAATCTGCTGTTGCTGGGCGGCTGCTTGATCTGAGGCTGAGTACATCATCGACTCGTCTGAACCGAGTATGGCGTGAACGGCATCCCACAGCTTAAAGTTGCCCTTTGGAAATCCCAGACTGCGCTTGCGAAGCTCCATTCTAAAAAAAACCAGATGATTATTTTTTAGACAGGAAATTTGCAACAACCTTATCAGTTAATTCTGATTTAAAATTAATTTTTCCTCCTTGCTGAGGATTGAACAGTTGTAGTACCTATATTCCTGGGAGAGATTGGCGATGCGGGTTTTGACTTCGGTGCTCGACCTTGAGTAGCCTCTCTCCTGCAGCAACCTGGCCATCTCGTCAAGCATGAAGCCGTTTCTCTTGGTGGTCTTCATCTCCTGCACCCGCTCGCCCCACAGCTGCAGCAGCGCTAAGGTCTCTGCTTCACCCCAATTCGGGCTGCGTCTTTTCCGCTGCTCCGCTAAGCACATTACACATGCCACCATTTTTCATTGCGTCTCACACATTTGCAGACAAAAAACACCCTCCAACTATAGGAGGTCGCTACAAAATTGACTCAACAAAAAGGAAACCACACACCAGTGACTTAATTGTCACAGGTAGTTTTAAGTAAATAACAACGCCAGAAGAAAAAGCCAAATCAATTTTAAAATAAAAGAAAATAAAATTTTGTTTAAAGATTTAATTTCAGTCGCTTACTCTCTTGTTTGTTGTACAACTTCCATCCACTGTAAGGCCCTTGGTTTGCTTCGAGGAGTTCTGTGATGATTTGCTGCGAACTCTCTCCGAGCTCAGCAACTGCAAGAAGGTCTGATTTACACAAAGGTTATTAATATATGATTTTTCTGATTTATGCTGAATTTAAAAATTAATTTTTTTTAAGCAAACTTAAAATTAAGATGAAAAATGCATCACTTTACAAATAATTAATAAAACACTTCATTTAATCAAGGTCATCGAGATCCGTCAAAATATATGAGAAAAAATCAAAGCAATTTAATTTATGATATACCTGCTGGCAGAATCCTTTGATGGCCGTTTTGTCTGTTCGTCCCGTTTCTGTAATAACCTCTGCCTCTTCCTCGGGGTTGCCACGAGCCCCCGGTGCTGTGTCTGCGAATCGCTTGCGGGTCTGCCATGGCCTGCAAAAAGGTGCAATCTTAATTTCGCGTCCACCTTAAAATCGCCGTGATTCATAACCCCCCGTGCCTCATTTTTGCGGTTCGCTGCAAGTTAACGTCATGATAAAATGTAAACAAACCGAAATAAACGCAAAAAAGCCGCGAGCAGGGCGTCGGAAACGTGATTCACGCCGAAATTAAGTACGCGGGTGCCATTTTAGGGGTGAAAAAATCATTGGATCCATCTTTAAATTATGACAGGTACGTAAACAATAATTCCGTATTGATTGATTGCACTATTTACACAGCAAATCACGTTTTTAATCGCTCACCAATATTAAAACGGCATTAGAACCGAGAGAAGATTGCGCGATGCCGCTTATCCTAGCCGAAAACTGCCCCGCGCTCGCTGCTCAATAGGGTAAATCACATTGATCAATTTCTATAAAATGGACACGATAATTAATCGTTAATTACATGCGGGAATGCGGCGGCCTCTTCAAGGTCCGCGTCTGCCCTTGGGCCCACTTTTCAGCCCTCTTTTCTGCCCCTCTCACCTCGATTTGACGCTCGACCGCACCCTCAGAAAATTGCTCGCATCCCCGACGAGATGCTTTCTGTTATCAAATCTTCAAATACCCATGAATTATCGAGAAATTCAAGTTAATTTGGCGTCCTTTCACTGCAATTAAATGGCAGAATGCGCGCGGAACACGAAGAGCGACTGGCTGATTGGCGAACTACTTTTTTGGGGGCGCCAAATTTAAAGTTTTTAAATGGGATGACACTTCTTATTTCTTTTGTGTCGAAAAATGCGTTGTTTGTGAAAATTTTAGTGTTGAACAATTCTGGCAACAATGATGAGAAAAAACAATTGACATTTTAAAAATTTGGAGGCTTCAAATCCTCATTCAGCAGTTATTATGCGGAGGTTTTCCGAAAATCTTTAAAAAATTGAATAAATTCATCGCATTACATTACACACACCCGACACGTCTCCCACAGCGAACATATTTTTAGTTATATTTATGAGAGGTACAGTGCAGTGTGTATTTCAACAATCAACACCAAATTTCTAAGAAAAATAATATTTAAATTTTTATCTGAAGACCTTTACTTATAACTAAATATATTATAAATAAATATTAAATCTTATTTTTACAATTTATTTTTTTCAGCGGACTTTCATGTCTGAAACTACTTCCGAGACTCACAAAAATAAGTCTGGAGCAACGACAAACGGCTCAGGTGGACCAGTTCCTCCTCCACCACCACCGTCTTTGCCCAATTTTGGAAATGCTGAAGAATCAAAATCTCCAGAAATCGAAATCGAGTCTCATGAGGCTGTTGTGCAAAAACTCGTCAAAAAATTGTGCGATTGGGGCTCATTGGGAGGCTCAGCCGCACTAGTAATTTCAAGACACGTCCAGCATATTCCACAAATAGGACCAAAGTAAATTTGCGTTCTTTTAATTTTAAATTATTTTAAGCATACACTATTTTTTAGATGTGGAATCGTTGCTCTGAATATGGCGCTATCCGTGTTTCTCCAGCAACCTATCACCGTGGACGAAATTCTGAATGTGGCTCGAGAGAGAAAATACACAAACCACGGAGAAATGTTCTGCGCCGAAAATCTGAAGAAACTTGCCACTCATTTTTTACCAAACAACGAAGTTCAATCTCTACACTCAGGACACCTGCGTAACCAAGAATTTATTGCTGAAACATTGGCAGCTGGAGATCTGCTTCTTGTGCCGTATCCTTTTCATAAAAAATAAACTAAAAATTTAAGTAAGTAATTTTCCTTAAATTTAAAATTCAGTTATGACTCGTCTCGAAACTTTTCACCGGAGTGTCTCAAAGGTCATAAAGCGCATTGGGCCATAATCACCGGAATAATAATTCCAATATCTCAACCATCTTCTAACCCACCCTTGCCCGCTTACAAAAATCTACCTCCAGGCCCTGAAGCGCTGCAGGAAGTTAAAAAGTACTTGCCAGTGAGTTGCCTCCATGTACTGGCGTTGCAGGGAAAGAGCAGACACCTCAGCGCGTGGCCTTTGACAGACTTGGTTACAAGCAACGAAAACCTGGTTCAGATTGACCCTGAGAGGGAGGCCAGTGATCTGGAATACATTGTACCTGAGGGAGGACTGAAACAGGGACTTTGCGGAAAAGCTCTTCTCTTGAAACGTCCAAACTAAAATATCTCAAATTCTTCTAATCAATGCGTGATCAAATGGATAAATAATATTGTGTTACTAAGGAATGTTGAATAAAAGTTTTATTTGCTTTTTGTAAACTTCCGCTCTTGTATTTTGTGATATGATTACATTTTGTAGAATATAGTATAAAAGCATAGAAATCAGTCAGCCTTCTCAGAAGTTCACACAGTTAGTTGAGGTTAAGTTTGTTTATCTTGGATTTTAACAAGATGCGAAGCAAACATTATATAGGAATACTTGAAATTAAAATAAATATCAATAAAAGACTTCAATCAATAGACTCACAAAAGAACTTCAAAATTAAATAAGAACTTTAAAATTTGTTTCACTCTTAGCACTCCAAAATTAATTATCACTTCCAGTTGAATGAGCATAGCACAAATCAAATTGAAAGATGCGACAGGAAGACTGGATGATCTGTTTGGTTTAAAAATTTCAGACAGTAGATAAAAAAAAATTGATTAAATTTTAAGTTCAAGTTAAAAAAAATCTATATTTAGTAATGTGTGAATAAAGTATTTTGTTTATAGTTGACTTAAATAATACTGAAATATGGTTCGTTATCAACTTAATCAGAAATTTTGCTTGATTTGGCTAAGTTAAAATTGCTTAACAAAACTATACCAAATTATAAAAAAAAAAATGTGATAGTAACTACAGTAAGCATCATCAAGACAGTCTGTGCATTTGAAGAAAGTTAAAGAAGAATTAAGTACTAGTCGGTAACAAGTGAAGGAACTAAAGATTTTCATATCGAAATGCCAAACGCTAAAATGCAGCTTATTGTGTCATTTACGTATACTGTGGAGACATAAGGGCAGCCTTCTTCAACATTCGATCAGCATTCAATGGTAACAGTTCTTTCTTCTGACGACTAATTTTTTTCAATTAATCCAGTGCAACTGCAGAAATTATTTACAAATTTATACCGTGCTTGGTCCAGACGCAGCTGAAGATTTTGCAGTCAGGTTGCTGCATTTTCTCGGCATCTCTTCAAAATCTGCCAAGCACAAATAGCGAATAAAAAGGAGAACAGCTGCAAGGCCCCAGCCACTGGCACTCATCCAGGCAACAACCTGTAGAAGAGAAAATTAAAACAGCCTCATGAGAAAGATGAAATATAATTTTCAAATACAAACTCAAGCAATCAAATTTTATTTCCTCTTTAAGAAAAAATAAAGAAATTTTACATTATCTACAATGGATAAATACAAAAATTTATATACATCCTTGTGCATAAAAGTATTTGAGGAAAATAATTTTATCTAAAGATAATCAATTTATGTGTAGCAAAAAAGTACCTTTAGCACCTCCAAGCTAGACGTCTCTGGAATTTTGACACCTGGGTTAACTTTCCCAGTACAAACGTCCCTTGCCAGTTGCAGTTGGCTGCGTCATTGGATATATTTATTTACAATCAAGCAAAAATATTTATGCAAATTGTATTTTATATTATATACAGTGCTGATAGAAATTTAAACTCCCATTAACCCAAAAACATTATACAAAAACATAATTAATATATAAAATTCAAACTTACCCCATTTCCTCGAGGGTGCCCGACAATGATTCACAACTTTCCGACAACCCTGATGTAGTCAAGGCTGCTGCAGCGATTGCAATTGGCATGAATATTAGACTGAAGGCAAGGGCGGCAAACACCAACTTCCAAGGCTCAACACTGGAATTTTTCAATTTTTTTGTTAAAAACTTTCTCAGAAAACCATGAGTGAAAATAAATACCCATCGGGTGACTTCCCTCCTCGACCACAACAAGCAAAAGATCCTCCCCAAATAAAGGCATAAACGGCAGTCAGAAGAGGGACAAACTGGCAGAAGGAACAGAGAGCATCCTTGCCCCACTTGCTTGCCGTAAAATCAATTTCAAGGGTTGACGAGGTGCTGGTGTTGTCAAACTTCAGGAATTTGATATCAGCAAAAAGTGGACAATGGCTCTCTAGGCCCTGTAACCAGTAGCCAAAAATTATGGCACAGGCGTAGCCACAGACAGCCGTCGCAGCAAAGATCATTGTCTGAAGGACTTTCCATTGCAGACGGACTGTGCTGCTCAGTTTTGGCTTAATTTCGTTGTACTCGGAGCTCGAAGGCATTTTGGTAAGTCACTCAACAAGGGCAAGGTAGTCAATCACATCTTTTAGATTTCAGTTTTCGTTATTTTCAAAAATACATTTATCCTGCAATAATAAAAGGGAGTTGTTTGGTTTTCCCTGATTCGACTGCTGCTTTTGCTTTGTTTTTGCGAAATAGAGGCGTGGTCACCGTGTCCTTTGCATTTGACGTCAGTTTTACCAACGCTAAAATATTTTAAAAATAATTAAATTCTTTAAAAAAAGTGCTATTTAGTCCGACAAATATAAGTAATTACAATGATTTCAAAGAATTTTATATAAAATACGGAACAAAAAAATGCACTTTTGAATTCTAATTTGTTTAAAAATTGAAATTTAAAAAATCATGAAGCCCCTACTGTTTCGCCAAGGTCGACCGCCATGTTTAATTCTCAACTTTGTGTTTGTTGATGTGCAAGAGAGCTCACGCTACGTAAACTTTTACAGAAACGTTTTGCAAATTATCCCAATTAACATTGAATTCATACAATTTTTCATTTTCTTTTTACACAAACGGTAAGCCAAAATTAATTTTTGAGTGATATGTATAAATTTCAAAAATACATACACACAAGAAACGTTGTTTAAATGAAAATCATAATTTTAAATTCATTTATATTATTTTATCATACATACAAAAATATTTATTATGTATAGTCACCAGTTTTGGTTTGTTTAAACATATTTTTTTTCAGAACTGAATATGCCTAAGTACTACTGCGACTACTGTGATACATACTTAACGCACGATTCACCGTCAGTTCGGAAGACACATTGTCAAGGACGCAAGCACAAGGAGAACGTCAAATTTTATTACCAAAAATGGATGGAAGAACAAGCACAACACCTCATCGATGCCACGACAGCCGCGTTCAGGGCAGGGAAGATTCCGTCCAACCCGTTTGCAGCTGGTAAAGGTGCTGCTATTCCGCCTCCAAACACACAGATTCCTCCTCCGATGGGACAGCGCCCGCCAATGCCGCCTCCAGGCATGATGCCCCCTGGTGCCCAAAGACCACCGATGGCACCCGGCCCCATGGGCCCAGGAATGCCACCTGGAATGGTGATGGCGCCAGGCATGCCTCCTATGATGCCAGGAATGAGACCACCGATGGGCCCTATGGGTCCCATGATGCACATGCCTCCTATGGCAGCCATGGGACAAATGGGAGCTGTTCGGCCGCCTCCGCTAATGGGCAGTGCTCTCCCTCAGCCCATGAAGAAACCATAATTTTTTAATTAAGACAGTGAACGTGCAAATTGTGAGTTGCGAATGAATTTTTCAGTGGATGTTTGTGTATATTAAATACTTTTAGATCATATGTAATACAAATTTTTGTGTTTTTTTTTCTCAATTAAAACCACATAATAGTTAATTATATAAATAGGGCACCGTCTTTATTAGTGTTTGTGTAAATAGCGAGAAAAATCAAAATTCTCAGCAATATAAAATTTAAATCAAAACAAAAGGTGTAAAGCATTAAGTGAAACATTTTCTATATCTTCACTATATCACAAGTAGTATTAAACAAAAATTTTCACAACTGACAACAAAATGTTTTAAGTGGAGTTTGAGGGCTGCAGTTTGTGGTTTTTTGTAGGTCGTATCACAGCATCACTAGTATGGGTGGAGGGCATGTCCACCTGGAATTGTTCATGGGCCAGTTTCGAACAGGCTTCAAGAGTTTCAATAAAGGAATCGCAAGTTGCACTTAACAAAGTTGTGGCTTCTTCTAATTTCTGAAGCAAATTTAATAATAAATAAATCAAAATTTATTTCCTCTAATTAATTATTTAGCTGTTAGCTACCTCAACGTCTGGAGGTTTTTGTTTGCAAGCTGCCTCTTTAACCATGTGCGCCTGTTGCATCAGGAGGTCGCAGTAAAGCCGAAGTTCCGACTTTTTATGTTTCATCGAGTCTGGGCTTGACGACTCTGTTGAGAGAAATGTCAATAAAACAATATTTAAACAGGTCACAGTGTTGAAACTTACCATTTTCATTGCATATCATTAAATTTGTCTAATAATAGTATGACTGACTAATTGTAAGGTTTATTTCAGTGATTGCAATGAAGACGTGGGAGGAACTAAAATTTATTTCAAAGTGTAGGATACAAGCCAGCAGCACCGATTCCCAACTTGCACACTAACGCAAAGCGTTTTTACATTTCTAGCTCTATCGGAAAAGTGACAGACAAATGCAAAGTTTCATCACATATTTTATGAAATTTACAAGTTCAAAATTGGTTTCTATTAATTTGCCGAGTGGATTGCTGATAGACAGGCATAAATGTTTACAGCAAAAATTTGGGGGCAATACACAATACAACCTGTGGCTCACATTCTGTTCATTTAAGTAAACAACTCTATCAAGAGCTTATAAGGAAATGCACACTTTTAACAGATAATTGCTTGTATTCCTAACCCTTTCCCCGCAACAGTTCAATGCTTTTCCTGCTCTGCTAACTCCTGATACCGCATATAGGCCATTTTCTTTACACTCTCTTTATAAGAACTCTCCCCAGGGACAATCCCGTACGATTTGGCACCCAAACCCACAGAAGGTGTTCTCATTTTGGCCTCAATTATGTCGGTCCTGCCCTGATTGGTTTTTCCCAAGCCCATACCCTCACTCCAACCCATTTTCTGCAATAGTTTGCTGCCGATGTTGTCATTCCCAATGGCCTTCACTGGTTCCTCGTACGCACCCCTTTGATTGCTTGTTGTTGCTTCTTTCACCTCCAAGTATCGTTCTTTTAACTTGTTTGGCACTTCAGGTTGGCCAAACTTTTTCCTTCTCTCCTTTGCTCGATCTCTGTACTCGACGTTTTGCGCCAAGTCGGAGAGGCCCAGTTTGGCAAGGTTTTCTTTATGAAGAGAAGAGAGCTGCTGGTGTTTAACAAGTGTATCCTTATTTGGAAACTGCCTTTTGCAAAGCAGACAGGCCATTTTGCTCCAATCAGTAAAACTGGCAGACTCATCTTCCGAGTCACTGTCATTCCCATAAGCAGCCACCAGTCCAGATTTAGAGCCAGTTGGAGAATCCTCCCTATTGTGGAACGGACTGGCTCCGCTCTCAGGGTTCATCTCCCGTCTCTCAAGGACCGCAAACCCTATGTCCGCAACGGCCGCCTTTTGCATGGAGGCCAAGTCTGGCATTTGCTGCTGCATCTGCTGCGCCTCTTTTTTCCGGTTTTGCGACTTGGCCCACCGCTCCATGTCCTTGGCGATTTTCTTGGCCACCTTTACTTTGTCTTTCTTTTTCTTGTTGTCTTCCTTCTCTTCAGTGCCCGGGACAGGAACATAAGCGTTCTGCGCGAGATCCCAAAAAACGTACTGCTGCGTCTGCGAGTTGTAAAAGTACTGTGTGTTTGGATCATAGTACAGTCCCGTCTGCGAGTCGTAGTAGAAACCAGAGGTTTCATCATACTGGTACCGACTACTGCTCAGCTCCTGCTGGCTCATAATTTGCTGCATTTGCATTGGCTGGACCTGCACCTGTGGTTGCGGCTGAGGCTGTTGATGTTGCACGGGTTTTTTACCTTCCTTGGCGTGCAGTTGGGCCAGCGCGTTTTGTGCCACAGCAGCAGCCGCATTTGCCGAAGCGTCCTGCCTCACGGGGGTGCGCCCTTCTTTCAATTCATTTTCGTAGTACTTCAAGTAGTACTCCTTGTAAGACTTAAACTCCTCTTCGTTAGTCGCATACATCTGGGCAGAGTATTCAGCCATTTGGTTTATTTCGTCCGAGGTGTACTTCATGGGTTTCTGGCTGACAGACGAGGGAGTTGCTCGTTGCTGCAGTTTGCAGTACGAGACGGTGACAGTCTTCTCGTCAATGATCAGGGGCACGGCGGCCATCAAGTTCGAGTGAAGGGCCATGGCGTCCTGCACGCAGTTGAGCTCAACATAACACACCCCTCTGGAGGTGTTGGTCAACGTGTCCCGATCAATTCTGATGCTGCGGATCGGAATGGCGGCAGAAAGGCCCTGGATTGACTGCAGTACAGTCTCTTCAGTGGTCAGGACGTCGAGGCCCCGCAGCAGCAAGGTGTAGGTTGGATGAGGGCTGACCTCGTCAAATCCTTCCCCACCTATGTCTTGTTCGGCCTTGGGTGCGTTGCATTTAAAACAGAAGTCACGTCGTTTAAAATTGTGCGCTGTGCACTTGAGGCAGAACCAGTCCTGGGCGTTTTGTTTGGGCGCCTGTGAACTTTTCGGGAAGCTGTACTGCATAAAGGCAACCGAGGGCTCACCTGCAATGGTCAGGGTGCCTCCTTTGAGTTCCATCCACTGCTTGGCCTCCATCACCGAGGCAAATTCCAGGAAGGCGAATCCTCGGGACTCTCCAGTCTCCCTCTTCCTTATGAGTCGAATGTCTTTTGGCATCAGCCCCGTTGACATAATTTCCCTCCTCAAATCATTTTCTGAGCAAGATGTAGCTAACCCTCTAATTAGGATGGTGTTATTGGGGGCCTGAGTCTTGTAAAATTCAGTCGAGTGACCCTCTCCAAAAGCCGCAGACATGGAAGGGGGTGTGGGTGACCGTCCATTCTTTTCCGATTTTTCCCTTCGCCGTTCCCGGTCCCTCCCTCTGTGCCTATCCCTGCTTCTAGACCTGTCCCTTGATCTATGTCTGTCACGAGACCTGTCCCTTGACCTTTCCCTAGAATGTGAACGCGACCTGCCCCGCGATCGGTCTCTACGTTTTTCCCTAGAGGAAGAGCGACGACGGCCTCTTCGATCCGGCGAGCGTTCCCTCGACCTCCCTCTTCGGCTGTTGGTTGGCGACGATGGCGAGGTATTTCGTTTTTCATGCCTGCGCTCCCAGTCCTTCTCCAGTTGCTTCTCAATGTCTGAGCCTAAGGGAATCAATTTGACCAAATACGAGTTCATTAGTTGGATTATCAAATAGTCTTTTTAAAGCTCATCAACCCTCTCTCTATTGTGGTCTTGGCAGATGAAATTTATGGTTCAATGATGTGCATGCAACCTAATTTCATGCGGTGATTTCTTTTTTGAGGATATGAATATTACAGGACCAGGTTTGAGAAACCATTCACTTTCTCCCTTTTACCAAATTTTGAACAAAAGTATAACATTCTGATTTTGATATACTTTTGCCACAAAAGCAATTTTTCTACAATTTGATAGTAACTATAGTGAGTGGCTGCCAGTTTTAATTATAATTATTTTGACCATAGTTTATAGAATAAATTATTTTAAAAGGAAAGACTTTCAATTTCCCCTATTTGGCAAAGTAATGTAGAAGTTAAAAAGACCAATATTTTTTTTCTTTGACCTGTCTGTCACTAGTGCAAAAATTTGGCATAAACAAAATACAAGAAGGTAAAGTAGCTGCTGGCTTGTATGGCACCAGAGGAGCCAAATTCTCAACCGTACCTGAATTTCTGCGGGGTCCCGCAGTGTTTAAGCAAGCTTTGCAGCTGCCAAGAGCCACAAGCCATCGCTGTCGATCTGAAGGGCTGGGCGCCTTGAGGTACATGTGTTGCTCGCCAGGAATTACTATGTCCATACGAGAACAGTCGACAGGGTGCACTAATGGAAAGAGAGCCAACAATCTTTGAGCTAGGGTGCAACTTTGCTTGTTTTTTATCGGGTCGGAACTCGTCCATTTTTTCCCTCCTCTGTTATAATTGTATGACAGCAAGGACAGCCCTCGTGTGATCTCTTACCGATGATTTCACAGGCGGACACTTTCATGGAACCCTTGCAGCCCTGCCCCATTTCCTCCTTTGTGTTGTAGTACGAGAGTGTCCCATCGTCGGCGAGCACAAACCAACGAGTCTGCCAGCCTGTAAGTCAGCTAAGATTAGCAAACACAAAATGCACGGTTGCGCCGATCGGTCTCGACAGTCTTTCTGCAAAGATCTCATTCTTTCGACGGGGTCGCGGTTTATTTTTGTTCGATTGTGGTGGTGAGTGTCTGTGTGGCGATGCGTAATTTTTATACCATTCCAGTAGTTTGTCCATTTCCACAGGAGGCCTTCCATTTTCGCTGCGGACGCTACCAGTGCACCATTCTCCTGCGAAGCGACTACGATGTGAGTTGAGTTGGCCAAGTAATCACTGTTATCAAAAGCAATGGTGCTGGCAAAAGTACAATTTCCTCAAATTTAGCGTCGGCCATGAAAAAAATAACAGCGAGGCAGGCAAGAGCAAACCCGAAGCCGTCGATCGATGACAGCGCCACCAGCAGAAATTTCGCGATGCTCTGCGCATGACGTCAACTCTCCGCAGGAGTTAGGCAACCTGCACGACATGACTGTACGCCGGGGTTGCAAATTAAAAAGCTTTCAGGCGCACACCACGAAAAGAAATCTAAGATTTAAGATATTTAAAAATTGTATTGGAAGTTAAGAAGTAATGACATAATCATTGAAAGTGGCGGAAAGTGAGGAAATATTATCATATAATCAAATTATATGTAATGCTAATATTTTCAAGGAACAAATGCAATTTTTATTAACTTAATGTTTTGTGAAAACAATATCACTGTTTTAAGTAAGCCAACCATGCGTGAGGATTAAAATTCAAATTAAAAAGATATTTTCCATTCACATGCAAAGCTCAGAAAAATTAAGAGTGATACTAAAAGGCTTTAAAAATACCTTATAAATTTAGTGCCACTGAATTGCAATATGTGATATTAGAAGATAAGCACTAGCAGTGACAACACTCACAAGCATCACAGGAAAGCCAACTCTGGAAAAGATTTGTTTTAAAATTCTGTAATAGTGCACGCATAAAAAATTGCAAACTAACCTGAAAAATTGCAAAAAGGTGAATCTGTATCCATGCTGCTCTGCAACACCAGCACATACAACATTAGCCGAGGCGCCAATTAAAGTTCCATTTCCTAAAATTTAGTTTTTTTCAGTGATCAACTTTTAAATGTTTTGAAAAATTTTACCTCCTAAACAAGCTCCAAAGGCCAGTGCCCAAACCAAAGGTGGAAGGGGTAAATTTAAAACTCTATTAGAGCAGAGAGAAGTAACAATTTTTATCATCATGGTGGTCAATGGAATGTTGTCGACAAAGGCAGATGCAATGGCAGACACCCACAGAACCAAAAGAATGGCCACCTGAAAATTTGAATCAGTTTAACAAGTTTAATAATTCCTAATCAATAAATTTTTGACTCACCGCCAGACGAACATTTTCATTTGGTACAGAGAGAATTATGGCCTCGGTTTGTCTTCCTATCCAGGCAATCAAACCCAGCTTTGAAAGTGCTTCCATCAAGACAAATAGGGCAGCAAAGAACAGCAACGTTGACCATTCTACTCTGGCAAGCACACCCTCCATGTTTTCGTTGTCAGCCAGAACAAGAAGCAAAGTTGCACCTAGAAGGGCTGTCCAGCCCAGTGAGAGGGAGAGCTGAGGGATGGAGTGCAAGAAAAAGACAACAATGACGAAAACAAGGGTGAATCCAGATTTAATCAGGAGCATGCCATCTCTGATGGGGTACTGAAAAGTTAAAAAGTGGATACAATTAAAACGTATTGTTAAAACCGAACTTTTAAGATAAATTGATAATAAGTCGATTAAAATTAATACTTTTCTCTGTAATTCCTCAAGAGTCTTTTTGTAGTTTTCTTCTACGTTGTTAGCACCCTTCATTCTGACCTTCAGTTCACTTGCCAATCTTCTCACTTTTTTCAGCAGCGTTTCTCTTACAGCATCCTCATCCTTAGAATATGACGAAACGGACGCTGCCGCTCTTTCCCAAACAGCAATTTCATGTTTCAATTCTGTAGATTCAGTGAAAAAAATATAACAATTTCAATGAAAAATTTTACACACCCGTCAAATCATGTGGCTCTTGAATTCTGAGATCATTGATATCCCTGTAGATGAATCTCAGTTGTAAATAGGTGGTGATCATAATCAGAATCACTCCAAGGGACATGTGCATCATGTAGGATGTAAAGTCAATTCCCTTATTTAAAGGCTTGAAATTAGTCCATAAATATCTTTCACCACAACTTTTTACTTACCGAGTCTTTTACATGCTGATTGGAGGCAATGATGACATTGGGAGGGTCACCGACAGCGGTCGCTGTGCCGCCAATATTTGAGTAAATGACCATGGCCATCAGCACAGGTACAGCGTTTAACTCCATGACCTCACACAACCTTATGCTGACAGGGGTCATCAGGAGGGATACAGTGACATTGTCCAGGAATGCAGAAAGCAATGCAGTGAACAAGCACAAGGTGTTGATCAAAGGCCACACTTGCCCACCAGTTATCTTAAAGGCGAGGACTGCTAGGTAGTCGAAGACCCCCGTTTCCGTTAGAATGGCCACAATGACCATCATAGAGAATAAGAGGAGAAGAGTTTCGACGTCAATCCACGAAACCAGCTCAGTCATCGAGGGTCGCTGGAAGTTTTTATTTAAAAGTTGCATAGGTCACAGAATTAAAATATTAGACCTCATTAAAGGCAGCTAAAATTGCGACGGACATTGTAGAAGCCAGCATGGCAGCCAAAGTTCGGTGCACAATCTAAAACCAATCTTTAGAGATCAAAATAAAATTGAGCAATTCTTGCAATACTTCAAATATGATGAGCACATAGAGACCGACGAGAACAAGAACAGCATAGATTGTGCCATCACTCTCATCAATGGGTGAAACGTCGTAGCCGATTGACACTGGCAAACTCGTGTTCACATTTGTTTCCATGCGAATAAAGAGGTGGGCAGCGATGTTTCTAAATTTTTATTTTGCAGAATTAGTTTAAAGACAGTATAAATATATATACCCGCGTTGAAAATTTTCTAGTTTAAAAACAGTGGACAACACCAACTCGGGCACAACTCCAATCAGACTGTCCGTAACAAGGGGTACCGTCCAGTTTGTACTAACCCTCTAAAAATTCCACAGATTAAATGAATCCCGTGTAGAATATTAATAATTTTGGTTTCCACCTTTTGAAAATCAGAAAAATTCCTGTCGCTGAGGAGACTCTCAGGCATTTCAAAGTGCTGTTCGATCCAAAGTGTCATTTTCCGGTCACTCATGTTGGCATAATATTGAGGCATGATTGACCCTTCCAGAGTTACCTCAACAACGTCTCTGCTTGGCATGTTATGAATCTCAAAAACTGTTTAAAATAGGTGAAATAACAAATAACTGAGAAATTAGTAGTTAAATAAAATTATCATACTTGTCGAAGATTCTCCCGACACAGATACTTGATGCATTTTGTTCACCTTTTCACTCTTCGTCATTAATATTGCCTGGCAAGAAGTTCATTGCAATGCATTAGTAAAATTTAAATTTATTTTTACCGTAAATAACAGCCAAACTGATCCAATGCACACAAATTTAAGATATCGTCCGAATTTGCTGCAAGGCTCCGCAACATTAGATTCGTCCGTTTCCAAAGCCGGTCCCTCAAAAACAGAGCTTTGACCCAAAGAGTGAATGATATCACTGAAAAATTAATATGTGTGAAATTAAAAAAAAAAAATTGTAAAAAATCCTCAGTGCCCCTGGGATGTATTGCATTGCTTTCAAAATAGATAGACTTATACATATAATCCCACATTATAAATAATATTTATATTATAAAATAAATTTTTTTATAGATCATATATCATTCCAAACTATAAGAATTACTGTACCTTGCTTCTAAATGAAGCCTACTTGCTGGAAAGGAGGGTGTTTGCGGCTTGAAAGAGCAGTTTGAGGCCGTAGATGGTGATGCGGGGGTGACATAAACACGAAAATCACTTGGGTTGTTTTCTGCCATCTGTAAATTTCGTTAGTTGTTCTCCTCACTCGCCAGCGTCAATTTTTCTCTGCAATGCGGTTTAATTAGGAAAATTATGAAATGCACAGAGATTAATAACGCATATATGTACATAAAAAATTCCGAAACACACAAATAGCACAATCAGAAATTTTTCCTCAAAAAATCTGCAGCAACTGACGCAAATGACTGCACTCCTGTGACTAGTGGTCATAGTGGTGTGACTGCAACTGCAGGGGTGAACGGTCAAGAGCAGCTGAAAACAATCGGAGTAGAAAGAAAGAGGAATGCCAAAGATTAGATACACTCGTCGCTGCAAAAATCTTCAAGGCAGTGACAAAGAAATGCTGCATTCTTTCCCTTTCGCTGCGCTGTGTTTTCGTCTCCAACCAATGAAAATGGGGCAACCTTGAAAATGTCAAAATATTTTTGCATTCTTGCTGGCTCACTCCATCTCCCCTCCTCCTCACGTGACTTTGATGGGGGTGGTTGATACTTGTCTTATCTTGATGGGCGCTGAGCACACCATGCAGTTGAAGTTGGCTGGTGGACGTTGGAATGCAGTAGTAGCTTCTCTAGGATGCGATGTTGCCCTTTCTGTTCAGTGTTGTAACGTTGTGACAGTTGAGACTTTTGAGACTGACTGCGACCGCTATTGAAGAAGTGAAACAAAAAATTCTGCAAGTTTATTTACAATTTATGTGATGTGTGCTGCGACTGCTGTGATAATGTTCTCGGTTGTTCTTTAACATCTTGTGTGCGTGTTGACCTCGCGACCATGGACGTTCTCCTCTTCCAGCATTAGTAAGTGCCATCGTCTGTTATTTTATTCCTCCTTAATTTAGGAGAATAACAAAGTTATTGCTTCATTGATCAGTGTATAATTATGTCTGATAAAATTGTGTCAATTAGTGTTTACAACAAAAGAAGAATGCGTAGGTTAATTCCGTAAAATATTACGCATGGAAAGGTTTAAATAGCGCACATTTATTCTGGATTATTTTGGATTATTTGACATAATATTAAATTAAAATGATCAATTTTTATTAAATTGTATTTTAATAAAAAAAAAAAAGGTTATTCGGCTTTGTTTGCATAATATTTTTGAATGAATTTGGTATTGAAGAGGGTGTTGTAAAATAATTATTGTAATTAAATTTTTCGTCAGCACTGCTAAAATTATTTATTCGTCATATTAAAGGTACAATGAGTAACAGTATTTTGAACAACACAACCACACACATGAAATGCAGTTAGCAGCGAATTTAATCAATAATAATTATCCATTTTTAATTTGAGCACTTACGGTTTTATGTATTTATAGTTTTTTCATTAACATTTATTGAGAACGTTTAAAATTAAATGAATCGTTGATTTGAAGCTCAAAAAGGTCCAACTAAATGAGATTAATTTGATCGAGGAAAATGTAGGGCTATAAAATTCTCGACCAGAAGATACGAACAAAGAATCAAAATAGAATAATGACATAATTGAGAATAATTATAACTCATATTAACTTGGATCCACGTTCTTAAAAAATAAATGATTCCACCCCTTGTACAATACTTATGCTCTTAAGTAAAAACACGTAAAAACAAATGAAATAAATATATTTTTAAAGTGAGGCTAAGCGCAATTTTAATGGGAGCCGCACCTCGAGATAAAAATACTGGACACATCGTCGCGACAGCAGGGTCTCGTGTGTGTTGTCAGACAGGGACGTAATATAAAATTCAGGACACATTTTTTTGTTACGAAATCTGCACCCTTATTCTATAATATCACACTCGTATATCGCATTGATTCCTCTGGCAGCCGCGGCTCTCCTTCGATTCTCGCCAATTTCAATTTGTTCGACTTTTTCTGCCTCTTGACTCTGTGTTTTAATTCAATCTAATGTCGCGTTTTCTATTTTCCTCAGGGTCGCCGGTCCTCGCCCAGCGTGACGGGCACCGAAGGCACCGGCAGGACGGGGCAAAGGTCGCTCGAGTCCTGCTCCATGCTCAGGTGCTTCTCGAGACCGTCGAGTGACGCGTCCTCTTCCAAAGGTAAGTGCAAATGTCGTTGGCAGAAAAGTTCAATTCGGTTGCATGCCTCGATCAAGATTTCTGAAGGCACGGTTAGAACCAGTCGAATGTAGCCGTTGTAATCAAAACACTGAAACAAGTTGAAATTTCATGAGAATCCGTCCGTCCGTTTAAGAAAAAGTCTGCGATAATTTTTCACACCCTGAAATGAATAAATTTTGATTTGTTTAGATAAAAAAAAAATCATAAAATGGAACTTTAGACAAAATAGTATACGCTTATTTAATGAATTTATTTTTCTTACCTAAACTGACAAAACTCATGCAACGTCAGAAGAAAATTTGTAAAAAATTATTTCCATCAATTAACATGTTAAAAGAAAAAAAGAAATAGAAAGTTAAAAAATGTATATTTTTCTCTAAATTCTGAAATTGTGAATGATCGCGGCTACCCCATGACATTTTTACCATGTAATTGACTCTATTGTAAGATGCGTCAATTAAAATTACAGGAAAATGGGAAAAATCTTAATTAAATTAAGTCAAGCAAAACTCAGTTTTAAATTGAAATTTTTAGCAAACATGTTCAAAGTTAAATTTTTTAATCTTTACTTTTCTGAATTTTGTATATAAACAAACCATTAAAACCTGCAGCACTTTAAAGTTATACTAGAAAAGTGAGATGAAGATGATGATCACTTAGGTTAAAGTGTGTTGAGTGAATATTTTAAATTATCTTCAATGAAGCTCTTTACATTAGAACTTGAATGTGTAACGCACAATAATTTTGTTTTAGAAAAGATAAAAAAATTTTAATATTTTTAGATCTTTATTTTGTATGCAATTCTAATAGGTAAAAAAAATTATTAAGTTTAAAATAAAATCAAGCACGCGTACAACAATTTCTCAACGCTTTAAATTTGCAAAAACAAAATTATACAAAAGAAATTTTAGACATGTGGAAAATTTATGTCCTTTTTTTGCTGTAAATTCTCATTTTTTTAGTTATTAAAATTTTGAGACGTACCTTTCCTGGTAGGCAAAAGACAGACTCCTCTGTCACGAGTTGCTCGACAAACTGGATTTCAGTCGGGAACAAAGGGAACTTTTCCAAATCCAATCCGACCATCATGTACATGGCGCCTTGTGGCATCACAGGCGTCAGTCCCTCGATTTGCCTCAAAGCTTCAAAGGCAAGCTTGGCATTTTTCTGCAAATCGTTTATCAATAATTTTTAGTCACACTTTTGACAAGAATCCAATTTACCTCAACGTGCTGAACAGTCCTGTCGAAGAATTCCTGCGGGGTCGTGGCTAGGATTTTGGGAATGGCCCCTTGGACGATGGTGTTGCTGCCGATGATTCGCTGGCTCAGCCTTTGCAGTCCGCTTCTGACCTGAATGTTCGCATTGTCAATCAAACAACCGAGTAAAATTTCATGATCTTCCGAGTACCTCCTTTTCAAAAACTCCGTTTCTGTCGTGCACAATGATCCATCCCATTCGCCAACCAGGAACTAAGAACCTGCGAAGCCAGACATTTTTATTACGATACTTGCCGCAAAACGAGTTTTCGGTAAAAAAAATTCTGTGTCCAAGGAAGCTCGACCAAGTTGTGGGTAATGAAAAAAAAATTATAGACGTACCTCTTCGTGAGACCGCTGCAGGACAAGATGGGGACATTCTTGGAGAGAGACGCTAGCGGCTCGAAAGTGTGTCCTTGGAACACAAAATGTTCGTAAATCTCGTCAGCTATTATAGGAACGCGATTTTGTTCTGCAATTTCAATTATTGCTGAAAGGTGTTCCCTTGAATAAACAGAACCACAAGGGTTGGAAGGGTTATTTACTATGATCGCTGCGGTCCGCGTGTCAATGGCCGCCTCCAACTGCGCCAGATCTGCCTCCCATTGCCTTGTAGGCTGAAATACAAAATTCGTAAAAATTTGAATTAAAAGTTTTTTTATATCTTTAAATTATAACTCACCAGGAGGTCGTAGTACTTGACCTGCACACCAAGTCCCTCGGCCAGGGTACGGTAAATTGAGAATCCTGGCCGAGGCACCAAAATATTCTGGCCTGGGTTGGCCAGCACGGTTATGCAAAGGTCCAGCGAACAGGAGCATCCGCTGCACAGAATCACGTCCTTGGCGGTCACTTGCAAACCATTGATGGACGAGTACTCGGCAACCGAGTTTCGCGCCTCCTCGTAACCTTGAAATAAAATGATTTTATATTTATTTTGGACGCATAAGCAGGTTTTGAAGAAGGAATATCAATTTTTGAATCTTACCAACGCTAGGCGCATATCCGTTGTACCTGAGAGACTCGACGCTCTCGCAAAGTGCGTCAATTACTTCGGCGGGAGGGCTCAAATTTCCAAAAACAGTGGGGTCTCCTATAAAAATTAATTTTAATTTTGTTAGTTTTCAAAATCCAAACTTATAATTGTGATCTAAATTGTAAATAATTTTTATATCATTGAAAAATTATAAAAAGGGAGAATTGTTTATGATTTTATGAAAATTATTATCTTTTTTAACTTTGATGAATTTGTTAAAACTAATTAAAATAATTTTAATTGAAAACTCTTGCTATTTTCAGTTTTCTTCAAATGTGAGAATTGCGGTGATAGTAAATTTTGGCTGAACGAAACGTACTTGTTCAAAAATTGTATAATGAAATTGAAAACTTAAATTAAAACATTAAATACATAACAAGCGATTATTTTGAAACAATTCTCTTTGGATGTAAAAATTAAGTAACCAGTAAAAAAAAATATAATCGTCAGTTCAAACTAGTTGGATATTCTTTGCAATTCTTAGGCAACTCTGCATAAATTTGCACCATTAGCGAATCAGTGGGCCGATTTCGCCTAGTGTTAGCTTCACAAGTTTTTAGCACGGCTTTTTTTTAGGAGGTGGTATGCGGCCATAATTTTTTATTTGGTCGCCGGCCGGCCGCGGAAGGCAGTCGGAGGAGCGACTTTTGAGACAAAATTAATCGAGAGAGACACGGCGCGCGGATAGCAGTAGTTTAACAGGTTGTGTGTGTGTCTCTCTCTTAACTTGTGTGCTGTGCGGTAATATATAAAAATGAACCACTCAAATGAGCAGAAGTTCTCCTTGGAAGTTTCCAGTTTTATCTAGATTCAATGCATATATATGCGAGTGCGTACCTATAAAATAAAATGCAGAAGCGTTTATTTTTATCTCATGCAAAATAAAAAAAAGAAAACAATCGCATTTCGATTGACTGACGGATGGTGATTTACATGCGCGAACCACGTGTTAAAGTCACTGTCACGGCCGAGGTCTATTCGTTTGCTGAGAATCTGGCAAGAGAAAGAAGAAGAAAACAAGCTATTGCTTTTTTTCTCTTAATTGTTGAGAAACGCTGTTGTTGAGGGGAGGCTTTTACGTTTTGATAAGAAAAATGAACCTCTCATGTGTTTTGAATTATTCTGGTTCTTTTGGATGGTGGATTGATTTTATAAGTTAGCCAGTTCTTATGCCTCTGGTAAATTGGTAAAGGTCAGTGATCCAAATCAGGAGAGCCAATTTTATGGCCTTGATCGTTAGATCCTATCATAGAAAATACTAGTGAGTTGCTTAATTATGTAACAGCAATATAGAGGATATTGAGTATCTATTTTCTTTTTCGAAATATTTGCGACTGGTTGTTTCGAATCAAATGGTGTGCGCAGATTATTTTATGTAACAAATTTTTTTCTATATTTTCTAGATTTATTCTAAATTTATGCTTAATATTAATTTAACAAGCTACCATTTATTTTGAATTGCATGATAAAGAAACAAAGCCAGTTTTCTTGGAAGTAAAAGTCTTGAATTACAAATTTACGGGAATCTTGAATTCTTGCAAATTGACAACATGTTTTGATTTGACAAGATAATTTTATGTATTTTCTTCTCAAAGGTAACTTTTGATGGTAAAATACAGCCATTAGTAAAAATTAATTGTAATGATTTCCATTGCTATTGATGCATAATAATTTAATTGATATGATACTGTTTCTAGACAAACGAGATTAATCAGACTAGAATTCTCTCTTTTAGAATGAGTCTAAAAGCTATTTTTTAAACTTCATGATTTTCTAAACTCTCTCACTTCCACTTTTTTTTCAGTTGCTTCCATGGACATTAATACTGCTTGTTATACCCACAGAGAAAAACACTTGTTTTTAAATCTGATCTATTCTATTTTTAACATCTCATGCGCCCTTCGACAGAAGTGACATTATTTTTTTTCATTCACCCAATAGATGAGACCTCTCATGCGTAATTACAACAACATAATACGCATTAAGTTTGATTTCAAATAATTGCGTGCTATTCTAGCGTTGCATAAAATTTGTACTTGTAGCAAAAATATCCGCTCGAAGACGACTTTTTTTTTAAACGACCATTCTTTTACAACCTGTGACGTGCAGCCAGCCTAAAAGCTGCCTCCAATAAAATTGTAAATTTAATTCACGCTGCATGACCAGATCCGCGGGCTGAGACGCGCGCAGCAATTTTCATAAATATTCCCCATCTCCAGACGACTACCTTATAATTATAAAGTCGCTGCGACGCCACTGGTGGAGCCATTAAACAGTAATAGTGGCGAATCCCACTCTCTTTTCCAACAGATATTTTGCCAAAAAGCAGAGCAACCTGATTGAATTTTATAACAAGCTGACCTCGGGGGCAAAGCTAGCAATTTGCCAAAATTACCCCAGATTCGGGCTGTTATAATTTCTGGCGTCTAATCTAAAATTACTGTAGGAAATTGTCAAACATTCTTTCTCTCTAGATGCATCCACGACCTTTTTCCTGAAATGCGGAGCGATGCGCTTCTTGTCACTTAAACTCGGAGGTGCTCCGCCGATAAATAAAAAATAAAACTTGTCACAGATAAAAAGTAAAAAGGTTTTACGGAGAACGAATTCAACTTCTAGAAAAATCAAAATACCAATGGCTACCTGAAGGTTGCCTGTTGCCAAGTGTTTTAGTCTTTTCTTTATAATTGATATTTGTAAATAAGTAATTATCCACCAGTTCTAGGAATAGTCTTTATTTTAAAACTTCATTTCATTATGTAATAATCATTCAAACTTTCTTATCTACTGAAAGTTTTTGTAAAATATCACGATAATAAATATGGTGGCATTTTCAGCCCTTAATTAAAATGCGCCACAAGTCATGAAGGGTTTATTATTTCTTGTAATTTATGTTTAATTCACGCGCGATACGAAAAGTTGAAGACCTTGAATTAAAAGTGTAAAAAAAGCTGTGGTCATTATCAAAGATTTCTCTGCATTCATTATCGACCGGATCCATCAACCAGTCTCTGTTTAGATTACATCATACAAGATTTACACTTCACTGCGCTAAAAAGACAATAATAAGCCGCAAACCGCGACACATCTTCACTTTATTTTGTTAAATAATCAAGTGGCTTCTCTGATTACGTGTTGCAGTCAACACGTTTGCAAATAAAATGCAATTGCATGTGCTAATAAAGGAAACCGCTTGAGGGATTTTTTTCATCTTTGAAAAGAATTTGGTTGGCGTTTTAAAATTGAAATTTACAGCTAAAAAAAATTTAAATTTTATCATCTCTTGCGTCTGCCATTTGCAAATATCCAGATTGCGAATTGATTGGTCTTGATTTATTTTTGCAAGAGAGGTTTATCGATATCGCAAATTATGCAGCAAAAATGTCAGTTAGAACTGGATTAAGGAAAGAATCGAAGGGAAATCGCGCGCAACCAAGGCTGGCGCGGGTCAACTGCGCCTCAAATTTTGGTCCGTCAACGAACTCACCAATGGAAAGCGCGATCATTGGCTTATCCGGGTTGGGGTTGAGGTTGAGGTTTTCGACGATGGCCCTGATGGGGTTGTGCGTGTCGCGGGCGATGCGCGACGCCGGCACATTCCACCCTTCCTGCTGGTGGCTCTTCATGGTGCTGCTTCTGTGAGAGAGTGATCGGTCCGTGTGGCGCCTGCGACTCTTGCAACCAGACTGACGAGAGTGTCCTGCCTTAAGCCGACCAAGAACCTCTCATTGGTCACACTGGCGACACACCTATTGGAAAACTCGTTCCTCGGCCTAATCACTCTCTGCCGTAGCCACGTGTAGTTTTGACCATCTTTGTGTTTTTTCAAATCCAAAAGTAGAAAACTTGCTCCTGACCTTTTTCAACGATCATTCAAATGCTTTTTTTCCCGTAAACTTTTTGAAACTCACTTAGTTTTCTTTTAAGAAAAATTAACGCCTGGACTTTCACTTTGATTTTTTCCTCAAAAACTTGTAATAATTTATCAGAAATGTGGCAAATCACCTGTTATTTAAAATTGAAATGCAATGTAGAGCAAGCGAGTCATTTTACTGTCACTTAAATTAGCCAAAGTTGATGTCTGTGAAATCACTGCTCCGTACATAATTGCGATTTCAATCTTAAGGAAAGCCTGTAATATTGTGGTACCGGTTGTCCCGGTAAGCAGCCCGAGGGCTTGATGGCTGCGCCGTAAAAGATCAACTTCTCTCTCTTGTCGGTGGCTGTGACCAGAGCAGTCGCGGCGCCGCGCGATGCTATTTTTCGTAATTCGTGTCAATTTTTGCTCGCGAACCGGCTTCAGGCGGGCCAATTAACCAGGGGGCCCGTCTAAAATTGCAGCAATTAACTGGCAGAAATTGGCGGCCGCGGCAAAAAACGTCGATATTAAGACGCACAAATATGACGGCAACCGTCACTCAACTGCGCACATCTGTATGAAAAAAACTAACAGGGTGAGAAAAGATGTTTGACATATTACCCTTGAAACATATAATATAATAAATAAATGTGCTTGCGGCGCCAAGAAACTGACGCAACGATATTGTCATTGATAAGTAAACTCGCCAGAGCAGAGGACTGGAAAAGACTACGCCATTTGTTTCTTGTACAGTATATTAGCCACCGCATATCCTGAATGACAAAAAAAAAATCAGTTTTCTTCTCTCTTTTTAATTATCTCTGCACATGTTTCCGAGAAACACTCGTGTCAAAATCCGAGCAAACAAAATTATCTTAATTCAAAGTGACGAATGCTAACAAATTGAATACACTTTATATACTTTTGCAAGTGTGAATTTAATTTTTTTTTTTTTTTAAAGTAAAAATTCTGCATCCTTGAAACCTTTTGTTTTGCACAGGTGTTGCTGTTTCTATTTTTGTTTTCCCCTCAGCTTTACTTGCTTTGTGAAGAGCAAGTATGAAAACATGCATAATAAAATAAAATTCTCAAACATGGTTATTATTTACTGCTTATATACGAGAGGATGTGTCAATAAATAAAACCATTTTATGAAATACAGTTCTTTCCATAAATATAAGTTTATAATGAACATATTAATTTTATGTCATTTAAGCAGTAATACTAAAATGAAACTCATTTCTCACAAAAAAAAAAAAAAAAAAAATCAAATTCTTTTTTGAAATTTTTTAAATACTTTTCAGTGCCAATTTATATTTCTCTCAATTTAAATTTCAATTTCAAGTTCTGTAAAAAAGGAAATTCCCAATTACTTTCCTTTTTTTAGTAATATGTTCTCGATATCTTACCTTTGATTAAAACTGATTATGCGCGGGGCATGTTCATCGCTGCGGAGTACCCTGACGGCGCCGACGGCTGCTCCAGGCAGATTCCGTCGCTCTTGCAAAAGTCCACTTCGCCCCCAAACCCGCCCATGCATTGCGATATGCAGTAGTATTTTTTCAACGATTTCAACTTTTCTTGTTGCTCTGAAACCAGAATTCTCGCTCTCGCGCTTTGCATAATTACTTTGATCGAACCTGGTTTCAATCCCATCTGGTCCATGCAGGCTCCGTCTGCACTTTGCGCTCTCACCTGATCAAATACGCATTATATTCAAACGAGATTTGTTCATCAAAGAGTTTAATTTAATTCTCACCTTGTGTGGTGCGCTGTCGAGTGTCAAATAAAGCATTAGGAGGAACGAAATTGCAGCTAATTGCATGGCTGCTTCAAAAAACAAAGTAGGCTTTGACGTGGAGCATTGGGGAAAACTGCTGGCGCTTTTCCGTGTTGCTCGCTTGGTTTGGACAAATGCGATTCTCCCTAACTTCCTGCGCGGCCTATATATTTATGACTTTCAAAGAGTTGAGGGGAAATTTAACAAATCCTTTGTTCTTAAGTATTTATACTTCTATTTAACAATATCGAAATCCAGAGCGATGAGGTAAATAAGAAAATATAATATTTTGCACCTTTAAAAAAATTTACAATTTGGTTTTTTTTATTCTAATCTTATTTGATAATTTTTTTCTTTGAAATTGATACATAATAAATTTATTGTAGAAAAAAAATTTATTAATTTAATGGAAAGAATCCCTGTGCTTTTCTGCACCTTGCTTGCACGTCACTCTGATTTCAATATCCGCCTAAAAATGGGCGAGTAGGAATATATGTGCCGGATATGCAGAGGACGCGTGCCTGAATAGCTACAGAACGTGAGAGCAGCCATGCATTTTGCAGTTGAGCGACTCAAAATTTATCCAATGGAGAACTTCTTTCATTTTGCAGTACTTCTTCTAGCTACTTTTACTAAAGTAAGCCATTTTTTTCCTAAAATGAAATCCTGCATTGTTGGTAAATTTTCAAATATTTCAGTTTTCCAAAGCTGCTGATCGTAAGTTATTAAATATTGTTACATTGACATGATAAATATTACTTTTTTAATGCAAGTGGCAACTTGTGCAAACAAAATTGACTGCGACGTTGTTCGCCTGCAGCAGTACTTTTGCATAGCGCGGTGCATCAGTTTCGTGCGGGACGAGGCGCCCTCGGTTTTGACCAACAACGGCACCTGTCCCGCGGTAAATTGGTGGTGGCGAGCGACAACCACCACCACTGCCGCACCAATGACCACCACGACCGTAGCTTCCGGTCCTTGCAGTAGTCTGAAGGTTTTCGTTTTATATATAAAAAAAACACCTTCATAAAACTTACACGTATTTTCTGAAGGGTTTCGAGAAATGCTGCAAAACAAAGCCGTACGATGATTTATTTCCCGACGACGACTCTGACTGCGCCAGTGACGAAAATTTTCCTCGCGATGAATTTCGTTCTCTCAGAAAAGATCCCCAACTTTTTTCGTATCTTACAGCATCTGGAGATTTGAATCGTAATATTTGAAATTATAATTATTTTTGTTTTTATCATGTACAAACAGTGGCCAATGTTCCTGACAGCTCATACGTGAGAAATTTTTTTTCAACATTTGTTAAAAATACTTTGACATTATTTGGTCTAGTACTTTTACGACTGCATTTTTAAAGCACGCAAACTGGTAACAAATATATCTTATTTTGAGGATACCACGTTAAAATTATTGATGAATTTAATCTGGTGTAAAAAATAAAATGATAGATTGAAGAAGGTGAAATGGCAAACAAAAAAATAACCAGCTATTTGAAGAAAAATGCCGACGACTCTGTTGCCGATATCATCGATGAACAAGTTGCTGAGTGTGTCAAGCTTACCAAAAGTATTTATTCAAATTTTTGCCCACCCTTAAGTAAAAGTTTGATTTCAAGAAATTCCAAAATATGATGAAAAAATCAAAATATTTGGTAATACCATTTTAATTTGAGTTGTGTTAATGTATTTTTTGTAATATTAAAAATAAAATTACAGCAAATAGTAGCAGCACTGTAAGAGCATACCAATCACCTTATGTCTTTAATCTGTGCATACGGATGGCTGTTTTTTCTGTGAGCAGATTATTTTCAGGTCAATTTAATCACTAATTATGTTTCAAAATTTTAGCAATGCTCACTGTCTACTAAAAGTATGAGAATTAAGATTTTTTTATAATTAATCACTAGAATAAAATAATTTTTAGACGAAGATTGTCGGGACATCAGAGAAAACATGAAGAAATGCAATATTAAGTTACCAAAAACCTAATTTTTTATTGATTTTCTTTTTCAATCATGAAATGCAGATTTAAGCAAATATTTATATCTTTCATTTAAATAAATCAATCTAGAATTTTAAAATGCCCATTTCACTTTTTATTTGAGCCTTGGAAGACTTGTTCAGTCTGATCAAAATATATATTTTTTAATTATTTTTGATCAAGGCACTGGTTTCCAACAGTGCCAAGGAAAGTGCTTGGTCGTACAGCCAGCGACACAGTGCTACCTCCATGGCACCTAAAATTAAAACAAAAATCATTTAGAATTTTAAACCTGTCAATTGTTTGGTCAGACCTTATGCTGGCGGCATCTTCATTGCTTTTCGCTGGGCACTGCAGCCCCCTTCTCTGCATTTCCCTTTGGATCTGCGCTCTGAAAAGTTCAATTCCAACTGGCACATGTTTGTATGTAGAGCTGTAGCCAGAGACTGTTGCCCTTCTCTGAATTTTGTTCCTGGGAAGCATCAGGCTCAGAACAGACCCGGCATGGATGTTCGAGCTTCGGCCTGGCTGGGCTCTGATGTACGGCGCCTCGTTCTCACTTTCGGAGCTGCTGCTCTCAAGAAACCGGGTATCTTCAGTTTTTTCACTGAAATTTTAATTATAAAAAAAAAAATAAAAAAAAAATCATTAAGTTAAATTACCTCCTCAATCTGGGGAGTTCAAAATGAGGAATGGCAAGGAATTCAGGTCTTGGTGATGGCAAACTGCTGTCCTGCCACTGAGCCAGAGCCGCAGCCCTATTTTTGCTGGGCAGACGATAGGGTTTTATGTAGACCTGCCCATAGATTGTTGAGTGCTGAGGGCGTTTCTTCAGGGTTAGAAAGATTTGAGCTTTGGATTCTTGTTTAAACAGGAGTAGCAGGGACTTCAAACGCCAACCAACCTACAAATTATTAAAATGCATTGCATGAATATTTTGAAATTCAGAAAACATACCACAGTCTGGTAATTGATTTGGACAACTTCGTCGCCGAGTTCGATCCTGCCACTCTGATGGTGCGGAGTGCTTTGAGGGTTGACCTCAACCACCTGGTGAGCACCATGCCACGATCTGGCAAGGGTGAAACCCTTTGATCAAGTAACAGTTATTCTCTATTGTAAATTAATTAAATAATTCTGTATACCAAGTCGTCGCCTTGTCTGCTCCTGATGGTGGCAATGTCCAAACTGGCCGGTTGCAGTACCATGGGGTCCTTTGAGTTTTCGATAATTTCGTTGGCGAGCTTGGTCAATTGTGCACACTTTTGCATGATTTCCTCCACAGGGTTTTCTGCAAATCTGTCTCTCTGAGTGCACGTAGCGATGCTGAGGCCAAGAGAGAGAATGATGGCCCTGATCTCCTGGTACTTCTCGTTGCTCGCAAAGGGCTGTCGGTCGATCCACAGCACCAGAGCCTTGATGGTGGCCGTCACTCCTGTCACGTCGGCCATGATTTGCGTCCGGACCCTTTGAGAACCGCGAGGGTTTTCCTTCAGGTCCGCTTTTATTGTCTGTTCAAGACTGTGTGCAGAACAGGACAGTCGAACTGCCAGCAGTTGCATGTTTTCTCGGTCCAAGTCATAGTGCTAAAAATTAAAAATATAATTACTAGAAAAAATTATCTAGAAATTTAGCTTATAACTTAAAACTTGAGTTTTTTTCCAAACTTACAAAATTCCTGAGCAAAGAGATGGCTTCAAGAATTATTTCCTGGTGCCCAACTTTGTTGATTCCTAAATTTTCCAAATCCGACGCGCAGATATCTAAAAGTTTTTGGCCTCCAACATTATTGTTGAGAAAATTGTGCGAATAACTAAGTATCACAGTATCAAGACCTGGAAGTAATACAAAATAAATATATAGAAATGTTTATGTGTTAAATGAGATAAATTAAACAAAATCACAGCTTTTTATACCTTTGAGCCATTCAGTTACTTGATGTGGTGTCCATTCGGGGACACTCACATAGGCCATTGTACAGATTTATGAGCAATAGTAGCGTTTAATAGATTATAAAAAATTCATTTCTTCAAATCCAATTGGAAAAGCAGAAATTGATCCAGTCAAAAAATTACGTCGGCATTGCGGGAGGCTTTTGACAGCTCGTACTGTTTACCTTCTTGGTTTCAAAAATAGACTCCAGGTGGCGTTTCTCCTTACAAACAAATTTTACCTCCTTTCAGCGCGAAAGTGTCCATCACTATTGAATTTGCCACCAAGAAAATTGTTTTCCTTTTTCCCTCAAAATAGGATTCTTGTTTAAAACAGAGTTCTTTTTTCATTGTTCGATGGCAATTTAATTGGCAAATTATTATTTCCAGCAGCAAAAGTCAACAACTTGAAATACAATTTTATACAATACACTTTGTTACACAGTATAACCCTAATTACAGTAGTAAGCTCGGACATATAGTTACAAATTTGGCATCGATCGGGTTATCACGTGACAACCCCTGGGGGTAGCAAACTAGCTGGAGTGCCTATGAACTCCGCCGGCCACTCGGAGCCGTGGAAACTCTGCGAAATGATCGACGGCGCCGGATTTCGCAACACCGACCCTGCGTGCGAAATAACATACGCGTAGCCTTCGTTGCTACTGTAGTCATCTCGTCGCAAAGTTGATCTAATTTTTCTCGTGTACCTGCAAATGAAAAAAACCAACTCAAACACTCGATTCTGAATTAAAAGTAGCATAATTTGAATAAAATACCTGCTGTGTGAGGCGCAGATGAAAATCATTGACACGAAACCAAAGAAGCCGACGAGCGCTGCTATCGCCAAAACCCAGATTTGCACGGTTGTGGCTTTTACTTTCTGAGCGACTGGAGAGCACCGCTATGATATTTAAAATATTAAAATATTTTAGGATTAAAAAAAGATAAGATTAATTATACCTCCACGGATTGTACACCATATCGATCGAACACTTTCGACAACATGGGATTGCTTTCAAAAGTGAGCATTTTTTGCATTGACGTCAGATTGAAAGAATTTTCTCCCAATAATTGGAAACAGGATCTGCAGAAGAGATAAAATTTAAGAAAATAAAACAAGGTTTAAATTTAATACTTACGTTGTTGTGCTAAAATCAATGCTGCCGCCCTTCTTAATTAAGTACTGCGTATCATAAATGTTAAGTTTGGCTGCGTCTGGCAGCGAGTGTTCCAAATCTGAGGCGAACTGAGGTAGTGACCTCCTGACCTCGGCCAATGGCTTTGCAAAAACGAACTTCAAAAGTTCTGTGTCCCTCCAAACGAATACCTGCACAAATGTTTAAAATCAATTACTTTTTATTTTATGCGAGACTCACCCTGATTGTGGTGTTGGCGCTGCCCTCCTTTTCCTCACTGTTGAAGGCAGTTATGTACAGAGTGAAAATTCCATCTGCGAAAGGCACCATTGAGGTCGCGGTGTGCAGCTCGCCGGTCCTTTCATTGAGACGGAAAATTGGAGTGTCCTCGCTGACGCTCATTTCTGCCAAACCTGGACGGTCGAATTCAGCCTTGAGCAGTTTGTAGTGCATTTCAGGAGCATTGGCGTCGTCGTCAGTTGCTTCAATGGTCGCCAATGGAGTGTCGACTGGCACGTAAATTCTTACTCCTGAAAAAAAATTGCAAATTTTTATTATTTAAAAAAAAAATCAGGTAAATACATACCAACAGTTAGATTTGCCTTTTTAAATACTGGCACGTTATCATCAACGTCTTCAACTGAAATTTTGACTTGAATTTCCGACATGTCCTAATAATTCAAAATTTTATTAGAATCAAAATAAAACGCTAGTTTACAGTAAATTTAATAAAACAATTAATATTTTATGGAAAAGTTTAAAAAAATTTCTAGAATGATTATTAACCTGTGGGTTAAATTCCTTCCTAACTGCAGGTGGTCTGGTTCTAGCAGGGAAGCACTTGATGGTGATCAAATGGTCCTCTTTAGTTTCCCTATCCACGCGCTTATTCAAGGTGATCAAACCTTTATTGTCTTTTGTCCTCGTAATGTTGAAAATTCTCTCGTCATTACCGACTAAAATTTTGATACGGAATTAAACTATAAATATTGAATTAATTTGAATCGACTCACAAATGATTGAATAGTCAATGTCGGCATTTTCATTCAAGTCGTTGTCAACCGCAGCTACCGTTCCAATTTCAACTCCGGGCGCGGCGTCTTCTCTGATGCGGAACTCAATTTCGTCGGCATCCTAAAATAATTTTCAATAAAAATCAATAAAAAAAATTTAAATAAAGCCAGTTTTTACGATTGAGCGCTGGAAGACAGGTTTGTGGTCGTCGACGTCAGTAACCTCGATTCGCAAAATACTTGACGCTTTTTTCGGTGGCGAGCCGTCGTCCTGCACTTCCACGATTAAGGTGTATTCCGACTGCCTCTCACGGTCTAAAGGCTGTCTCGTTGTAATTAGTCCAGTTTCACGATCTGTATAAATTTAATACATTATGTTGCAGGAATAAATATTTAAAGAAATTCACCAATTCTAAAAGCCAGGGTGTCTTTTGAAAATTTCTCATTGTCCAGAAGTTTGTAACTAATCATTCCGTTCGCTGTGTTAGGGTCATCAGGATCGGTTGCTACAACTTGGAAAACTGGTGATCCAATTGTTGAGTTCTAAAAATATAATTAATTTAATCAACTCAATCATGTGAATAAAAATTTCCTACTTCTGCGGCAAATGCTGTTTCGTTTGGCATTGGTCTTAAAAATATCGGAATTCCGTCATTTTGTCCAACATCACTTATATAAAGATACAAGGGCGCGTCGCCGTGCAGGGAGGGTTGGCCCAGGTCAATAGCGCGCACCTGGATGGTGTAAGGGTCCTGTCGACCTTTTCCGGTAAGTAAGGATTTTGTTCTTATTTCTCCAGTTGTTGTGTTTATAGAAAGAAGGCCTGCATAATTTTTGTTATAAAAATTACTGCAAATAGGAAAAATAAGTACCTTGAGCATCCCCAAGATCGGCAAACTCATATTCCACCTGCCCACTCAGAGATTCGTCAGCATCTCTGGCATGCACTTTAATCACGCTCCACGTAATGTTGACGTTTTCAGGAATCACAGCCGTGTATGAAGATTTTTCAAATTTGGGAGGGTTGTCGTTCACGTCCAAAACTTCAATTTCAATCTTAAGCAGCAAAATTAAAATTTTAAAATTTAAAAAGAAATTAAATTACATGCGCCGTCGATTTTCTTTGTTCGGGGCCTCCGTTCGGCGTGTCCACGGCCACCGCGTAAAAGCTGAGGATTGGTTGCGTTTCCCTGTCCAGAGCAGCGCCTTTCGCGATGCTTACAATGCCCGTGATTGGATCAATTGTGAAGAGCTGAGAGCCTGATCCGGTCAAGGAATAGCGCACCTGTCCGTGGCCGGAGGGACTGCTTGGGTCGTCATTGTCGGTCGCGTTGACTGTTAGCACCGACGCGGGGTGTTTTGCATTTTCAGCAATCCTGCTTTTGTACGTCTACAAAGAAATCATAAAGTATAAGAAGATTGATAATTTTAATAATTTTTTTAACGAACTCTTTGAGTAAAACTAGGAGTGTAGTGGTTAATGTCGTCCAGTTCAATTATAACAGTGGCGTCGCTGAATCGGTCACTGTCTCCATCAGCCTCTGACCGCACAGTTGCTTTGAAAGTCTGAATTTTTTTTTTTTATTAAGACAATCAAATAGTGATAAATCATAGTAATCATACCTTATTATTTAAGTCGTACGGCAGGTCTCTGTTCAAAAGCAGACGGTTGTCAGGAGTAAGAGAAACGATATCATCTTCATTTGTCAAAAGTTGAATTTTTGAAATAGGAAAACCGCCCCTCAAAGGATCTGTGGCCGAGAGTGAAAGGATTTGGGTACCCAAACTCCTCTGATCGCCGAGTTTTATTTTAAAAACAGGGTTGCTTGGGCTCCAAGGCTCGTTAAACACCGGGTTTTTGTTGTTGTACGCCTCCACAAAGAACGTAACTTCGCCTAATTAAATTACGAATAAAACATTTTTACAGATATACTCAAAATATTTAAAATCATTTCTTACATGTCGCGTTTTGCAATTCTATATTTTCTTCCGCATTTTCGTCTACAACCAGCACGTTAAAAGTGACAACTGCAGCAATTTCATGATCCAGTTTTCGTGCCAAAAAAATATCACCGGTCGTCGAGTTAATTTTAAAGAATTTATTTGAATTTGACTGAATTTCTACGCCCGTTTTGTCCTTGATGAACTCGGGATCAAGAAGGGAGTAGTTCAATTTCGCGTCCAAATCTGGGTCGGTCGCCGTCACCTGGAGCACCTTTTCGCCAACATCCAATCTCTCCGAAATGTGCTTCTCGTAATAATCCTCGTCAAATTTCGGAGGCTCATTATTTATGTCAACGACGTGCACCATAATAGTAGCAGTGGCTGTCGCCCTAGTTTTTTAAAATATTAGAATAAAATAATTATTTTTCAAATAAATTGCCATAAACTCACCTGTAAGGTTTGCCGTCGTCAATAGCAGCGACCAAAATTTTGAAATCCTCTCGTTCAGCAATTCCCCCTGGCGCCACCGAGATGATCCCTGAGAACTCGTCAATTAAGAAATTATCCCTCGCGCCGGCGACGATTTTGTAGGTCAGCTCAGAATCTTGACCGTCAGGGTCGTGGGCGCTGATGTTTATCACAGACTTTCCAGGCTCAATGTTTTCAAACACTTTGGTTTCAAAAACTGGGCCGCCCTTAAAAACAGGCTGCTGGTTTCCAGGCACGCCGACTCTGATGACGACCGAAGCCTCAGAGTGCAGCGACTCTGGTTGGCCGTGGTCACTGGCCTTGATTTTCAACTCGTACTGTCCAAATAGGGTGTCGCCGGCTGCAGCAGGCTTGAGCAGTTTCAGCTCACCAGTGTCAGGGTCAACAAGGAAGGTTCCTTCAGGGGCGTTTGACGCCGAAATCGAATAAGTTACAGCACCGTTTCCTTGCGAAGGGCCATCAATATCAACCGCCTGCAAAAAAATTCATAAATTAATTTTTGATTAAAAAAATTCCTTTTTATTTACCCTGACAAACAATTGTGGGTTGAATCTAGTTTCCCCTTCCAAAAAGGTGCGGCGGTACTCCGATTGCTGGAATTTTGGCGCGTTGTCGTTGATGTCCTCGATTTCGATCTGAATACTGGTGGTGCTGAATTTTCCACCACCGTCCTTAGCAGTCAGAGTCAAAGAGTAAGATTTCTGCGTTTCGTAATCAACACATCCGTTGAGAGGGCAATTTTTCGCCAGATAAATTCCACCCTTGATGAAGTCCGTGCTAAAGCGATCAGCACCAAAACCTTGCAGTGAGTAGTGGATTTTTCCAAAGTCGCCGCTGTCCGGATCAGTGGCTTTGATATCCTCAAGGAGGAAGCCCGGTTTCAGATTTTCAGGAATGGTTAGTTTGTAGGAAGGTTTGTAAAATGCAGGCGCATTGTCGTTAGCGTCGAACAACTCGATTTTGATCTGAGACTTGGCGGCGACCATTTCTTGACCATCTTTGGTCACGATGGCCAGAACCTCAAATTCCAAAGTGTGATCTTCGTTGATTGGCTCGTCGTAGTCAAAGGCCAAAGGGTCCTCAACCCTGATGTTGATGGGGGTGCGCCCTGCACCAGACGAAGGGTGCAAGGAAAGGACGTTGTCTAAATCACTGCTCGTTGTTGAGCGAATGAAGATTTTGTAAAATGCATTATCGCCAAAATCATCGTCACTCACTACTAGGTTAAGTCCAGGCAAAGGTGAGCCTTTTCCTATTTTAAAACAAAATTATTTGAATATATTTAGTCAAATTAATTTGAATTAATTATATAATTTACTTATGTCCTCAGAGACTTGAATGACCGAGATGTCTTTATTGAATTTTGGTAAATGGTCATCAACGTCTGTCACAACAATCATCACTTGCGTACTTGTGGAATCACCAATTAAATCAAAGTTGCCCACTTCGCTCGCCTAAAATTTTAAAATATAATATTTGCATAAAATAATTTTTCACTTCCAAAAACTAATACTTACGGTAACATTAAAAGTGTAGATTCCACCATTTTCCAAAACGGCCGGATTTTCCCGGTCCAATGGTGAATCTGTGGTGACTAAAGTGGCCACCGTGTCCGTTCCTCCATGCGTCTCTTCAGTCACCAACTCAAAATGGTTTCCGTAGTCGCCCTCGATTTTCAACACAATTTTTCGCGGGTGTCCAGCGTCACCGTCTTTGGCACGAATTTGCAAAATTGAAACACCCTGTGCAGTGCCTTCGGCAATCGAAGAGGAGTATGGGGCGTTGAGGAAGACGGGCGGCTGGTCCTGAACGTCCTCTACTTGGACGGTCACCGTTGCCGTCGCCCTGAGTTTGCTTCTTTGGTCAAAAGGGTTGTCAGTGGCGGTCAGGAACAAACTGTAGGACGAGCGGCGCTCAAAATCTAGCGGCTCATTTAGCACCAATTGGCACGTGTAGGTGCGGGCTGGAATAGAAACGAAGAACAGTATTATAAATTATTCAGAACTACAAAAGAAAATTAAAATATTATATTATATTAAATGCCAAAAATTTAAAAGTTAAAATTAATAAAATTCACATACAAATAACGGCATATTGCATGAGATGTATATTTTATATTTCTTGAATTCCCCAGAGAATTAAATTAAAAAAAAATGTTGAATTCTTTACCTTGGTTAGTTCCCGGATATCTCGTCGTTTCGACCACTTTGATGCCAAAAGTGTTGCATGCGCCTCTCGGCGTTGACTTGATGGGGTCACACGTAACGGTGACCTCACCGTTTCCTCCACTGTCGGCGTCCATAATGATGATTTTTTCGTAAACCACGTTTCCAGTCCGTGTATTTTCAGGTATGCTCAGAGAATAAGGTTTGTTTTCAAATTGAGGTGCGTTGTCGTTTCTGTCAATCACAGTGATCTCTCTTCGCAAAGACACCGTGTTTGGCTCATTACCGCGTGGGGCAGTATCTAAATTTGAAAAATTTAAAAATACTTTTAGTGCACAATGAGAAAGAATAAATTATTAATTAATGTATAAACTTGCTAAAAAGTGAATTTAACTTTCAGTTGTAAAATTTTTCACGCGCTCGCTGTTCAATGAGTGGAAAAATTCCTAAAAATCGCGTGCATGATTATGAATGAATCAGAAAGTAAATGTGTTTTGGCGAAAAATTAATGACCTGTGATGCTGATGATCACTTCGATGAGATCCTGCTTCTCTCGGTCAAGCGGCCGTACCAGAGTCACGACGCCGGTATTACGGTTCACTTCAAAAGTCTGGCCGCTTATGCTATAGTGGACCTCACCTCCGTCAGGATCCTCGCCTTTTAAGGTGTAAATAGACGTGCCTACCGTGGCATCTTCAGGTACAGAAATTCGAAGCATGTCGCCTCCAGGCAAAAATCGCGGAGGTTTATTTTGCTGACCGCTCGCGCTGGACACTGCGAGTGCGGTGACAAGTAGGAAAACAGGAAGGGGGTGCATATTGCAGTCTGGAAAAATTAATTTAAAAATTCAATCACATGAAATTGCACAAAAATCAATAGTAAAATGTGATTTTTAATTTAAAGGTTTTATTAAGAAATTCATAATTATTGATGGAGCAAGTAATGATGCAAATTGTTCCCATGGACTGAGATTGCGCGAATTCGTTCAACATTTCACTAATTAAATCAGACTGATCTGTTTTCAATGACATTACCAAGCGCCGTGAAAGTCCTGTCACGATGCTTTTATTTTTCACGACCACGAGAGTAATACCTGCAACCTTTTGTAACGTGATCTCTCTTTCCATTTTCACTTGTCGGACAAGTTAAATTTTCTAACGAAATTTTTTTTTAAAAATAATCAAGCGAATAAAATGCTTTAATTTTCGTAGCAGATAAGAGCACTATCGTGAGAAGACGAGCGCCGAAAATATTTTCTCATGGGAACAGTTTTCAGAAGGAGGCTGAGAATTCCTTGCCAGGACCAAAGAGCCAGTTCATTATGATGCGGGCTTGTGTTTTATCGAGTTTCGATTAAGCGCCGGGAACAGTTTTAATTACGTTTCATACTCTCTCAGGGTCAATTTTTCAGAGATCTCTTTTAAGTCAAGGATTTTTTCGAGAAAGCCATGAATAAATAATTTAATTAATAAATATTAAATAATAAATAAATAAAAGGTACCTGATTTAAAGAAAAAAAATTATTTAGACCTTTTGAAGATTTTCATTGTTTTGTTTGATTATTTAAAAAAAAAAAACAATCCCTACTATACCTGTGATTTTGTGCGGGTGGCGAGGGTGTGCCGAAAGCAAAGGAGAACCACCTGTAATCACCCTCTCCTACCACATCATTGGGGATGGGGCTACGGCCGAAAACAAACAAATTCACTTCGCACTTGTACGTCCGCACAACACGTCAGGAAAATCATAAATGCACAGGAACGATGAGCACTTATTCGTAATTATTTCTCTCCATTCTTTTCTTGCGGGCGCTGCTTTGTTGAAAGCTCTATCTAAATGAGAAAAAAGAACGGTGTTTCTTTGACAAAGGATAGAACCAGCATGATGCTGCGACGACCTTTTTCCCGTAAACTGGCAACACTGCCATAAAGCGGCAACTAACCTGACCTGAAAGCTGGAGAAGGTACGCAGGTAGGTGGGCGAGCAATGTGGAAGGGATTTATACACGTACACATATTAACTCGTAGAGTTCACGAAAAATTCGCCTTGAGATATATTGTGCCGCGTGCTTAGCACAATTAAGTATGCGGCTTAGCATTTGATATTTCAATTTCTCAAAGGGGGGAAATGCTCTGCTCTTGCAAGATGCGCTCAGCCATGCTGCGAATCACGTTGCAAAATTTTGCCATCGCAAACTTTTGAACTTAAAGAAAAATTATTTTCTCTCATGAAAAACAATTATTTTTAATATACTTTTATACTAAGAAATTAATTATGTAGTTAAAATTTCATTTTTTTTTTTAAATAAGAATTTTTTTTCGATTTTCTCTTCAAAATTAATTATTTTATGATCTTTTAAAGAAAGATGAGGTTTTCAAAATTTAAAATTAAAAAATGATTTATTTTGATTTCGTTTGGTCATCACTGGAGAATCTCAAATCGTGCTTGCTTGTGTGAATACATTCTGTGCAGACTAATAATCACTTCTCAAGTTCGGTGCCAAGACCATCATTGCGAAATACGTCAAATTCTTTTCTCTGTTGAAGTGCCCCATGAACGTCAGTCAAAGTTATGGAATTGCTGAGAACCGAATAATTTGATAATGCCTTTTATTTAAATTGGACACATACCTGTCACCCCTTTTGCTCGATTCCAAATACGACCGCCTCAACAGTTCTTCCATCAGTTGTAAAACGCCCTGTTAATTATTTCCATTTATTAACTTTTCATTTTAAGTTTTTCTTTGACTTGCCTGATACAAAACTAGCTCAGCTTCACCATCGTTTTTATTAGTGTCTTCATCAACGAAGCTAATTCCAATTTTCTTTGCCACTGACTGAATAAAATTTCCTTCTGGACATTGCTCTGTTACCAACTGGCTTGCCCCTTTATTTAAATTTCCTAAGGCAATGTTGTATTAATATTGAAAGCCTTTAAAAAATTTAATTGTCAATTAACCTGTTTTTGATTTGGAGGGGCTTATGCTTTCAATGTCAATAACTTCTTCTTGGTCACGCTCTTTAGGATTGTTACTGTTGGAAGTGAGCCAATTGATGACATCTGAATCCTCAGAATAGCGATTTGTATAAACTTTTGAAGGCACTGATTTGTCGATTGCATTTCTACTACAGTTAGTCTTTGGAGTGAAGCCATATGCTCGTGAGAGCTGCACAACCTTCCATGCATTTTTTGATTCAAATCCATGCTTCTCAAGGCACCGGCAAATTTCTTTTGCTCTCAATAGCTTTAAAAATTCAAATTAGTTTGATTATAAATTTTAGGGACATAAAAATTACCTCATGTGCTCTTTGTTTTCCTAAAGCCATAGCCAAAAATGCTTTTTCGCTTGGAATGATGTAGGGATGCAATCGCACGTAGTCTTGATTGTTAAAATATTTTTCATCAATAAGAGGTAGATTTTTTAATAAAGAAAATGTTGTCACGTCAATGGACTCTGAAAACTTAACACTTAATCTCCTGAAAAAAAATAATAATAATTGTTAAACTAACATTTCTATTTTTTTTTTTTTTTTTTACTCACCGATACTGTTCCTCAAAATTTTTCTTATCTTCTGATACAAATTGGCTGGGCGCTGCCACCACAGTCCTCACTGTACCGCCTGGGGTGCAAATTTTGGGCAGCACAGCCTTGGCTTGATGATTTTGAACTTTGGCCACATTTTGGTGAATGGCTGGGGCAATCACAGGGATCAATTTTCCGTTGCCGTTCATCTTGAGAAAAATCACTCGTTTGGCGCCAGCCTCAGATTTCAGCACCACCGGTTTCATTAGAGACAATGTTCCCTTTGGCATGACAACGCCAGGTCTCGTTGTTGGTTGGCCGATTTTTCTCACCGATACGATTTTTTGCACGACCGTTCTGCTGTTTGCACTAGGAAGGGTAAATGTGCTTTTAGACAAACTTGGAATGATGACTTGTTGCGGGACACCATCCTTTCTCACAGCCTCCACCAATTTTAGCTTTGGTGGAGAAATGGGAGCAGCTGGTGGGCAAGACTCAGCAGTGACGGGATTTGATTCTACATTGACTGAGGCAATAGGATCTTCATGGACTGATTCAGGTTCGGACTTCACTGGAGAAGGTTTCTCCAGGGCTGGAAGTTGCTTTTCAGTCATTGGCACTCCTTCAACAAGCCAAACGTCTACCAGCGTTTCTCCTCCTAATTTTATATTTTATAAAAATTTAAATTTATAAAAAAAAATTACCTAAAGTTTGCAGTCCTGAGTATGTTTTGTCCAAGGCTAGCTGATGGATAACATCGATGGGTCTATTTTGGGGTCCAGAAAAATGTATTTGTACTCGCACAGGAAATTCGCCCCAGCCTCTTCTAGACAAATGGAATGGCGCTTCTCTAAAATTATATTTAAGCATATAATTTCTTAAAAACTAAAATTTTTTCCCTACTTTATTTCTATAACGTCGTGAGGCTTATAACTTGAGTGCAGAAAAAATCTGACTCTTTCGACAACATTTGAAACATCCGGCACATCAGGTGGCCCTCGGACGTAGATCATCCACTTGTGTGTCGAATCGTCATCCCTGAAGTCGGGTGGTATCCATTTGGAAACGTTGCCCACAACAATGCTTCTCTTGACTTTGCCCTGGAGTGACCTTCCACTTGAAGGAACCCTGTGCAGGCTGCCTGGCTTTTCTATCGGAGCTTTGTAGCAGGGTGTTTTTGAAAGTACAACCTCGGCTTTTGTTTTTTGTTCTCCAGAAGTGCTCTCTTTGGTCCTCAACGACTCGGGGACGTCTATGTCTATTAAGACTTCTTCAGTTTTCCTTGAGCCAAGTAACTTCTTGACGGCAGGATGAATCCTACTTTGGTCCTTGGCAGGCTGAAATTTTGAAGGTTATAATCTCCTTATTAATCTTAAATATTTTTTCTAGATAGTGCAGGTGTATTTCATACCTGCGCTTTGTAGTAAGAGGCTGTGATGGCGTAACGCAGAAGCCGCAAATTCTGCCTTGCTTTGAACAAACGATCCTGACACTCCATGACCTGTTCTTCCCTTTTGTCAATCTCAAGCTCAAATTGGTTTTGTATTACTTTTCTAATCCTTTCGCAATAATCTTGGCCATCTATTTAGAATGCAGAAAAGAGATTAAATATAAGTTAATTGTACATAACAGGCATAACGTTTAATACATAGCTTATATATTACTTACCATCGTTTCCCATTTTCTGTCTTTTGCTTTGATAGGAGTCTGGCTCGTGAATTTCATAGTCGGGATCTTGATCCTCCAAGTGCCTCTTTTGACTTTGCATTTTATTTTTATTTTGGGATGGTGTTACTGAAAGAATGGAAAGTAGGGCATAAATATCACGCGGGCAAGCACAGCATGTTATGTAAAAAGCATTTAATTAAGTCGAATTACGTAAAACAGAGATCATATGTACAGACACAGACTTGTTGAAAGCGGCTCGCAAGGCGGCTCGCATACATACACCCTATTTATCAACAGACGTTAATTTTATCGCGTTTCTTACCAATCTCGAGAGGAACGATTGAAAGGACAAAAGTCTTTCTATCCAGAGTCCTCGGATCAGAAATCACCTAAAACTGTTGCTTTTCAATGAGTGCAAATTGTAAACAAAACACGAAGCAGACAGCAGGCCGACCTCGCCGGTCTCAGATCTTCCGACCCCTGAAGTGGCTCTGAACAGAAGCCCCGCCCACTAACAAAGAGGGGAAACACTCAAAAGACATTCGCCCGCTCAAATGAGGAGTTGTGTAGTCTATATTTTATATTTCTTTACTCATTCTAGATCATTCTATTCTTTAATTTTCTTTGTTTGAATTTAAGGTAAAAATTTCAAAAATAATATATTTTAAAGAATTACAAAAAATTATTATTGCAAACAAATTTAAGGGAAAATAATTATGTAAAAATTTTTGTAATTTTCATAGACTCGAATAATAATAATTTTATTAATAATGGCAAATAAACAATAATAATTATTTTGAAGAGTTGCTTGGTGACCCAGAGGAGGCCGTTGTAGTGGTGGTGGTGTTGACAGGTGACGTTGCGCCTTGGGTTGTTTCGACCACGCCGGAGTCAAGTTGCTTGAGCAGCCTAAACAGGGCAGCCGCTTCTCGAATTCTTGAGAACTCAATGCAGAAAGCTTGAACTTCAATAAAGAGCTCCTGTACATTTATAATGCGATTCCTTATCAGCGACTGCAGAAACACGCAGACCAGCCGCACCAAACGATTCTGCATGTACCGGTCCTTTATGGTTTCGCATGTCGAAATGCAATTACTGATGTAAAGGTGGACAAATTCGGTCGGCAAATCCACCGTCGTAGTCAGTCTGGTGATTAATTTATAAGTGAAAAACGTGACAAACGCCTGAATAGAATAATATACCTGTTAACAACCTCCATCGAGTGCAATGACATTTCCATGTTGACTAAAACGCTGAAATATTCCGTTATTTGGCTGCTCTGCATTAGCCGCAGCAAAACCTCTATAGCAATAAGTGGATTGTTTTCCACCAGCAAAGGAAGCTAGAATTTCATTAAAAAAATTAAAACCAATGTTTTTTTTAATTGTTTAATTCTTACTTTGTTGGGTGTCAAACCAACATGGTAAACCAGACTCGGGTCCCGCTCAAGTTCGGCCAAAAATAGTTGCTGCTGCTGAAGGGTCAGGGCGCTTTTGAAGGCCCTGGCCATTAATCTTCTGGCTTCAGCATCGCTCGAAGTCGTCACACAAAGAGAAGAGTCGTAGGCCACTGTGTGCTCTGTAGGCTGAGACGGAAAGAGCCAGACAAGCTGCACAATTTTCGGAAATCAAAACTGATTTATGGAAAATATATTTAGTGTTAAATTACTTCACTATCGCATTTGTGCAGCGGAGGAAGTAGCCGAAGAAATTCTGGTTTATAACATTGCTCAACAGGAGCATTTGGGCCCGTCAAAAGTTGTTCCGCAACTTTCTTTACAGTAACGCCTTCTTCATTTTTGCTAGGTGATTATTTAAATAAATTTTAATAAATACTCTAAATGCAAGAACAAACAAACCTGGTGCTTCCTACACTTAAAATGACCGGAATTGCAGACCTACTGGAATGGGAAAGCTGGGACTGTCGCTCTGCTAGAGCTAATTGCACCCCAGAAAGGTCACCCATGTGATAGGAAGATTCGTCGCTGGCAGACACTTGCTCTGCTGTCTTTTTCAGCAGCTGGAATTGACGTTGTTTGGTTAAAAATTATTATGTCTCTAAAAATATTACATCTTTGTTTGGGCCAGTTAATAGTTGCGCTACAAAAGCCTTTTCGACGGGCGACAAAGTCGGCAGCTCTCCGGCTAGTCCTATTTCAGATCCTGGTTCGGGAGCAGTAGAATCCTGATTTGTTAAAAAAAAAGAAATTAGAAACGATTTTAAATTAATTGTATAATTATTGACTTACTAAAAGGTGTACAAACACAGCTGCGAAAGGATTCATCGATATTGATTCGCCTTTATAAAGAGTATGCAAAACCGAAATTGCAGCAATTCTTTGTGCATTTTTTAAGAGTAGGTCTGACTGTTGGAGCAGCAATACTATGGTACAGCCAACTGGAAAAAAAATACGTTTGAATACATAAAGGAGAAAAAAATTAAAAATTCTTGAGCAAATCATACCTTTAAAAAAGTCCTGCTTATTGAAACTTTGCAGCACCTGGTTGCTCAGTGTTTCCAGGGATTGACTTTCGCAATTCTGCTCGCTGAGAATCCTGTCAAGAAAGAAATTCAATTTAAATGGTTTGATCACTCCCTTTGTGCAGAAAAAGTTCTCACCCCAGCAACGTTGACAACTCCTTCACAGATATAGTCATTTTAAACTAGGCGTTATTGGCTTCTTTTGAGCTAAAAATGCAAACGTTTCGCCTTAAATTAAATTTTCGCAGATTTCAGCTGAGAATGTTTACATTTTTTTTCAGGCTCGGCGCCCTCGGCGGCACGTACTTTACGTTTTGCTCACCAGATCGCAGCACCCCTCTGCAAGCCGCGCGCGCACGTGTGTTTTGCTTTGCTACCGGTGCCCGAAGTTGTTTTTTTGATCTCTCATGCCCTGCGAATTTTTGCTAATTCGCATTCTTCTCGGCACCAAATCTACATAATTGCATAATCCCAAGAAACTGCAGTTATAGCACTTTAACTTATTTCCAAAGAATAAGCGATTCCGAGAATGTCCGGTCAAAGCAAACCACTTTCATGTGGCCTCGATTACTCGGCTGTGCCTGACATCGAACTGTGCCTGAGAATGTCTTCCCAGGCAGGGTATGAATTTAGAACCACTTGTTTTAAACTTGTAAAAAAATTAAATGCGATTTCCAGATATGATTTCATGTGTGCTCCAATTTTCCACCCGCGAATGAGGCGGGAAATGAAAGAACCGAACGTTCACAAAAGCCGGCCTACGAATTTGACTCGACCCGACTTTGTTCTCACTTCAAATGGTATAGCAGATTAAAAAATTTATGCTTTACGTTGTCATAAATTATAATGCTCATTGATGTTGTTTAACGAATAATTTTTCTAGATTGGAATCGCCTAATTGTGGGGAAATTCTCTCCGTGGATTGATGTTGACAGTGAAGACCCAGTAATTAAAGAACATTCGGAGCTGGTTCTCCAACAAGAGATGGACTATTTTTCGCACTTGGGGCTGCCAATTATGATGTTCCGCCTGAAGGGCACCAATCACGTCAATTTGGCCCGACACATGTACAATAGATTCATAAATTCTCACTTCAACTGCACCTCTTGGGTGGTCGTGCCTTTGGAATCTCCCACCACGTCTGCAATTTCTTACTACAGATCCGACGTGTCGGCAGAAACACCCACCGAGGACACCTGGGAATGGTTGTTTAAATTCTACTTTATATACCATCTTGTTGTTTACCATGCGATTTTAGGTGGAATGTTTTTCGGTCGGTGGCTAACTACAACAAACACCTAATAGTAGCTCTGGAGCTCTCGGCAGACATTCCCTCGGCGGCTAAAGTTGAACGTTGGCTGGGCGAGCCAGTCAAATGTGTCATCATTCCAACCAGCATTTTCCTCACCAACAAAAAGGGCTACCCTGTTCTGTCAAAAGCTCACCAAGAACTGGTGAAATCGTTTGCAAAGTTGAACGTCCAGATGATCATTCAGGGAAACAAACGTCATGAGGACATGAACTTCTATGTCGTTTACTTGGGCCACTTGTACAAAGTAAATTTTAAAAATTTGAAACTCAATCCTAACTGGGGGATTAAGCTGCTTTTTACGCTATTATCTTGATTAATAAAATCTTATAAAATTTCAGAGCTTTTCAGTTGACGACCCATTGCAATGCAATGGTCAGGGCTACGAAGATTTCCTGCAATGTCCGTTGCAACCCCTCATGGACAATTTGGAGTCCCAAACTTATGAAGTATTTGAGAAGGACCCTGTGAAATATAACCTTTATCAAAAGGCAATTTACCATGCCATGCTAGACATGGTGCCTGTTGAGCTCAAGGATCAAAAAACCTTGTAAGTTTTAATTGTTTTATTTTAATTTCTCTGTATATTTCTATATTTGCACACGAAGGACTGTGATGGTAGTTGGAGCTGGGAGAGGCCCTCTGGTCAGAGCAACTTTGAACGCTGCAAAGTTATCAGATCGCAGAGTTCACATTTATGCAGTTGAGAAAAACCCCAATGCAGTTGTGACGTAAGCCTTTGTGCTCCAAAGACTTCCTGTTACTTAAACTTATTTTCTTTTAGACTTCTTGCGCAGAAGGAAGCAATGTGGGGTGACAAAGTAACAGTCATTTCAAGTGACATGCGGCAGTGGAATCCTGAAGAGAAGGCCGACATAATTGTGTCAGAACTTCTTGGTTCGTTTGGTGACAACGAACTTTCTCCCGAGTGCTTAGATGGTGTCCAGCATCTTTTAAAAGGTTTAACTCTAATGCTCAATTGAAGACAAAAAATTGTATTTTTATTTATTAATTTTATTTTTTATTCTTAGAATCTGGGATCTCCATTCCCCAAAGCTACACTTCATACATAACACCCATGCAGTCGTCAAAACTGCACAACGATGCCAGTGAATACCCTGACAAGACCAAGCACCCTCTCGCTCACTTTGAAACTCCATATGTTGTAAATTTGCAAAACATATACAACCTGGCGCCCATACAGCCACTTTTTACATTTGATCACCCCAACAAAGGTAATTTTATTCAATGAAATTAAGAATAATTAATAACTTAAAATAATAATTTTAGACAAGGTCATTGACAACAGAAGGTGGAAGAAGCTACATTTTGAGATCACGAAAAACTGCGTTGTCCATGGGTTTGCTGGATTCTTCAGTTGTGTTTTGTATAAAGATGTGATCATGAGCATAGCACCCCACAATCATTCCCCTGGAATGTTCAGCTGGTTCCCCATTTATTTCCCAATCAAGGTAAAGAATGTAATTTGAATAACTTTTATTCTAATTAATTTATTTATTGACTAGGAACCTGTCCACATCCGCAATGGAGACAAACTTGAAGTCCACTTTTGGCGAATGTGCAATGACAAGAAAGTCTGGTACGAGTGGTGCATTGCTGGCCCAGTTCCTGTACCCATACACAACCCTGGTGGCAGGTCATACTTCATAGGACTTTAATTTCAGAGGACGGAAACAACATGATCTTAACAAATGAACTTAACTTTTAGCTAGCTTAAACTATACTAGATAATAATTAAATTGATTCAATTTACCAAATTTCATTTCTATTTAAAATTATTCCTTTTTATTACAGAAAATTTAAAAAAAATAATGGGATTTGAATTAATTTCTAGACAAAAATTCTTGACAAAATTCTATAAGCATCGCTACTGTTACTACTTTTCTAGAGCGTAAAAATAATTTTAAATATTATTTACAACTATGTAATATATTTAAAAGAAAAAATCTAATTTTAGCCATCTGACGTATTAGTAAATTTATCTATTTCATTGAATCTGTCGAAATTATGAAAAACTAGGCCAAACAAAAACCGTAACTTCGTATTTTTTATGTAAGACGTTTTAAGCCCTTACAAAATTTTCCACTCCATATCTAGAGATATTGCTTTACTCCAATTTTAAAAATATTAACTATTTATCATATATCTGGGTCTTTTTCAGTGCTTGGTTTTTAAATAACTCCGTTTTAAGCTCACCAGTAGTGGTCTCATTAAGCACAAGTTGAATTTATTTAAAAACAAAATTATTCCAAATTTGGTTTAAAATTAAATTAAATTTTTAATTGTTTTACTCCGCTCATTATATCTTTCCCTGCAGAAATGGCTTCAGCCGTGTATTGTACTGCAGCTTTAAAAGGATGCACGCCAAATTGTCACGAACAAAAGTCATTCAAAAGAAAAGAGGCTATGTTTATTTACCATTAGTCTTTTCAAGTGGTCTGCTGCGCCCTGCGGCTTGTACATACAAAGAGTGGCAACATCCCTGCGCTCTCACACCAAGCAATTACCGGGGCGCCCGGGCGCAACATGATTGAATAACTAATTTGTCCAAAAATGCTTATCGTGCCAGCACGTAATCCCCATCCATCAATTTTATAGCACCCCCGACCACCAATATAACGGAAAAGGGTAGGGACTCGTCGCTCTCAATAAAGCGGCGGCTCATCCGAGAAACAGAGACAGCAGCCCGACTGCTGCACCAACGGAATATCGAATAAATAATTGCGAACGATATCAGCGCTATTCAGAGCGTAATGACCGAAATCGCGCCGAATCCATATCGTCCGAGCCCGGCTAATAAAATCCATAAAGATTAAACGACCCTCGGGGACTGGCCGCCAGGGATGGAACAAAAAAACTGAATATAATTCCGGAGGCGGTTGGGCAGCCGATAGTATCGGGGGTTGAAAGTGGCTGCTTTTGGGAGAGGCAGGCAGGCAGGGGTGAGGGTGGATGGTGCTCGCGCGCGCGGGGTGGGGAGGGGTGGCGGGCTGGCTCTGCTCGAGAGGGACCTGCTCAATAGCAGGCAGGTCCAGCAGCAGCCGAGATCTGCCAGATCTGACGGTGTAATCTCCTTGTTCTCCATCAAGCCAACTGCTCTCGCGCTCACGCCCTAATATGTCATTCGGAGCGCTCGTTCCTTGTTTTTCGTCTCTGCTTGAGACGAGCAGCCGTTCTAGTTGAGTGCGACGAGGACGGACGGAACGAGCGAGAGAGAGTAATGAGCGCGAATCCGCCGTCGTCTTCTCTCCCACGAAGCAAATCTAGCCGAATCATGGAGGCGACGCGCAGAGGTGAGAGAAGATTTTTTCCCGTCTCTCTCGGCGGAACAAATGTGTAAATAACAAGGTCTCTGTTATTGACATTTTTTCCGCCGGATCAATTAGGTTTCCTTTTTTTTGTGAGTTTTGCCCATTTCGGGTATAATTGCATCTGCCTCTCTTTCGGCTCTGTTTGCTAAATGTAGCACGCTCGGTTAGCGCCAGAACAGTCGAGTGGTGTGTTATGCTGGCCGGGATTTTCTTGTTTGATGTTTATTAAATTAATAATTCACGCTCGACAAAGAGAGCGAGCGCGATGCAAAAGTCGGAAGTAACAAAGGCAGCTCGGCTGCTGCCTTTTTGCTGTTTGCACGAGCCGGAGTCAATTTATCTCCTCCGCGATAATCTCTCTCTAGCGCGTTTATTCCCCGAAAATGCTGCTGCTCGCGACTTTTGCCTCAATTCATCATTCTTAAATTGCCCAACAGAAAATCAATAATTATAACAAGCAGCGCTCTTTTGCCACAACAATGTTGCTGCGATTTCGCGGCTTCACTTTCGCCTCTACTTTGAATAAAACTTGTTCTTCGCTGTGGCAAAGCAAACGTTTTCCAATACGTCTTTTGCACAAGAAGGCAAACATTTTTTTTTAACGCAGGGTACGTGAGAGAGTATAAAAAAAGTTGGCGCTCGGCAAGTGAATACTGCCAAGCGCCAGACTAACGAAATGCAAATACTAAAAGTGCGGCTGTGGGAATTAATTTTTTTTAGCGGCGAGAGACTCTTTGTGATATTAAAAGTGGAAAAGCCTTCCCTTATCAAATAATTGCCAGGAGAGAGAAGCGATATGAGCACTTTTGCTGATTTGATTCTAATGAAAAAAGGAAGGTACAAAAATATTACAGGATGAAAAATGTCGCTAGTATTAAATTTTCAAAATAATGAGAAAAGAAAAATAATAATTATTTTTTATTGAAGAAACGAAAATTTTACTCGCTGCCAAAAGAGACGTTGTCAATTTAAAATTAATAACAATGAAGATGTTTTTACAATTCCTCATGCTCCTTTTAATTAATTTCGTGGGAAATTGAAATCTTTCAACTTTCACACAGAGTGGGCGACATGAAAAGAAAAAAATGTTTTCCACGTTGTGATGTCCGCCCACTGAAATTAAGCATTTTATTTGGTTTTTGTAATTTCAAAGAGCAAGCAAGTCAAGGTGAATACAAACAAAGAGATGAAAAGGTTGTTTAAAAAACGGAATAAGAATTTATATTTTCATTTTGTTTTGGGTTTCACAAACTTTCCCATACACGAGTTTGGTTTCCTCCTTTATTTACTCGGGACGTAACATAAGCAAAAAATAAACAACATTTTTAGCAGGTAGATGCTTTATTACAAAAATATGTTGTCATATAATACAAAAGGGTTTAAATTTTGTTTACCCTTACACTTTTCTGTCAATATTTGTCCAAAGCCACTGCAGTATAAACATTCTTTTTTTAAATCAAACATATTTTTGCGTCAAACAACCTTTGCTCTTTCACATCATGTCATTTGAATTTCCCTTCCCAAAGGACCGCTTTTCTATTAGCCCTAAATGAGTGTCTCTCAATTAGCGATGAAATTGCCATCAAATTGATTTTCCGCGTTGGCGCTGCACAATAATATAATTAATTAATTTTGAAACGCTCCGCAAAAAGACTGAAACGCCGCGTTTAATTTAGCAGAGAGCGCGAGCTCGGCGCGAATTCGACACGCCTTGTCCCAAAAGACTCTTTAATAATATAAACCTGCTCGCGCGAACCCACGAGAGAAAATTGTTTTCACATAAATAAACGAGAGCGCAAAAAAAAACGCCGCGTTTAAAGCCACGAGAGTGATTCGGGACTAACTTTTCCGGCCAGTGTATTTCCACACAAATATATAAAACACAAAGAACTTTAATGGCGAGAGCCATAGAGAGAGAGGAGGCTTATATCGATTGCATCTCTCTGGCTCTCGTCACTTCGTTTTCTTCCCAAAGGAATTAACAGACACACATCGAAAGGACTTAACGCCATGGTGTTGTATACATTTTGCAGTTTTGCTAATGCTGATGGTGATGGATGTTTTGGCAGCGCGCAGCTCGGCAGTCATTAATCTTGATTCAGGTGAGCGTTGCCGTGTTAAATTCCAGTGTTAGCCGATCTTGTGATTTGATTACTTTTTTCACTTAACAATCGCGTGTAAACAGCCGCGGCGCGTTTGATTTATTAGCGGCCCCGTCTCTTTTTCCGGCGTGGAAAAAAGCAGCAGCTGCGGCGCGGCAGCAGGTCGAAAAACTAGATCCTGCTGCCGCGCGCCGAGGCCTTTTCCGCCTGCGAAAAAAGCAGACGTGCGTGTGATATTTATAAGCCTTGACAGCACACACCGGATCGACGAGCACCGACTGACAATTGACGAGCTGTAATGCCGCAGCCTCTTCGTAATTCGATTGTTAATTCCCTGCAGAAACGACGACGACGGCGCAATCGGCGGAAATTATCGAGGAGGAGGCCAAATTCCCGCCCGACATTTGGTCGTCGATTTTGAACGGAAGCGGCGACCCGGACCTTCTGAACGTCGACTTTTCCTTTTTCGGCCTGCACTCGCTTGAAATCGACCAGCAGCTAAAAGGTACGGCAAAGCTCACAATGTGTCATTTTGGGTGTAAAAAATGACGCAACTGTCACGCTATGTCATTAATATTCTCGCTCTTTTACAAGGCTAATGATAACAGCCTGGTTCATATTCCGTATAATCTCTTTTTTAACGTAACTCCCAGTGAAATAATTTGCTGGGTTTTTTTTAGGGCATATGAAGTCGTTCACAGTCGTACATGATTTCATTTCGGTGCCTTCGTGAATATTTCAACGGTCTGGAAAACAAGAGAAAAGTTTTAGAGAGAAATTATTAAATTTTTATTTTACCTCAGCTAAATACTCTGGCCATCGATTTAAATGCAAATTTTGGTTCAAATAGAGGTCCTCAATCTACCTGAATTATTTATTTTAATTTTATGTAAACAGAAGTCTCAGTTATTTTGCAAAATTTCAGATTAACTAGATTCAGCTAGGAAGGAGGTTTTTTTTATTAGTGCACATTTTTTTAATCCAAATTTGTCCTTAGATATAAGATTTGTTTACATTAATAGTTTTACACTAATACACTAAGAATTCTTGTAAAGCCAATTATCCTATTTGTTCTTTCAACCAGGCTGTTTCATATCAAACTTTGGCCAGGGGGGGGGGGTGAATTCACACCATTAACCCAAGAAGTGATGCAGAAATGATTTAAAAAATACGAAATTCCTTTAAAATTTCCCAAAAGATAAAAAATTGCATTATAATCAGGGGAAAAATTCAAACAATGGCTCGTTAAATTCCTTTCCACTGTAAGCATGCATCGCTGTAAACCGTTTTAAAAAGGCTGGGCAAACTTTTTCCACCCAACATCATTTATTCTATTTTGTAATTAAGCTAAAAAAATGCTTCACTTTAGTCCGATTTGTTCGTTAGCGACGGCTCATTTTGAAATTAAATTCAATTTTACGCATCGGGGATTTGCAAGCTTTTCTTTCTAAACGAAATTTTTGTAATTCCAGACACGAGCCGCTTTTTTTAATTACACAGAGACAACTGTTGAACCGTCGGACGTAAAAATATGTGTAAACTGTCGCGCCATTACGCGGGCGGGCCGGCGTTTTATTAAAATTTGCAGCGACTTTTGAAACACACTTTCTGCAAAACTTTATCTTGCCTCGAGCGTCGCGCCGTTGACAAATTGATAAAGAGTTTAAAACTCTCTCTCTCTCCGCCGTCCGCGTCCCTCTCTTTCCGTCGGCTTTGACATGAGAGCGCGCGCCTTATAATGGAGAGGACGCTGCGCCGCTCGGCAGTTATAACGCGCGGGTTGCATACCAATCCGGGGCTGTCGTGTGTGTATGTGCCCGACCGCGCGCAATCTGAAGAGGATTTTTAATTAAAATGATAAATGGACCGACGCTTAATGTCTCCTTCTTCCTTCCTTTTTTCCATTCAGCTGACTCGCGGGAAACTTATTCGACGGCGACGGAGAAGTATCCGTGGCAGAATCCGTGGTTCAAGGACTACGGCAAGTTCCGCAAAAACCGAAAAAACAACGACCCGCTCTTCGATCAGAACATGGTCACCAACGTCACCGCACAACTCGGCGGCACCGCGTTTTTGCACTGCAGGGTCAAGAACTTGGGCGAACGACCGGTTAGATATTTTTTGCCACCGCGCTCGCGGCAATTTTTTTATCAAACCACTCTCTTTCATTCTTTCTTGGTATAATCAAAGGTTTCGTGGGTGAGGCGGAGAGACTGGCACATTCTCACCTCGGGCGTTTTCACTTACACCAACGACGAACGATTCCAAGTGGCGCACACGGAGGGTGCTGACGATTGGACTCTCCAGATCAAATACGTGCAGAAAAGGGACAACGGCACCTACGAATGTCAGGTATTACACGAGACTTATATTTTACTCCTCGCAATTCAATTCTTCCCATTCTCTCCACAACAAAAGTCATCACACAAAAGTTATTGTGAAGAGAACGTTCTCATTGATCGACGGAGAAAATGAACAAACAAAAAATAAAAAACGCTTGAGAGAACTTTTTTATATCGCACTGATGAAAAACTTGAAAAACTGCCTTATACATTTGAGCGCAGTGTCTATTTTTTTCTACTATTTTTTATCAGATTTTTTATTGCTTAAAAGTGGTTTTATCTTTTTTCAGTAAAAAGTTAATAATCAGCCAGGAACGTCAAATCATTTACATATAAATTGAATTTTCCGCTTCAATGAATTGAAGCTTTCATTAATTTTAAATATTGCATAGTTTTTCATGCTTCTATATTAAAATTAGAATGTATTTACAAAAAAAAAAAAAAAAAAAAAAAAATGACGGATACATTTGGCCTTAAAACGTTTTGGTGCTTTGGCGTGTTATTCCAGGTTGCAACAGGCGCAGGAACGATGTCTCACTATTTCAATCTGCACATTGTGGTGCCCGAGGCTTTCATTTTGGGCAGTGGCGAGTATCACATCGGCGAAGGCAGCACCATCAGTCTTGTCTGCATCATTGAGAATGTAATTCAGCCTGGCGTTTCTCGTGTGTTATTCAATTCGTAATTCCAAATTCCATCATCCATTTAGAGTCCCGCGCCTCCGCAATACGTTTTCTGGTACCACAACGAGCGGATGATCAATTACGACACGTCAAGGGGCGGCGTAACCGTGAGCACGGAGCCCGGTCCGAAAACGCACAGCCGGCTAATCATCAACAACGCCAAACTCACCGACTCGGGCAACTACAGCTGCAGAGCGTCGAATACCGACCCCGACTTTATACAGGTCTTTGTTTCAAAAGGTGATGAATTTTTTAATATATGTGAAAAATGTTAATTAAGAATTCATAAAAGAAAGAAAAACAAGAACATATTTATTAATTAAAATCGTTTCGCCTGAGAGACGATTTTTATTACTTTTACTTTTTTACTTAGGTGACAAACCGGCGGCGATACAACGGCAGCAGCGGAGTGGATCAGATAAATTACTTGCGCCCATAGCAACGTTAATCGTGTGCTCCTTGGCTTTAAACCGCCTGCTCTGCGCTAGGTGAACCAACTTTGAAGCAGGTGAAAATCCTACTTCCGAATTAACAAGGACCAGATTGATGTGAAAAAATGCGTTTATTTATTTTTAAATTCAATTTGAAAACCAGGCCAATCAAATTTGATTCAATAAAAAGTGTAATTTTTTTTAAATATTTTATTCAAAATTTCGGAGTGCGGAAGAAATCTGTAAATGTGCCATCGAAAACTCTCAAACGTTAGTGTGATACAAGAAGAGGTGACGAGACTGGAATCCACAATCAAAAGTGCGCTCCTCCCCAACTTTGGCTCAACTTAGGTTTATGAAAGAAAATATGCAAATAACGTAATAAGAATATTAGCGTTGTAGTGTCAAGAAGAATGATGAATTTTGTGCAAGAGAGACTCTCTCGTACTTAAGTGCTATACACTCTACTATATAAATGATACACATGGTTAAAATATGTATGCTGCATGAGATTATGATCCTTTACGGCAGGAACTCCGTAAAGAGGTTCACTCTCATTTCTCATCTTTCATATTCATAACTGAACTCTCGCTCTCTCAATCGCAGCAGCAACTTTTAAGTGTACTGTTGACTTCCTTTTGCACTTGACAAAAACGTTCTGGCGGGCGACTTTTAGCCGAAGTAGAGAGTGCATTTGGAATTCACTCTCTGTGTAACTCTTCTACCAATTAATAATAAAATGAGACGCTACGAAATACACACATACTTCAGAAGCCTTGTGGAAACATACTTGTATGTGAATGATCTTTTAAGCCAAAAATTCAATCGACCCCCTGAAATCATCGATTTTTATAAAATAATGTTATACCCAAAAACTCTTACCAAAATGATGCTATTATAAAAACTCTAATAAAGCATTTATGTATTTGAACATTAGGCATTTTATTACGATATAAGGTGCATTTTGACACAGTTAAAATGAGAGGGTGAATTAATAAATTAATCAAGATCTTACATTTTTTTTTTTTAACAAATAAGGAAAAATCAGAACTACTTTGATCATAAAAGGGAAAAGTTAAAATTGCGTTACAACAAGTGGGCGTGTATAGCATATTAAAAATATATTTTAGCAGTAAAAGTGAATAGTATTTGTTCAGGAAAAGATCAGATCTTTCATTACAAGACTCGTCATAATTAGGAAGTAACTCTGGTTTGTGAGTTTAAGACGAAGAGACAACCGTTTTAAACATAATTTTTTTTACATAATTTACTCCTCCTCGCTGCTGGAAGAACTGGACGAGCTGCCGCCGTGGAACCCTTTGACCATTTTGCTCGCCCCGTAAGCTCCGAGCCCGAGACCCGCAATGGGCAAGCCGTATTTTAGCGCTTTCGACTTCTTGTGCTTTTTCTGCAAAAATCCATTTATTAAAAATGATGAAATTTACCCCTTTAAAAAGCTGCAGGCGGACTTTTCAAAAGATCATCAACGTCATGCCCAATTGTATTTCTGACGTTTTTATAAATCATCTTCCCCCTCCCTTCTTCTCGTGTGTTTAGAGATTGCCGCAGCGCTCTGACGCTAACGAGCCGAGAGATGCTCTTATAGAAAAAGTTTGCTCTTCCTTAGCCACCCTATCTGACATTCTTTCCGTTTTTTTTTCATCAGCTTAGTTAGAAAACGATATATATCACAGATCCAATTAAGTTTCCTTACCCCTGCGATCGCTGCTCCTCCCAAGGCAGTAGCTCCAGCGCCCAGACCCAGGGCAGTACCAACTTTTCCTAGCATGCCACCTCCGCCGCCGCCACCGACGCCACCGTGAGACATGCCGGGAATGTACTTGGCTTTCTGGAAAATGAGGCAGACGAAAGAGGCTGAATAAATTATAACTTTTCAAATAAATAGTTGGGCAGAATTAATTTTTCGGTAAATTATTCAAAATGCCATTCCGAAGAGTGCCATCGAAAAAGTTTCACAAGTTAAATGGCGCTAGACTGGCGAGAGCCAGACGAATAGTTTTAATAATTCAAATTTAATTATGGGTGCATAATTTACCTTGCCCAGCACACTACCGAGGACAGCCGCGCCGGCACCTGCTCCTAAAATTCCTCCAACTTTGCCCATCAGTCCTGAGTCTTTCTGCCCTGAAGCCTATTAAAATTGTATAATTATTTAATTACGAAAAATTAATTTTTTTAATGGCTAGTTAAATGCCAAAGTTATTAAATCATTATTATTATTTTGATCAACAGGTTAAAAAAGAATACAAAACATTTACTAATTTCTGTAAATTTTTTACACTTCATGCATAGAAACATTTTTTTATTATTTCTATTGATCATTGGGTAAGCGCTAGTGGGTTAGTTTTTTTTTAAGTGGTTTCATGCCTTGGTTGGTCGCAAACTTTCAAAGGGTGCCACATCAACCAAGACTTACGCCTCTATTCTTATCAGTGAACCCGAATATTGCCTCCCCTGCTTTGCTCAATAAACTACCAAGGTCATTCTCCTGGTGAGAAGCCTTAATTGGAGATAAGTTTTTATCTAAATTGCAAGTTGTTAATTAACGCTTGATAATTACATTATATCCTGGTGGCGGGGGAGGACCGTAGCCGGGTTGGCCATATCCGGGCTGGCCGTAGCCGGGTTGGCCGTATCCGGGCTGGCCGTATCCTTGCTGAGCATATCCCGGCTGACCATACCCTGGTTGTCCGTAACCTGGCTGCCCGTAAGGTGGCTGCTGCCCTCCGTAACCAGGGGCTGGAGGTGGCGGGCCGTAACTAGAGTCAAGAAAAGAGCTAACCCATTAATACTGCCCAAATTTTTGCAAAAATTCAAATAATATATTCAAAAAAAAATAATAAATTAATAATTACCCTGGCTGACCTCCGTAGGGTGCTCCATATGCAGGTTGCGGAGGTATGCCGTTGTATCCAGCTGGTGGGGGTGGAGGCGGCACGTAGCCACCACCTGAGTATGGAGGTATTGGAACTGGAGCCACTGGGTATGGGGAACCTGGACAGAATATAATGAACAAAATAATAAGATAAATTTATTGACAAAAAAAATTATTGAAGATCAAAGAAATGGGTTTAATTTTTTAATTTTCAAGGATAAATTAAAAAATTGGAGAATTTCCATACAATTTTTTAAAGTGCTTCTATTCCAATCAGTGAAAGCATTAATTTTTCCAAGATTAAGTAATGTTTTAGCGCAACCGCTATGGCGGTAAAAAGGCAGACACGGGTGTACCATAAATTTGGTCTCCTTTTATTTCTATTCACTTTTATAAAATCTGACAGACGTACATAATGCTCTTGCGCACCTAGCATTTTTTTTTATTCGTCTGCGGCTCGAGACGATAAAATTTGGCAACTGTCTGGAGCCAATAAATCATAATGGCTTTACCTGCAGCGCTGGGGGCAAAGGCGGGTGGCTGCGCGCCACCTGGGGCGCCGCCAAATCCACCCTCCCACGAAATTCTGCTGATGGTAATGTCCCCTTCCACAACGATGTGTGTTGCCTTTTGGAATGGCATTCGGTGGATAAATTCGGTAAAGTGCTGGCCATTGATTGCAATCTAAAACCAAAATTTCCTTTTATATTTTCAGTTTTGCGCTTTTTATTATAAACACAGCCATTAAATAAAATTTTTTTACCTTAAAACAGTCATTATCACACATGACAATAATCTCAAACGGCTGTGCCCTGGCGAAGGGCAGTGTGGGAGTTCTTTCTTCAGGGCCCCACATTCCTGACTGATAAGAGGCGCGAGAAACAACGTTTTCTGTAAAAATCGCACTGATATGGAGGACGATGTCGTCTCTGGGATTCAGATTCGGTCCTGCTTGTATATTGAGCGCAAACCTGTGGAAAAAGTTTAATGATAACTCAAGACAAATATCTGTTTACAAACGCTATTAAAACTTTCAATGTTGCCACATACAAATTTTGTAAGATTTTAATATGTAACAAATTTAATATTTAATAATACAAACCTTGTAGCTGTTGGTGGGGACGAACCGTGTAATTTAATTAATTTTCCAGGGGTGAAGCCTCCACCGTCAATGGGGCATACGTGAGGTACAGCATACTAAACATTTAAAAAAAATATAAATATAATCAATTTAATATAATAAATCCTTACGTATTCCATTTTTTGACGCAGCAAGCCGCTTCTTCTTCTTCTTTTTGGTTAAAATTAATCCTCAATATCTAGAAATAAGACAACGTTAGGATTAGTCACCTCCTTTACAAAAGCAGCTTTTCCGACACACTGCAATTAATACAGTAGTATGACGTAAACAAACGCGTTTATTGTAAAATATTAACTATGAATCATTCAGGGAAAATTAAGCCGAGTCTCAGTTAGACTTTTGAATGATTCGAGACGATTCGGATTATTCGGAAACCTTCATTCTAATTATGTATTACGTTTTGAAGGTAAAAGGAATTTAATAGTTTTCCAATTTGATTTTTCTTGTGACATAACAGGTGAGATGGATAACGCAAACGATAACAAATAAAAGTAATCAAAATAAATTACACTTAACGCACCTACAGCAGCCGTATGCAGGCAGTAAAACACGAGTGTGCCGCGCCAAAAAGAGCTGCTCAGCAGATTGCGCGAGCGAATTGGAGCATCAGCGACCGTCGAATAATTCGGCCGAAACTAAACTAAGCGCTGACAAAATTAGTGAAACTCGTTACTAGAAAGTTTCGCATGGCCCTCACTTCCTTTTCCTCGGCTTGTTGCTGCAGCTGCAGTGAGAGATGAGCACTCAGCACACAATGTGGTGTTTGTTGAGGAGCCCACCTGGTTTGGTCGTACTTTGGCGCAGCGCGATTTTTTAATTCCGTGCGCATGATAATGGCTCCGTCGTGTCCTCTATGGTTTCACTCGGTTTGTTTTCATTCGTATCCTCCCTGATCCTGATGTTAATTTTCTTTTTGATTCGCATCGATACGCCCTGCAATTTTATCCTGTCTGCCAATTTTTGCCGATTTTCCAATTTCTTGGGTGAAATTGCAGTTGGAAGTTTGTGTCATTAGTCTTCGCTATGGCTCACGGCCAAAGGGAGGCGATTCAGAAGCAAATTCAGCAAGATTGGGCGAACAGAGAGTACATCGAAGTCATCACCGAGAGCATCAAGAAGATTGCCGACTTCCTCAATTCCTTTGGTACGTCGGGAGAATTATTTATTTTGTTTAATAAAGTTAATTGTATATTTTTGTCCAATGCAGATATGTCATGCAGATCAAGACTGGCGTCTCTCAATGAGAAACTCACGATTCTTGAAAGAAAAATCGACTATCTGGAAGCAAGGGTATGATTCGTCTTTTTATTTTTTAAAGAAATTAAACAAGTTTTTAATTAATCTCTAGGTCACCAAGGGAGATGCTCTGACGTGAATCCCCAGAGAGCAAAATTCCCTAATTTTAAGTAAAATATTGATTATTATTTGCATAAAATTTGTATCATCCCTTCAAATCTTTATTTAATGGCATTTAAATAAATTGTTTATAAAATCAACTCTAGCTCATTTTCTAACAATAATAATTATTAATCATGTTAAAATTTATTTCCATCATTGCAAAATGTTTCCAATTTTTGCACTAAAATCCAAGTCCAATCAATATATCATCCTTCTGCAGAATGAATTGATTACATCTTTATAAGATTTTGTATAATATTAATAAAACCTATAAATAAGATATCAAATAAGTTTTATTATATTATTTTTACATTTATTTGTGAATTAAGGTCTTTTAGCTATAAATGAAAAAGTTGTATGTTCTACATTCCAGGCTAACACTTTTAATACTGTAGTATCTTAATATAAAATTTCATACATTATGGAAATTCACAGTGATCCGAGATTTCATAAACAACTTAAAAAGTAACAAAATCACAGAGACAAGAGTTCAAGCCACCTAACATTATAAAAGAGTGAATTTGTTAAAAGCATCGGCAAAAATTACTTTGTGGTCAATAGATTCAGGAATCATCACCGCAGATCTACATCGGTAGCGTCTTCCGGCTCGGGCTTCACAATTTGATAGGTAATCAGGTATTCAGGGTAAGCCTAGATTAACGAATAATTAAAATTAAGTTCTTACAAGTAACAAAAATTTTGTCATACCTGCTCTCCACGGTAAACTACATATTCTGGGAAATTGAGTCCCCCAGCGCTGGGACGGCCCATAACAGAGTGGTGGCCTGGAGGAGCATGAGCCATTTTCATTGCAGAAAATTGCAGGAAACTTTTGCCTAATAAGAAATTCAGATGAAAATTGAATACAAAATGCAAGACTCAAATCATACCAAGAGTGACTCTGCACAACAGCAAGTTTCGGTGGCAAGAATAGCAAGACCGGTCTTTGTGCTGGGGGCAGCCAGTGCCACCTCCAATGCCATAAACATACTGGTTGCTCTTTGACGAGTTTTCAGCAAAGTAGATTCCTAATTTGAAGGGGAATTAATTTGCAAGTTTTTAACAATTTCAATTGTTCTTACCAGCTCCAAACATTCCCCCAATGTAAGCATGTCTTTCGTCAAAGCCCTTCTGCACAATTGCATTGATGAACGGAGATCCATGGAAGAGCATCCTCTCATTTGACTGGCTTGTATTCTCTTCGGCCACTTCTTTCCTCCTGTGCGAGTATCTCTCCCACAACTTTTTGTTTTGCACTTTCTGGATCTAGAATTTAAATTTTTTTATTAATCTTAATCCAAATTTTATAAAAAACGATGAAGGACTTACGTGAATAATGTTGTATCTCATAAAAACTCCTCCAGAGTGTCCATTGTCCCTGTGCTCCCTGATGGTTGATTGCATTTCCTCTTCGACAGCCAGATATTCTCGGTCCTCCGATACCAGATCGACCAAAAACGTTCCCAAAGATAACGAAGGTGCCGGACCCCATGCTGCGGTGGCTGTAAAATTAAATGTTCAAATTATTCTGCATCAAGAAAAAATTTATAAAACTTACAAGTCAAGTGTTTTTCAATGCCCTTGATTAGTTTGTGTCTGTGTCCGTAGGCAGAAACGCCTACTTGTTTGAGATCCTCGTGGCCCATTTCAGCTAATATGTCTAATGAGATTTGTTCACGCTCGAACAGTTCCATGAGATGATCAAGTGAGAGACTAAAAATAAATAATTTTAAATAACAAAATTAAAAAAAATATATATAATATGAATAAATACTTTTCAAGGAAGGCTTTGACAGAAGCCAACTTGTCTCCTCCGCTGGGATTTTCCACTTCCGATTTTGCGTCATCACAGCAACCATCGCCCGGCAAGAAACCGGGTGAATCACAACGTGCAGCAACAGGGACGCCTTTAATATAAGTTAAAAAGTTAAAAACCAAGTTATGAAATTTTAAATTGAAATTTAATACCCAACGTGAGGCAAGCTCCTGAGGGCAGAATGACCGTCTCACTCAACTGAGGAGGCGGTGGTAGGGGAAGCGACATGGAACTGGCAGATGGCTGGGGCGATGGAGAGAGGACTGGTTGTCCAGGCGAGGATGGGTTGTTGGACACCATGGCGTCCTGCAGAAGGCATCTCACGTCTTCAGCTGATGCAAGCAGAAGAGGAGTTTGCCCTTCCTGGTTTTTCAAATAAGGATCAGCGCCGTGAGCGAGCTGTGAAAATTGTTATTGAAAATTTTGAAAGAAAATCTTTAAAGATAATTACCAGAAGAGCACACAACTGGGTCCGCCCTTTTTGAGCAGCTTCGTGCAGAGGCGTGAATCCCCACTTGTCGGTTGCGTTAACAACAGTGTTGTATTTGATGAGGAGGGCGGCAATGTCGAGATGCCCGTAAGACGAGGCGTTGTGTAAAGGGATGAGTCCTCCCTTGTCTTGGGCGTTGACGTCAGCGCCCTGCTCCAATAGGTACTCGGCCACCTCCATGTTATTATATCCGGCTAAAATTTAACATATTAATGAACAACAGCTAGATGAATGTATTATTATTTCTTCTAACTTACCTGCGAGATGAAGTGGAGTTGAGTTTCTTCCTTGTGCGTCTCGGCAGTTAATGTTTTCTTGAGTCAGAAGTCGTTGCACTCTGGCCAGGTTTCCTTTCTTGGCGGCATCCAGCAGGGCTGAGTTTCCTTTAAGCAAGTCGGCCACTTCAACATCAGCTTCGCGGACCAAGTCGAGCGGCGTGGCTCCGTCTCGATTCTTCTTGCTCACATCAGCTCCGTGCTAAAATTTACAGGTTCATAATTTATATTAACTTTACATTCAAATGCAAACCTTAAGCAAAAGTTTCACAATCTCAAATTTCCCCTTTGCTGCAGCTTCGTGCAGGGGAGTAAATTTCCATAAGTCGGCAACATTGACGCTAGCTCCGTGCTTGACCAAAAGTTCCGTAACTTCAAAATGCCCATAGCTGCAAGCATTGTGTAGAGGTACCAAACCACTAAACAAAGTAAAATCAAGCAATAAGTATGATTTTATTTATTTAAGTAATATCAACAAACCCTTTGTCCTTTGCATGAACGTCAGCTCCGTGGTTCAAAAGATACTCAACGACGGCTATGCGGTTGTAGCCTGCAGCAAAGTGCAGTGGGGTTGAATGTCTGCCGTCCACATCCCTGCAGTTGACAATGTGTGGGAAAGCGGAGAGGAGTCGCCTCACTTGATCTGTATCCCCTGCCTTGGCAGACTCCAAAAGTTGGCCTTCCACGTCTAAGCTGCCAGCCGGTGGGTCTGAAACGAGTGATGGCGATTTGTGATGAATTTGGACACCTGCCAAAATCGACGTGTCACCTTGGAGTATTTTCAAAACATTTTCGGTAGCCAGCTGAGCCGCTGTGTAGCCTTGGAGGGAAACGATGGTGGTGTCGACATTGTAAGATAACAGAATTCGGCATGCTTGTAAATTATCGTCTCTGGCACACCTATGCAAAGCTGCAAAAACAAAAGTTGCAGGAAGTTGGGTTATTTATGGACAACAAGTACCTGTCTGGCCGTTGGCGTCTAGAACATTTGATTTGGCTCCATGTCTGAGCAGAGCTTCGACCACATCCAAATGTGAGCAGTCGGCTGAAATGTGCAGGGCGGCCAAAGAGTCTTTGTTCTTTTCATTGAGTAGGGCCCCCTTCCTGACCAGCAGGTCGATTACTTGCCGCCTTTTGGGGTAAGGAGCAGCAGCCGCACAATGCTGTAGATAAATAATTACATAAAAAAACCTTTTATTAAATAAAAATATTACCAGAGGTGTGTCGCCATTGAAGGGGTGTTTGAAGTCAACGACGTCTTGAGATAAAAATTTCTTTACTTTGACAGGGTCTGCCTGCCTGCAGGCCTCCAACAGGCAGTGTCCTTTGTATTCATCTGCGGCAAAAATTAAAAAAATTACATAATCTGCATATAAAAATGATAAAAATCTTACAAGTCAGTCTTTCCTGCAACTCTCTGGTCGGAGCCACGTCCACTGCAGATTTGGAATGGCAGTTGAGAAGGGTGGGGTCGGCGCCCTCACTGAGCAGCAACGAGCAAACCTCCACCCTGGCCTTGGACGCGGCTTCATGCAGAGGGGTGAACTGCCACAGGTCCATGGCGTTCACGTTGGCGCCATGCTTGATCAGGAGCTCAGTGACCTCAAAGTGGCCGTAGCTGCAGGCGTTGTGCAATGGCACCAGGCCACTGTTGATAAAAAAAATAAATTTATATTTAAATAAAATTATGCTAGATTCAAAATAGTGTTAATTTAAATTTTTCTAAACAAGATTATTTACCCTTTGTCCTTTGCGTGGACGTCGGCGCCGTGCTGGAGCAACAGCTGCACAACTCGGGCCCTATTGTATCCGGCGGCCAAGTGCAGAGGCGTTGAGCGGCGGCCGTCACTTGCGTGGCAATTCACGTTCAAGGGGTTGAGCAGGAGACTCAGTTTGTCCTCCCCTCCAGCTCTGGCCGCCTCCAGCAACTCCTCCTTGCGGTACTCGCCTGATAGGACGGCTCTGGTCGAACCCTCGGCCAAGTCGTGGGCAGTTTTGCCCTCCGAGTTGCGAATACTCGGGTCAGCGCCGTGTTGCAGAAGAGCTGAAAATTTCAAAATTAGAAATTTAAATTTTATAATAATAAAGTAAGTCAACTAAAAAAATTATAAAATTAATATTTTTTCAATAAAATATAAATAATCAGAGAAAACACTATTTATATTTAGATCACTTTCTTTTTTCTTTAAAATTGATAATGGAAATTTATTATTTCTTCAACTCACCAATGCACACGTCAACTTTTCCCTTGATGGATGCCTCATGCAAAGGAGTGTAATTCCAGTTGTCCCTGGTGTTTGGGCAGGCACCTGCGTGCAGCAGAAGTCTCACCACATCTGCGTGTCCAAAAGAACAGGCGTTGTGCAGAGGATGAAGGCCGCCGTCGTCTCTTGCTTGAATGGAAGCTCCGGCGGCCAATAGAAACTCAACAACTTCTCTCCTTCCATATCCTAAAAAATAAAAAAATTTTAATTTGGTATTATTTTCTAATTAATAAAAAAATCAACTGCCCAAATTAAAAGTAAAAAGTTTGAACTAAAAAATTGCATTAAATAAAAAAATGGAGGGATGAAAATTTGTATGAAGTAAAAGGAGCGCCTTATTTTCTTATTTCATATCATTTCTCAACTATCTAACATTAAAAGTATTAAATTTCTTACGTTTGCACGTTGATACAATAATTATCAAAGAGCATCAATAGAAAGTTGCTGAGCGTCGTAAGCGCGATCCCATTATTTTAATCACTGTAGCGAAATTGCGCAATAAAAGTGAACAATCTTCCTTAACAAAGCGTGAAGAAAAGAAACCAATTTACGCTTGAGCTATTATTTGCAGGGTTTAACAAAAATGAGGCAAAATGTGCTGGTGCAACGAGAATTAATTAATTGTTTTTAATTCTCACAATCAATTCACAAGTATAAGCATTTTATTAGAATACAAAAATTTACTTCTTTTTCAACTTCAAATAAACCAGACGTGCGTGCGTGTTTAGTTTGCATAAGAAAATAACAATTTTATTTTATAAAATTAAGTCACTTTTTAATTTAAAACTACAATTGTCGCAGTGATAATAATAAAGTAAGGTTTGTTTTAGTTCATTTGAGCACTGTATTTAAAAAAAAACGCGTATCGTTAAACCGTGGGACGAAACAGAGCCATTCGTCGTAAATTTTTATGAGCACTGCTATTCTCTGCCTCAAGTGACCTTTCCGTCGGATATCATGCACGGCCTTCAGGTGTTTAAAAAACCTTAGACCTTTTCAAGCATGAAGTTTCTGTTCCGCGTAACTTGATTTCACGCTCTCTTCTTATCCTTCATTTCCCCTAAAACGTCCTCAATCGATATGTTTCAATCATTGAGCATTTTTAAAAAATTCTAAAAATGAAATCTAAAACAACTAACTTTAATTTAAAAATTGTGTTATTGCGCAGTGCCAAGTTTTGAAATTAAAATTGCAAAATTATTTTGTCACTTTTCATTCAATACATAAACAATAATCTTAAATAAATTATGAGAATTTAAAATTAATTTTACCTGCGGCGAAATGAAGAGGAGTCGACTTCCTGCCTGCGTTATCCCTGGCGTTGACCGTCTGCGAGGTCACCAACCTCTTGACCCGCGGCAGGTCGCCCGACCTGCAGGCGTCAAAGAGTTCTCGGTTGGGGTCGGTGGATCCGGTGCTGAGGACGGACGACTCGGCCCCGATGGAGCAGCGGCCCAATCCTGACCCCGACCGAGGCGGACGAGGCCCAAGACCTGCCATCTTAGGAGAGCTCCCGACTCAGCAGGTCATGAAAAGCTGCCGTTCGGCCGCCGATTCACGTCTTCAGCCCGTCGCCCGACGGTCCAGTTCCTCCCGGACGGCGCTTCTCAGTGTCCAGTGACGCGCGATTTCCGCGTCGGGGCAAAAAATGAAAGGTGTTTTGGGAGAAACTCGTCTTGTTTTGCTTTGTTCCTCGACCCCCGACACTCGACGTGCGAACGGGGTGTACGGAAAGGAGCCGAACCACCGATGACGTTCGCCAAATCGACACCAGAGAGCGCTTTTCATAGGCAAAATGATCATTTTCGTGTTATAGGATTGATGACTGTGAGATAGTTCAAAAGGTCAATGCGCCGTGATCTTGTGTCGGAGAAATATATGATTATTGTCTGGGAGAAGACGTGAAATTTTTAAATAACATGAGAAGTTTGCTTTGGTTTGTTTCGATTTTGTTGTGCCCTGGTGCTTTACTGGGCAAAAAGAATGTGCTTTTCATTGTGGTCGATGACCTCCGACCTGCACTCGGTTGCTACAATGACTCTGACGCTGTAACACCGAATATTGATAGGCTTGCGAGGAAAAGTACTATTTTTACTAGAGCTTATGCACAGGTGAACAGAGAAAAAAATTCCAATTTAGAAAAACGTGCATTTTTAAAAATTAATTTTTATACATTTTTTTTAATCTATTAAATTTTTTAGCAAGCTTTATGTGCACCAAGTAGGAACTCGTTGCTGACAAGTAGGAGGCCGGATTCTCTTTATTTGTACGACACTCACAGCTACTGGAGAGTGGCCGCTGGAAAATTCACCACAATTCCTCAGCATTTCAAAAATAATGGATTTACCACTGCTTCATTCGGGAAAATTTTCCATCCAGGTTAATATTAAGAAATTTTAACAATTTTCAACAAAATACTTAATTAAAGAAATTAATTAAAGGGGCGACATCAAACTATAATGATGACACCCCTTACAGTTGGAGTGAACCAGTTTTCCACCCTTCCACCCTGAAGTACAAAAACAAAAAAGTGTGCGTGGACGAATCAGGCAAGGTAGGAAAAAATTTAATTTGCCCTGTTGAGCCGGAATTTCAGCCCGAAGGAACTTTGCCTGATATGCAAACTGCTGCAGCGGCTGGAAATTTTTTGCGCACTTACAACAAATCGAATCCGTTTTTCTTGGCCGTCGGTTTCCACAAACCGCACATCCCGCTGAAATTTCCTAGAATATTCTTGAGTAAAAAAAATTACTTTCTTTGAAGCTCAGATATTTTTAATTTCTTTAGAAAGCCACCCAAAAAGTGACATAAGTCGACCTGTACCAGAATTGTGGCCAGCAGGAAATTCTCCTATTTCTTGGAATCCCTGGACCGATCTCAGAGAACGGGACGACGTGAAAAGTTTAAATCTCACTTTTCCTTTTGATCCGATTCCTGGTAAAATGTTTTTTATTCAAAACAAGATTCTTTAATTAATTTTTTTTTTAGTGGATTTTGGCCAAACCATTCGGCAACACTATTTTGCTGCAGTTTCATTTATTGACGATCTTGTTGGAAATTTAATCAAAAGCTTAAAAGAAGCCAATTTTGATGAAAATACCGTTCTTGTAATTTTTGGCGACCACGGTAAATCGAGAAACAACTTAATTCAACTTTGAAAATAAAAATTAAAATTTTAGGATGGTCTCTTGGAGAGCATGGTGAATGGGCAAAATACAGTAATTTTGAAAACGCACTTCGCGTGCCCTTAATAATTTTTGACCCTTCATTTAACGCTCATCAATCTGTGCGTCGGGGAAAAAGTTTCATCCGTGACGATTTGGTGGAGCTTTTGGACATTTTCCCAACTCTTAGTGACCTTGCTGACCTGCCGAAAGTACCGCCCTGCGAAAAGGGACACTTCGCTGATCTCTGCACCGAAGGCCGATCCCTGGCGCCTCTGCTATACTCGCAGGAAAAGGTTCAAAAGTGGCGAGAGGGCGCGTATAGTCAGTACCCGCGGCCCAATGATTATCCGCGGGAAAATAGCGACCAGCCTAAATTGAGAGATATCAAGTTCATGGGCTACACCGTGAGGACCAAAGAGCACCGATATACGCAGTGGGTCAAGTTTCAGGACCTGTCGCCGCACTGGAACGTTACAAAGGGCGAAGAATTGTACGACCACTCAATCGATCCTCATGAGGCGATTAATCTTGCAGAAAGGGTGGAAATGAGAACTGTTAAGAAAGAGTTGCAGAAAATTCTACAAAACCAATTTAATAAAAAATTAAATTAGTAGCAGAGGCAGATAAAGGCTATTATAACAAGTTTTTTTTTTTTTAGACATTTATTTAAATTCCTCTCGAATAATTGTAAATAAGGTACATTTAAAAAAAAATTCTTATAAATTGTATATAAATTTTTTTGTATCAATGTGGACAAATAAACAACAATGATAATTTTTTTTAATATCAAAAAATATTAAAATGCCAATAATTGCTTTTTGCCGTAACAATAAAAATTTCTAATATGTTTGTCACTATCTTGAAGATATTTTGAAAATTAAATTATACTTTTGTTTCATTTTTAAATTAATAAAAAAAAAACTAAATCTGTGCATTGCGGCCCTTTTGTCCCTACAGATTGCGCGCCATCGATTTCTTTCATCCCCTCCCGACTCCAACATCGCGGTCCGCCCATTTCACAGGTGACGTTTGTTTGTGTTCCTGCCAGTAATTTTTTCAAAATCATCTCCACTATGAAAACAAATGCTGTGCAAAATGTAATTAGAAAAAGCATTGCTTGTTTACGTACGATCATTTAAACTTGGCATTTTGAGCCACGGATGGTGGTTCTTGGAAGGCGAGGATTCCACTTCTGAAGCCTTTTTTCATTCTCTAATTTCTTTTGACACGTCCGAAAATGGCCACACGGTGTTGGAGCAATGATTCGATCGTCGCCGAACACAAAGACCTGCAGGTCGGTATTTCACGTAGAAAAATATTCAGTAAAAAAAAATGATTTGTAAACAGGCGAGTGCGATGGCCGTGGACCAGAGCGGCACGCTTGCGTTGCTGTACGGCCGACGGTACTTGGCCGTCGTCAATTTGGACGAGCCGACGGAAACGCTGAAGAAAGTCCTGCGCCAGAGCAAGTACGAAGTCGGCACCGCAGACTGGAATCCCGCTTCTTCGCACGGCCAGTTTGCTTTCTCAGTATTTTACCTCGTTTAAAATTAAATTCTGGAAGATAAAATCTTATAAACAATTTTAGAGCAATCAAAAAGTTGAGGTGCTGCGATGGACAAACAGCGACTTCACCACCGAACACTCTTTGAAGGCGCACACGAGGGTGGTCGCCGACCTCCAGTGGCACAGAACTGACCCCAACTTGCTCGCCACTTGCTCTCTGGACACTTTTCTGCACATTTGGGACTTGCGGGATCTTCGTCGGCCGGCGCTGTCCCTCTCTGCAATTGGTAAAATTTGTCTACTTATGCAAATTAATTTTCAAGGCAATTTTATTTCAAGTTGGAGCAAGTCACGTCAGATGGAACTGGACTTCCAAAGACATTTTGGCGTCGGCTCATGACGGCGATGTGAAAATCTGGGACCAAAGAAAGGGCACCGCTCCCTTTCAATACGTCTCAGCGCACTTGGCCAAAATTCACAGTCTCGACTGGAACCCCAATTCAGAAAACCATCTCGTAACCTCCAGTCAGGATTGCACTGTCAAATTTTTTGACGTCAACAGCCCAAGAAGGGCTGAAAGTGTTTTGACTTTTTCCTTTCCAGTTTGGAGAGCCAGACATGCCGTAATAATTAGTCTATTCTAACAAATTTTTTATTGATAAAATTTGATCACAGCCGTTTGGAAATGGGCTCGTTACCGTGGTTGTATCTCCGCTACGAAGGGAAGAAAACAGTCTGCTGCTGTGGAATATTGAAAATCAGGCTGCCCCTGTCCACACATTTGTTGGACACACAGACGTTGTTCAAGAAGTTGCTTGGAGGAAGCAAAAAGATGGTATAAATTATTCGGATCAATAATTGAACTTAAATTTATTTCTCACCTTAATTAGACAACCACGATTTCCAACTTGTAACTTGGTGCAAAGACCAAAGCTTGAGAATTTGGCGAATCGAGCCATCTCTGCAAAAACTATGCGGACATTCACCAGCTGAGCCCAATGAAGAAGCAAAGGAAATAATTTTAGGTGTGTGCCTTTTTTTAAAAAAAGATTGTATATTTTTTAACATTTAAAATAAAATTCTTTAGATAATGAAATACTGACTGACCCTGTCGAGAGCCAAGAGGCTGTCGTTGAGGACCCATCACCTGAGCCCACAGAAATAACCACCCCAATTATGTCATCGCCCTCCCAAGCACCAAAAACGCTCCAGCAAGAATTTTCGCTAACCAACTTCAACATACCCAATGTTCGAGTCGATGAAATGGATGCAGTCGCTCGAACCTGCATTGTTACCGCAACCATAAACACTCACGTAGCTGTACTGCTCTTTTCCTTCCCACCTGGTTACCCATTCAACTCCTCACCTACCTTTCAACTCATCAAAGGTTCAACAATAGACGCTTCAGTCCAAGCAAAAATTTTGAAGGTAATTTTTCACTTAAAATAATTTTAAATTTCCTATCTGATTTTATTTTGCCAGGCCGTTAAACAGACTGCCCAGCAGAGGGTGCGGAAAAACAAATCATGCCTAGAGCCCTGCCTGCGAACTCTCGTTTCTAGTCTGGAATCATTAGTATTGACTGAAGACACCTCTGGCAACAATGACTTTATGTCGCAGTATCTCGAACCTACCAGTGTGTACGGCTCGTTTAAAGACGCCTATATTCCGTTCCCTCGAAGTTCGGGAGTAGCATTCTGCAGTGCTGGTAAAAAGAAGAAGCTTGAAGATTAAATAAAAGATTTCTAACCTAAATTTCCTACACCAGGTCTCTTGGTTTGCTTTGGCCAGCCTGGAAATCTCTCGCGCCGAGTTTCAGTTCGGTCAGAGTCTAGTGCAACGCCGCGCTCCCTCTCAGCACTTGGACCTGCATCAGCAGCGTTTGTCTCGGTCGGATCAATCCCGCCATTGTTTGCACAAGCAGGCGGAGGGAATGGATCGCAGGTGCCAGAAGCTCAGGGCATTACCAGCTTTTACTTTCCTGACAGGGTGAGCTAACTTTTCTTTTGATATTTAAAGTTTTTGTTAGTGTTTATAAATTTTTTTTATGTTTTTGCATTTATATAACTAAATCAAGATTTACAAAATCTGTGCATATTAACATAATAAATAATTCTTTAATCACCTGTTTGAATGAATTTAATAAAATTAATTTGAGATATTTTATTTCCAGCAAAGAGCCAGAAGTAAAGGACGCAATTCAGCCAGCGGCCCTTCCACTCACCGAGGCAGCGTTGCAAAACCATCCAACAAAATCTCTGTCACAATTTATGACTCGGCTGGACTTCTTTTTGTGCACCGGGAGTTGGCTGAAAAGTATAAGCTGAAGGGTCGAGACACGGCCGAAGTCTGCCACCACAATGCAGGCGTTGCCCTTTCAGCAGGCCGCAAAGACCTGGCCCAAGTTTGGCAGCTGGCCGCCTTGGCCGCAGCTACCCCGCCCTTGCCTCTACCACTCGCTTCTCATTGGAGCGAAAACGACGAAGACTCTCCGTCAGCCTGGGCAGCCCACCCCTTTGGTAGGGCCATGATCGAGGCCCTCATCCAGCACTACGCCATTCAATGCGATGTGCAGACGGCGGCCATGCTGAGCTGCATGTTCGGCAGCCGAACGGAAAACCTCCCGGGCCACAGAAAGAAAATCCCAAATGCAAATGTTTCGGTAAGTTAAAGTACAAAATCAAGGGCCAAACTTTTCTTGCATTTCACGGTGCTGGGCTTAAATTGGAAATTTTTTCTCTCTTTAGCGGCTTACGTCTGGCAAGTGGTGTTTGAAGGTAAGCCTCTCGCATGAATGCCCGTGTCTCTGTTGTTGCTTGCTTTCCTAACCCTTCCGCTTTGTGTGCGCTGGAATTTTCGTGGAAATTTTGCTCATTTCAAAATGCATATTGCAGCCCGGCGGTTCCCCATATCACACTGTGCACCCTGCTGACACGTCTCTTGAAGGCTGGAATTTCCACATGCTGAAGCAGAATCGTTCAAACTCGTGGTCCGACTCGCTGGACGAGATCAAACTTTTGACCTCCACGTCGGAAACAACAGATCCGGCGCGGATGGAAGAAATTGAATTATCTCATAGGTAAAATTTGATAAATATTTTAAAATAAAATTTTATTTTCTTCCTAAACTCTAGCAAAATGTTGGATGAGAAAAATTCGGAACTTCATGACTGCTTTAAAAGGGTTTACGCAGAGATTTTGTACCGCTGGGAATTACTTGAGGCCAGAGCCCAAGTGCTCAAGTACGTCAGCACAAACATCGAAGTGCACAAGGGCGTCGAATTTCTCACCGACTGCCTTCATTGTTCGAAACCCGCGCAAGGACCCAGCTGTATATTTTGCAAGCGACTAGCTCTGCAGTGTGCGATTTGCCATGTTTCTGTTAGAGGTAATTAAAATTGCTTTTCTTTCTTTCTTGAACGTATTATTTATTAATCTCATAATTCAGGATCAGCCAACTTTTGTTTGGTGTGCGGACACGGAGGTCACACCCAGCACATGACAAGCTGGTTTGCCAAAGAAAACCAATGCCCCACTGGTTGTGGGTGCAAGTGTCTGAAGGACAGTGGATCTATCCTGGAACCATAATGTCTGTGATAAGGAAAACCTGTATTTCTCATTGTTCTCTGTCAAAGCAAGATATTAAATTTTAACTATCACAATTTAAATTCTTCTAGCTGTTTGCATCCTTGCAAAGCAAATTCCCTGCCTTGCATTACATAATTGATTGCAGATATGCCTTTTGGTCCCAGGCACTTTTCCACTATATCCCGGGTCAAAGGTCGGAACACGACCATGTCACACTTGATGCCGTTCACGCTGAGCAACTTCTGCACCTTGAGGCTCCTTTCAAGCACAATTTCCTGGTAGTCTTCAACTGTCTTCAGATTTTCTAATCCTACAGCGTTTTCAACCCCTTCGTTCAGGGCTTTAGCGGCCAAAACTGGCAAAAATATTATGCCTTTGATTCCTTGTCTGGAGATTTGCTTAATCAGTTCTGTTGCTTTTAAAATGTCACTTTCGTTGATGATCGTCTCTAATTGGATCACATTTAGATCAGTTCGTTTGCAGATCGGCCAGTTGTGGCCAAACAGAAGAAATGAAGATGAGATGCAGGTCGGTCCTGCTTGAGCGTGAAATTCTGCAGTCATAATTTGGGCGACCAGGTCCTTTCCCACTCCAGGACCTCCACTCAAGAGAATGACGTTGAGATCTCCTTCGAGTGCAGTTCGGTACATGGCTGTGAATTTCTTGAGCACATCTTCTATCACTTTGTCCTGGCCAAACACCTGTTTCTCCAGGGCTGATTTGTAGGAACCAATTTTGGGACTGCTTATTTTTCGGTCTTCAATCAGAGTTATTGACACAAGTAACGCACATATGACACTGGTTACGATTGCGAGGAACAGGAACAAGATTTTCAAAAACAACTTGTAGATTGCAGTCTTTTCCTCTTCTTTGGGTTCTTTGGAAGACAATGATAGTTTTGCACTATCTGCCTTTCTGTTCCTGACCATTACTTTCTCCTTACGACTGCTTTTCCGAGGTGTTCTGAGAGCAGGGTCTTCTTTGTCGAAATCTTTTAAAGGTGTTCTGAAAGCAAGTACTTCTTTCTCCAAATCCTTTAAAGGCGTTCTGAAAGCGGGGTCTTCTTTGTCTGAATCTTTTGACCAATCAATAAATGACGCCGATTTAAATGATGAAAATGATCTTCGCGATTTTGTAGAATCTGGAGTCTCCATTTGAATTTATCTGGAAAAAATTGAAAATAATAAGAAAGCTGAGAAAAATATATAATGGGAGCAGTATTGGAGGAAAATTAAAAACAAAATTAATCAAGACAATCAAAAACACAAGAATGAATGACAAAACGCAGCCAAACTTCACAAATTTTGTTTTTTCTTACCATATGTATAAAAATTAAGGAACGAAGGTTCAGGTGTGTCTATCACAGACTTTCGATTAGATCATTAATCAAATTAAATTATTACATAAATTCAGACTAATCCTTTTTGTTGTTGTCCCTGCTGCAAGTTTACGTAAAATTCAAAATTCCCTCTGTTTTGAATTTTGCAAAGCTGTTGACCGAACCGAGTGCAGCGCCACTATGAGCAAACGCTGCGGGAAACAACAAAACATCGAGGCCTGCCTGCATGAAAACAACTTGAACTTGAAGATGGCTGAGTGTGTTAGTGATTTAGTGATTTAAGTTTTTATTATCTTCCGGACCTCCGAAACTCTGTAAGTTCTTTTAAAAGTGTTCATGAATTTCATTTGTCCGCGTCGACAGCATTTTCTCTGCTAGAATTCGCGAATCAAGTTGATTTTTCAGTTTCAGAACTTAGCGTGACGATTGCCGGCTCACCATGTCCGTGCATTACAAATTCAAGTCGGCGCTCGATTTCGACACGGTCACTTTCGACGGCCTTCACATCTCGGTCGGCGAATTCAAAAAGTCCGTCTGCCATCAAAAGCGATTCGGAAAAACAACCGACTTCGACCTTCAGGTCACAAATGCTCAAACCAAGGAAGGTGTGTTTATAACAACAATTGAAATCAGCGAAATTTCCAGCACAACAATAGCATTACAACCATAGTCACTAAAATAATCTGCCTTATTGTTTTCAATTTTTGATAGTGCAATGATAAACATCACCGGCTGTAAAGAATTTTGAAGGTTAAACTTTTACGTAATTGCCATTTTGCATTTTGCGAGATTTTAAACATAAAATGTCAGCAAAGCTATTTCAAAATGCATGATTATTATATCAAATTCTAAAACCAACTTGAAATTCTCAATATATTTTTGTAAGAAATTAGATTAAATTTTAACTCATTCTCAGTGTACGGAGATGACTTGACGCTGATACCGAAAAATACGTCATTAATTGTGGCCAGAGTTCCTCTAACTGCTCACCAGAAACGGATATGGTAAATAAATAGACCAATGGCGAATGCAATAACAAATATTCTAATTTTGCTTCATCCTTACCCTAGGGCACGAGAGGCGGCTGCGTCATCGCAAGCGCTAAACAAGGCGACAGTATGTGCTTTTGAGTGTTTTAATTTCTCTTTTTCAGTGTGTAGAACACAAAAAAATAAATTTCACCTTATTTTTTTGAGAAATATTTGGATTATCAGTGAAGCCGAGTCCCTTCCTCACTTTCATGCTTTCCATTCTTTATTTTTGTACTTTACATGTAAATGCACTTGTGAGCTCTAAATGAATGTAACAATAAATCGATCACGTTTGGAGAGTTGCTCACGATTGCATAATTTGACCCTTGTTTTTGATGTACCTACAGGCGGATGACAGTCAGGATCAAGGCCATTCCAGACTGGTCAAGGTACGAATGCAAAATGGTTTTCTTGCTTAGCATTTCATTTAAAATAAATCTCCTTTTGTCCGCAGACTGGGGACCTTTCGAGTGTGGATGCAAGCGAAGAGGACAAAATAAAGGCCATGATGAAACAGGCCACCTCTGATTACGACCCTAGCAAGTGAGTTGGTTTTTCTTGTTATAAAAATTAACTTCTCTTCTTATTTTCATGTTTTAAATTAGCTACATGAGGATCAAAGGTTCGAGCCAAATAGGGGAGGTGCCTGGCCACTACCGTTGCCATCGATGTCACCAAAGCGGCCACTGGATAAAAAATTGTCCACTGACGAAAGAGTTCGGGGTAAGTTGAAGCAAAATTTAATTTAATTATGATAACTTTTTCCTTGACCTGATTGAATTTTATATTTTGTCTGCAGGAACCACTGGCAGAAGTGAAGAAAAGCACAGGCATTCCGCGGAGTTTTATGGTGCCGGTGGCAGGTCCACTCGTTCCAGGCGCCATGATAACACCAACTGGTAGCTACGCTGTGCCAGCAATAGACCACGAAGCGTACCAGGAGCAGAAGAAGGAGCGGCCGGCGTTTGAGGAGGGAGAATGTCCTGTCGAGGTCAAACCCGAGCTCCCTGAAGACCTGGTCTGCAGCATATGTGAGGATTTGCTCACCGATGCTGTCATGATACCTTGCTGCGGCAACTCGTTTTGTGATGAATGTAAGTGCCCTTGCGCCCTTCAAAGTCATTCTTGTCGAATAGAATACAAAATAAATATCCTGTTACGGTAATTTTAACACAGAACAACCTACTTAAAAATTTCTGTTTGCCCCCTTCTTGCATTTTGCAATAAAAGCTTTTTGCTGTGATACCATTTTCAAACAAATTTATATAAATTGGACATATAACTTTCCTTGTTTTATTGAAGTTGCTGTTAGAATTGGATTATTTGACTTAATAATAAAATATATTAATTGAAGACTAAATGTCTAAATAAACTTTCATTTTTTTCCTAAGTTGAGAGGGAATTTATTCGGGGTGCATTGCTAAATTAAATAATTGAACAAAATCATTTAGTTAGTAAAACTTACTTTGTTGTTAATTAAAACTAATTGGGTAAAATAATCTAATAAATTTATTAATTTACTTCATTAGGTATTTACTGTGTTGATGGCTTCTTATTAAAAACACTATATTACTTAGATTGAAGTTGGAAAATTGTGTACTTAGACACTATTCAAACTGTTAACCATGAATTTTACTGCCTGTTTCAGGCATTCGAAGCGCTCTTTTAGAGAGTGAGGAACACGAGTGTCCGGACTGTAAGGACAAAGGTGTTTCACCTGACACATTACTGCCCAACCGCTTCCTCAGGAATTCAGTTGCCAAGTTCCGTAATGACACCGGCTACAGCAAACCTCTCCGACTCCCAATGCTATTCCCCGAACACGTCAAAATGCAATCCCCAGTGAAAGAAGAAGAGACCAAAGAGGAGACATCTCCAAAATTGGATCCTATCTCGAGGACACCGACGCCCAAGTCTGAGGAGCCACCAGAAAGGGAGCGAGATATGACCCCCGATTCTCGGCTGGACGAGCGGAGCCGCACCCCACCCAGACGGCGATACCGAGAGGACACCCCTACCCATGACGAACCCCTCCTCTCCATGAACCCAATGCCCCCATCCTCAACCCACCTCTTGGAACGACCAGTGGGTCCGCTAATGTCCTACCACGCGCCTCCTCCTCCCGGGGTGGACGACCATTACGTTCCCAACTACCCCCCTCCAGGACCACCACCCCAAGGTCCCCCTCCCATGGCTTACGGCCAAGGTCACCGTCCTCCTTTCAGGGGCCAGAGTGGCCAGTATTACGGCCGCAGAGAGCCAGAGTTCAATAATTACCCTTATGAAGGTGGACGACCCTTCCGACAGCAGCGGTTTGATCGACCGCCTCTCATCGAGGACCCGCTGGATGCCTTCAACCGCATCCTGAGGGAAAAGGATGAGCAAAGGCGAAGGCGCCGGGAAAGGTCTTTTTCACCCCAGAGGCAGATGAGGAGGTCGAGGTCACCCAAGGCCAGATCACCCAGGTCACGGTCACCTAAGTTGCGAAGGTCGCCACCCCCGTTGATGGGCATGAAGAGAAAGACGCCTAATAAGAAATACTCCCGGTCCAGGTACGTTTAACTTAATTTGCCTTGATTTAAATTAATTCCACGAACAAGAGAAGAGAAACTTCAATATTTTTATATTGAATTAGCTTGTGGTTTTAACATATTTATTTTACAGGTTTAATATCATAATGTGAGTCTTAATCCATAATCTTTTTATTCCATATTATATATTCCAATAAAATTAACTTCCAAAACTAATTCTTTTTCTGCAAAATGTTTACAGATCACGATCACCCATCATGCGTCGCCAAAGGTCAAGGTCTTTCTCCATGTCCCCAAGCCCGACCAGGCACATGCGTCCGCTTGCTCTCCGACCCAGCAGACACTCAAGATCTCCACCTCCTCACATTCGCTACGCAGACAGGCCTGATAAATACATGGAGCGGCCGGAAAAGCACATGGATAAGTACATGGATAGATCAGACAAGTACATGGATCGTGGGCCAAAGTACTTAGACAGGCCAGACAAGTACATGGAAAGGCCGGACAAGTTCATCGATAGACCGGACAAGTACTTGTTGGAGCGGCCGGATAAGTATTACGAGAAGCCTCCGGAGAAGTATGTGGACAAATACGCAGTTGAAAAGTATCCTGAGAGGCACGAGAAATTCGTAGAGCGGCCTGAGAAGTTTGTCGAACGTCACGAAAAACATTCCCGTTCTCGAGCAGTGGAGGATCACAAGCCATTCAAGCGGCATGAGAAGGAGCGAGTGCCGCCCAGGGAGGTTGAAGAGCGCGAAGTCCACAGGGAGCCAGAGAGTAGCGAAAGACTGCACAAAGAGCCTGAAAAGTTTGTGGTTGAAAAAGAGGAAACGCCGAAGAAGGACATAGAGGACTTCAGGACTCTGTTAAACATTAAAAAGGCAAAGCATGATTCGTCTGCCAAAAAGTCGTCGCCCGAACCCGAGGAGAAAAAGGAAACTAAAACAAAAGAGAAAAAGAAAAGGAGGGAGAGTGTGGGCTCTAAAAAGAAGAAACACAAGGAAAAGGACAAGGAGAAGAAAAAGAAAAGCAAAACACCGAAAGTTTCCAAAGGAGAGGACGAGGAGGAAAAACAGCAAGGTGAGGCACCCGACACTACAACTGCCGAGGAGGAACCAAAGGACGAGCCAGAACCAGTCAAAGAGGGTAAGGCTTTGCTGAATCAAAAATATTTAATCAATTAATCATTTAATTCTTGTAGTTGCAGAGCCGCCTAAGGTTGAGGAAAAGGCAGAAGAGCCTGCTAAGCCAGAAATTTTACCTGAGCCCTCCAAATGGGAGCATAGCGAAGAAGAACAGGAAACCTCCAGAGAGGAGCCTGCAAAGTGCCAAGAGGAAGAAAAGTCTGTCACTGTGGAGGTGTTAAAGAGAGCGGAAAATGCCATCTTCAAGAAGGCCATCAACGCCATCCGACCTGAGAGGAAAGTCTTTTTAGATGCAAAGGCACCAGAAGATATCCAAGTAAATGTGAGCGTACAAAATTTCTGAATGTCAAATGTTCTCATTATTGTAATTTTTCTATTATCAGATTACAGTTGAGGAGCCCGTAGTTAACAAAGTGGAGAAGGTTGTTAAAAAAGCAGAAAAGAGGAAATCAACTGATGAGCCGGAGACAGAGACGAGCAAAAAGAAGAAGCACAAGAAAGAAAAGAAAAAGAGGATCAAGAAAAAGACTAGTTCGTCATCAAGTGGCAGCAGTTCCGACTCAGAGGAGCACAAAAAGAAGAAGAAGAAGAAAAAGAAGGCCAAGAAGAAAAAACATCACAGTACAGAAGATAGTGAATCGTCTTCTGAGGAGGAAAAGAAAACCAAGAGGAAGAAAAAGAAGAAACACAAGAAATAAAAAAAAATTATCTTAATTCCCGATTTTGTTGTAGATTGAATAAAACGCAAGTCAAATGTAATACTCCTTGATTTTTCTTCAATTGCAACTTCAGTCTTTTAGATTTCATTTAATTGACAAATACTATGAAAATTTGTAAATCATTGAAAATCCTTAAAAAATCAGTTCTTCAACTCCATACTAATCAACAGTTTAATTTTTTATGCGAACGAATGCAAAATTTATTTAATAAGAGATTCAGCATAAAGTTGCTGCATAAAATATTTCACTACTGGTATCATTTTTATATGATATTTAAAGTTTAAAAAATGAAATGACAACATATCTGAATACTCACAACCCTCAACAGAACTTCATAGTTCCTTTATTAAGCGCGCGTTTGTTTCTGAAACATTGACGCTTGTCCCTGTGCGTTAATTCACCGCACCGTGTATTCTGCTAAAAATGTGTTGAACGGCGCCGGCGGCTAAACGTTCATGTTGGTATGGCTGCAGTAAAGTTGGCAACATAAATGCAGGCATTTGAAGCCAAAAGAAGTTTGAAGCCGGACTCAAGTCCAACCAAAACAAAACAAGCCAGAGACAAAAAACTGGTAGCGGGACTTTGCATGTAGGAAGACAGCCCCTTAGATTTATTGATGACAGTATCTAAAATCTTTATATTAATATATCAGTTATTATAGTGTCTTATTTTTCCAGAGATAATTTTCAATTGCCATAATTATCATGGACTTTGAGGTGAATCGACAGTTCAACAAAATATTCCAATTGCGATATGACGCTGACAACTTCACCCCACCAAAAGAACTTGTTTTTGAAGATACTGATGATTGCCTGGATGGCTGCGATCATTTACGGGTATGGTTGACTTGCAATTCTGGGCCACTTTCAATTCTGGGCCATCAAAATGAGTTTTTCTTGAGAAAGCACAAAACTTGGGGATGGTAACTGTTGTTTTGCAATGTGCAGTGGTTCCTTACATTATCTATTGTTGTTTTTTACAATAACTCCCCTAATTATATAAAAAATTATGTAGTAAACATCTAAAAGAAATGGGAAGTTTAGAGCAATGGATATTTGCAAAATTTTCGCATCCAATGTTTTATATTAATAAATTAAAATTTTTTAGTTAAAAGCTTTTGTTTAATCTTTTGATCATTCAATCTTCAAATTAAGTCAAATTTCACAGCGATCCGTGTATTAAATATTTAATAATTACTTGTTTTTTCTCAGGTGGGGGCCCAGAATTGTGAGGGATACTTTCAATTCTGGACCATTTAGTTCACTACATAGGGTTCATAGAAGGGCGGCCCAGAATTGTGAGTTTTACTTTCAATTCTGGGCCATTTGTTTTATCATGTAAAAAAGACGGTCCAGAATTGAAAGTAAGTGGCCCAGAGTTGTGAGTGCCACTTTCAATTCTGGGCCTTTTGTTTTTATCACAAGATGGTCCAGAATTAAAAGGAAGTGTGGCCAGAAATGAAAGTTAGTGGCCCAGAATCAAAAGTTACAAGGATATCGAAATTCTTAATTTATTCCAATAATCTGATAAATTGTAATTAATTGCATATTCAGAAATGGTTTAAATAAAGGTAATCCCTGTTATTTGTATACAACCACATTCCCCTCTGTTGTAAATATTTAGAAAATTGCCAATTTGAAAAAAGTGGCCCAGAATTGCAAGTCAACCATATGTAAATTTTTCCAACTCAACGTGAATTCTCATAAAAAAAAAATTAATTTTCCAGTCTGCTCGAATTCAACTGGAGACCACAAAGTCCAGGTTGAACTTTTTAAATCTTAATAAGTGGCATGAACACACAAAGTTCATCAATCCTGCTGGCAAGGTAAAATGGTTTGTGCAGAAAACATGCGACCCAGAACTGCTGACCCAAGCTTGGCTCAAATTTTACCAAATCTTGGACACTTTTGATCTCTTCAGCCAATGTATTGAAAGAAGCGACGATAAAGAGCATTCGGCAATATTGAGTCAAGAAGATGAAATATTCAGAACGCTGCATTTGTGTGAAGCTCCTGGTGCGTTTGTCACTGCCCTCAACCATTACATTAGAACGAATAATGATAATCTTAAGGTATGATTAACAAAATTAATTTAGTTAGAATACTAAAATTAAAATATATCTTAATTTTTACAGTGGCATTGGAAGGCGTCTTCTTTGAATCCTCATTACGAAGGCAACGATGGCACTACTATGGTTTCGGATGATAGATTCATTGTTCGAACCATTGACAAATGGGACTTTGGTCCAGACAAAACTGGAAATATTAAAGACGAGGACACCAGAATAGCTCTTGGGCACAGGGAGCGGTATCATCTTGTGACGGCAGACGGAAGTGTCGATTGTCAGGAACTGCCTCAACTCCAAGAAGAGACTGTGGCCCAACTGTTGTGGTGCGAAACTGCTGTTGCTCTGCAAAGTCTGTGGAAAGGAGGATCTTTTGTGATAAAAACTTTCACTTGGTTCAGTCCCACCACTTGCAGCCTGCTTTACACGTTATGCGCACATTTCAAGAGAGTGACGGCAATCAAGCCTGTCTGCAGCAAGGAGGGAAACTCAGAGGTTTACGTCGTCTGCCAGGACTTTCAGGGCCTGCCCCTGCGCAACTCAATCAAAAGGATTTGGGAAGCTTGCAAAAAGGAATCTCCAGTTCTGGCATCAATGCCTAATGAATTTTTGCAACGAGTTGCATCGGGAGCCCAATTCTTCTGTGATTTGCAGGTGTGATTTTTTAATTGAAGACTTGGAAACTCGCTAAATTCTTGAGTTCTTTGGGTGTTTCTTTTTAAAAAATTTTTTCAAACCAAATTTAAATAGATAATTTTTATTTTTATTCAATTAATTGTGATTTCAGGTGGAAGCAATTGAAAAGAATATCAGGCTTTACAAAGAAATGCCCAAAAGTGTTGAGCAGAAGATACGAAGCCTGCAGACCAAGATTGCTGAGGAGTTTGTCGAGAGATTTGGCCCGATGAACCGCATTGATGCCACAGTAGCTCCGAGGGACAATTACCGTCATTTGAGTCCACCCAGCTGTCCCTGGTCAAACCACAAAATAAAAATGATGCGAAAATCCCTTACGGAAAAGGACTCGTCAAATGCACAGGAAATTCTTAAAATGATCATCCCTACCATCAGTAAAATCAATCTGAAGACTCCTGCCGTCGTCCCTGTGATCAACGTTGGTACTCGTATCAAATACGGCAAAGTTTTTGAAATTGTGATCAACTCCAAGTTCCTTCCTCCTTGGCTGCTCAAACTTTACCACTTCTGCCGTTTCCTGAATGTGCCAATTGAAAAGCCCGAAGGTGCCTATTTTACTGCCAAGGGAAACTACAGGCCTCGTCTTAAGACAGCCTTGGACGCCCTGGAGAGAGGAAAGGATTTCTGCATCAGCGGCTTTACCCTGCTGACCTATGTAGACGTCGGGATTCTTGTTTTGTTGACTCAACAATTCGACAAGTGTGTCTTAACTGAAGTTACGCCTCTGGGATGCACATTCGAGTTCCACGGCTACAAGGGCTTCAGCGACCAGCTGGCCTGCGCTTTGTCTGTGCCCAACACAAGAGAAATGCCTTATGTGTGCCCATACACTGGAAAGCAGGATGAGGTTAAGATGGAAGTTGTGCAGCTTCTGGAAGTGGTGCCCATCACATCAATTTTATGTAAGTCAAATTTTCATTTATTTATTTTATTTTATTTATTTATTCTCCATTCAGATACAATGAAATATACAATACACAACATCTTACATCAAGTCAAATAAAATTTGATTTGTTTTTGTTTATCAAAAATTACTACTTGGTCATTTCCTGTCTTTACGTTTTTGATGCTGGCCTAAGGAAATAATTCTATTGAACTTTTTCATTTTACGAAAAGATCATGGAAGAGGATGAAATAAATTAAGATGGTGGGGAAAGAATTGCATTTAAATATTATATTTATTTTCTTATTTCTACTATTACAAAGTTCAAATTTTTGGGAGCAATTCCTCAATAGGTTAAAGTTTATTCAACATATAAACACCAACCAAGACCATTTATTAACTCCAATCAAGCTCAATATCATCATTAACTTATTTTTCAACAATAATAAATTAAATATATTTTAAATTTGCAGACGAAATTAAATTTCATCAATATAATTTATTTATATATTTATTATATTTTCATTTCATCCTCAAATATATCTGATTTATTTACAAACTTCAATAAAAAGGAGAACGGAGAAGCCTCATTTGGATTTCTAGCACACAAACGGACAAATTTGGTGGCGATTCATTTTTTTCTTCATATTATTAGGCTGCTAGAGTTTCTATTACAGGATAACTCATAAAATTGAAAATTAATAAGTAATTGGTAATTAAATTTAGTAAAAACTAATGGAAATATCTGATGAATTTTTTTTTGCGAATTTTGCACGATTTATTTGACACATGAGCATATTGGTTGGGAGAAGCAGGCGATCTTTACAAGCCGCCTAAGGTAAATCAGATAATGGAGCTAAAAAAACTGGTCCGCTGATCCGTGACGATTGCGAAAACTGGGTGACTGACGATGGAGTAGGATGATTCAATTACATATTTTTTCGACGGTTTTTCACAATAATTTCACGCTAGTCAAGGGAAAAAAATATGGGAACATCCAAACAAAATAATTTTAATTTTTCAAATAAATAACTTAAAAAAAATTTCTCAAAACATTTTTTATGAGAATGCTGAATAGTAATGAAATCTGTGAAGTTCAAAGTCTTGAAAGATAAATAACCCTTCACCGTGTAATCCGTAGCACACGCCTCTGCTTGAATAAATTGCACTGTATGTACGGTGCTTGGCGGCGGTCGCGGCGTAGGTTGTGCGAATGGTGCTCGGAAATCAATGCGAACAAATAGCGATTGTATGCACGTATGCACATTAGCGTATGCAGTTACTTTTTACACCGACGCGTGTAAAGAGAGCGGCCGCAGCATCTCGCAGTCATTTTTCAATGTAACAGGAATCTTTCAGCAGGGTGCTTCCTTACACCGTCGTGCTGAATAAATGGAAAGAAAACCTCTTGACGGTTAATAATAAAGATGATTCTAACCGTCGCTAGCCGGAATGTTCACTCTTTGCTCAGCAGCCTTGTTAGGCCGCGAGATTAAAGGGAGACAGGTCTAACAAAAAACTAACTGAACGTTTTGTACAAATCATCGTGGGGTGCATTGGTTTAGTTTGCGTACTTATATATTTTGATAAAACGGCATATTTTCGGTGTCCCTGAGCGCCTCCGTCAGACCAACAATATTTTATTTGCGACAAACTAGCAGGAATAATAAATTCGGGACCTAAGGTGTGATCAATAGAGCTGAATTTTGTTAAAATTAAACCTGAGCGCCTCGGTCAGACCTAGAATATTTTATTTGCGACAAACTAGCAGGAATAATAAATTCGGGACCTAAGGTGTGATCAATAGAGCTGAATTTTGTTAAAATTAAACCTGAGCGCCTCGGTCAGACCTAGAATATTTTATTTGCGACAAACTAGCAGGAATAATAAATTCGGGACCTAAGGTGTGATCAATAGAGCTGAATTTTGTTAAAATTAAACCTGAGCGCATTTTTTTTATAAACAAATTTCATTGACCTATAAAACTTTATGTACACTATTATTTAAAGAAGAAGTGACTATTAAATAGTCTTGTATTGAGAGAACCGATTTGCAAATAGTACAAAAAATGCGCCGCTATACGTGCTGAGCACGTCTCTTCCCAGCACCTGGTTTTTTTTTACATGATCCACGTGCTTCATGAGAAAAAATATTGAGGTCAGGTCGAGTCGATGAAACTAATCAAACGTGGCAGCTGGAGATGTTCCGGGCTCGAATTTTAATTATAAAACTCCTTTTCCGTAAATAACATTTTTAATTTTAACCTGGTTTCAATAAACACAAAAATCGTGCGAATCAACAGGTTTCTTATCTGTTGCTACGCGCGCGGCCAGCACAAAAATGTATATACCAGTTTGTAAATAAAAATATACATGTTTGTTTATTTTGGTAGACGGTGACCTGCACCCCCTGGTCGAGCAGGCGAACGAGCAGACGGTGCTGCGTTTGGCGCAGGCGACGCTGGCCCTTTTACCTGAAAATCGAGGTGACCGACTAACTGTTTGACTCAGTGACTTAGTGAAAAAGCAGGTCCTGGTGGGGGTCAGCTGACCGTGTTACTCTAGGCGGCTCATTCAACAGCCGGCCATGGACAAGGACTCTGCTGCCTCCGCTTCCTCCTCGTCCAAGCAGGCGGCCACCGGCGGCGGCAGCGGCCAACAACCGAGACGGGTGCAGGTGACGGCCAAACTGCTTTTCGGCTCCGTCTCCGCCATATCGTCGATGAGCGCGGCCGAGCGCGGCCGCAAAAAGCAGCAGCAGTAAAGTGAGGTAGGAAAGTGACGACGGGCAGTCAGATGTGTGGAACGAACGCTCACACTTGCTTCTTGCACAAACACACACTAACGGTGCAAAATGCAGCAAATTCATCATTCGGGTTAATTGCCGGTGAAAGCAAAAGTCCCGCCGCATTTTGGCTATAAACACGCCAGATGCGCCCAACAGACAGGAAAAACTCGCAAACCCTTTCCTCTGGCGATCTATAAAATCTAGTTTGTAGTTTTTAGTATTATCAATGTTCTTTTTCTACTTGACATATTTCAATTTTTTATTCTTATGAAAGGAAAATTTTTCTGCTGGTAGAAAAATGAAATTCAGAAATTATATTTTTAATAATTTGCAAAAATCAAAATGTGTTGAATAAGGAGAAATTTGAAAAATCAGGTGCTTATCTGGTTGTTAATTCGCGATATAGCTCAATTTTTGTTCCAACCAAGGTTTAAATTTTATGTGATCAAGGGGTTAAATTTAAAAATTAATGTTTCTGTTGAGCTCTTTAAATAATTTTTTTTTGCATAATTTTCAAATTTTCATAGTAATATATGGGGGGTAACTGCAAATCTTCAAGCCAGCCTCTAAAAGAAGATTGAAATAAAGCAATCTGCAATAACTTTGCGTAATAAACTTACAAAGTTTTTCATTTCAAATGGCCCTTTAAATTTTTAAATACTATATAAACCATCTTGAATCTTTTGGAGCCCTTTTGAATTTCTTTGAAAATAAATTATTAAATAGGGATATCAAATATTTTCATGAAATTGAATATTTTTTTTCTAAAATGCTTTTTAATTCTTAGGCCATTTTAAAATTTTTTCCATGTAAATTGGCACCATAAATTAACATGTCATTTTTAATTAAACGCTGTCACAATACGTGTCCTTTTGTTAACAGTCTACGACCGGTAGCGAATTTTATATCCAAACGAGCGTGGCAGCGATTTGCATGCCATTAACACGCCGCTAATTAGTCGGTCATTAACTTAAAACACACGGCAGCAATCAGAGCGCGACGGAGGTGCAATTTTGAAAAAAAATCCCATTCTTCCCGCCGCTCTCCCACAACCTACAACAACGAAAGGGCATTACAGTTAACTCCTTGCTTTTTCCGAAATTACTCATCCCGTCGTCGCTAGGCCGATGGGCTTACGGTACACACTCTTGTGTTTACCATACCATAATGCGTGACTCTCTCGTGAAAGATGCAATCGCTCCCCAATATAATAATCCTCTGAAAATAAAGAGCGTGCGAGCGAGAAAGGCAGGCGGCGGGTGTCGTTGCCTCCTTTCGTCATTTCGCTTCCTGATGCCACTACGGTAACTCGCTTTTCGCACGGCGCCTCGTCCCAACTGACTCTCTCTCTCTTCTCTTCTTGTTCGCAGGTTGCTCCTCTTGCTGCTGTGGTTGGCGGGGCCAGCGCACCCCTTCACCCTGCCGCCCTTCCTCAGCCGCCTCTTCAACTACTCGCCGGCGGTGGAGGTGGAGGGGCGCTCCGACCTCAACCCCACCCCCAAACTAACCCCCGAGGAACCGGAATGGGTGCCCTTGGCTCCTCTGGCGCCCTCGGCCATCACCGAAATCATCCCTCCAGATCGGACCACCCCTTCGGAAGCCACAACCCTCGCCCCGACCTGGCTCCCTGTCAAGTGCCTCCCGGCCAATGACACTCAGGGGCGCCTCCCCACCCGTCTCGACCCGATCGAGGCCGAGGAGGACCCTGCAGAGACCGAATGGCAACTGGTGCCCCTCCCGGATGTCCAGGTGGTGCACCGGATCCCGTGGGACTCGCAGGTCTCCCCCAAATTTGCACAGCACCGCCCCTCTTTTCACTCCCAGAACTTGTATCCCCCGAAAGAATGGCTCTCCAGGCCGGACGAGGTTCGCCCTGAGCCCGAACCTGAACCTGAGCCAGAACCTTTCCCCGAGCCGGAACCCGCGGCCGAACCAGAGCCGGTGTCGGCCTTGGGCTCCACCGTGGTGGTCAAGGCGGCGTCTGAGTTCGGCGTGGAGCAGATGCTGCAGTTGTTCAACGTCACCGAGCCGCAGCTGTACAAAGAGGGCCTCTTTTTGCCCAAGAGGAGCCCCGGGGCCCTGGTGGCCTCGTTCAACTGGCAGCCCGGCAAGGCGCTGCCCCTGGCCAGGTACGCCCACGCGACCCTGCTCGCCTCGGAACACCTCAAGGAGTCGCTCTTCAGGTTGGTTAAAACGAGTTTTGCGTATGGGTTAATGCGCGCGTATCCTCGATCGGTGCAGCCGCTGACTCTTTGGCCCCGTTCGCGCCGACAAGTTTCTAGCACGTTCCGTCCTGCATTACAATTATTATTCTCGTTGAATATATGAACTTATTCTACTCTCGCGCCTGCACCGGTAATGCTGATTTTCGCACACAATACCTCTGAATTTATTTCACCCGTATTATTTAAATAGAGGCTCAGACAGTTTTTTAATCACGAATACTCTCATTTCTTTGCAAAAAATTGCATGTTTGACCCAAAACTGATTGTATTTATTTAAAACATGGGAAGTAAAAAATAGGGCATGCGGGTTTAGTTTTATTGAAAAAGAAATTAGAGCCTATTTACCCCAAGCGTACTCGGCTGAAGTTTATTTAAAGTAAATAACGCAAAGATTGCTGACAATTTATGTTTTCAAGAGTGGTGATTTCTTAATTTCAATCAAAATCAACTTGCACTACCCAATGGTATGCTGGTATAGATACAAACTTTCGCCCAAGTTTGCAAGAGAGTTAACAATATGAAATTTTTTGAAGCAGGCAAAAAGTGTCCTCTGTGCATAGATTTTGCATACTTTACACTTTCTGTCACACAATTAAAGTAACATTCAATTATCAAAAGTTTACTGTGTGAAATATTCAGAATTTTCGTTTTCCTCAAGAGTCGTACATAAAGTTGTATTAAAATCAGGGACGTGATAGCGATTTTCATATAATTATTTCAACTGTAAATTTTTACAATTAAATAATGCAATTTAGAAATTTTTTACTTTTATTTACATAAAGCTTTATTATTTTATCAATTTCTTTTATTTTTCTTATATTGTTCTTATATTCTAATATTTTTTTAAACTAGATTTATTTTATTTGAATTCTTAAACTGAACTGAAGGAGAATATTTTATATTTTGATTTATAAGTTTAGCGTTTGTCTATTTTTACAAGTACATTAATTTAAAATAAAAGCCAGCCATCTTTGGTTTGAAATTTAAATATTTAATGTAAAAATAATTTATTTTATAATTAAATCGCACATTTCATTGCAGACTCACTGGTAACAACCGCGCCAGTCCGTCCAACTCCCTTCTGCGCGAGTGTCCCCTTCGAAAGGGCGACTTTCCGTGCTCGCGCACCCCGCAGCGGTACCGCTCGGCCGACGGTCGGTGCAACAACCCGCGGTTCTCGAACCGCGGGGCGCCGTTCACTCCGTATCGGCGGCTCCTTCCGCCCTCGTACAACGACGGCATCCAGGAGGTGCGGCGCTCGGTGACCGGCGCCGAGTTGCCGAGCGCGCGCACCATCAGCGTGGCGGTTCTGCGCGACCCGCAGGACAAGAAGGTGGCGGACGCGGACAGCAAGGCGTCGCACCTGCTGATGCAGTGGGGCCAGTTCCTCGACCACGACATGATCGCCACCCCGCAGAGCCACGGCTTCAACGGCTCGGTGCCGCTTTGCTGCCGCGCCGACAACTCGGGCGAGCTGCAGCCCAACCAGCGCCACCCCGAGTGCTACCCCATCCCCGTCGACCCCAGCGACCAGCACTACTCCAAGAGAGGGGTCAGGTGCTTGCACTTCGTCAGGTCCGCCCCTGCGCCCAGAGACGATTGTGGTTTCGGCGCCAGGCAGCAGGCAAACGCTGTGACCGCCTTCCTCGACGGCTCCACCATCTACGGCAGCTCCGAGGAGAGGCAGCTTGAGCTGCGCCTTTTCCATCAGGGTAAAGAAATTATTAACATTTGGATGTCAAATTAATTTTAATAAGTAAAATTAAATTGTTAATTGATTGTTAAATGATTTAATTTTTTTGAATTTGTTTTTAAATGTTCAGACCCTGTTATTATTTTGTCAGGTATTCCAAAGAGGGATAAAAAATTTAAAAAAAAAGAACCGCTTCGTTCATAAATAATAATTTAATAAATTAGACCTTAAATAGAATGGAATATTTGGTCGGGAGTCGTCGCATGAAAAAATCATTCTGCAATTATTTCGAATATTCTATCTGTTTAATACTCGCATGAAAACGGCGTGAAAAAACTGATGATTTAAAATTCGTTCACCCATGGGTGTTTTTTTTTGCCTGAAATTATATTTTTTAATCTTAATCTATATTAAGCCAAAAATCAACATTTTTAATCACAAATACAATAAATAATTTTTCACCCTGTTATCGTTTCAGGCCAATTGAACACAATGCCCGGCAAGAAAAGCAAACCCCTTCTTCCTCCAGCTCCTCCCGACGAGCAAGTCGTCTGTCGAGCATCAAAGCGCCACCCCTGCCTGAAAGCAGGCGACCTGAGAGTCAACGAACAACCAGGCCTGACCTCCCTTCACATTCTGTTCCTCAGGGAGCACAACCGCGTTGCCAAAGCTCTGAGCGGCCTCAACCCAACCTGGAGCGACGAGCAGCTTTTCCAGGAGGCGCGACGAATTGTGATTGCCGAAATCCAGCACATCACATTAAGAGAGTTCCTTCCTGTTGTTTTAGGTATTTAAACTACTGAAATAAAAAAATTCATATTAAAGCGCAATCATCCTCTTAGGCCCAGATGTCTACAAAGTGTTTGAATTCAACGGCACCCACACAGGTTATGACGAAACCGTCGACCCGACCATTCCCAATTCTTTTGCTGCTGCAGCATACAGATTCGGCCACTCCTTGGTGCAGGATAAATTTTGGCGCTGCAATGCACTTCACCAGCGACTTCAGCACAGTATGTCTCTTAAATTAAAAGGAACATTTTTATAATTAATTTTTTTAGACAAAACTCTTCACCAAGAACTGGCCCAGCCTGGCATTGTGATGGCTGCAAACACACCGGAGCGCATTTTAATTGGAATGAGTCGTCAACTGGCTCGTAATTCTTACCACACCATGAGCCGCGAACTGACTGATCATTTATTTGAAACGCCTGGTACTTTTATGAATTTATTCTTAGTATAATTTTTTTCAAATAATTTTTTTTCAGAATTCAACCCGGGCCTGGATTTGGCCGCAATGAACATCCAACGAGGCAGGGATCACGGCTTAATGCCTTATAACAGTTGGCGTGAGCCATGTGGTTTGAGGAGAGTCGAAAAGTGGGAAGACCTGACCTATGTCATGTCTTCAAAGCACGCAGCTCTATTGCCGCAACTATATAAGTAATTTTTCTCCGAGTCCACTAGTTTGGGCATTAATTGGGAATTTTAGTCACGTAGATGACATTGATCTCTTTGTCGGCGGTATGGGAGAAAAGCCTGTTCCTGGAGGCTTAGTCGGGCCAACCTTTGCCTGCATCATTGGCCAAACTTTTGCCGATTTACGGGTCGGAGATCGAATGTGGTACGAGGCCGAAAACGAAATGAGCTCTTTCTCGCCAAAGCAGTTGAATGAGCTGAAAAAGGCAAATTTGGCTCGGATTATGTGTGACAACTTGGAAGGTTTGCTGACGATCACTAGATTTCCTATGAAAGCGCACAACAGCCACAAGTAAACTATTTTATTTGTAAATTTGAGCTTTCTTATTTGAACTTTATTTTCCTAGCAATTCCTATGTTCAGTGTGTAAACAAGAAGAAAATCAAAGAAATTGGCCTTGCGCAATGGCAAGAGCTAGTCCCGGGAGACCCCGACGCGGTCGTCATTGAAGATGTGAAGATAAAGCGGACAACCCCAAAGCCAGGACAAAGGCCAGGATTTGCGCAGATGCTGCTAAACAGGTTGCGGCCACGGCCAACTAGGCCCAGGAACAAATTAAAAGAGGGTGACGCTAACCTCCTTGAGGGTATTCAAGTTCAAACGTATTTTCTTAGATCTTTAAATTTTGTAAAGGACGAGCCATGGCCCACCGTTGAAATACCGAAACCAAACTTCAGATGATGTAAAATTGAATGTAAATATTTATTGAAATGTATTTTAATAAACCTTAACTTATTAATTAACTGCGAGTTACATGGAGTTGAATTATATTATTGGTTTCCAGTGTGTTCGTTATTTTATATTATAATAGCTTAATTTAAGAAGGACTAGGGCTTGCGTCAGGCTAAGACTGGGTTACAGGATACAAATATTATTGAACCTTCATGGTCTTTAATACATTCATCTAATCAAAGATACATCTTGCTTTTTTACTTTTGATACAAGTTTGTTTTTATATTTACGATTGATATATTATGAAGCTTATACCATTGAAAAGTTTACATAGGCCGCCAAATTATTAATTGCTTTCAAAATACACCTCAGTCCAAGCCTGGCTTTATGTCGAAACAATAATCACAGAAAATCAGCACCAAATCAGGAACTTAGTTTTCATTAGCCCGAGTCCAGCATCTTAGCAATTACTTGAGCCTCCTTTGTCACAGACTCGTCGTTCGAAAGGGTTTTCAGGATTGACGGTATGTCGGCTTTGATCAGGCTCTCCTTAGCTGTTGATTCCAAACTATTAACTAAAATTTTAATTATTAAGAGAAGTGACCTACCAATAGGCACAAGTAGTTTGATAACTGCCAGCGCGTTCGATGTCATAGGTACGTCTTTGGCTTCCTTCAGTACAGTGCTCAGGTTGGAAGCGGTCGTTGCGTCTTTGAAAACATTCAGGGTGGCCTCAGGCAGATCTTTTGCGGAAGATGAGATTAGGGCCAAGGCTAAAAGGGCTTCGTTTCTCATGACAACATGCTCAGCAACCAGCATCGACGCCAGGCACTTGACGCCTCCTGCTGCTGCCACAGCTTTGTTCACCTCCGACCTTTTGGCGTTTTTCACCAACCAGGCCAGAAGGCGGTTTGCTTCACCCTGAACCCCAGGGTGGTCATCAGTTGAACACCAACCGACGATTTTGTTCAACAGGGATTCATTTGTTCCCAACTGACCAGCAGCATTTTCTGCAAGAAATTTTATTACAAAACAAACCCAAATTGCTATTTCCAATCTTAAACCTTGGCCGTCGATTGCCATTCTCAAAGTGCCGAGAAGTTTGAAGACCACAGGGGAGGTGGGAATTTCCAACATGGGAAGAACACTATCCAACAAACCATCCTTCAGCAGAATTGGTTTGTTTTCAGCTGGGATTGCGAGATTTCGAAGAGCACTGAGGAGAGCGTGTTGCAGTCTGATGCCTCCTGACGTCGAATTATTCTTATCAACCAATGCCAAAAGTTTTTTACCGATTCCCTTTTGCACGATTTGGGCACAGTGTTTGTCTTAAAAAAAAAAAAAAAAATAGTAATAAAGAAATATTATTAATTTTCCTGTTAAATTAAATTTACCGGTCCTTGCAAAATTGCCCATGGCTAGAACGGCTGTGACCTGAAGATCTTCGTCTTCGGCAGACAACCACTCAGCCATTTCCTTGAAAACTTGTCCCTCCCCGTCTTTGTACAAAAGCTCCATTGCGTCGTCCCCAGTCAGAACGGAGACTATTAAGTCACAGGCCATTTTTAGAAGGCTCCTGGCCTCGTCGTCCTGCAAGAGATCTTTGTGTTTGTGCGCCAAGCCGTTCAGTTGCTCACAAAGTTTGGCCTTGGCTAAGTGAGATTTTACAGATTCTGAAAATAAAATTTATTAAAAAATTTTATTAACTAAAATGTTAATCCCACTACCATTTTCTGCTTGGCCCAGCATGAGCTCCAAGCACATTTCGCTGATTTCTCCAGAGGTCGTTCGTCCGAGCAAAGTCACCAGCGCCTTGCACAGACGGTCGCTGAGCAGCTCATTGTCAATGTCAGCCAACAGATTGAGGATCATCAAAATGTGACTCTGTCCGTTGTCTTCTTCGTTGCTTGACTCCAGGAAGTCTGTCAAAATAGGCACCACACCGAGTTCCAACGCCTTCTTCTGCGTCTCCTCCTGTCCGGCCAACAAGTTCAGCAGAAATCCGGCGACAACGCCCTTTAGTTGCGGATTCTGTTTTATTGCTTGGCTCAGCAATGCCAGGACTGTCTCCAAACCCTTTTCCACTTCAAGCACTTGTGCTCGTCCATCATCTAAATTTTTAATAAAAATTATTCGTTTGATAAAATTTTTTTTTATTAAATTTAAAATCAAACCATTTTCATAGCAAATATTTCCGAGAGCTCTGCATGCCTGGAGCTGCACGTTGGACTGATTGCTGAGGTGCAACAGATTGGTCAAGGCCACCATGAGCTTTTTGTCAGCGGCAAAAGCACTTCTGCCTGCTTCCAGTTTCGCGAGTTCGGCGGTCGCTTTGGCTGCACTCTCGAGAATAGGGAAACACTTTGAACGAGACTCAAGGATGCTCGTAATTCGAGCTGCAACATCTTGGTGCGTCTCTTTGGTTTCTGCAAATGGAAAGGAGAGTAATGAAAAATCCATATATTAATTTTTCGCGGTCTGGTGTGAAATTACCGTCGGAAAAATCAGCCGCCGACAAAACGACAGCATCCAAGGCGGAGGAAAGTGCATCTTCGGAATCGCATGTTTTCAGCAGCTCGAGGAGCGCAGCCAGCGAACGTTTTTTGCTCGGTTCTGAAATCGAAACAAAAATAGACAATTTTTTCGAAAGGACGAGCCCGTCGAACGCCCACCTGTCATTTGCAAAAGTTGTTCATCAACCAGAAGATCAAAAGCATCAAAGCGCCGCCCTTAGCCGAAGTGCACCTTGGCGCCGCCCAAACACCTGCAGTGAGTGCAAATTGGCAACAATTCCAGCACTCGGCGCGCGCAGCAGTTGGCAGCTCTGCGCGCAGCAGTGCCAGCAGTGCGGTTCTCCATCGAAAGGCGCCAGTTGCGCCGTTTCAAAATCGATGCGAAGACGATGTGCGGCAGCCGACTGCGATCCTGCGGTGCCGAAAATAATGCAGACGAAGTGCTCCATTGAGAAGAATTTGACGTCGCAAGTGGCCAAGCCGCAGAAGGTCTCGGGCCCGCCGTTTTATGCAACGCCGCCGAGCAAGAAGACGAGCGCCGAGATTATCAACGAGGCCAGGGCGGCCGTCGGCCTCCGCGTCGGCATGAAGGCCGTCAGCACCAAGAGGCCCTTCACGCCGAGGGACAAGCAGAGGAGTTTGTTCGGCAAAAACCGCGGGTCTCAAAGACCCCCGAGTAGCATTTCCAGGTTTGCTTTGCTCGCCGTTTCCATGACGACCCTTCCTTCGTAAATATAAAACGCAAAAGGCGGTGCACACATGACACCCCGCGTTGGTTCTTTATACACCCCCTGTCAATAGAGCTACTTCTTCTTTTACTGGGTCAAGGGTTCGACCTCGATATAAACAAAAGCTGCTGTGCCGCTTTTAAATATCCCTTGACATACACAAAATTACTTTCAGCCCTTTTATCTTGATTGAATAAATTTCTACTGCTTGTTTTATATTAGTGGTGCTTTTTAACCGAAGGATAACGTTAACTTTTTAGCGCTAAATATTTTATTTACGAGATATCTTTCCCTGTAATCAATTTTACGAGCCGAATCCATTATTAAAATTGTTTCCAGTTTGAGTTTGCACGTGGAAGAGGAAAGTGGTCCTTGGGGTATTCGGCTGCCGTTGATTTCACAGAGGGAGGCGAAGCACCACAAGAGCAGGGCGCAGCAACCATTGAGCAAACGTACGCGGTTTTAAATTTATGCATGAAGATTTTAATAGTTGCAATTTTGAAATTAGTTCCATTGGACTCGATCAAGAAAAATAATAGCAAACCGCTAGAATCGTTGTCTGTCGGGGCGTTGATCGCCGAAAGTCAGAAGCAGGCTGAGGGCCAAAGCTGCGCAAATGACGACACCAGCGATGAGATCCAGTCGCTCATCAAAGTTATGCAAATATTGGCTGCAGACGGTGAATATTTTGCCTATTATAATTTAATTTTGCTGAAAGTTTTAGTAATAGGTGGAGATGCGAAGGAAATAGAAGCAACGCTGCGAAAAGTTTACAATGCATGTGAGCGGGCAGAAATGCTCGGGCGCCGACAAACGTCCAACCCTACTAGGGCGCACTTGCTGCAGACGTTATTTTTATTTGTGGAAAATGACGAGCAAAGGGTGCAAATGCAAGTGGCTCGAATTCTCCTGGGAGTAAGCAAATCAAATCAAAAGTTATATAATTTAGTAAAATTTCAAATTATTCAGCTCCAAGTCATGGGTTCGAATTTAAGCGCCGTCTGCAAATTACTCTTCAAAGTTTCAAGGAGCGACCAAAATGACAAATTATTTCTGGAGGATAACGTCCTAGGCAATATAGAATTATTAAATTTATAATTTTAAATTAATAATAATTTCTAATAATTAGAATTGCTTTTGGAGCGACTCGGCGCGGCCAGCTTGTTGGAGGACTCGGAGGCCTGCGTTTACGGCTACGGCGCTTTGAAGTGCATCACTCTTGAGCCGCGAATTGTAGCCCGTGTTCGCGAGCTTGGTGGTTTGGCCCTGATGGTTCTGCACCTGAAGCTGACCAACCTGATGGCCCACGAAGGATCAAGTGTCCCTGAAAAGGTACAACCGGCCCTTTTCCAGCTGACAGGCGCCCTTCGACACATGGCCGGCGACCAGACCGGTCTGCCCTTCTTGGCCAGCTGCGGTGCCGTGGCCCAGCTCTGTCGAACCCTGCAACTCTTCCCGAACGACCCTGACCTGGTGACCAACGTCGTGCGCACCTTGAGCATTGCCTCGATGGACGAGACCTGCTGCGACGCCATTGTGGCCCAACAGGGCAGCCTGAAGAATTTCGTTTTCCTCCTGCAGAAGTACCCTGAGCGTCAGGACCTGGTGGTCAGGTTGAGCTACGCCCTGGGTAACCTGATGGCCCGCAGCGAGCACGCCAGGAACCAACTTTTGGGCGAGGAAGGCACTCGGACTGCGGTGCTGTCCGTCCTTGAAAGGTGCTACCAGGAGGACCAACGAGGTGCAGCCTCTGCTCTGCATGCCACCGAGGACGTCCTGGTCAAGGTCCTCCGAGTGGTGGCCAACGCCAGTTTGAGTGAGACCGTCGGTCCCGGCCTTGCAGATAGTCCTGAGGTTTTGTCCGCCATCCACGGGGTGCTGACCAACCAGGCGGCGTCTGAAGAGCTCCTCCTGGGCGCCCTTTTGACCTTGAACAACCTTTCCTTCTACCCGAGTGCCGTCGAGTCGCAACTGGCTGAGCAGCAGCTTGTGTTTGCCGAGGACCTTCTGCCACTTCTCGCCAAGGACGTCCCTGAGCCTGTTACAGTGGAGGCACTCAGGGTGTTTGGCAACCTGAGCAGGTGGAAGGACACGCGGAGTTTTTTACTGGATCAAGAGGGCCGTAAGTGGAAGTTTGGATTAAAAAAAAAATAATAAGTTTTGATTTCTAAAATAATGAAAGTAATTATAACCTGATTTTACTGACACTAACAGCCATTTAATTTATGTAATGTAATATTAATTTTTTTTAATGAATATTTTAATTTTATAATAATTTTAACCTTGAAAATTAAAAAAAAAATAACTTAACATAATATTAGTTTTCTTTATGTAATAATATTATAATATATTATAAAAAAATTGAATTTTTTGAGGCGTTCTGTAGGTTACGTTGCAGTTTGATGAAAAAATTAATTATGAATAAAACAGCTGTTGCATGAATAAATTTATCCCAAAATACCAACAATTGCGTGTCGTAAAGGCTTTTGCTTAAATATTTATTGTTCAGTTTCAGACCGAGTTGTGTCTCTATTGAGTGAGGGTGACCAAGCGATTCAATATGTGGCCATTGGAGTTCTCGTTAATTTACTTTCTGACCCAGACGGACGTCCAGCTTTGAGAAATATAGGAATCATATCAAAGTAAATTGAAAAATCGATGAAAAAAAATTTGTTAAAATTATTAAAATAATAATAATAATTTTTAGGCTCATATCATTAGTGCAGTCGCAGAACAATGATTGGGAACTGGCCTCCCTCACTTGCCAAGCTGTTTGGAACTGTTTGGCAGACATATCAGATCTTTCCAAGATCATGGACGAGCAGCAAACGGATAAATTAGCAAACACGCTGGCTGATATGCTTGATGAGGAAAAATTATTCGGAGTCGAGGAGGGTCAAGAGGTGCCGGAGCACGTAGCAAAAACCTTTGAATACCAAATGTGGGACGAGTTTGCCAGTGTGGCAACCAATTTGCTAGAGAGACTGGAGAGTTTTATAGACCAAAACTGCAACTAGATGCCTTTTGAAAGCCTTTGCATATTTTGCAACAACGAACCGTGTTTATTGTCAGTTTGACACAAATGACTAATCTTTGAATATCGCGCTTGCTATTTAAGCAGAAAAAATGCCTAATAGTTCCATAAAATCACAATGCATGAAAATTACGACATGTATATAAATCACAGATAACACTCAATAATATTGGAAGACAATTTTGTGGTTTCCGGTTGAAGCGATTATATGGACATGCTTACGCGCTACTTTGCCACTGCAGAAACAACTACGTTGGGCTGCTCGATGTCAGACTTGCTCTGGATCAGCTGCAACTCCAAATGCGCCTTGCTTGGTGGTTTCCCGCCAGACAGCACTAAAATGGTTTTTAAAAGGATTTGTTATTGTTGAAAAAATAAAAATTATTTATCCCAATAACCTTGTGCGTTAGCAAGAGTCCTCTTCAGCACCGCTTGCAAAGTGGAAATTGTCTTCTCGACGGCACCTTTCAGGTCTCCACCTGTCTTGGTCATCCAGGCCAAAAAGAGGGCGGCAAAGAGGTCACCGGTCCCAGTAAAAATGGCTGGCAGTTTTGGAATGTTGACTGAAATTCTGGTGCATTTCTCTCCGTTTTTGTATGAAGCAAGTGCAAGAAGGTTGTCGTCGGAACCCAGTTCAGTTGACGAGAGGATCACCGTGCGAGGACCTTTTGCATGGAGAAGATCCAGGGTGTTCCAGGCATCTTCCACGTTGTTGATTTTTGTGCCGGTTAAAAGCCTAATCCAATGAAATATTAATTTAATCTGGTGAAAATTTCAAAATGATTATTTTACTCCGCCTCAAACTGATTTGGGGTGATTATGTCTGCAAGGGGCAAAATTTGGTCTCTGTAGATGGGAAGCAACTCCTTGGGAACGTACATCTCGCCATTGTCACCCATCACAGGGTCACAAACAAAGATTAGGTTGGGGTTGACCTTCCTGATCCGAGGAACGAGCTGCACAATTCGAGTTAGAAATGACGGAGAGCCCACATAGCCGGTCAATAAATGGGAATAGTTCAAGAGGTCGTTCCGATCCAAGCCTTCAGCCAACTCGTCTGCAAAAAAATTCATATCAGTTATGTATCAAAATGCTATCAGATAAGATTATAGGGAGTGTGAACCTTACCCAACTCATGTTCATTGAGAACTTGTCCTTTCCAAAATCCGTAACCAGTGTGATTCGAAAATTGCACCGAGTTTATTGCATCAACTTCAAATCCAAGCACCTAAATACATACATAAAAAAAGTCGTTTTGCCTTCTTTGAATTACAAAATCTTCAAAGTTGGAAAATACCTGAAGAGGAAAAGTTGCACTTTTGTTTCCCACATAGCCCGAAACTACATGGCTCTGGATCGATAAAACACGGTTCATTGACATGATGCGCTGAAAATTCTCAAAGATCTGTGACCTTATCTTCAAGTTGTGGTACCGTCAAGATAGCATTCAAACCAAGAAAGGTTCTTGATTCAAAGCTTTTGTTTGATGAACCTCTCTGCAGTCTACAACAACGAAAACATGAAAGATGTGGTACCCGCCCAGTCAGATGGTGGAGATGCGATGAGGGAGGTGCGCCAATCGGAAGCGAGCAGCAAAGATAAAACGTGACATCATTCGTTGGAGGGTCTTATAAATAATGAATGATGGTAACGAAAATTTTTGTCGTTGATTTCCCGTGGAAAAAATAATTTTTTTTAGAAAATGGGTAAAGGAAACACTGATTTAACTTCTTTTTTAGACAAACTCATATCAGCTCTTTATTGAATACACCTAAAATGGATTGAATAGACAATTAAAATGCAGGGGAATGGCGGTAGCGTAATTAGTAATAGTTGTAATTGCCTCCTCCTCCTCCACCGCCCCAGTTCTGACCTCCCGCATATCCTCCATACTGCTGCCAATTGTAGTAGTCACCCTGACCGTAGTAGCCTCCCTGTTGGTAGCCTTGGTAATTGTAGGGTTGCTGCCCTCCATATCCGGCAGCAGTTTGACTGCTGTACTCGGTCTTTGCCTTTTTGACGGGTTGGCCAGAGCCGTCTTTGGACGTTCCGTCCTCCTTTGTCTCCTTCTTGGCGTCCTTGGCCGCCTTGTGCCAATTTGACACCTCCTCCTTGGCCTTGAAGACCGAAGCAACGTCTGGTCCGAAATCTTCAAGGAACTCAAGCTTCCTCTGAGCAAACACGTGTTTCTGCTGGGCGGGTGCGTCAGGTAACTGGAGGAATCGGTCGAAAATGGCAACGATAGAGGTGACGTCAACATGTGACTTTTGGAGGTGAATGTCGATAAGGTTGAGGAAAAGGCGGCTGCTATTTCTGTCCTTTTCCATTGCCTTGACCAGGACAGCCTGAGCGGCGTCGGCGTCATTCTTGAACTTGCACAGGAAGCGGGCGTATTTGACGGACAAGGCGCTCGCAATGGTCACGTTTTTGTAGCTACTGATGTACCCTTCGTACAGGGATGAGACTTTGTCCAGGCAGCCACGACGTCTCTCCAGGTTGATGCGCTGGTAGGCGACTTGGAGTGTGTTGGGCAGGCGTTTGTCCAAGCCTTCAAGAATTTCACAAGCACTGTCAAGGTGACCTAGAATCAAAGTTTGATTGAATTAAAATTAAATAATTTTTTTACAGAATAAAATTATCAACTCGTTCTTTACATAAGGTTTGATGTGACAAAAATGTACTAAGAATGTCTTTAAACTCGCTCCAAATAACTAAAAGTTTAAGTTTATTAGCATATTGTTGTGATTTGAATACCTTTTGTCTACTGTTTTATTAAAAATTTTGCAAATGCTTGTTTAGCTTGAGTTTAAGAATAAAAATTTGGCTTCATACCTCTTCCTTCTTCAAATGCAGCCCACCTCAACTGCAAAGCTGGTTTTTTGGGGTGATGAATTGTGCAAGCTCTGTTGTACACGTTGCTGATTTTGTCAATGAGACCATCGTCCTTCTGACCTTCCAGGTAATCCAAAAACTAAACACCAGTTCATTAGCGCCTATAATGACAGTGTCAATTGAAGTAATACCTTAATCCAATACTCGTCGTAGAGAGCACAAGCTATCAAGCACCTCTCGAACAAGACGATGATCCTCTGTCTATCACCCTGCTCAATTTCATAATCTAAGTAGTCCTTCCAGTTCTTCAACTGACCTTTCTCCAAAGGTTTCACGTGGAAATACGGTCTTTTGATCTACAAATAAAAGTTTAAAATAAAATTTGGAATTTAACTTAATTTTGTCTTCCAAATTGGAAGAAATTTGGATAAAAAATTTTAAATAATTTTTTTCAATGAAACTTACAGCTTCCTCGTAAACCCATCTGTCAGCAACTGATTTAACTGTGGCCTTGTGAACAGCCTTCCTCAGCTCAATAACCCTATCTCTCAGGGCAGTGACCTCCTCCTTCTGTCTCTCCTCAATATTGTCACCATCATCTCCTCTCCTTTCCAAAAGCCACTCCTTCCTCAGCTCCAAAAACTCGTCCACAGACAGCAGTTTTTGTGGCAGGTGTTCCTTGGCAAAGGCCTCAAAACTGATAATTCACATTTTATTTATCATCACCTCCTCCTATTCCAATGGATCAATTTACCTGTCAAAGTGAGCCGTGTAGCCTTGTGTTGGGGTTGAAAGAAGCCTGTCATAGATGGACAGCATATTCGGCCAGTTCTTCTGCTCCGCCTCCCATTTCAGGTAGCTTTCCCATAGTCTGTCGGACCTGCAAACGCAATTGAAAGTCTTTAAGAGGAGCTCCTTATGAATTTATTTGAAGTTTTTTACCTGAACTCCATTCCACATGTTTTGAGAGCCCGCTCGTACTGCGCACGGATGGATTCAGCGTCGTTGGCCTCGTTGGTCTTGCAGTGGTTGAGGAAGTGCAGCCACAGATCGACGCTTAACGGGATGGCCTTGAGACCTCTTTCAAAAACCTGTAATAGCCGGTTAATAAATGGAGGGTGCAGGGGCACAAGAATAGCCGAGTAAAGTCACAAATTTGAAAACACACTAGGGGGCTTACGGAAGAGAGATAGCTGTGCAGAGATAGTTGGTCGTGGAGGTTCTTGACTCTGAAAACGGCTTACACAATGGCTTTTAGACGCGACCAAGCGGCCGGCCCGCCCTGGGCTGTTTGGTCACAACACAAGAAAGGCGGATCCGCTTGGCCGTGGCTGTACAAAGTTTATTATAATATAAAATAGGGAAACTGCTGCCTGTCGGCCCGGCCCCTTGATGGAGAAAAAGAAGCATTAAAAAACGGTGAGAGCAAAAATGAAAGTGTGTGACGTGAAACTAGACAGACGGAATTTACCTTGTCGCTGAGACTTGCTTCTCCCTTTTTCTTTTCGTAGTCGGCGTACTTGCGCCAGTATCCGTAGCAGTAGGGGTAAAGACTGAGGAATGCGTTGTAGGCTTCACGAGCAGCTTCTGCGTCAGACTGGCAATAACAAATAATCAATGAAACTATTACAAAGTTAAATCATTGACTCTATGTAACTATTTGATTAATTTTTAAATTAAGATACTTTAGCTATTACTTTCAAAACTTCCATGCATATTTTTTATAATTTTAACTCATTCCAAAAGGGCATCCAGGGCTAACAAACAGCCTGCTTATTACTTAATAGGCACTCGCTTACTCATTAGATATCTCTACAAAGTGTGAGAAAGAGATTTAAAATACATTTTGTAGGCAGTAAGAGAAATTTTGAATAAATTCTACTTACCTCTTGATCCACATATTGCAGCAAATAAGTCCAGCCTGTGAAATCTGCGCTGTCATCTTTGACAGCCTTCCAGTACTTTTCGAGCTCCGGCAGCCGTTTCTTCCTTTCTTCTTCTTTGATGGAATCACCATTGATCTCTGAAAATGAATTATTCAGACCCAAGCTTTTAACAAGATTAATCTCAACCAACCTTTGCTCTTTTTAGGTGGTTGCTCCACATCGTCAGGTGGAGTGTCGGAGAATCCCCTACGCTTCCTCTTCTCTCCTTTATCTTCCTTGGCCTCTTCAACCAACTCCTCTTTAACAGCAACTGCAACTTCAGGCTGCTGTTGCACCTCGGGAGATGTGTTGTTCTCGTCAGTTTCCATGGGTTCCTCTTTTGGTTGCGCAACGACTGGGGCAGGAAGCTCTTCCTGAAACTTTGGTACTTCCTCTTTTACAATTTCCTCCTCGGCAGACTCCTGCTCGGGACTCTCGGCCGGCTTTTGGTCTGAATCTGAAGAGCTTTCTTCTTGCACCTCTGGCTCTACTTCTTTAACCACCTCTTCTTTGAAGGCTTCTGCCTCCTCTTCTTTCTCTGCAATGAATATGAGAATCGATGAGTTGCTCGGACGTGTGAATGAATTTTTCATGAGCAGTAATTTATTAGAGTAGCATGTACGTGAAAATCAATAATGATAATACCCCAGCGACCCTACTTGGGCCGCATGTGAAATAAAAATTATTCTTTATTGACAATCGATTAAATGATAAGCTGTGACACTGAGGCGTCTTTTGTACAATACATAAAACATTGTCCGCATTGCATTTTCCTTTAGTTCTTTTCTACAAAAATTGAACCCCAAGGGCGCATGACTGGTCTGCTTTAAAATGTGCGCCTGCATCATATTGTAACAGCTCGAATGATTGTGGACTTATGTAACGAATAATTATATTTATTTTTTTATTATGCTCGAAGGAAATATTTCTCATTTCTCACCGGCAATGTTGTTGACGTCCTCGTCTACGCCGTTCGCTTTGTTGTTATCAGAATCGCTGGCTTCTTCCTCGCTCTCCGTCTCCGGCTTTGCCGCCTTTCCTCGACCGCGACCTTTGCCTCTTCGGCCGCCTCCACGGCCTCTTCCTCTCGGCTTCGAGGGCGACGGTGACGAATTCTTGCCGGCGCGACTAGCACGGGTGCTTCTGGTCCTCCTCGCCGGTGCCACTGCAAAAACAGGATGGACAAATCACTATGTGCTCGCAGACCATTGGCTGGTTCCGCTCCAGTTCGGCCGGAAAGCCAACGCAATCAGGCAGCGACTGCTGATAACGCAGCCGGGGACGCGTGGTGACCGGATGGGACGACACACTGCACGTTCGTGCCGGTGGAAATTTGAAAAATTACCTTCCTCCTCACCCGACGAGTCGTTTTCGGAATCAGACGCCATTTTTAACTATAGCACACGAGAACGAGTCTGTGCAGTTCTCGACGAGTCGGGGCAGGCAAAAAAGCGGCTTCCCAGCGGAACCTTCCGAGCAGAAACGGAATATTATTTATTACCAACATAATTCCGTATTGATAATTTTAACAATTTTCAATTATTACATTTTAAAACCTAACCAATAAAAAAATTAATCAATTAATTAATTGTCTATTTTTATTATTTTAACAATATTTAAATTATACCTGACATCTGAGAAAATCTCTTCAGCTTGTATGAAACTTCGGTTAGGTTGGCAAAGGATTGTTTTTGTTGGGCGACGGCAAATGAGCAGCAAAGTGTCCGAAGTGACCAAGAAGTGACGTTTTGCAATGAAATTTGCCAATAAACAAGCAAATTTTATGCAATTTTTCAGCCCTAATAGTTTTACGCAGTAATCCACGACTGAGAATTATCTAATGTGACGGAGAGCAAGGCATCAAAGTCGAGAAATGGAGCTGACGAATATTTTGCTGTTGAGCCAAATTGCTGGCTATTCAGTCGCTCTCACTCTTTCGTTTTGTCTTGCAGTTCCAATGTCTCTTCACCAAAATGATTTCAAGTGAGTGTACAACAAATATGCATAGAGTCACTGGAAATAAAAAATTTTCTTCACTCTAATCTTAGGGGACACTGTCTGTTGTTTTCGACTGGCAAATGGCAAGAGACGGACGGCCAGTTCAACGTCACCTGGGCTTCCACGGGATTCTGCAGCTATCCCATTGCACTTGCGGTCCTGGTCTTTGGAATCTGCGTCATCCAACTGTACAGAATGTCTGTGTTTTACTACAGAGGAACTGACAGGTTGATTAAACATAAATTTTTTCTTGAACAATTTTCTAATTTTTATTTTTTACAGTTCCTTTCTGTCAGCATTTATAGATGTGGTTGTCTCCATTGCTATGTGTCTTCTTAATTTAGCGTCGGCTTTAATTGTCACTCTTGGCTTCATTACTTGGTGTAGAGACATGACCGAGAGATTCCCCTCGTGTGAAATAGCAGCCGGCAACAACATCGATCAGAAGGACGAAATCAACACAATTAATTTCTACATCCAAATGGGAACTGCCCAGGTATTTTTAACAAAATAACGCATGCTTTGCCAGTTTTGGGACTCACCGTGAAAATTGCTGTTCCAGTTTGGAGCATGGGCCTTGTGGGCAAGTTGGGTCGGATTAGCCGTTCTGGCCATGGTCAAGTTGTGTCAGTACCACCAGATGGAAAATGTGCGCGTCAGCATGTACATTGAAAGGCAGAGACTGATAAACGAAGGGCAAAATTAATTGTATTTAATATTTATCAAAAAATCAAGGTTCGAAACTTGGCATTGAACGAGACTGCTGTGATTGAATTTTTTGTTCGAATTTCGAATTACATTGCATAAAAAGTCTGTAGCCCCAAAGCTAAATAGGAATTGTATTAAAAATTAATTTTATCATCTATATTACATAACAATAAAACATTTGTCTTTTTAAACTGCTTCCTCTTAAAAAAAGTATAATATTTTATTATGTGGTATTAAATGTTTGTAGTTTGGTTGCCATGGTAACCATAGCGTCCAAAACCTCCAATGCAAACTATCATCTCGTCCACATAGCTATGACGAAAAACTGGTTGGAAGCCCATGCCGACTTTTCGGCAGGGGTGCACACTTTTGGCCAGTGCATGGCACTGGCTGACCTCAATGCCGATGGTGACCATCGACTCATAATTGCAGACCATGGACAATTTTTGACAAATCGATCTCAGGCGAAGTTAAAGGTTAGAATATCCAACTGCAGGGGTAGAGTTTCATTATTATTTTTGTTTACATCTTGGATCAGGTTTATCGAGGAACGTCCTTAGTTGCTGAAAATGCTCTTTTGGACTTGCCAGTTGCTATTGCTGCGTTTCACATGGACTTGACTCAGCCCCGAATACCTGGTAACTTTTTTTCAATTAAAATCTCTTGAGTAAAATTTATTACAAATTTTATAGCTGTGGCTGTTGCCAGTGGTCCTCACATTTATATTTACAAAAATATGCGGCCTTACTTCAAATTTTCCTTGCCTCCAATGGACATTTCATCTGTCGAGAAAGATGTTTGGGCTCAGGTAGTTTTCATTTAAAAAAAATTTCCCCCTTTTTAAATTTTATAATTATTATAGGCAAAAGAAGGCAATATTGAGGTAGACGTATTGATGGACATGCTGAACGGCCTTAGCAAAGAGGTTGGATTTTCCAGACTCACCGCCAGGTCGCAGCAACTCCTCTCTTTACCAGAAGCGGCTCTGCGGAAGAAATTCATTGAGGATCAGAAAAATCAACCTCTCAGGCGTCAAACCTCAATCACCTGCCTGACAACCCTGAAGAAGTCCCTCCCTGACGACGACGCGGTGACCTGTCTGGTTGTTGGCACCGAGAGCGGACACATTTACATCCTGGACTCGGAGGCCTTCACTATTTTGGACACCATCCAAGTGCCAGGAGTGCCTTGTTTCATGGGGGCAGTCGGCCTCCGAGACGTGGAATTCCGGATTGTGGTCGCCTGCAGGAACCGGCAGCTGGTGCAGGTCAAGCGTGGCTGGAGAGACGCGCGACCTTTGACCCAACTTGCCGCCCAAGCTCTGGGTCTGGCCATCAGTCCGAGTGCGGTCGTCGTCGCCTTGATGGATGACACACTACGGTGGTTCACGAAGAAGGGCAAGGAGACCTGGTGCATCAACCTGCCAGGGATCGTCCGGTGTCTGACCGCCGTGCCTCTACCCCAGCATGGAACCTGGGCAGCCGCTGTTGGACTAATCGACGGATCCATCCAGCTCTACTCGGAAGGAAAATTAATTGACACCATCGCCACCCCACGACCTGTTTCGGCGCTGATTTGTGGCACCTTTGGCCAAGGGGAGCACTGCCTGGTGGTTAATTCCGAGGATGGTGGTTTGATGGTGCACATTTTGAGGAGGACGGCTAATTTCAAACTGGCGGAAGAGCAGGTTGGTGCAAAAGATTCTCAGCCACTGCCAATCCCAAAGAAAACCAAACTCTTCGTCGAGCAGACCGTCAGAGAAAGAGAAGGAGCAAAAGGTTGGAGATTTTGAAGCTTGTTTTGGTATAATTTAAAATTTATTTTGCAGCCATTCACGACGCTTTCCAAATGGATCTTCTGCGTTTGAGGTTAAAAGTGGCCAGGTCTTGCGAGTCAGCTCTTTCGGGGTCTTTATCAGGCAACCCCATCTCAAGCACTCAACCCCTACGACTTGCCGCTCAAGTCAGAGGTCTAGGCCCAACCTTCCAACTGACTGTTGAACTTGAAAATATGGCAGAAAAAGATGCCATGATCGGACTTGCCATTGTCTTTCACTATGACACCAAAATCTATCAGATTGACCGGCCTTTCATCAAAGTAATGATTTAAAAGAAAATATTCAAATTTAATTTAATAATTTTTTTCCTCTTTTCAATATTTAGGTTCCCCTTCTGGTGCCCAGGTTTCCTTTTGAAATGGAAACGTTCGTTGGATATGTTTCTACAACTCCAGGCCTGACAGGAGTTGTGCGGGTGCTGGTCGTTAAAGGCGCCCATCAGCAGGCGCCATTACTAGCTGCTCTCATACACATGCCCATGCCTGGGGATCTTGAGTCCGTATAAAGTGCAGGTGGGAATGATAATCTCAAGTACTTTTATATTTAGATGTTGGGTACATATAATTTTTTGCTACATTATAGAGCGTTATCAAAACTTTTGACATTTCTACTAATTGTAAGTGCTCCCAAATTTTCTTTATCTGTCTGATTTTATAATCAATGAAGTAATTAATCATGCAAATTTGCATGTACCTTAACATTTCTTATCAATTTCAAATTAATCGCTTCTTTTCAATTTGCTTTATGAAAGTGAAATAAAATTGAATTATATAATTAAGAGTTTTTTTTATACTTAAACTTTAAGTGGTAGAATGTTGAAATTAAAATCATCGGGCGAATATAGGTTTCAAAATTTATATTTATTAATAGTAAAAAGCTTTCACAGAAAGTTTGAGAATTTTGACTCACAAATTTGATCAAATAAAATTTTTGTTAAATATAAATTACTTCTGGTATTTTGGCGCCAACTCCTGTGCCCTGGTGACGTACTTCTTCATGGCATCTTCCTTGGAGGTGCCTTTCAGAGCCACCCAAGCATTGTGCTTGGCCACAGAGAGCGAGTCACTGCCCTTTGGTGCGCCTGACAATAAAATGAAAATTATTTTTTTTGCGACCAAAATTTTTAATGAAACAATTAATGTTCATACAAAACTTTTCTTATTCATACGTCTGACAATATTTTATTTTTGAATAAGTGAAAATAAGTAACTTAGATTTTAATACCTTCAGAGCAATCTCCAGCTGTTGCCTGTTTGTAGAGAGAGTAGAATTCAGCAAAGACACCTTCCTCAGGAACGGTCTTGAAGGCAGCAACCTTCTTGGCGGTATCGGCAAATTGCTGTTAATTAAAAATTGATAATTTAACAAATTTATGTATAAAAAATTTTCAATAGAATAGAACTTACGTCGGCAAGAGACATGGTGTGGGTTTCAGATTTGATATATATGAATCTTTGTAGGGTGGCAGGGTTCCTTTTATAAGCGCCTTTCCCACCAAAGTCCACCACTTCTTCCAATTATTAGGGCCCGGCAAAGATAAGATTAAAGTCTCTCAAATATTGAGAGGCACCCCTTAGCTTATCAACCCGGGCAATATTGCGCTTCTTTTCTTATTTGGATAAGGGGCTTGAACGTCTGGAACCTTCAGTTTGCAATTATTATCTGCAGTTTACTCTTTGCACTGCGGGGCCAATCTATTTGCGATAAAAGAAAAACTCCTAAAAGTGCAATGATTCGAGGAAATTAATTACTTTTTTGTTGCCTAATAAAATAGTGTGTCAATAAATTTTTTGTTTCCAGAACAATTTTTTTAAATAAAATGACGCCTTTCGCTTTTTTGTGTGTTATCTTATCGATCATCAATACTTGAAATGCTGGATATTTTGAATTTATCATTTTGATGAAAAGGAAATACAAAATATATAATTATGTAATATAAAATGCGTTTCTTGTTAATTCAAAAAAACCTTTATTGTTTGAAATTTTTCTAAAAATTACATATTAAATTTTTGCTAACAAACTTTCACATAATAATATTTTCTTATTTTGGGGTTTTTTTTAAGGTTTTCAGCTTTTTATTTTAAAAATCAGTCTGCAATCTGGAAAGAATAATTCAACATTTTATTTTTCTGGGAAACGCGAGTTTCTTCAAATGATTTCACCTTGTGAAATATATTTCTTCGCCTGCGCAGTGCGCACCCCCTGTAGCTTTCAGCAGAAGGGAGAAACCCCTTTTGCTTCTGTCATCATACTTTCTACAGGTTGCAACTTGCAACCTGTTGTCACCTGTTTAGTTTGTGTTGTTAAGTGAGTCAGTGAGTGCAGTGCTGGTATAACCCCGGTGAAGTGAACTTGTCCCACAACGGCGCATTGCCAGAGTTGAAATCAATTTAAATTGAACTTAAGCACTGCTGAACTGGTTTCACCCGATTGATCATATTATTCTTCTGGAGGTGAGATTTTTAGACTGAAATCTTTATTTTTAACCAGGTTTATCATTACTCCTTAAAAAAATCTCGGCATATGCTTGTTAAATTTAAATTAAGGAAAATATTATAGCAGTATTAGAGATTAATTTTTTTATGCTCAAAATAAACTTATATTTGGGGGCAAAAATCTAGATATCACTTTTTTTTAGTTGGTTAAAATATTACCAAAAATGTGTTTTATATAAAATAAATACTTTTATGGTGTCTGAAATATAAAATTCAGTAAATTCAAATGATCCTTAACTTTGTTTAATTAATTGTTAAGAGAGTGTTTGTGTGTGTGTGTGTGTGTGTGTGTGTGTGTGTGTTTGCGTTGGTGTATTCCACTTTCAGTTTTATTTTTGAAAATTAGATTTTTTTTAGTTACAGAACTTTTCAAAATCAATTTTTTCTTTGTTCCAGGGAAAAATGCAAACAAGAGGAGACCAACTCCGAAAAAAGTCTGCAAATGTGACATTTGCAGATAATGATGGTTCTCGCAGAGCTCGGAAGAAAACCCTCAAACCCGAAAAGATGAAACCGCCACCCGCAACTGCCAGCAAACCAAGGTTGGTGTGTCGTAATTGCAAGAAAACCTATGTGAAGCCTAATTGCTACAAGAAGCACATGACCACTTGTGGCGTTGATACGACCTCATCATCCGAGCAAACTCCAAAAGCCGAATCTCAAGATCGACGCAATTCAGAAAGATCGGGCTCGCTATTTTTAGTGGTCCTGTATTTCGTACTTTTGGTCGTGCTCATAGCCATTATCTTCCACCTCGTTATCTCTTGCTCTGCTGCTGGCAAGTACAAACTCCTTGACTAAAAGTTGGTTTTAATATGCATCTGATTTTTTGACAAGCTTATATATGTAAGATTAATTTATTTATGATTGATGATATGGAATAAATGAACCTCGTAATTTAACATTCAAAAGCAGAATATTGTTTTATTAGAACAACATAGCTTGGTAGGCTACAATAATGATAATAGCAATTCATTTAAAATAGTATAATAATAATAGTTATTATGTGAGTAACAACAATATACGATTCTTTTTAAAAAATTAGTGCACTTTAGACAGTGTGGGGGCCATCAAAATAAATTGCACTCGATATCCATCCTTCTCTTTTTCTCTCTCACTTGAGATCTCCGACCATTTTTTGGGGATAGTGAATTTTGTTCCAGCTATCACAGGGATATAAGAAAAATTAATATAATAGCAATCAATCAAGTTGATTCCGTTCATTATTTTTTTTGGAGTATTGGTTGAGCGGCGAAGCAAGACAAAGGCGGTGCACAGACTAGGATTTTCATTTTTGGTGACTCAACGCGACGTGGCCTCGTTTGTATTTTTTCAATGTTTTCAAATCTGTCATGAATTTTGTACTTCTTAAAATTAAGGAAGACAGGCGTGATCTTTGTTGCTAGAGTTATGTACAGTACGGACGCGTACTTGGGCGCACTTCTTCTTATTTTGCTTTTACTCTCATTCGCGTATTTACACCATGAACAACTCGACATAGCGGTTGCCCACGCTCTGACGGTTCTTCTCCAGGATCGCACGCTCAGCGCCAGCTCTGCTGGGGAAGGCGACGATGGCTTCGCCGGTCGGTCGGCCGTCACACCCTCGTTGCATTTGGATGCAGTCCTGGGTGATCTGGGGGCAAAATCTGCGCTTGTTAAAATGCGGATCGGTACAAATTCAATCAAGGCAAGCATTAAAAAGTCAATACAAGAAAGTTATTCATAAAAATCCCAAATGAGCAACATGCAGCAGCTATTTTATTTTAAATACTGGCACAAATTAAAAAAATGTATTTTTTTTTTCATAAAAAAATTGTTAAAGTATCTCTGTATTAAAATGGCTTTATCATCCCAAGATCTTACTTGATTTTGCGACGTCGGCTTAATTCCTCTCAAATATAGCCTGGATTTGTAAAAACATTTTAGAAGAGACTTTCCATTTGATATTAACGACTTAATTCCTAAACCAATTTGTCCCCAAAGTTCATACTTGGACGCCAGTCTGGGGGTGCAACGTGGCAAGAAGCACAGTGAGTGAGTGTCAGCCCCTAACCTCAGGGAAGTTGTGAAAGAAGTTGAGCACGTCAGTTTGAGTGGCCGAGAAAGGCAGGCCGTTCATGATTACCAGCGTGGGGGCAGCCTGGTGAGGCGGCGGGGGTGGCACGCCGGCGTAGTACGAGGTCGGGCTCACCGGCGGCGACGGGTATGGCCAGTAGAAGATCGGAGGGAAGCCGAAGGCTGGAGCCGCCGCCCTCGGCGTCAGGGGGGCCGCAGTGGCCGCAGGGATGAGAGACGGCTGCGGCTGAGGCACGTACGGGAAACCGGCTGCGCCGTACGGTGGAGGCAGCACAGCACCTGAAACGCATACAACACTGAAAAACGCCACCCTGAGCAGGAAACGAGGATTCGTCCAGGGCAAAAACACGTCAATTGTGAAAAAATGACGATTTTCTTTAGAATCCTCATTTCGGAATAGAGAAACTAATTTATAATCTAGAGAAAAAATAATGGGGATGTCCACGATTGAGGGTCAGGGCCTTTTCTTTCTTTGATTCTGAAAAAGGAGGTTCAAGGTGTGTAAATTTGATTTGATTTTTTTATCACCTTTCAGCCAAGTGTGAGTTAAAAGTGTAATACGTACAAGTGGGTAGACACTTTGATTATTATATGCTCTCTACAGTGCTGCACTTGAAATGTAAGCCCAATAACCTCAATTGTGAACATAGGCGATTGAAGACACATACAATAAGGGACCAATTTTATTTGAAACCAAAACTCCAAGATTAAGCGACATCATAATATTTGAAACTTTTTTAACTTGAAAGGATTTTACACTTTAGGCCATTGTTTGAAAAACACTCCACAAATATTCCACTACTCTTTAAAGACTATTGCCTTATTATTTCTTAAACCCACGTAATTAAACTTGCAAACTTTGTATAAAAGTTAGACCTGCCCCAATATGGCATCTGAAGGCCGCAATACTGAAGGTACACAAAAATGAAATCGAAAGATCCAACATCACCAAAATTAAAAATTCAATAGCGGCAGGACGTGCAGAATTTGGCTGGTGACCAAGTTGCAGCCCTGCCGCGTGTACCGTAAGCGCGAACACGAATGTTACTCTGCGTGAATGGTGGATCTTCCCTTGCTGTACAGTGAAATTTGGGCCTCCACCAGTGATGGCTGATAAAAATTTGTTATGTGCCAAAACAGGTCTAACGAAACAAAAGCAGGAGACAGATATGGGGCCGTGATAAGCATGCAGTTGTTTAAAAGCCAAACCCACCTGATGAGGGGCTGCAGCAGCCAGCAAGCACTTTGAGAAAGACACTTAAAAATAAAAATAAAGCCCAAACCATGTAATATAATGAGTTAACACGAGTTTTATTTCTCAGTACAAAAATGATCAAAAAAAGAAGCCCACACCATTGTCAGGGCTACAAAAATAGAACATAAAATATTTGAATAATCCAATTTCCGGAGGCAGATTTGCAAATGGGGAGATAAAATAAAAATCAACACGATTACACCTGGCAAGCCCCGCACTACCAGCAAAAAAATCAAAATCATAATAATATGTACTGTGTCATCCGACCAGCCCGAGGACTTTGCCCAACATGCACTGAGTTTGAATTTGCAAATCTACCCCCGCCTGCGAATTAAGAGAGCAAGGCCGCGCTTTCGGAAAAAAGAGGCCTCTTTGTCATCACATGGACGGATAGAACTGCGGACCCTGTTGGTACATCACCGGAGCAGCAACAGGGGCCTGGGGCGGAGGGGGAGATTGGAATGTGGTTTGAGGGTAAGTGGGGCGCTTGACCTGGGCTACCGACGCCCCGGGGGGAAATGCCTGCTCCCAAGAGCGCTTCAGACCCATCTGGGCCAACTGATTGTGATTCGACATGGCCGTCATTTGCAGCTTCTGCAGGGCCGCGTGCCGCTGCAGAGCGGCCGCCTGGACGGCGTGCTGCTGGTGCTGCTGTTGCAGCTGGGCAGCGGCCAGGGCGAGGCGAGGGTTGAGAAGAAGCATTTGAGGGGGGAAGGCAGGCATGAGAGCGGGCGGCCGCGGGGCCATGGGGGGCGACGCAGGCGAGGGCATAGACCACAGAGGGGTGGGGGCCTCGGGCAGCCTGAGAGGCAGCATGTTCGGGTCCCAGGGTCCTGGGGACATACCAGGCGAGGTGAGGACCTTCTGGGCCGGGATACCGCCAGTCAGGACGAGGTTCATGTCCTCGCCACTGCACTGGAACACCTCGATGTAGCGCTGCTTCTTTCCGAACACCATGTACCGGTTGTGGCGCTGCTGGGCAGCCAGGAAGGCACTCTGCTCCGAGTCCATTTGTATGAAGGCCTCTCCGGACGGCTGTCCCTGTGTTCAGAGTTAATCCATCGAATCAAACAGTACTAAACAACAGTCCTCTAATGCTAAGCCCTGACTCGAGTTACGATTGGCATGTAAAAATTCAAAGAATCAAAGAAGTAGAGAGCGAAAAATCTCAAAACCTCTACAAACAAAAGCTAATATGTTTTTTTCTACTAATACGGAAAGCTCAACTACAAACCTGTGCATTGTAAACCATATGCACTCCTTGGAAGACAATATTCTTGGCATGCTCGCCCAAAAATTCCAAAATATGTTCTACTTGAGCCTCGTACAGGAGGCCCCTGAGTCTGATGCAGTCCTTTCGAGTTCCACTTGTTATTATATGTTGTGGAAGGAGAGGCACTTGGGGAATTTGTGCAATCAGCGGTTGCTGCTGCTCGTACGTTTTTGGATCCATGGACCGATTAAGCACCTGGATGAAAGAAAAACTTTTTAGTACATCAGTTATATTAAACTTAAAACAAGAAAAATAATAATACAACAAAAATTAAATTAAATTTTGATCAAATAAATATCAAAATCAATAGAAATGAAGAAATTAAAGTGAAAATTTCAGCTAAACAAAAATTTGATATCAAATTAAAATTAAAAAAAAATATATACAAAATAAATCTATCTGTCTAAAAAAATCTACCTGCTGCACTTCAGCTGTAGTGCTTCTAAACAGTTCTATATATCTGGTGCCAATCAGCTCCCTGTGCTTGCTGAGGGCAGCCGTGGCGTCCTCCTCTTGAGCAAATAAGACAAATGCGTCGCCTGTCGCGCGTCCATCAGGTTTTTTCACAAACAACACGCCCTCCTCCCCGTCAAGCACCGAGCACGGGTTGTTGCCCGAGTCAAAGAACTCGAGCACCTGTCGGGCAGTGCAGTCGTACGGCAAACCCCTCATTCGGATTATGACCTGGCCGCCCCGTGAGAGGAAGGCCTGGGCCTCGTTGTTGCTGCCGCCGGCCACATTGACAAAGTCCTCGCCACTGGCCTTGTAGACCTCTATGTAGCGGTTGTTTATGTGGTGCTTGTGGCGTTTAAGGGCCATGTCTCGATGCTCTTGACTTACAAATCGGACGAGCGCTTCACCGTTTCTTCTTCCTTGTGGACTTAGGCAAAGGGCAACGCCACCTCTGGAAATTTCAACGCCAACATTTAATAAAAATTATTTTCTCTTGAATAAATAAATTATAATGTAAAAAAAAAAATATTTACTAAATCAAATAAATTTTTAATAAATATTTTTTATTTCCAAACCAAATATTTTGCAACAATTTAATTAATAATAAATAAAAGATACCATTTTCATAAATGGACACAAAAATTAAACTAAAAATTTTCAGGACAAACGACAATTAACATAAGACAAATCACTCACTTAGCCACATTCAAGCCTCGGAAAAATTTAGCGATATCCTGGTCTGACGACTGCCAGGGAAGACCGCGAGCACGAACCACACAGTTGGAGTCTACCTCTTCATTCTTTGAGCTGCAATCAAGCAAAAAATTACGTGGTTAAAACGTGATTGTCAGCAGAAACGCGTTACTTAACACAAACCACCGGCGGCGGCATAGAACACCGGCGATTCCGTGAGTTTTTTTTTTTCAACCGATAATGGAATTGCAAAATAATAAATAATTTGTGGTAAAGGATGCGTGAATTGAAGAAGCTCCGAAATCCGATCAGATTCGGGCTTGGGAAATTTCCGAACAAAAAAGTGAAGAGTGTGCAGCCACGTGATGCATTTTCGTTCCCATGGCTTTTTCGTTATTACTTGTGCTGACTCTGCACAATCAGCAGGACATGAGCAACTAGACACCAAAGTGAGAAAGGAAACTATACAGACCGAGTGCAGTGTGATTCTTGGGAATTACGACAACAAGCGCATTTTTGCGGGGAAAAATTAATTGCTAGTCGAATTCACATACCAACAGCAGCTCGATCGAAAATCAAAATTACCCTCGAGAGTGGTGAGCAAGGATTCGAAGCAAACATTGAGAGATAAAAGTACAGATCGGCAGCAGAGAGATTATCACAAGAGTGACCCTTAGCCCCAGATAAGAAAAGAAGGTCTCGCTCGACTTACCATATACCAGGTTCCAATCTCACTGTTATCACTTCTGGGTGTTCGAATTTGTGGCCTGCAACATGCGAGAAAGAGGACAAAATTTAACACCTCCGTGCTAAGAGGACACATCACATGACGGGCCGTGAGGCGCAGGAGTCATTGTTATTTACATAAACTAAGCAACACTTAAAACCCTCGGCTTGAAATTAAAATTGACAAGGACGGCGCAAGGGGAACAAAATTCATCGGCGTGGCAACAAAGATATTTTCAAGTAAATTGGAATTATTAAAGTGAAAGAATTAAACTTATTGAATAAAACAATTAAAAAATGATCATCAAGAAAATTGCAAAAATTGAAACCCCTAAAATGCGAAATTCTTAAAATAATAATAAATTTCACTTCAATGGTTAAATAGCTCATAATTTAAAAAAATCGAAATTATTGCAAGCATTCTTACTTCAAATAAATTTGGAATAATTTTTGGAATAATAAAGTCCACAGAGCTTGAAACAAACTGAACCGAACTGCAGCCTCGACAACAACGAACTAACAGGGCATCAAAATGCACAATATGCATTTCGCTTAGGGCGGATGTGCATTTTCCATCATTGTGTTTTTTTTTTATTCCAATCTCAGCACCCACATGTTGCCGACTCGCTGACCGGCTGCCGAGCGTGGCTTAGCATAAATAATTCGTAATTACCGTCTGCAATCAGCCTTAAAACCAGACTTAACATGTTGCGGACCTCTCGGGCTTGGAACTCGATCCGGTCCAGATCCGGATTGGGAAGCATTTGCAGATCTGAGCTAGGAATTAAGGAAAATACGCAAAGAGACACTTACCCTAGGTCAACACTTGCAGGCCGCGCGTCTCGCGAGTGAAAGAAAATAACATAAAGTTCGCTGGGCAGAGCAGCGGAGGCGCTGACGGTTCGAAAACAAGACGGCAGAAAGCGGAAAGAAAAACACTCGCAACTAGTGCTGCACGCGGAAGAAGAACGAGGGGTGGCGGTGGGGGTGGCATTCCAAAGGTCGAGCGAGGCGTCGGGTCGCGGCTGGGGTGGGAGCGCCAACAGGAAGGAACATTCAGCGAAAGACAATGCGCGGGTCGCCGAAACGGCCGCGGGCCAAAAGAAGCGAATTCCACATGCATACTGATATTTTTATTGTGTTCCGAGTGCGTAAAATAGAATTGAACAATTCCACAGAAACGAGGGAGCGATTTTACGGCTCATTTCCTACGCCGGCCAATAATAAAAGTTAACGACCATTGAGCGCCGCGGCACCAAGAATTTGTTTGAACAGAGTCACGCGTATGTACAATTCAAAATATAATTATGTGCATCGCTTATTTGATTTTCTTGTGTATTTTTGATTGAGCATGAGTAAGCAGAATGAGGCTTACTTAATTAAAAGGCAATAAATTTAGTTGCAAATAAAAATGCCTAATTGTGCACTCAAATGGTCTGTGATGAGGCGCCTCATTTACATAAACAAAAATAAAAGGGAAAAGTGTGAGGCTCAGATATTCTAATTGCTTGAACTGCATTATTTTTAATTTCTTCCTAAATTGCTAAATTGTATTATTAAACTTAATTAAACGACTTAATTTAAAGAACAATTTTGCATTTCATTAAAAAAAATTGTTAACACTGTAGATAGCCCATAAAAATTTAACTTGTCAGATTTAATTGACAATTTGACCAAATAATAAAATAGAAAAATTTGAATATTTAGTTAACTTTACAATTTTCAATCGCAAATTGATTTTATGAAATAATTTTCTTCCGGAATACAAAAGATATTTCACTGTCGGGCTATAAAAATAGTTTAAAAGTATGTGGAAATATATTTGTTTATTTAATTCTTATGTCAACCAAAAATAAGCTTTAAAGTAAAAAAAATAAAATTGAGATTAACATTAATTTTAAACAAAGAGCAATTTATCAGCGCGATTCCTTGAGCCGTTCAATGATTCATTTCATAATTATAGTTAATTAAAATTAAATTTGAAAGTATTTTCCTCCAAGTCAATTTAACGCGATTAGATTTCTCTATTGAGGAATTTGAACGCCGGTTCTTTCCAAAACATCCTTATTAATAATATTTCTCTTCCGAATAATTGCAGCGCCACATTTTTCCTCCGAGCAGCGCAGTTAAAGGCGTTGCGTGTGAATTAAATTTTGTGCTGCCGACCGAGCTGCATTATGTATCGTAAAATGGGAAATAATAATTGCGAGAAAAAGCGCCGAGCAGCAGCCGGCGGTGTGTAATTAAACTCGGCGGCCGTGATTACATCACGAGCTGGGCTGAATGAAAAAGAAGCCGGCTTTGGTTCTCGGTGCTCGCGAGTAGTAATCGAGCCGCTCTTCAGATGGCAGGTGAGCTCGAGAGGAAATCCACCTGTCGAGCTCGGCCGGTATCTCGGAGGCCTATTATGAAATTATTACCAACGCGAGTTGATGCACCGCGGCCCCCCACCTCCCCCTGGCGAGCGGAGCACCGCTTTAGACAAAAACCTGTTCCGTCTCTCCGCGCGAGTTGGAAAAATTCCCAAAAATTATCATCACGGGGCTCCGGGCAGGTTCGAGAAACCGTCCGACGAGGAACCACCAAATTTATATACATATTTTCTATTTAATTAATTTTAAATTAGAGGCCGAGCGAGCCAAAAGTGATGCATGCAGTGGCAACGGCGCCGGCACTGGAGTGGAACCCGGCGTAGTTGCCGATGTTAAAAAATATAAATGCGATGGAAAAAGGATACATTCAACCATGGCTCTGATTGAGTGGATCTCCTCGGCGTGATAAAACGCGCAGAATTCCTTCCTCAGGTCGTAGAAGCTCTCGTAGAACTCGGCCAGTTGGATGTTCTTGGAGCACGCCTCGGGGTGCAGGCATTGTCGCAGGGCAAGTTGGCCGTCGGCGATGAACTCGATGCCACGCGGCCGCTCGCCCGCAAACAGATAGGTCCTCGCGTACGACTCAAACTGCGAATAGGGGTTAATAAATTTATTAATGCACATTAAGCAGCGAGGGTTCTTTGACTTTTTAGATTTCGCCCGCATCCCCGGGCAGGTGGCGATGATAAAAATTAAGGCGGTTTTATCTTCTGCAAGTTCAGCCCGCGCCACCGACATGGACTGTTGCCGAGTGAATGGCTTTGGAAAATCCGGTTTGGAACTGGTTTACGGACACATTTCAAATTAATAATGAAATAAAATCAAAACCGCTCGCAATTTAACAGTCGCGCAAAGGTAAAAAATCCTCGCCAACTGCCCTTTTACGAAGAAACCTGCGCGTCGCCGACGGACATTCTGCGGAACGGCGGTTTGTACGACTCGGGAATTGTTCAAAGAACGGGACATTACAAAAGAAGCAGAGACAGGTTTCTCAAAATTTCCATACAAGGGCATTGGGGCAAAAAATTTGCATTTTGGAAAAACAAATCAAGAGAGTTCGCCGCACAAAAGAGACTTTTGTTTCGACTGTAGACAAAAAACAAGAGCTAAAAATTATTTTTAAACGTTCGTATAAATTAAGAAACTGCAACTCTTGCGATTTAATTTGAATCAAAAATGGAAATCATATTTTTTTTTTTTTTTTTTTTTTTGTAAACGCAAGTTTCCTTTTCATAAGATTTATTTTCAACTTTAAGGATAAGAGCAGAAATAGCAACTGCGAACTGTGACCAGAAAATTGTAGGCCCGGTTCCAGCTAGTGCATATGCGAACTAAGTTAGCGCAGAATGCTCTTTGTTAGCTCTTTCGAACGCGTCTGTGTATTTTTATATTCGGCGCGTCCTTGAGTTGTCGTGCAGGCCGAGTGCACACCGCACTCACACACGGGAACATCAAAATCCAAGCACCAAGCCAAATTCACTTTGTGTCACGCTCCACAGCGCCAAGAAAGAAACTCGCGCACCGCCGCCCCAGACCCGAAATGTATAATATTATTATTTCATCCAACGTCTTTCTTTCTCGTTCTCTTCGCTCGTTTTCCTTTTCAATCGCCTTCTCCGCTTTGTGACTATTTTATTACAGCCTGGCTGACCCTGGCCTAATCCCCCGGTCTTTGTCCCTCCCGAGCCTGCTACCTTTCTCGGCGCGATAGCGGACGACAAAAGCGGCATTCCTTTTCCATATCAGTAAAATAAATTACCTAGGAAAGAAAAGAAAAATTAGAGACTAGTCGGTGTAACTTTAAACAAAAATATAAAAATATCACAATTAAAATTAAATTTTAAAGTGCTTTGGCCCTCGACGTAATTAGGGAGTTTTATTGGAGTTAATTCGTCGAGAGATAATAATGCCGGACGCCATTTTAACACAAGTGTGAGTGCGGTGTGCAGGTAGGCAGGCGAAGGTCGAGCCAGGCGACGCCCACTTGAGCACCGGCGCACCACTCACCTTAGCTAGGACGGTCTCCAGGGGCTCGGCCGCCTTTACCGCGGCCTCCGTCAGCGTCGTCTCTGCCAAACACTGTTCGGACAGGATGCTTTCGTTGATGTCCGCCGTCCGCGGTTTGACCACATATTGCTGGATGTTGACCACCTGAGAACAAAAAAAGCCGAGTTTTATTTTAAATTGCACAGCTGCGGGCGATGGAAAAAACGTAAAAGGGTTTTTTCTCCGCCGCCGCGAGAGCAGATAAATGAGGCAGCAAATTTCGTGCCGCGATCAAACAAATAACAGACGGCGTCAGATTTTTTTCTCTCTCCAAAAGAGCAGAGGAACGGGTTGAGAGTGGATGTGTGCACACAAGAAGAAGTTCGGTCTGCAGTGGAGAGCGCGCAGCCACCTGTTTCGTTCCGAACGATTTTATTTTCAGGCTGCGGTGGCTTTGAGAAAGCTTTCGACGGGATTAAAAAAAAAAGTTGAAACCGAGGCGAAACGGATGATAATTAGCTTTACGGCTACATGCGTGATGCATTTGCATATCTGAGCGGCAACCGGCAACTTTGGCCGAGGATGCAGAAGAGAAATAAAATTTCAGCTTTGAGCGTAAAGGTCTCCGAGTTAATAAATAACTTGGTTGCCAACTCGTGCGCACCAAAGGGCAAAATTAAGAAATTTTAAATAAAAGTTATCTCTGAATTATTTTTAAAACTGCTTAAATCTCAAGTAAAAGATAAAGTGAATTTAATTTATGCCATTTTAAGCAGCCACACTTAATGCGATCACTAGAACCATTCAGGAATTATTGGTTTGGTTTGCTCGATTAGGGGAGTGGATATAATGTTATTGTTAAAAATGCAAATACACCACTTTCTGCTTTCTAGTCATCTGGAGAAGTGCATTTGAGTGTTACTTTATTTATAAGGATGCATCAGTGTGCGAAGTAGCTGAATAAATTTATATAACACTTGTTCAGCTTGATTGACCGCACATTATAAAAGCAATTGAGCTGCATCGTAGAAAAATAAATAAACTGGTTATGCAAGCCTACGAGATTTTGCTTTTTAAAAATGCACATGTCCATTAAGATTATCAAGAAAACAGATAAAGAAAATGTCAGGAATAAGTATATCTTAATATTGATTTAATGAAACATTTTTAACCAAATGTATAAATATTCAAAATATTTTAATGTAAGAGGATTTCTGCGGCAGACGGTTTTCTTTTAACTAAAACTGTTTTCATCAAAACTCTTTGCAACAATGCTTTATTCTCAAACAATTCCATGTAAAAATTAAGCAAAAATATAAAAAAAAATATTTTTTTCATCCTTCGTCCTTGAACAAGGTCTGCGCGCATTGCAAAAATTTAAGTAAAATTTTGATTGATGACGAGCGTTCCACATGATTTGGATATAAACAGTTTTTTCTACCTACTGTTGTGATACGCAAACCTTGCCCTTGGAGAAAATTGATCATAATTCTGTGCTTTGATAAAAAAGATTTAAAAGTAAATCGAGTTTTAAATATAGCTGAACATGGAAATGTCTTGAGAAAAGTTAAAATAAAATACAGTGACATTTTAAGTGAAAATTGAAAGTACCTGTAAAGGCGACCTTCAATGTTTTTGCTGCAGTCAAAGCTCAAAACTTTATGTCAGACGTGCAATAATTATTATCTTGATTTAATTTAACCCCGTTGCCAAATAAAAGGGTCTTTGGATTAATTTGTTTATTATCAATTAATTAAAATTCCGTTTGGTTCAATGACTCTCGCGTCTTCTCTGTAATGCTGCAGGCAAACTTTAATTAATGAAAAGCCGTCTGATGACTTTCGGTGTGCATGAGAGCGGCGAAAAATGTGTGGGAAAACGCTCGAAAACACTGATAAAGACCGAGGAACATTTTGTGTATAAAAAAAGAACACCGCAGAAGCGCGTGTGTAGTGAACTGTTATCATCATCTCCGTGAATGGGTCGGCGATAAAAAAAAAAAAAAAGACAAAAAGTAAACACGTGAAATAGCAGCGTGATAAGGTGCATAATAAATCCAGCGTGGTGTCGATTCGCGGCGATGCCCTTTCGACAGGAAACCCTTGGATTAGCATACACAGTCGGTCGGTCGATCGTCGCATTTAAATAATAATAGCGGCGGCCCGACGGTGCGCGCTTTATCGGCCGCGGCCTATTCTCCTTATCGGCGCGCAATGCCTTAAAGAAAGGAGGTGCGAATGGAAATCGCGGGCGGAAAAAGGAACCACACTTGCATGGCTAGGAAGGACGAGCAGATGAGCCGCAATTATTTCCCACAGGGAGACTTGAATGCGTGCAGCTCGCTCGCAGGTGTCTGCCGCCTCTTTGTTCCTCCCCCATTTGAAATTTCAAATCACTTTTCCCATCAATAAAAAAAAGCGGAGGCCTCTCTGAAGGGAGATTACACCCGACGGCACCAACACACACGATTCATGCCGAAATTTATTGACTGCCGCCGGAGCGAAAGACCATAAACAAGTGCATTCCTTTCGAATTCCCGTCATTTTTTGATTTATTTCAGAAATTCATTTTTCCTCTTTTTTTATCGCTGTATTATTATTATTTCCTCCAAGACAGATGAGATGTGCTGGCTCCGCCCCTTTTGGCTTTGCCTTGGTTTTTCATTTGAAATTTAAATTGGCAGTCCGGCGAAAACGGTGCCGGCTGAATGCACAAATGCCCGGCCGAAAATCAGCATTGCCGCAATTTAAATTCACAGATGATTTTCAGCAAAACCAACTGATTAAAATCGTGACCAAATATAGAGAGCCGGACGAAAAAACATGTCACTTTGCCCCTCTTCCCGCACCTTCCAGACAACTCGCATTAATTAAAATTAATTCCGAATCAATCTTAAGTTGTGTGACTTTAACGAGCCGCGTCGGAAAAGTGGTGGCGCCGCGCGAAGGCGCCGAACCGGTCCGTAAAAGCGCGTTTACGTGCGGTCAAAATGGCGTCTCTCTCTCGGCGGCGCAATCAACAGGTAAGTGGATGGTGAGTGAGGTGTGTGGTGGGTCTGGCTCGGGGGTGCTCACCTTGTTGCAGTCGGGGTCGACGAGCACGTAGGTGAGCAGGACGATCTCCTCCTCGTCGGAGCCTAGCGCGGGACCCTGCTGGCCGGCGGTCACCGGGAACAGGAGGCACAGGTAGGGCGACTGCACGATCATATTGGCCGCTGCATCCTCCATGACATTATTCACTCGACTAACAAAAAGCAACTCGCGGCCAGGTAACACCGCCGAGGGAGGGAGGGGGGAGGCGCGCATCGACGGCAGAGGGGGCCGCGCGCTGCAGCCTGCCTGCCAGGTAACAACAACCAAAAAATTCCTTTCTTCCCCTGCTTTGATACACGAAAAACACCTTGCGGCGGCAAAAGCGGGCGATCGAGAGGGTGACCGCACGAACAGGTTGCCCAGGCCGCCGCCTCTCTCGCATTTACATTATACTTTATATTTTATATAGAGGTTCTTCTTTTTACGATTTTATTTCTTGCTAACGTTATCTCAGCCTATAGTTTGCCTTAGGTATTAGCCCGTTTTGGCCGGAAGGGATGTTTAATTTTTTTTCGTCACAAGAGATTCAAGGTGTGTTCGCTCGCCTATCGCGTTTTTTGTTTTGCTAGCAAATTTGCGCAAAATGGGGATCGGCAAACTTTGACAACATAATATACTAGACCAGTATATTGTTTTTCTGAAACAATTAAAAAATCATCGAGGAAAAGCTGACTTTTAGATTCAACTCACCGTAATAATATTTTAAATAATAATACATAAATACACATCTATTAATATTTTCTTATAGGCTTAATAATTTAAATTGTGAGTCCGCTTCAAGTATTTGTTGACTTTTCAAATTAAATTCTTTATATCATATTTTCTAATAGCAATTCCCTAAATTTCTCGCAAAGAACTTCTTCCATCCTTCATCCTTGTGTAGAATAGTCACTCATCAGCTTACTTTATACAAAAACAAAATCTTGAACTTAAACCAGCAATTTTTCTTTCCATATATTTTTACTTATTTTATCACTTGGCTTTTCAAAACGATCTACTCGCCTCTTAATGCTATCCCAGAGATCAAGGGGCTTTCTTTTCCAGCTCACAAAGGGCGGGTTTCAGTTTGGAATACAAAAGTCGCGTCGCCTATATATTTGTATTTTTCTTTCCCTCCAGACAAATTTCGTTCCAGGGGAGGTACTATGGAGGTTCTGAGAATATTACATCCCTGCTCAAGTGGGCTGCTTTGTAAGGTGCGCATTTCCCACAGACCGCAGAGACCTGTTTTTGTGCGCGCCCAGCTTGGGTTCCTTTTTGCTATTGACCACGGAGGAAGAAACCCATGAATGAAATTTATTTCATTTTTTTTATATAAAATTATCCTCTTGAGCAATTTTAAAGGAAAAAATGGCAGCAGAATACATTTTTTCAACCTGAAATTTTGGAAAATTCCTCTGTGAATGACTGGATTTTTATCAAATTTTCAAAGCAACAATTTAATCAATAATAAAATTGATAAAATTAAATTAAATTCTATGCTTAAGTTAAAAATATCAATTATTCATCACAAGAATTATTGCTAAATATATTTTTATAACGTTATCTAGGTTTAATATGTTAATAAGACTTAAAGTAATTAAACTATTTTTCAATCTCTACCTCTTTCAAAATTAGACTATTTCTCGAAATCTTATTACTGAATTAAAAAATACACATGTTTAATCCCTTGACTGGCGGTAAAAACCTGTGCCCCATACTCTCTTTTATGCTTTTTATAAATTAATTAAATATATAAACTGTTTTTTTTTATAAATCTGAAAGAGGAGAATCCAAGTTATCGGCGCTTGCGATTTAACAGGCCTGTCTGCTACCGCTGGTGCCTTTCCCAAAAGGGATAAAGAATAAAAGAAAAATTGAATTTTCTTCAACTAAAATGACACCATAATACGACAAGCGACACAAATTTCATTGAGTGCTTGAATGAGAACACAAATGAAGCTATATACATTTAAGCCAGTGATATTCAAGTCGACGAGGCAAAAAGGGTTGTTTTAAATGCATGAGAGTAAAGTTGTAGTCCTGCGATCCACACACAAGAGGAACTTGTTGTGAGAAGCCAGATCGAATTTCAACATGGAGCGGCAATTTTTATTGAGAGGCAGCCAAGAAATAAAATCAAAAAGCAGAGAAACTTGTTACAAAATAGACAAAAAATGACAGAAGCTGCTGGAGGGGAGCGGAGGGGTCATTGGACTTACTGGTGCGCTGCCGCCGCCCCGCCACTCCGACAGGTGAATTTTCTCAGATCACTTTTGCGTTTTACTCTTTAGAGCCGCCGCGCCGAGTGCGAGCATAAAATATATAACGCAGATTTATTTTTTTCACCGAGGGCCAAAAGGGGCCACTCTGATTTGGCCATTCTACTCAAACATCTGGATTACAGAAGAGGGCGAGGCTGCTCAAGAAGTGAGCAAGCGGTTCTCGCGTTTCTTTCGATGCTTTTTTTTTTTGGCTGGCACTAAAATTAATAACTGATGTCGTCGCCCAAGGCCTATCCACCAGCAACAATAATAATTAACTTCATTAAAATTGGTTCCTCTGTATTCTTTTTCCTATAATGGCTTATCTTTAAAAAATTGCAAAAGATATACACAGAAATATGCTTGAATTTTATAATAAAAAAACTCAACTTTCAACAAAATAAATTGTGACACCTCTGTTTTAAAGAAGCAAGCTTTTGATTGCAGGAGAAAAAGAAAGAATAATTAAATCTTTCAAAATATTAATTGCAGCTTTTTTAAATTTCGTAAATTTCGCTCTTATGCCATTGCCCACCATACGTATGCATCCTTTTCCTTTCACGCTAAGGTAACTTCTAAAATTGTTTGTGCGTTCTCGCTTTTTTTTTAAATTTTTTTTTAGACGCAATAATTTCAATATTCCGTGGGCTTTCTAAATTAAACAAAATTGAAAAACAAAATAAATAGCAGTTCTGGAACTTTTCTTTGTTGTAAAAATACTAAAAAGTTTTTTTTTGGGACAGTGCTTTGGGATGTGCGGGGGCTTAAATAAATGTATGTATTACTTTGAAAGACATAGATTCCCTAGCAAAAATATAATTTTTTTTCATTATTAATCATTTCATTATTTACATAATTCCATGCTTCATCCCTAAAAAAATCTGAGCTGTCTCTCGATTATTGGATTTGGCTAGATTTGGCAGTGTCTTTTGTCTGTAAAATTTGAATCGCAAATAACGCAAACAGCGCACTGCTGCTTTGGCTGCTACCATTGCGATGCCGCTTTTTTTCCATTGAAAAGTTGAATGTTTAATACTCATTGTTGCCAACATAATTGGTATCACCGAGCATTTAGAGGAAAAATTAATTGCAATTTAGCAGTATTTGAAGGAAAATTTTACGCGTGCATGTAGTTTATTATTACATATGTATTTTTTGTTTTTTTAAAATAATTAAAATACAAAAAACATTAAAAAAAAATAAATATAGTAGCAAAAAAACTCCGTTATGTTGTGCACTTGTGTTGCATTTGTTTGTCTGGCCGGCGAGGCGAAGTTTTGTTGATGGTTGTTTTCTGCTTGAGGATTCATGTTTTGAAGTTTCGAATTTTATTTTGAATTTCCTGGTACAATAGGTGAGAAAATATTAACTGAACGTTGCACCTGATTAGACATTTGAAAGGTGGAGAAATGGCGTTTGAATGAGAGTTATACAAAAAATTAAATTCAAATATGTATATGTAAGATTTTTGAACCGATGTCGATAATTCAATGATCTGTCCAAATTTATTTTGTTAATTATTTCTTAAGTTTAGCATGCATTTTCCAGTTAATGAAACATTTAAATGTTGTTTTCGTTTATAGAAATTTATGAATTTTCAGAAAATGTCTTCAAAAATTAAGGAGAATAAAGACGACGAAGAAATGAAATGGGACATTCTCAGCGAGTTGAGCTTGTTCACGGCGGTGATGAACAACAGGCCCGTTGGTACGTCAAAATTTATAAATAATTTTATATTGATTTTCACCATAATTTACTGTGTAATTTACGTATTAATATAATTTCTGTAGGATTACACAAACACTTTAAAATGGCACTTATTGTGGAAAAAATGGCTTCGACCATGAACAAACCCATTAGTTCTGATTCCGTTTGGAAGCATTTAGGATCTATGTACAATCTTATTTCTCTGGTATGTAAGTTATTTTTGATCAGCTGACCATTTTTAAAAACTTTTTTGTTGTTTTGTAAAAATCTAGGATGAGATGGAGTCTCCTATTGAATATGAGGAAGTCGACTTCTCTTTGCCAAGCGAATTCGCCAGTCTGCAGAAGCTGAAGGAAGAAACGACCGTAGAAAAGAAGAGCAAAAAGGGTGTAAAAGAAAAAGAAACTCCCAAGCGAGAGCCTCCAACAAAGGAGCCCACCAAGAAGGAAACCCCTAAGCCAGCAAAAGAAACTCCCCAAAAGACACAGAAGCCTGTGAAACATTCCAGCACACCTCAGCAGCCTGCAAGCACGGAGACCCCCAAATCTGTCAAAAACAAGTTAGTCATCGTGCCTAAAAAGAAGGATTCCACAAAGAAGGCCGAGACGCCTAAGGAAAAGAAAGAACCAAGGGAGTTGAAGAATTTGGGCACTCCTGATGTCAAACAGCAATCCCGATCGAAAGAGACCAGAAGCGGAGTAAAACCTACGAAGGAGGAGTCGCCTATTCCCAGTAAAGTTATTCAATGAAAAGTTAAAACTTATTTATATAAATTATTTTTTAGCAAGGAGAAGTTTGTCAACAACCATGGCAGGCACCAAGAGACCAACAAGAGGTTCTGTTGCGAGCAGCAGTGACAGCAAAGCCACCAGCCCTGCTGTTTCGACAACAAGCTCTCGTTCTTCCACACCCGTGCCAACACCGAAAAGGAGGCGTATTTAATTAAACAGCAGTGTTTGACATGAACCCTTATATAATAATAATTTGGAATGTAAATATAAATAACAAAAATCACTGCCACAAGTTTGTGGACAGGGTAGCACCTCCTGCTGACCCAAAGGGACCCATGTTGATTCCTTGCTGAGGCTGCTGGGCGTTTCCAAGATTGAGTTGGCCCATTTGCTGAGGCAGTGAAGGCTGAAATTTGATCAATTAGTTAATATGAGGTTGATGTAACATTCGTGTATTTAATTTATGATTTGTAATGATAAAATAAATAAAATTAACCTGCTGCGATGAGAAATCAAACAAAAGGTCTTGTTGATTGGATTGCTGGGGCTAAGGTAAATAGAAAAAGCAAATAAATAATTGAATTATACAATGTGAATGAGAAATGTTTCTACACAATGAGTGCAATTTAAGAAACGCTATTTTTTATGATGCATGCATACCTGTTGTTGGAATCCCCCGGGCGCTAATGCAGGGTTGAAGAATGGGTTGTTTCCAAATCGGGGATTCATTTGATTCATCATCGGAGCAAACTGCTGTGGTTGCTGAGGTGGCTGGAAGCCAGGCACTAGACAAAAGGAGCATGAAAAAATATTCAATGATATATTGTTATAAAATTACTCATTCCAGGGAATTGTGGTTGCTGGGCAGGAGCATTTTGGGCGTACAAGGCCATGATCGAATCTTTGGTCAGTGGTTTCTTGTCCACCGTAGGTTGGTTGAAGAAGCTATCCTCTTCCTCACTTCGCTTGCCCACGTCTTTAGGAGCCTCGGCTACAGATGCTAATGGGGGTCCACTCAAAAAACTCGAGAAAATATCATTGCCCTCTGACGAAGGTGCATCTGCAGGGCAAAAAAATTAAATCAATGTTTTTTTTAAATAAAATTTCTACCAAGCCCTAAGAGATCTTCAGAGGCAGAGGTCGTTGAGGTTGTGTTAGATACCAAAATTGGTGCAACAGGCTCCGATTTCTTTTGTTCAGGGGCACGAATTGGCTTTGGACTCTTGGAGACATCAGGTGTTGGCAGAGCTGCTACCTTTGTAGCCGAAGACGAAGATTTCTTCTCCTTTTTCTTGCGGCTCTCTTCGATTTCCTTATCCCAGTTAACCTTCTGCAAAGGTGGAGGAACCCACTCCTTTGCTATGTACTTTTTCTGCTCATACTTTGCACGAATAAAAGACTCTAAGGATGAGTCATGTTGAGGTCTCCTGAAGTTATCAGGAAGGTTAGCTTCATACACAGCCCTGGCTCGACTATTGCCCATTTGCTGCAGACTCTGGGAAGAATAAGATTTGTGATTTGTCCTTGATAATTTCGAAGTAGCAGAGATTTGTAATGATTAAATGTTTACCACAACTTGTTCAGGGGTCCATGTATCTAGATTAACAGATTTAACTTTGCTGATATGCACTCCAAGGTTGCGGTGGATCCCTGCACAACGTATACACAAGAAAATTCCCAGGTTCCAGGATGCCCATCGGGGACCTATAAAGGAAATGTTTTCATCATAACGTTTCTTATAGGGGCGTATTTAATTTCAAAATTTTACCTTTCGCATCGCAGTCCTCGCAATATTTATTGTCCTCATCCTTCAAGAGGTCGTTCAAAATTGACTGGCACTTGTCCTGGATTAGCTTTTGCTTTTCCTTCTCAGCCTTCGAAACGGTGCTCATTTTTCAATAATTTTTGTAAGAATTTTGACAGGTGCAGTAGTGCAGCAATGGGTGCCCTGATATCGGAGTTAAGCAAGTTGCGATTAAAAATATCGATTAATCCTTTTCAAGCGCATCTCTCCGCTTTCAAGCGGCAAGAAAAAGGTTTCCAAAATTACTATCGATCAATATTGCGTGGATTTCTAACCCAACCCTTTTATCAACATGGCAGAATCAGGCTTGCCAACCCTGGCGATTTATGCTTTGTGAAGCTAGATGCCTCCTTAATTTCTCTTTGGAATAAAATGTTGCTTATGCTTAGCCCCCTACATTTTTATCACTACTTATCAGCTAATGTTGTTATGAAGGTCTGTCTGAACAAGGCCGCTGAGCTCTTAATAATAATTAAAAGATGTATGTAGCAGAATAATGAATAAATGGAATAAAATACAATTTTTAAGATAAAAAAAAACTAAATGTTATTTAATAAAATAAGGGCTAATCAAGGCCAATAGTCATAAATTACAGAAATTCCATTTCCCGTTCAATTCCCACAAACTTCAACTGTTCAGTTGGTCCATATCTAAAAAAAAATAGAAAAATTGATTTTGAGCTATAGTTTTAAGTCAATACTTTTACCTGTAGTCAAAGAAGAGCTCCTCTCCGGGCAAAATAGCCCTCTTTGCAAAAATTCCAATCCTGTGATCTCCGTTCACCATCATGACCTTTGCATAACAATTTGGGTTGATGGAGTGGTTCGCAAAACGAATTTTGTTGCCCTTTCTTGTAGCATCCACCACAAAGTCGTTGTTCAGGTTGAAGAGGAAGCTGCACATGTACTTGTCGTAAACCTTTCCTCGACGATCAGCTTCATCTTGTGAGATTATTTCTCCACAATATTCTGAAATAAACTCATTCTTCTGGGCGCTTTCCTTAAGGAAAATGCCCCAGCCAGCAACGTCTGACGGCGCCATCAGCAAGTGCTTATCTGTAATAAGCAAAATGACATGCATAATTTTAAATTTTTTTTTCAGAAACTTACGTTGTCCTCTCTGGACGCTCACGTTGCGGCAGGTAATCTTTGTTGTGTCGAACTGATCAGCACCACACATTTGGCACAAATCTGGATCGCATTCACGGACTGCCAAATAACACGGGCATTGCTTGGTGTTGCACTGCGCCTTGCAGCGGCATCCAGGGAACCGATTTTGGCCTTCAGAGAAAATAAAATTTAATAAATAACAAGGTATCTACAAAATTTTTCCTAAAAATTGGGTCTCATTGCAAAAAAAATTATTCAATAAAATTCAATTGTACGAAAGTTTCTACCAAGGATGAAAAAACTTCATTAATAATTGTTAAGGTGGCAAATAATGAGAAGCTCATTTTTTAGCATCTATTTCCCTAAACCTTAGTAATAACAACACCTGAACAGGTCTTACTGCTTAAAATAATCATTGCTTTTACCTAATCAAAATTTAAGGAGTCAATAAAAAAAAATTATTTAAATTTACTTACAATCAGAGCTGCACTGGCAAAACTTTTCGCAGAAGTTTTGAGCCCCCACACAGGGACAGTTTTGGTCGCATGGTAGATTGGGATGGTCGCATGGAACAAAGTTATAGACATGGTTTGAGCTCGAGTCCTTCTTGAGCTGAATCTTGCGACAATGCATAGACCAGAGGCGGTGCTTCTTCTTCTTCTTCCTTGGGGGAGTGTGATCCTTCAATGATTCCTCAGACGGAATGTCAGCAGCTTCTTTCTGGGCAAACTCGTACACTTGCTGGCAGGTTTTGGTAAGCATGTTTTGGGCGATGGCACAGTAGTTGTTGAGGAAAACTTTCTGCAGCGCCCTGAAGAGACTCTGGTCTGCACCAATCCACTCAAGGTGATCACCTGGTGCAATTGCCCCTATGAGAGAAAAACAAGAGCTGTTGTTGCTCGGCTGCTCCTTTGGTGTTTCGTTTTTGCTGTTAGATCGCTTCAGTTCCTTGTTCTTGACACTGTCATTGCTGTCCTCGGAGGACGCTTCATTTCCTGAATCAAGGGAACCATTCTTGCGTACTTTACTGGGCTTCAGTTTGTCATCTTTTTCTTCAACTAATGCTTTGTCAGCCCTTTCCTTCTCCTTTTCTTTCTCATTCTTTTCCTTTTCCTCAGCTTCTTCATTGGCTTTTTCAGCAACAAGTTTTTCTTTCATTCCATCCTACAAACATAAGATGTTAAAATCAAAAAAATATTTGCTCTAATTCAAATACCAAATTCATGTAGCAATGAGTTCCACAAGGGTCTGAAAATGGTCTTAGATCTGGCCCCTTCCTTTTCTGGGAGTTTGGTCCAGGATGCGAAGCTTGCAGCCCTGTTTGGATAAAATAAACATATTAAGCCAAAAAGGAGTCTAGGAATAAAAACTAACTATGCAAAAAACAATCGTATTTGAAGCACCGCCTGCAGAATAGAGTGTGGAACGAGTGCATGGTTTGCTCTCGAGGCACCGACTGCGCTTTTGGGCCGTCGATATTAGGAGTGCATTCAGGAGGCAGAGTGGACAAATGACTTCTATCAGTAAGCTCAAAATACCTGTTAATTACAATACATTAAATCATTGAAAAACTTTTGGCTAACAAAAACAAACTTGTCTTTTAACTCTTCAGGTGTCCCTTTGTCCGGAAAAACGGCGGAGATAGCTTGAAATATGGCTGTAAAAGGGTCTCCAGCCTTTTCAGGTTTTGCCTTGGGATCTTTGACCTTCGTGTCGTCCACTGGTGATGCTAAGAGGGCTTCAACTAGTGCAACAAATAGCTCGTCGTCAATGAAACCAGAGCTGTCATCCCCGTGAACTTTGCCATCGTAATTCTTGATGAGCTCCTCAATAAAGGCACCGTCCTGCTCCAAAATTTCATCGCCCATGTATGGAATGTTGTGAAGAACAGTTTCATCTTCGACCATGAAATTCTGCTGAATTGGTGCCCACGTGTACATTGTTGGAATGGGAGTAACAGCACTGATCATTCGTATCGGCTTTGACTGCAAATCCCCGTCATTGGTGGTGATTTCTGCCTTTTTCATTACTGAATGATGCAAGGGAGGCTCGTTGGAGCAGTGCCACAGAACCTTTCTTTCTTGCCACCGCTTTTCCTCTTCTTGAAGAATTTCTACAGTAATTAAATTCCATATTAATAAGAAACGGCAATATAAAAAATTATATTTATAGAACACTAACCTGCCATTTTCTTCCTGTTTTCATTCCAAGCAACTTTGATTTCGTCGGCTCTTTTGTGGCGCTTGATTTGCCGCAGTCTCATGTACTCTGCTTTAACCCTCTTTTTCCATTCAATGCTGATTTTGTTTTTATCGTCGATCGATCTCTATTAATTTATAAATACATAAATAATTGAACTTTAAATACGTAGTGTAAATAATGGCAGTGAACAGAAATTTATTTATCAAGTAAGAAAAAAAATTATATTTTTGGTTTTCAAATAAAAACGCGAATGCGGAGGCAAATTGCCATTTTGCAGTCTGTAAACAAAGTTATATTCGACAAGCAAGGAACAAGCCAGAAATCCTGTGATTTGGTTCAATGATGTAATCTTACCCGAACCTTGTTGTCCTTCTCCATTTTGACAACAAAATTGTGCCTGGCTCAGGTCTATGAAGGATAATTAATGAAAAATAACATTTAACCGGTGATGATCAACAATCAAATGACGCTCCGCCTGCTGAGTGCTGGAGGCTGGAGGGATCGCGAGTTCGCATTCGCAACAGCTACCAACATAACAAATCAAATCACACAACAGTAATAAATCCAATAAATCGGTAATAAGAAACTGTAAATTAAATTGCGACCTTATTTTTGTAGCAATGCTAATAGAAAAATTAAATCTTATTGAAGTTCAAAGCGTTTAAGTGCTAACATTTTACTTGATATAAGTTGAACCATCTCAAATAAATGAAGAAATGATTAGATTATATGTACAAGTCCAGCTGTGTTATGGAATTAATTCAAAATCTTATTACTTTTTTCAGTAGTGAGACCCATCATCTACTAAATCTTGAGTCTCGAAAGGTCTTGATGGTTTCAAGTTATGTCCAACAAGGGATTTATGTGGGTTGAAACCAAAATGAAATAAGATGTGAAATTAGTTGAGTATCTAAGTATCATTCAAATAATTGTATTTTAATTCCACGTAATTGTAAATTACAACATATACAATTCTTGTCAAATTCAAATGGATTCTTTTCTGAACTAGCTAGCAGCATGTGATTAAGTTACATAAAAATCTGGAGATCAGCCAAAATGGAATGAGAAGTTGGATGGGAAGCCGTGAGACTGGAATGCAAAGCCGTCATGCATGTCTCCACCATAGAAAGCATTGAACAAATTGGTCGCGTCCATAGTGCTGAATCCGTGGCCGCCTTCCATCATGTCGTCCTCCATATCTTGGCCGTTGTCGTATCGAGCTCTCTTCTTGGGGTCCAGAAGTACTCCATAAGCTTCGCCTACCTCCTTGAACAACCTCTCGTGCTCTTTCTTCTCAGCATCACTAACATGGGCATGGCGGTCGGGGTGATGCTCCAGAGCTTTCTTCTTGTACGCCTTCTTGATTTCCTCCTCGCCTGCATTCCTGTCAACTCCAAGAATCTTATAGTAATCCTTCCTCTTTGACTTCTTGAGGGCCAGCTTGGCTTCGTGCAACGATCTCTTAACGTCTCGACTTTTGTCTGTCTTGTAGACGGTTTCATAGTCTTTCACGGCATCCTCATATTGCTCAAGGTCCATGTAACACTTGGCTCGCCTAATTAAATTAGAGCAAAAACTATTGTTATAAAAATTTAAAATAATTCATCTTACCTAAGCAAGGCCTTCTGATATTCTGGGTCCAATTCCAAAGCTTTGGTGCAGTGTGCAATGGATTCTTGGAGTCTGTTGAGCTTCGAGCATACTGTGGCTCGGTTGAAGTAAATTTTAGAATTTACAGATTTGTTCAAGGGGTCAACTTCAAGCGCGCAAGTATACTTGGCGAGAGCATCAAGGAGCATTCCTTTTCTGAACAGGTCATTGCCTTCATCCTTCAGCTGCCTCAACATTTTGCAACGTTTGTAAACATCCTTAGCCTTTTGAAGATCTGGTGCCAACCGCAACACAGTCTGGAAATGCTGAATGGCTTTGTCCACATTGTCTTGATAATACAGACAGAGTCCTCGCACATAGATTGCTTCAACGTTACTCTTATCTTTTGAAAGTACTTCATTGGCAAGCTCTTCTCCTTCCTGGAATCGTCCGAGGTAGGCCAAGGACTCGGCTTTCCAAAGACGGAATTGCGGACAAGCTGGGGAGATGGCAATGCATCGGTCCATACAATACACCACCTAGAGCAACAAGTTATAATTAAATCCAATTGTTTACGCATTGCTAACTTTGGCTTACTCTTCTGTAATCGCCTTTCTCTTGCGACTTTCTAGCATCTTCTATGTGGTGCTTTAAGGTTTCAATGCTGCTCTTTTCTGCATTGAAAGACTGGCTGTCTGGTTCGATTTCGACAGCTCGCGAAATCGTAGTCTCTGCAGATACAATGTCTCCTAAAGCAATGCAACATTTAGCTGCTCTTTGAAAACCCTAAAAAGAGATATATGTTTTAAAAATAAAATTATAAAAATTGCTAACTATGCCCACCTTAATGTAAGTTGGGTCCAAATCAACAGCTAGTTTGGCATCAGCTAGAGCACCATTGTAATCACTCAGCATGAGCAAGCAAGCCGATCTATTTCCCAGATAGTTGACATTGTTGGGGCACCACTCTAAAGATTAAGGGTTAAGATGGCAATGCAATAATGATTTAAGATAGTATACACACCGATGGCCTTGGTATAAGAGGCAAGTGCGCCTTTGTAGTCCTTGAGTCTGTATTTATCGTTGCCTGCGAGTTTTTGGATCTCTCCCTGTCTGGAAATTAGATCGGAAAATTCGTCACAGAGAATCACAATGGACACATTTTAAATGAATTTTTTAATTCTAACACGTCTAGGCATTGTTTTAATAGTATTCCAACTCACTCTTCTCTGCTGATGACGGGTTCCTCGATAGGGACTTCAATCACATCCAAATCCATTTCGACTGGGTCCGCCATGCTTGTTGTGTAAAAAGAGCGATCGAAGAAACTTCTAGGCCAATCGCTGCTGTTGGCTGGGGAGGGCAAGGATCTCCCGAGTCTCATGTGCAAAAGCCTGCGTACCAGTGTTTCATTTCACGCTACTTCCCACAACGCTCATTGGTCGTAAGCTCTGCAAAGCGGTCCCGAAAAAGTCGTCGACGCAAATTCATACCAACCTAACAGAAAGCCAAACATTTGAATTTTATTAAAATTCGCAATTAAATAAAATTTTAATCCACATTGAGAAACAAAATTAAGTTTTTTTTATAAAAAAATTAATGGATAATGCCGATTTTTACACTCCGAATCCACTTTCATGCTTATTAAAATAGCTAGCTTTTTTCCAAGGTCGTCTGATACCACGGAAGCAAAATAAATGAACGAGAAAGTTGCTAGTCCAGTTCTTGAAAAGTTGGCAGTGACTCTAAGATGGCCACCGAAATACAGTAGGTGGTGGTTCCTGTCATCTCGTTAAATATTTACCCTGCCTCTCTCGAATGTAAGACTCCGTTCTGTCCTCGCTATCAGTACAAACACCAGCGAAGGTAGATCCACGGCGGTGCAGGCAATGAGTTGAGGCCATGGGCAACAAACACAGCTGCTGCGTCTACGCCAGCCCCCAAGTGACCCGCAAGGAGGGGGCGGCGGCCGCAGGCCAGGCGGGCGGTCGGCGAGGTTTTGACGAATTGGCACCGAACCACGAAGAGAGTGTCGGCAACCTTCAGCACATAAGCGAGCGAGAACCTGAGGAATGGGACACTGACCCCTCATCTCACCCCCGAGCCGGCACTATTTTTATGGAGCGCTCGAAGGCCTCCATTCAAAGTAAGACCTTTTAGGGCGAGTGTCAGCACATAAATTATTAACAATTCGCCTTCGATTTTTTTCCCTCTTGCAGATGGACTAGTCAGGAAAAAGAGCCAGAATCACGTAAGAAAGGTTATCAGCAGTGTCGTTGGGCAAACTAACAGTCTTTTAATTTACAGTTGTTTGAATCTCGGCCCATGAAGAAAAGCTCGTCTTGCTCTACGATATTTCTCGATGACAGCACCGTCTCTCAACCGAACCTTAAGAGCACTGTTAAGTGCGTCGCCCTTGCCATTTACTTCCATATAAAGAACAGGACCTCAAATAAACATCTAGATATTTTTGATGAGAAGCTTCATCCATTGACGGTGCGCATTTCTCCTCTTGTGAGAGTCAATAATTGAACCGATTGAATTTTAGAAGGACTGCGTCCCAGATGATTACGACAGACACAATCCCGAACACAGGCAAATCTACAAATTTGTTCGGACACTATTCAATGCCGCACAACTAACAGCAGAGTGTGCCATTATCACATTAGTGTACTTGGAAAGGTATTTTTTTTTTTTTTTTTTAAAGAAGTTACTACTTAAATTTTTTAAGAAATGTGAATTTTTTCAAGCAATGGTATAAATTTTGGTTGCACAAAGCTTATTTAAATGTTCTAGTAAAATTTTCTACAGAGCAGGTTGCATATAGTTATAATCAATATAAGTATCCTCCATAGAATAGTATTTTGAAATTTACAATTCAAATCGGACAACACTTTGTGCAAAAATTCCCTATCGTCTTTTATAGAATTTTTTACTTTTTACAGGTTGCTAACGTATGCTGAGATAGACATAACGCCTGGTTCTTGGAAACGAATTGTACTTGGAGCTATATTGCTAGCGTCTAAAGTATGGGATGATCAGGCTGTCTGGAATGTGGATTATTGCCAAATATTGAAGGACATTACGGTCGAAAACATGTAAGAAGCCCTTTTTATTACCACGAAAAAGTAAACAGATTCCAAATTCCAAATCATTTAGGAATGAGCTGGAGCGCCAGTTTTTGGAGATGCTTCAGTTCAACATCAACGTGCCCTCCAGTGTGTATGCAAAATACTACTTTGATCTACGAACCCTGGCTGAAGCCAACGAACTCGCCTTTCCGGCTGAGCCACTCAGTCGCTCACGGGCACAGAAACTGGAGGCGATGAGTCGCATAGCAGAAGACCGTGTGGTGGGCGGCATCGTCAACAGCCAAATCTCGGCTCAGAAAAGATGGGCTTCGCTGGACAACGTCAGCTGTGCGGTGTCCCGCAGGTCTGTCGCCATTTTGTCGTAACATTCCTATTTTTGTATTGGCATAAAGAGTAATCTTAAAATTGGAATCACTCGTGTGTTATTTCCAAGTCCGCAATCAGGGCCACATGGTCTGAGGGTTGCACAACACTGGGTATAGCTGTGTGCTCCTGCAGTTCTTCGTCACTGGGAAAAGGAACTACTTGCGTAACTCTCAGGTTGTCAGTCTGGTAGAAAATGTAGTCCAGGCAGTCAGCAAATCCCACAGTGAAGTTTGTGTACTTCGGACAGCCACAAGCACTTTCCAGCTTCATGCTGTGATCTAATTCTAGTCCTTCGACAACCTCATTTTCATCTAAAAATTAATTTAAATATAAAAGTCCTTTATGAAAAAATAAAATCAACTTACTGCTCTTCCAATCTGGGTAATCTTTTGGAATAAATCCTTCCGTCATGAATTTATAAACACCAAACGGCGGTGTGCTGTTGAAGTCTCCACAAAGTATCAAAGAGCATTTATCCTGTATAAGAAAAATTAATATTTGAAAAATATTTACAAATAACGTACCCTTTCTGATAGTAATTTATGTTTGTGCTGCAAAATGCTGAGACAAGTTGCTGCTTGCAAAAGTCGAACGTGATCAGCATCCGGGTGGAAATAAAGGTGTGTTATCCCAATGACTAAGATGTGATTAGAAGCAGCGTGACGAAGAACAACTAACTATTTTTTAGAACATGTTACTTTGATAAATATTAAATTTAAAATTTTTAACATACTTGAAGAACTGAGCCCCTGTCTAAAATTCTTGATTTTAATGCTTCATTTTTAATTATGGCTTCATGGATTACAGCGAACAGTGGATTTTCAGTGATTTCCTGACTCAGATTTAGACACTCTTGATGCTCTAAACTATTTATGAAACATTAGAAGGGATTACGCAGCTAAATTAAATCATTACATGAATGTGCTGTTGCGATAGAAACAAGCGATCCCCTCACTAACCTGGCCTCCTTTTCTATTAAAGGTGCCAGAGTAGCCTTCACTGCCTAAAACAGGTTCCAGGTCGACGTCAAAAACTTTGTGGTCCACTTCTTGCAAGCAAATGAGATCAGCCTTGTAGCCGATTATCTCTTTCAAAATGAGTTGCTTCCTGTAATCAATATCTAGTGCATAGGGTGGGCAGTAGGGGAAAAGAACTTCTCGAGAATAATCAGAGTCAGTATAAAAATCAGCTAAGATATTGTAGGTCATTATGCGAAACCTGAAAAATAATGAATGGATTAATAACAGGCAAAAATTTACAATTTTTCTAATACTTTGAGCCACTTAAAAAATCTTGAGTGAAGAGATGCCTCGTTTGGAAGGGACAATGACCAGGACCTGCTGAAATAACGTTTTTGGCCACGCATTCCATAGCTGGACCCTTCAGGTCTCCTTTCACAGGTTCACACCTCAGCTTGATGGCATGCCCAATGTCATCTGCGATGGGGATGTAGCTGTATCCTGTGGCCACTTGTTCGTATTTGGCCTGCTCTTTGTTTTCTGACTCGCTTAATTTTTTAACCGAACGAAACCAGATGAGTTGACAGTCTTGTCGCTCAGCATAGTCCACATCCAATTTCGACGGGTAGACAGGAAAACCAGCAAGAATCGATTCAGGCAGCGCTATGGCATTGACAACTGGAGAATTGATTTGGATTTTGTAGCTCAGGTCAAGGAAATGCATTGTCACGCCGCTGGAGCTCAGCATCATATCTTTGCAAATTGCACTTGTTTCGGCCTCTTCCCCGTCGACTTTGAACTGCACCTTCACGGCGTCAGCACTGGCCTGCCCTTCCTTCGATTTCTTTTTATTCTTCTTGGAAATTGATTTTTCCAGACTGGCCACGACTCGGCTTTGAAATTCTCCAACTGACTCTGTAATTCTTCGGTTGAAATTGAAATTTCGGGATATTTTTAATGTGTCGTGCTTCAAAAAGAAAGTAAACTCAAAGGTTTCACAGCCCTCTTTGCAGCGGAAATGTGCATCGGTGTAAGGAGACATTTTTAAGATCTTGTCTCTGCGCACGGTGGTGTGGAAAAATCGTCGAAGAGACACACGGATCATAAAAAGTTGATGATCTAGAAAGGACGAAAAATCGTCATCAATTATAAAAGATTGCATCAATAATCAGTATTATTTTAAGAAAATATGGTGGCATACATAATTACAGAAAGTGCACAATTAAATGGAAAAATGATTTTTAATTATGCTAGCTGAATTTTGAACGTACCTAAATCCTAAAAAAGTGAAAATTGCTGTTTCCTTTATAACTTTGCAACAATCAATTAATTTTTTAATTCACAATATAATTCACACGTGTGTTTTTTGGTGTTTTATGTTTTTGTCTTTTGTTGCGTTGGTCGTTCTGATTCGCAGGGCTGCCAACTGAAATTATTAGAGTTCTTTCAATACGCACGCGCCATCCCTACCAGAATTTAATTTGACGTTTTACTTGTGCAAGACGGTACGAAAAAGGTAAATATTGCGAATATTCAAAATTTTATAAGCGAGCTCAAGGCTAGTCAGAATTTGTATCAGCTTCAGCAGTCACCTCTCACGTCTTGCCGCATCTTGGCTCGGGATTTGGGACTTGGAGCATAACAAAGACAAAAAGACGCTAAAAACCTGTTGAATGTTGAAAAGTTGAAACGACACTAAAAACAAAAGCAGAGAGAAGAGAAAGAGAAGAAAATAACTGTACAAAGAAGGCCACTGACGACACTGACGTTAGCCACGGCAGAGGGTTTGCACCAGGTTTGCACCAAATACCAAATTGCATTTTTGTTTTGAATGTTTAAAATTTTTTAATGCTTGAAATGTTTAAAAAAAAATTGTACAAATCGGTACAAATAATTTTATGTATGTATTTATTTAAAAAAGCCAAGTCGCAAGTCTAGGTTTTTTTTTATCATTTTCTGTGTGTGGTGATTTTGCATAATGTACTCCTGAAATTTTCACCTCAAATAGACTGATCGTGACTGGCAGAGATGTCTTCGATTGTGTCTCATGAATGGGAGCTTCTCGATCCCTGCCCTGATGTCCATGGCATGTTTATCGAGTTCAACCATAAATTCTTCTGGGGGAAGCTAGACGGGGTGGAGGTGAAATGGAGCCCTCGAATGACCCTGTATGACGCATTTAATATGAAGCTTCGGAAGCTTCCTGTGAAATTTTTCTCAACACCTTTACACACAGGTGTGCTGGGGTCTGCAGCTATGAGGGCAGAGGTGGTCTGTGCTCGATCAGGCTGAGCGCTCCGTTGTTGAAGTTGAGACCGAGAAAAGATCTTGTTGAAACCCTTCTGGTAATACTGTAGTTTTTAAATTTATATATTTACTGAAATAAATAATACATACACAATTTTTCTAGCACGAAATGATTCATGCTTATTTGTTTGTGACTGCAAACAATCGAGACAGAGATGGCCACGGTCCAGAGTTCCAGAAACACATGCATAGAATTAATGGAGAAAGTGGCTGCAAAATTACAGTAATTTGATTGTTTGTAGCTATTCATTTTCTTTTTAAAAATGCCACTTTTTTTAGATCTACCACAGCTTTCATGCAGAGGTGCGTGTTTATCAGCAACATGTCTGGAGGTGCGAAGGCCCATGCAAAACCCGGAGACCATTTTTCGGTCTTGTTAGACGAGCCAGCAACAGAGTGCCTGGACCGAGAGACCTGTGGTGGGCTGAGCACCAGAAAACTTGTGGAGGCACATTTATCAAAATCCAAGAGCCTGAAGAATTCACCAAGAAAAAGCAGTTGGAGGCTGAGAAAAAGGAAAGGAACAATAACAAGACCAATGCCAAGGCTAACGGTAACCTGAAATTTAATTTGTAATACAAATATTTTAACAAGAATTTATGCAGGAAGCAAATCAGGGGACATCAGGAAGTTCATCAACACAACAAATAGTGATAAATCTAAAACATCAGGTGCCGCTGTCCCTTCAGGCGCCCCAACAAAAAAACCCTCCCCAGTAAACGGCCTGAATGGACCTGCAGCGTCCACTAGTGGCGCAAACAAAGTTACAAGGCCAGTGAATGGTTCAGGAATTGCACCAACCAGCAACATTTCAGGATTTGGCGACTTTGGATCTGGCAGTGGTGCTCGAAGGGGTGTCGGAGGAGGAACTGCAACTGCAAATAGAGGTGGCAAGACATTGGTGGTTACGGGCAAGAGAAAAGACGACGATCAAGTTGCCAATAAGGTGGAGAAACCAATGTCAAATTTTGTTCCATTCCAAGGGAGAGGAAAAACTATTGGATCTGCATCAACCTCATCTGGAAACGTTCTCCAAGACAGACAAAAGTTCCTAGACAGATTCAAATCATCAAAAAAAGATGAGAACCAACCCAAGAAAAAGTTAAAGACTGAGAAGACAGATGACAACAAGGACCAAATCCACTGTCCTGTTTGCAACAAATCATGTGCTGCAGCTGATCTGAATTCGCACCTGGAAGAGTGCCTTCAAAATATGAGTTTAGAGGATAGCGAGGTGACCAAAAGCACATCAGAGGCAGAGGTGATTGTTTTGAGTGATGATGAAGAGGACGAGAAAGACTTGGAACAATGTCCCATTTGTTTGGCTTACTACAACAAGGATTCCCTACAGAGACACATTGAAAACTGTGTTCAACATCTGCACGACTCCTTCATCGAGCTAGGAGATGAAGAGGTTGTTTATGAACCAACACAGATGAACAAAGATCAGGTTGATTGTCCTGTTTGTGGAACTCAAGTGCACAAAGACAGCATTAACGAACATTTAGACACATGCCTTAGTTAATTTGTGGGATTAAAATTGAATGTAAAGGTTATGTGGCTGTTTGATTTTTTTTATGGCCCAACAAGTAGGCTTAATTTGGCAGCTAGAACTGGCTGTCCATTCCCTCTCAATGTAATTTTCACTTCTATATTTGACATGTTTGAGAGAATAAAAGAATCGAATTAAGCTATTTGAAAGTACTCGTGAAAAGATTCATAGATCTGAAATTATGTGATTTAACCAATTGAATTTAATACAAATAAAAATTTCTCAGGAAGAAAAAATTTAGTTATTACTTTTACTTATCGCGCCTACTGATTTTTTTTTTTACTTCCGGATTATTTTCTACTACAGTTGCTTATTATAAAAACATTTTTGATTGTTGTAGGTAGCAAATTTATTAATCCTACATTAAAAGGGAGAGGTTGGTTATTTTTATTTTTACAAAATTATATTAGAGAAGGCATTTTTTTCAGTGGAGTCTAGACTAGGGAAACATCTCATGGATACAGAATGTCATAGTGACCAGGACGGTACAGCAAGTGCACTCTTGGCTGACACCCTTCAGGGAATTCGTGAGCCATCACCTCGGATCCTTCGCCTCGATCCATGTACTCAACTCGCACTCCCACGTTCAGAGCTGACGACAGGGCAATGATGTGGATGTGGTCACTCTCCTTGAACATAGGCTCGACTTCCTTCAAAACCAAAGAGTACAGTTAACTGAAGCTTTAAGCAAAAATATTATGCCCTCTTACTTGGTGGCAGAAATCTTTGACACCACGCTCTCCCTCAATGAAGTTCTGGTAAAACTCAGCCTCCTTCTGCAGCTGCCCAGAAGTAATGAGTCTCAAGTAAACAACAACGTAGTCTGAGAATCCTTGGTCGTTGAACAACTTGTGCAGTTTTGATACACGATCCTCCATTGAGGTTTCTTGTTCTGGAGGTCCAGCGGAACTCAGCACATCCATGAACTAAAATATAGAAGTTCAATTTGCTACGTAACTGTTATATTTGCAAAGTCCACTTACTGTATCATGAAAGTCCTCAACTGTGAATTTCGGAAACCCAAGAGTTACCAGGTCGTCCTTACTTTTGGCAGCTATTTCATGAAATCTACAATTAAAAATGAAATGTGAGTCCACTTGATTGATAAGAAAAATCTCTGAACCTTTTGTATTCAGTGGGATCATTGAGCAGTTGTTCCATGTAAGCGTAGCTGAAAGCCCTGAAGAAGCAGTTTCCGTCTGGTCGAGTTCTTCGAACAGACTTGTATTTTTTCTTTAAATCAGAAGTCTTTTGCAGATACACTTTGTCTTCCAAATACTCGGTCTCCAGGGTGGTCAGGTCTTCTTTTGGACCAACACAGGGTGTTGAATCTGAGATCTAAAAAAAAAGACATGCAATTTCCAACGTCCCCTTTTCAATTTAAAAGGAAAACCTCTTTTTCAATCTGTCGCTGCTGCTGAATGATGAGCTCATCTTGGTGAACGTCTACAAAAATAAGCTAATTAGCAAAACAACAGATTTCATGAGTTAAAGAAATAAATTTTAGAAATTTCTCTTAGACTTCAATTTTATAAATTTTGGTATGCCGATGAATCTTTCTTTTTTACTTGAATTGGTGTTGGTGTTTCTGGACATTTCCTCCTCCGTCTTTTCAGTTTCACTGGCCATTGTCTTCACAATTTTTACAAGCGTCTCTATGGACAAAAAATGTAAACAAATGCAGTAGTTCTGCTAATTCATATAATTTCTAAATTAATAACAGAATCAAGCGTCCCTTTCTAAGAAGTTATAACTCAGTTCAGTGCTGTAAATACATAATTAAGGTTGACGCTCAGCTAAATTTTTAGTTACCCTGATGCAGTTGTGTAGTCGGTGACGCTTCAATTTGCAAAAGTTTCAATCGGATCAAAAACTTTCGAAATCTCGATCGCAAAATTCCCCTCTCCAGCTGACAGCAACAACAATCTCATTTCCCCCTCTCGTTGCTTTTTCAATGGCTCGTGGTTGGCCAACCTTCTCCGCCACCACCCTTATCAAAAGAAAATGCGGCAAATCACAAGAAAATAAATTAACAAAAATTAATAATATTGAAAAATATTCAAAAAAATTATGCATAAATAATTTTTCTTTTGCAGCGAAATCCAATTAGTTTCATTAATTTTTATTAATATTTTTAACTTATTTTCATATGAAACTGAGGAAGTTGTGGAACAAAATAAAATTATTTTTGTGATATTATTTTGTGATTCCATAAATTTTTATTAGGTCCATTTACAAATGTACAATGCGATTGTAAAATTCTAACACAACAAGACAACAACTTAAATTCCACCGTGATCGAAGAAACTGAATTTTGGCATCAAACATTTTACATCACTTACAACAATTTAATAAATTTGCCACAAAGAATATATTTTTCAAAATATTTTTGTAATAAATTAAAACAAATAATTGAGTTGCGAATTTTATGGCTTCTTTGTTTGCTGGTTCATATTTTAGGATGTTTCTTAATAATTCACTAAATTTTCTATGAAATCCGTTGAATTTTAGAAACACTTTTTTACTAGAGGATGAATACAGAGCGCTGCACACTAGATGTGTCCATTATTTTGCTGGTTATTGTTGAGAGTGGCTGAACACTTATCAGAGAGATAGTTATTTCAAATTGGCGCTAGTAGCTTTTATTACACGTCTCATTAACTTTTAATATTATATAAAAACTGCGCTCCCCTCAATCATCCACTTGGCTTACATTACGTGATGGTTAAAAATTCTGTGTCATGCTTGATATATAAATCTGCAATGCGTTAGTTGAATTATTATTTTTTTACGTATAAAAAAGCTCCCTGAAGTGAGATGGATGAGAAAAGGTGGTTTGAAAAACACAAGGGAAATTGGGTCTGGTATTATTTTTGGCTTAAGCACCAAATTTAATAATTATTCCCAGGCAGTGATGGAGCTCGTGTGTGCTTAGAGTGTGTAACATTTACATGTATTTCTAAATTAGCCGCCTCTTGCAATAATAGGGAAATCAGGGAACACAGAATACTTCTCGGGAAACGTTCGTTTTATTTTTCGGGTTATTATATATTTCAGTCTATATATGATTCTATATTTTCCTCAATAAATGCCACTGCATGAAGCAAAACAATATCTCTGTCTGTCGGTGAAATTTATTGCTTTGCAGCAAAGCTTAGTCATTTTCCAGTCAATTTGTTAGTTCAGCTAATTTTCTCCCCTATAAAAATGAGTAATTTCTAAAAAAAAGGTAATAATTCACTAAGCTGAAAAATATCAGATCAGTGCTAACAAATTAATCTAAGGGGAGAATCAAAAGTTTTTAAGCAAAATTAAGCTCATATTTTTCTTGTCTTTGCTTTTGCACGTCAAAAAAATCATCATGTGTTTTGAGCATCATGTCATTTTACTAATTTATGATGATTTCAAACTGTTCTATGTCAATTCTACAGCGCTGTCATAGAAATGCTAGTCTCAATCAAAACCCATCGATAGTATGCTGATATGGAAATACAAAATTCATACAAACATGTATAGTGTATTTTCTGCTTGAGACAAAATTGAAAGTGAACTCACGCTCGTCCTATATTTGATTAATCCAAAATTCTACACTTAAACATTAAATAACATCATCCTGATCTTTTTACACATCCACAGTGGAAACGAGATGATAATAAAAAATCTACAAGGGAAAATACATTTATTTAATTTTTTTTTATAATCAAAATTTTTCCTCCTCTTTTCGTGCCCCATATCTCTAATTAGCGCTTTAGATATATTCAATGACCGATAATGATTTTATCTATGTACAAATTCTCTTTTTACCCTTACTTAAGCACTAAACGAGCTTTTGACCAGATTTATAATTGCGAAACAAGATCTTCAGAATCGGCAGTCGCGGGTGCTGCGCCACTTTTGGGTGGCGACGGAGGCGTCGGGTGCACTTCGGCGGCCGTCGTGATAATTTGCAGCGCCTGCGGTTGCTCCACAGGCTTGCGACGTCTTCAGCTCTCCTCAAAGTCGGAGGGAGGGTCAAGTGCGGTGTGAAGGGTCACGGTCACTCCGCGGTTTATGCTGATGGCGGGGTAGAAAACGCCGAAGAGGTCTTTAAATGCAATTGGACCCTACACAAAGAGGAAAAATGATTAAAAAAAGTTTAAAATTTTCTACAATCTTTTTAAAATTATTTGCACTATGGATTAAGAGGAGATCATTTTTTTGACAATGATGACAATTCTGCTGTCTTATTTGTATTTAAATTAAAGTTTCACTATTTATTGCAGTAAACCTGCAAAATTTTTAATACTTTTTGAAATAATTTCTTAATGAATGGAGATGAGAATTTGCAAAATGACCAATATTCAAATAAAAAATAAATTATGACTGTAATTAATTAATAAAGCAGATTTAAAAAGCGTTGAAAAGTTTTAATAAAAATATATACTTATATTTATATATATAAATTATTTATATATATAAATATATATAATTTAAATATTTACCTGGGGTTCATCGTTGACGTAGAAACTGATTTGCCGCCTTTCCAGATCAAGCAAGACCCCGATTGTGGAACCAACCGCAATGCCGCCGTCACATCTCTGGTCGTGAACGCTTCCGTGCATAAACCACGACCTCTGCCTGTCAATGTACATGCTCCAGCCTTTGTCGTCTTTTCCTGCAAATAATGTTTGTAAATAATTTCAAAAGTGGTCACATCCCGGGTAAAATCGACCAAATTAATTAGTGGTCTCACCTAGCATTTGTTCCCGGGTCACGTCTATCCTGGCCACTCCGAAGCTGGGGTCGGCGTCCGCGTCGTACCGATTAATCGTGTACTCCCAGTAGTGGACTCCGCGGGAAAAACCAACCGAGCCAAGGGCCACCCGGTGTTCGTATCCGTCGCCAGTCACTGTGCAGTTGTCTTCTGAAAACCTCAGTTCGGGCGGCGCAGTGTTCGGGTCGAAGGTGAACCAAGCAACTAAAACAAAGAAATTATGTTTTATTATAAATTAATTTTTTGAATTTATTAAGTTTGCTAAAATATATTTTTTGTTAATAGAATTTTGGAAATTTTGTTACCAAACATGGAAATTTTTGGTTCTTGAAAATATTTTGATTTTTAATTAAATGAAATTGTGAAAGAAGTGTTAAAAATTTTAAGTTGGTAAGATAAATAATTTTCAAGTCGATGTTGAAGGTTTTAATTAAGTGATAATCTAATTTTGGCCAAGCCAAGTGTAACCTAATCTGCATTCATTGTTGCGGGGTTTTATCAAAACTTTGTAAATAACCGGAGCGCCGCGAGCGCAACAACAGAGAGGATAATCAAAAAGTCAGAGGTCTGCGAGTGTCTGACCCAGGTGTTGCAAAACAATGTTCATTATGAGTGTCTGCACTCGTCGTTTTGAAATGGAAACCGCACACCCGGTCGGGGGCAGCGAAGGAGCACCGCAAACTTTGGATAGCCCGACTGACTAACTGAGAAAATTTAATTGCCGAATCCAAACTACAGCAGCCGCTCTGCCCAATTATACTCGTACAGTGACGCGAGCAGCCGAACATATTAAATCAACTCCCAAGGAGACGGCTGGGCCCTTCAATTAGTGCAACAATACGGTACGCAGATCTGCGCTTAGATAATTTTGTAATTAGTAACGTACACATGAATCGATCCATTCATTAAGAAGACAAAGTGCCGGCGGTGCTGTGTTTGCTTAAGGTGGCTTAAGCAAAACTTGAATAGTTATGCCTAGCAACAACAAAACGCTTTAAATGAAAGGACAAGCTTCTTTGAAATTTTCTCAAAGTAAAATTTCTGATTAATTATCGATTACAATAAATTTGAATTATTTAAATTGAGTAAAAAAGAGCAAAAAAAGAACAAAGAAAGCGGCATTTGGAAGTATCAGGCAGTCATTTAAATGCAAGCTTTCAGCATCCAGAAAAAGAAAAAAAAAAAATGTCCAAAGAACTTGACTACTGTTATTTTTCTTGTGTTTATATTTTGTAATTGAAAATTTTGTTTGTGAAATTTCGCATGTAAAACTTTGTTTGTAAAACTCTCATCTTTTCTCTCAATTGTATTGAATTTGTATAATTTTGAATGTATGAATGATGTATCCCGTTATGGGCAGCAATTGCCTTTGTGATATATCAATAAACACAATTTGCAACTAAATTTTGGATAGCTTTCTTTAATATCTGGTAAGCGAAATAGAAATTATATTAAACAGATTAACTGAATGTAAATGAGCTTTTTCTGTAGAGGCAGATGTAATTAAAATTAAATTTGATAGTAAAGTATGATTTTAGAGCGAATATCTTAAATAATGAGACATAATCTTCTTTCTGCATTTTTAGTTAAATAATTTCCCATCATATTTTGATATGAAGCAATATGAAGTGGCTCTTTTGGACGTTTTTCTGTGAGAATGAGTATAATAATAATAATAAAGCAAATTCAAACGCAAAGTGCAAAGGAAACGTGAACAATCCACAGAAGTGTGCCAAAAGAATAACTCGTACTTTCCCCCTTTCCTTTTTCACCGAGCGGCGTTTGCATTTCCGAGCGTCGTCGAATTCATTGCGGCATAAATTTTTATTGTTCCGCCACCCCCTTATCTCGATCGCTTTACACAATTGCAATCAGTATATGGGAGATGCTGCAGAAGAGGTGATGATGACGGAGCCGCCGGCTGCGAATAAAATCTTTAATCTATGGAATGGGACCGCGGGGACCGGGTGCGCCAGAGCTTTTTCAGGGGCCGGGGTGCTGCGAGGAAATTACAAGTAGAATATAAGATTCGCCGGCGGCCGAATGCGACGAGAATAGAACCGCAGAGTCTTGATAAAAAAAAGCCGAGCTCGCAAAATGTGGCAAAAAAGAGACAGAGACAGCTGCCGGCGGATTTGCAAGTGCGTGTAATTACATCTGCGCAAGACAAGCAAGTGGCGAGGACGAAAAAGTCTCATTACACGGCGTCTGCTCTTGTGCCAAAGTCAAAGGGCAGTAGATTGAAGAAAGACTAATTTGTTTTTAGCTTTTTTTTTTTTATCAAACTGTTATTGCTTCAAGTTTGTTCAATCCCCAGCATTTTCAATTAATTCCTAATTATATTTGCTATCTTCATCAGCTTCATCTTTTAATATAATTTTGTGATTATTATGTTATATAATAATATGATATAATGCAGTTATATGAATAAGACGGAAAATTTAACGATCCACATCCAAATCAAAAAGATTTTCACGTTAGCATATTTTACGTTGTGTGATTTGTAAATTTATAAAAATGTATTCACTCCTTTTTATTATTGTGTTATGAAATGAAAAGTAAACCAATTAAATGATTTTTATTATTAAAAATAAGAATAAAAAGGAATTAAAATAAGCAAAAACATATAAATACTTGTTTAAATAAAAAAAATCCAAGTGAAAAATTAAATTGGTGTCAAATATTATAAATATAGTCTAGTATTTGTAATAATAATTTTTTTTTATTAAAATTACGCGCTTGATATAGATTATTTTTTTTGGCAATTGCAATAAACTGCAACACTGACGGGGCACAAAATGCAAGTGGAGTGATTCATCTCGGCTCGCAATCAACATATATGCAGCGGCCTCCTTTTTCAAGTCGAGGGGGTTGCCTACATTCGATATTAACTTTATGCACCCACTGTTGTGCCGCTGCACGGGCTCTCTCTCTCTCTCTCCTGCGTGCATTGTATTACATCGGCTCGATTAAGATCATTCATTTTAACACCCTTGACGCACAGCAACACAATATGTGAGTCATGAAACCGAGACTAACCTCACCGCTTTGGCATGGGAATCCGCCGGCTTAGTTCGGGGGGAGGCGAAAAACAAGCCAATCTCACCACCCCGCAAAATTCCACTGCTGCGCGGTATTATTATTTTTGGAAAATATATTTTCAAAAGCACGAGGGTTGAGTGCCGGCGATTTTCATGACGAGAGCAATGGCTCAGAAAACTAATTTTCCTGTGGCTCTCCCCCGCTCATCATTAAAACTCGAATGCGCCACCAGTAATTTGACAAGGAGCAAAAGCTGAAAAGCACACACACGCCAAACAAGTAGTGGAGCTTTTTAATGGGACACGCGAGAGGGGTTGCCGAAATCCGTATTTTTTGTATGACGAAGCCGAGTTTTGAAATTATTCCCTTAAAATCCACGAGCGGACATTAATTACTATAGCGAGAGAGACGAGCACGTCTTTTGATGGAATAAATCGGCGCTGAGCATCATCTGCAGAGGAAGTTCTTAAAAAGAGCCACTTTATTTCCATCGCAGCAAAAAGGTAGCTTTGCGCCGCTCGCGTTCAAAGGCGCCTTCGGGCGCAGAAAAGCTTTTAGTCCGGCCCGCCGTTATTGTTATTTTTTTTTTATCAGCAACTAAATTTTAATCTGCTTTAAAAAAGCGGGCAGGGATTAGCGAGGCCAATGTTCGCACACCAGCCGAGAAAGGAAAGCCAGAGGATCAAGGGCGGAAAATGGAAAATTATTTCAGTGAGCAGAAACACGAACAGAGCAAAATCGAGGCTGCTCGAGGCGCTTGATTGCAGTTGATGGCATTCTGATCAATAATTAACTCAGACCCAATTTTAAAGCGGCAGTGACGTCACCGAAGGCAAACTTAATTACGCTCGATCAAATATTAGCGGCACAGAAATTTATTGCGCTCCTCTCGTTCCGGGCACGGCGCACTGAGCTGTCGAGCAAGAAGTTCAAGATAGAGTGTGAGTTGAGGCAAAAAGCAAAGTGTCGAACTGTTTGCCCAAACTTTTTACTTTGAAGCAAAAACTACGTTGTCGCAGAAAGGGAACTGTTTCAGCTGAGAGTTCAAGTTTTGGAAAATAAATAAATAAATATTGTTTTTCAACGGAATTAGATCAAACCAAAATTAAAACTGATCTGAATAAATGAATGGAGAAATTAATAAACCAATATTTGCATCTTAACATTTCAATTGACATTGTGTGTGTGTGTGTGTGTGTGTGTGTGTGTGTGTGTGTGTGTGTGTGTGTGTGTTTTTTTTTAAACTTCAATTCTTTTGAAATTCATGTACCATGAATAAAAAATGGAAGCCTTGAAAACGCGTGTCTCTTTTCGTATGCATGTCGCTGGTACAATTTAACTTGATTTTCCACATCCTGTTTATCTAAATGAAAAATCTCTGTGAACACGAAACGATTTGCATCTACAAAGCAAACGCGCTCCACCGTACAAGGGGCTCTAAATTCCGGAAATCGTTATTAACTGACGCGGGGAAACAGTCGGGCCTAACAGTTTTTGTATTCACTCACGCTCACTTGGGTACAAAATTGAATCTCGTCGGCAAGACGCTCGCTCGCTGCGGAAGACGTTCGCCGAGGGTGGGCTTCCTCACCATCCCTCAACCACCCCACGCACCACCCACCGCTGCATGATCTGATAATTTAATATTTCACATTCATAGAATACTTCAGAGCTCCGACGTGCGGCTTCGGGAAAGAAGGGTTTTTTATTTTGCGAGTACATGAAACATCAGGCGCGCGCGCGCCGCCTCTGCGTTCGCTAATATTGACTCTTGCGAGAGCGAAGAGAGACGCACGGAGACGGGGTGCGTATTGACACAACCCTCAAAGGAATCAGCCGCAAACATCAAGAAGTCTGCTGCTCTGCGTAATATCATCGTCGTCATACTTACTTAAAAAACATCTTGCTCGAGTTTTGTCATTCCAATAAAAGCAGATTAGAAAAGAAGGGGCGCACTCGAACACAAACTCACAATGAGGGAGATAAAAATGATGGCACGATATTTGACTTTCATTCCGGGACCCTCGGTTGAATTTCTCAATTATATGCTCGAAACTTTCTCGCGACCTCTTGATATCGAATAAAACGAACCGGATTGTTCAAAATCCGTCGCCGCATTTGCAACTCGCGAGGGATTCGTTTTTGAAATAAAAAGATGATTGCTCGCTTGTCTGTGCAGCCAGTGAGCTCTCGGTATGTTTGCTTTGAGAGATTGAGTTATGATTTCGACCGGCAGCACACTGCGAACACGGCTAATAGAATATTGCGCGGAAAAACGACCCCCTCGCATATATATGAATTTGTGTAGCTGCTGCACGCTTAAAAATATTATTCCGCAGAGTTCATATTTGATCGAGCCAAGGAGAAAATATGCCGCACGTGCAGGGGGAAGTCAAATCGAATTAAGTCATAGAACGCGCGCTGCAAAAAGAGGAGCCCACTGTGAACTGTGTACAGAATAATAATAGGCGTTTTGACCTCTGCTGCCAGGATTCAAGCGAAACTCGTTGGGAATTTTGAGAATAATAAATTTTTGACACGAATGATTGTGAATTATAAAAAAAATCAGCAGTTAGGTGGTATTTATTGCACAACATTTGCGTGTTTTAGGTGATGAATTAGTCAAAATTGATCTGAAATGTTTTTTTCAAATGCAACTATGTGATATCTAAATTTTATTCATTTCATTGTGTATTTTTTTTCCACTATTGCGAAAAGGCATTTAAATAGTCACCAAAAAATTGATTCCTTAATAAGTAGCCTTTATGACATAAATATTAAAATATGTGAAAGACAAATAAAATTGATAAAAAAGTTTAAATTTAAATCGATAATTATTTCCCCCATATATTGATCAAATAGCAAGTTTGCTCAATGGAAATAAATGCGAAATGGAAAAATCCTACCTTCAGCTGTTTGTAGACCGATGCACTCGCTGTAAGGCCCTTCACCTGTGCTGTTGAAAGCTCTGACTCTGGCGTTGTATAGCGAGTGGAAATGCAGGCCGTCCACGGTGCAAATCGTTTCCTTTCCGCAGTACACCTCCTAAAGGACACAATTAAAGTTTGATTAGTTTCCAACCGGCTAATGGGCAAAATCACGCGCCATTACTCGCAAAACTCAATTATCAGCCGTTGGCATCAGTCGTCTGCAGCAGTTTTATTGAAAGTTTAATTTGCCAGCGAATTAGCTGCATTTTTGAGCACCGAGAACAATTATTAGCCCCGATGAGCTGGGCGGGCGCACAAAGCCCTGCTCCGCTAATATGTGTGAGAGGCGAACTTTCCACTCGGCCGGGCACTGATTGACGCTCGCTCTTTCGCTTTACCTGATGCGATGCACCTCGCTGGCTGAGCAAATTTATTACGCGACATTTATTATCCTGCACTGCTGCTGGTCGGTGTGTGTGTGTGTGTGTTTTGTGTTTGTGATTCGCAACAACGGCCGAGAGAGACGGATTTGAATTGTTGTCGAGCAAATGTCACGCGGGCGGGCAGGCGGGCGGGCGCAATCCAGTTTTGAATTAATTCCGCAATCAGAACGTACCCGATTCATTTAGCGCACACAATGGCCTTTGAAAGAGCGACCAAAGTTGCGCGGCGAATAAATTGGCTATTAATGCGCGCCTCTCTGTGTGTAAGCCGACTGATTGGGATTCTCTTTAATAAGGAGGCGCACGTTTGTTTTGCCAGTCCATAGTTGTTCGCATGCATGCATGCGTGCTCCAATTTGCAAAGAGCTGATTAGGCTGTTTGTGTTCTGCGGGTTGCAGCGTAAATGAACTCGGTCCCTTTACCATTGATATTGAAATTACGTACATTTAATTTTTGCTTACAAAAAAAAAAGAATGAAATTTAATGTAAAACATATTTTTCAATTGATTTTACATTCATAAACACTCAAGGAACAAAATTGAAAGGGTGAATGTTTAAAATCCAAATTATTCATTTGATTTAATTAAAATTTGTCAAAATATAAAACCAAATTGATGAATTGAATTTGTGCTAAATATAGTTTCAAATCATGTTTATTAATGTATCACCGGGCATTCTCTGCCCAAATACATCATCCATACAAATATAGTTACGAAATTGTTCAAATAATTTTCAATTATAATAATATTATGAATTTAATTAACTTTTTCTTCTTTACTATTTATTTTTAGTGCTAATGAATTTAGTAGACTTCTGCATTCACTTGCAGTGCTAATGAAGCGACGGATTGCATGGTTTCACAGGGTTAAAGCTCTTGATTAGAATTCAGTGAAATGTGGAATAATTTCCTTTGTCGGGTGACTGCATTTGATATAGTATTTGCCACACTCGTGCGTCGCTTCTCACGTTGCGCGGCGCAAATTGATGAACAATTAAGTCTCAGCGACGCACCGGGAGCAGCTTATTAATCTAATAGAGACGCACACACCGGCTTTCGCCTCTGCGATCCATACATCTTGTTCACCGGTGAGAGAGAGAGAAAGAGGCGGAAGCGCCGCTTATTCCGCGATAATAATCCAATAATACGTCCGACTCACGTGAGCGTCGGGCGGTGCAACTGCCGGGGATGAACTTAATGAATGGAACTTAATATTGCAAAACAGCGAGGGGATGTTCTCGGGGCCGAGTAGACTAATGAAACGAGCAGCACAAACACGCTCTCGCTCTCTCGTCACTCGGCCGTAATGTGATTAAGCTCGCGCCCCGGCTTGTTTGATCAAATAGTGCACCCGCCACACACACATCCATCCAAACACACCCTCCCGTTGCGCGCAAAAAAAGCAAACAGTTTTAATCGGCTGGCTTGGAAAGGAATGAAATTCGCTCGTTTGAATTTATTTTCAACTTGATTACTAGCGACGTTGGTATTAGGGACTCATTGACCGTATTTTTGCCTGCTGCAAGTTGATTGAAAAATGATGAAAATTGGGGAAATGTCCACAGTTTTATATTGCTTACAACTCGGTAAATTTCTGACTACAAATTTTGGTTCGTTTCTACCTTCATTATTTTTCTTCTGTTCCATGAAGATCAAATTCTATCTTGATGCAAAAATTGTTTAAAAACTTAATTCAGTCAAATTATTTTCACTGATTTAAAAATGAAAAAGCAATATAAAATAAAAAAATTTCGGCTTTTTGGTGGAAAATAAAGCACGTTGCACACCTGGATGCGAAATAAATCCCCAAGATTTTCGTAAGCCGAATTTCGAGAGCCCATTTCTTACCAAATCCTGAGCCAATTTGTTGCCGCGCCGGACACACCTTTTGCACTCGGGCGGGGAGAATTTTTTACCCGACAATCATGCATCTATCTTGCCGCTTCACTTAAGGTGGTGCGTCGTTCTCCCCTCGTATGACAAACCCCGATAAAATCCACCCACGCAATACCTAGCATGATGGTGCGCTTATCTCGTGTCCCCCTCAGGCAATTTCCGAGCTCACGAGTCTGAAAAAGCGGCGGCCCAACGCCCGTCCTGCGATCGGACGACTTATTCAAACCGGGCGAGGTGTGTGTTTTGCGCTGCTCATCATGAAATAGTTATTTTATTTGACTTCTCATCTTGACAATTCCGACCTGTCTCTCTGGGAGGGTGAGCGTTTTTAGAGGCGGAAATAAAACTCGAAACTACACGATTTGGTCTAGACATTTTTTTTTGTTTTTTCCTCTCTTCTTTACGGCCGACAGCAGCACATACATCACTGCATTAGTCAAGCTCGGCTGACTGCAAAGGGAAGCAGGCTCAGCGGGCGCAGTCGAGAGCGACTGCACTTATTGGCCGATTGTCTGAATAAAATGCGCCCACGGGTTTTGTTCTGCACAATAAAACCAGATTATTTTTTCTCTGCGTTCAAAACTTTCTGAAAAAGTAAAAACTCTTGCGATGAAAAGAAGCAATTTGAATTTCAGTATATTGTTTTTCCTGCTCCACCGGGAATAAATTCGCTCTCGTTAACCACAGCAAATTGTTCCAGCACACTGCCTTCCTTCTCCCTATCCATTGGAATTCATTTAGCAAAGTATTGACTCGCGGATGGGTAAATATTGGCTCTGTTGCAGAGGGAGAAAAAGCCATAGTGGTGCTCCAGAGGTAAGAGTGCATTGGGGGGACCGGTGTAATTGTCTATCGGCGCGTGATTGTTTTTGTATCCCAATCAGGAACTTTTCTCTAACGATGCTCGTCCTCTCGTGTAACGCTGGCTTTGCAATTAGTCTGTAGGTTTCGAGCTCAGGTGTCCGAGTGTGCGGAAAAGCGATAAAAGTGCTTGAGGTGTTAATGCCCGGTGTCGCTGCAAATTGGCACTCGCGCGAGCAAACTGCACTTTCGTTTTACGCTTGCCGGCTTTTGGCACTCGAAACTTCAAAACGGCGCTGCTGAAAGTCATCGGCAAACATGTTTGGGCCTTTGAAGGGCAATGAAAACAAATGGCAGCCGGTTGTTGCTTATGTCCAGCGCCGTGTTTGCGCACGGCCTGTCATTATATGCTAAAACAGCGGCCGCTTTCATCAGCCTGCTCCTTTAACGAGCAGCACCCATAATATTACATACATTACAAAGCGACCGGACCTCCTCCATTCTGGCCGAATGCTAAATATAAATTGGAGAGACGCAGCCCGGAATTCTGTACGGCGAAGCACTTGTTAATAAAATTTGCATGTTGAAGACAAAACATTTTAGAAATATTTATACATTCCCTTCATGTTGATGATATAAAATAAAGGGATGTAACTAGTTTCTAGTTCAAATATAAATATTTTTAAAACATTTCACATCCTATAAAAAAATCATGAGATGTTTTTCCTTGTCTCCTTTTTTGTTTGTTTTAATTTTCAATTTATTTATTTATAAGTAGACAAGAGGATCATTAAAAAAAAATCAGGAAAAAATAATCTGGTAAAAATCAGACTCAAAAATTATGTTCAAGGCTGGGAATTTTCTCTCAAAGAAGGGAATACCGCCATAATATTATTGTAAATTTTAATGGTCTCTTATCTTACAGTCTCGTAATTATTTATGTTCATTATTCCACAAAATATTTCTTTTATTGCAATAGCTATTTTTTCTTTGATTTTATTTTATATTTTCTACTTGTTTGCTGGTGTAACTATTGATATGGCATCTTTAATCAAAAACCAACAAAGCAATTAAAAAACAGCTTTATGGATTATTAAAAAAAAAAAAAAAAAAAAAAAAAAAACTAAAGGGATCCTGCTTTTTTTAGTTTCGTTTAGTAACACTTATTTCTTGTATATATTATGTAGAGCAATTTTTTTACATACTCGAAAGATAAACTTTGCCCTGATTAAGATTTATGAGTCTGAGCCGTTGGAAAGGAGGGTTCTGGTGGTCGACACACTCACCTGTGCGCGGATTGTTTGCTATGGCCAACGGCGGCCCGCTCTGTACCGTCGAGTTTATTGCTGATGACCCTGCACCAGACTGTATCTGAGCCATCTAATATGTGTGCCAGCGCTAGTAGTGCGGATATTGGAAAAAAAGTAGCTCTCGTGGTTTACCAACTGGATATATGCGGGGCGAAAATCAACTGGCCGGATGAAAACGCAATACATCGGGACAACGGACCAGCAGAGAGGAAAAATCGACCGTTATATTAACAATTTTCAGAATGGCTCTTCACACCCGTTTTTCCCAATAATTAACCGGCGAGGGAAATAAAATAAATGGTCGGTGAAAAACAGCGAGTTCAACAAAAGTTATTACGCAGCAGTTCGATTCCCAGGACGTTCTGATTTTAATTGCCGTTTTAACTTTTCATGCAAAAAGCGCTCGAGTGGTGCGGTGGTTTTTATGGGAGTCGAAGCAGGTGCTTTTCGGCAGACTCAATTTTTAACGCGGCCGCAATCATCGGGTGGCCGCTGCTAAGCAATTCAAACGCCGGCAGTGCGTAGCCGAATTAATTATGATCAGGTGTAATATTCATTTTGGGGCGCAAAAAGGATTTGGCCGCCGCAGTTTGCACGCAGAATGAAGTATTCATTGCCCATGCATGCCGCAAAATATAACCGGCGAGGCAGTTTGCAACAAACAAAGCTCGTGAGTAATTCATTTGGGGACAAAAGGAAGGCATAAAATATGGTGGCTCAGCACGGGCCGGCACGTTTCTCCTCGGATGTGGTCTTCTCTGGTACCAGACGTGGCTAACGTGACGAAAATCACCGGGCCTTTGTGGACAGACGAGTCTAGACCGCGTTTTTGAAAAATGGAGCCGCGCGAAATTAGATTCAGCGGAAAGACCGCGTCCGTACCGACCCGCCGCGTTTGATGTTCTTGTTTTGGCCGTACATAAAGAAACGTGATACTTTACAAGGTTGGCAGAAATTTTCACGCAAATTTTCTGAAGCAGGCCTGGCTCCGGAGTAATAAATGTCAGCTCGGCTCTGTTTTTACTGCTGCGCACCGAGCCCTCCGGGCATTTTTATTTCCGTTATTTTGTTTACGAACCACGCTCGGGACGGAAGGAGTTGCGGTTTTTATTTTATATTCGTCGGTTTGCATATGTTGGTTGCGAAAAAAGAACACGATCAAAGTTCTGAACTATCGATTCTCGCCAGCCGAAGCTCATCAAAGTTGATTTGTATGTGCACATAAACGAGTGACGATGATGTTCAGCGTCACGCGGACCAAAACGTGAGCGAGTTGCTGGTTAAGTGCATTTGTGTGTTTGCAAAGGACTGATCGAACGCTTTATTACTATTTACACTTTGAAATCAAATTCACTGCACGTCACGAATGATCCAACAGTTACCATTTATGGCGAATAGTTATATTTATTTTTATTTCTAATCAAATAAATAAAAAAAAAAAAATTTTGAAAGACAGCTCTATTATTTGATTTTCAACGTTTCTTTCAATTTAACAGTTAAATGGCATTTTATTTCTTCACTGATCTATGAAGATAATTATTATTAACGATTGTGTATTTGATACTTATTGTGAATTAAAGTCAAATTTCCTATGTGTTGATGATGTATTTGTATAAACTTGTTTTAAATTTTAATCGTTTAATTTGAATAAAATATTGAAGTAAAATACAAAATTTAAATTTAAAAATGATTAAAGAAAATTCTGATAACAAATAAAATGAAATATTAAAACATAAACAAATTAAAACTAAAAATCTAGAGTAAAAATTTCTAGTTAAACTTATTTAATATAATTAATTTAAAATTTTTACCACATTTAAATTAAAAGCCTTTTCTTGTTAATGAATTTAAAAAAAATTTTTAATGAATTCTGAGTGTAAGATTATTATCTTGGAATAATAAATAAACAAACGAGTGTTTGAAATCATAATTTATAGCTTCTTTGCAACTGTAGCAGCTTAAGCAAGTTTCTCGTGAAGCATCAAGTGACAACGCTAGGTAAAAATAATCTCCGCTTGCAAGAGATTTACGTCAGAAAACACTTGCTATTGCGGTCTGCAGCTGCCGTGTAGTGTGGCACAGCTTGTCAGCCTGCAGAGATTGAGGCCTGCAACCCGCCCGTCAACCGCGCGCGGCAAAAAGCCTGCCGCAACTTGCATTACGAAAAAGACTCCTTGAGGCGCACTCCCCGCTCGGCACCCGCTAAATATTTGATGTACGCATTTTGTACTCACTCTGAACTCTCCGCCGCAGCCGTCATCCAATTCCAGGACGTAACCCTCCACGTAAGACGTCGGCGGCGGCTGCCAGGCCACGGTGACGCTGTTGTTCTCGGCGCTGCACTCCTCGGGAATGATGGTCGGCGCCGCGGGTGCTGCAAAACAGACGCGAGAAAATCAATTTTCCATTTAAGAGCAACGAATTATGACCAAGAACTAAAATTTTGAAGGAAAATCTTAATATTTAATGATTTTTTTTTTAAGATTTTCTATCAAAATTTACTTTTATTTAAATACTTTGGATTTGGTGACGAGAGAGGTTGGAAGGCTAACAAGGGTGAAAATAAACAAAACAAGGCGAAAAAGCAGCAACGAAAAAGGCAAAAAGAAACTCCATACATCGTCCAGCGCGAAATGAAATTATAAAAAAAGGGTCGGGATGTGAAACGCGGTCGGGGTGGCAACCTCGAGATTTGCAAGCACAGACAACATCAATAGAGTACGGGTACACAAATGGTTACCTGCCGGCTGTCGCTCTTCCCCTTCCTTGGCAGCTTGTGTGCAAACAGAATAAATAATCACATAAAGGGTCAAGCCAAAGGTTTTAGATCCACACAAAGCAAAAATAGCAGCGGCCCTCTAATGCAATTTGCGAAAGAGGCGGCGTGCGGAAATTCTTGTTTGCGCTCAAAACTCGCCGCCGTGCCAAAATATTCATCACAAAGTTTGCCATCAAAATTTAAAAGCTGCGCTAAATTAGAAATTACCGCGAGTAAAATATTCAAACACAAGGAATCCAAAATTAATTAGCTAATTTATATTTGCCAGCAAATAAATATAGCAAAAAAGTTCATCTTGGGATTAAAATTCCCTATTCTTTTGCATGATCAATAGAAATTTCCAAAATAATTCTGACCATCAAAAAGACTTAAATCAATTGAAATGAAGAATCTGAACCGAAGAAATATTAAAAATCAAAGGGAAGATTCAGCATAAAAAAATAATAATTACTACTTAAAATGGCATCAAAAATCACTTAAGTTCCCAGCAATTTTAGGACCACTTATTAGTATTTTAAGTTTTAGCAAACTTCTATTTTCAAAAGCTGGATTGCTAAAAATTTGGTTGCAAACTAATTGTAAAAGTTTTTCTTGATCAAAGTGATCCTTTTTTTACAAAAGCCGAGAAGTTTCAATCTACTTTAAACCTGCTTGAGCAGGTGAAGTTCAGTGAACATTCTCGGTGGGTGATTCAGAATTAGGCGCCGCCGCGTGACGCAGGGTGGGTGAATCGTCAAGGGGCGAAATCAACGCCCAACGCTCTCTTATCCGCATTGTCAGGAATAATTGAATCGCGCGCGCCTCACTTGAAGCCACTGAACTTTGCCAAACTCGATTACAGAGGCTCTTTGTGCGTTCTCCGAATGTACACACACGACGGGCACATTCGCCACACTCTTCTCCCCCGGGCTAATCACGGCACCGAAATCCGCGCCCAACCATTTTTAGCACGACCCGTGCTTAGTTCCATTAATGAAAAAGCCTTTCGGAAGGAAAATGGGATTGCTTTCCTTCCCGATTCCTCGGAGATTATTTCGCAAATTTTTCCGTCTGCTCAATGGCGGCGGCAAGTCGTAAATTTTGGCAGGCACAATAGGCGGCAAACGAAACAAGCGTACAATGGCCGTAATGGAACTGCCATGTCCGTCTTTTTGCGTCGGCCGACGAGGCGTTGAGAGCTGCAGTTTATCGTCCGGAGAGAGAGAACTAGAAGCTGCCACTACTTACGCTTCATTTGGATGAAATTGAGCTGCTCAACTGCCCGCAAAACAGCCTTGTCGTCGAGGGTCAGGTCGAACTCCGGGGACACGCGGGGGGCACTGCTGAAGTCTTTGTGCCAGGTGAGGTCGGCGTTTGCGGCTCTCGCGATCAACATGGAACCAATCTGGAAATAAATTAAATTTTTTATTAAATATTTTTCTTAACATATATAAATTATGTATTTTTTTAAACTGAAATAACTATTTATAATTTCAAGTTCCTTTGACTGAACTCTATTTTAATTTTAAAATCGTCTAATTTTAAATGTGTAATTGGTTAATTCATTATAAATTTAATATTTATTTTTTATTTTTATGTGAAAGTTTGAAAATTGTTGCAAGAATTAGATGATGAACGACTATACCGCTAAAATTGTGCCATTTCCCACAAATTTGGTAATTTTAATTAATTTATTCTCTTTAATTGCGATTTTTAAATTTAAATTCTTGACATTATTTGGTTTATATCTAAGAAAATCTTCAATGCTGGATTTATGATGCTATCCCACAATTGAATATAAATTTATTCAACTAGATTCAGTTTCAAAAGCGTCACTTTTATTTATTTGCCCCCCTCGCTGCCGGCAGAAGGAAGTTTTGTCTCTTTGCGAGTGTTTTCCGGCTAAAATCCACTTTTCCAGCTGCAGCAGCCGGCGGTCAATCGCAACAACGAGACGGCCCGGCAGTCGGGGCTATTGATTTATTTATGCTGCGAGTGCCATCAAATTTTCCCTCGCATATAGGAGACGCGGCAGCAGCAGTGGTGGCGGCAGCTTTATGGCACTTTTAGCGAACAGATTTTCAACCAAACATCCTGGGCGCAACTTGTGTGTTTTTATCCCAGCAGGAAAGATTGAGAAAAGTTGGTCTTTCCAGCAGTCGCGCCGTGTTTTGCGCTACCTATTGATGTTGATAAAAAGGTGTTTTCTCCGATTGCTGTCGTAAAGTTCACCGATCTCTCGGCACCATTTAGCTGGAAAACTTTTTCATGCCTCCCGTTGCACCATCGATAGGGAAAAAGCGACGCCCCTGAGTGCTTTTTGCTTGACCGCAGAACGAAAATATGTGTATGCTAATTTAATTAATTATATTATGCTTCAATATTGTATACACGAAAGAGAGGATGCTGCTGCTTTTTGCTGTTGTTGCGGCGTCGCCCAAGGGGGGAAAATTGCAGCCAGCGGTTTTGCAATCTAGCGCCGCTCGCGCAAAAACAGCCATTAATTTGCATTGCAATGAGCTGCTTCAGTGCAGATTTCAACCGCATTTTTCTTAATTAATTAACAGCACGCCAAACAAACGGCTTTGTGAATCCTGTAAGCCTGTTTTGATATTAGGAGGGTATTCTACATTCAAAACAATAGAAAAGAATCATAGCTAAATTGCTTATTACATTTCAATCCAGATATAATTATGTTTATTTAGTGTTTTTAGTATATTACAAATTAATTGAAATAAAAATTTAACAGTTTATAAACTTAATATTGTATATTATCTTATAAAAAGAAAATGAGCACATAAAATAGAATTTAAATTTATTTTTGTTTTTAATACATGTTGGTTATTTTTTTTGGCAGCTATAGAAATTTTCTATTTAAAATTTATTAAATTTTAATTTTGAATGCTAAGGGTGAACTTATTAAGATAGGTTTAGGAAGGAAAAGTATTACGATAATTAATTAATTTTAACGTTTTCTCCAAAACTTTTATTTTGAAACTGAATCAAACAATCTTTTTATTCTTGTATTATTACAAAACGTTTTCCTGCTAATGCTAAAAAAATTATCATAGAAATGACGTTTTTAGCTCTCTTCTTCTACTCCAGAATCTATGGTGACAAACGCGCGTAAAAGTTAAAAGTAACGCTTTCTCGACGCTGGAATTGCTCTTTTAACTGAGAACGAAACTCGCGGACGAATTCAAAAAGTGCTGCTCAAATGCAGTTTAATTTGCAATAAAACTCGGCAAGCGAGCCTGGAAAATTCTGATAAAGCCGTCCGGATTTAAGCCACCCCTGCTGCGCGATGCAAACTGGCTGGATAACCGAGGTTTATCCCGACGCCCTCCACGTGGGGCACCGACTGAACAAAAAAATGTGTATTCGTGCCGATTCCAAAACTAGAGGGGAACCGCGGCCGCCTCGCGGGTGCGACGCTGATGTTGCAGCTTTGATTTTAAATTTAACGCGAGTCTAATGCAATCTTGCACGACGTTGTTTCTCGTTTTTTGACACGTGACTCGCAGCCATTCGCCAGAAACGAGAGAGTAAAAACGAGACGCCCCCGCGATCTTACATTCTCATGTAAAACGCGCTGCGAAGTATAGTAATGATGCGTTCAAAGAGTGCCGGCGATGCATACGGGGGCAGTGAAGAAAGGCCAACCAAAATAAGTTTGCTTGAAATTGTAAAACACGTTGCAAATTTTATGTAGCCTTAATTATAAAGCTATTTTCAAATAGAAGTTGGAAATAATGGTGATTTGAATTTAAAATTCGGCTTTTCCTTGATGGGTTTCTGTGAGTTTTTATTGTTTAAGAAAAACAATATCCTGCTTTTCTTAAACAATAAAAACTCGCAAAAATCCATCGAGGAAAAGCCGAATTTTATATTCAAATCACCATGAATCAACCCTCGATCGTGGACTTCTACTAGGAAATTGGAAACTTAATTTGACATAATTTCATGAAATTATTGACATTATTACTATGAATTGTAAAGGGAATTTAATTTTACTTGCAAAGTATTTTGTATTGAGATATCACCAGGCATTTACTGCCCCAAAATATGACATTCATTCCTTAAAAAATTTATGATAATTAAATGGAATATGAAATAAATTTTAAGAATATTAATGATATACAAGAATTACATATTGATTACTAAACACCCATGCATGTTAGTATTTTAAAATTATGCAGTTAGCAATGATTTTTTTCCATAGATATTGAATTATGACCAATATATTTTTTTAAATGTTGGAAATAATTAAAGACATTCTAAGAAACAAAACAGGAAAATGTTAAAATAATGAAAAATAAAAACAAAATAAACACATAATTACATTTAAAAAATGCTACTAAATAATTTAAAATAGAATATTAAAAATTATTCATGAAATTGGTAAATATTAATATAACAATTCAATGAAAGGTTTTTCAATAGTTTAGGTTGTAAAAGTAAACAATTTTAAATGAAAACGTGTAATTTCACATTATTTTATTTAAAACACTGCCCTGAAGTGCAGTTGCCTAGAGCACTGCAGTAAAAAGTGCATCGCTATTCATCCCCATTACAATTCCTTTCCCCCGCTGGCAGCCCGGCTGGCGCTTTTCCACTGAATTCATGGCCGGCCATTTTCGGCTCACTTGTTCTCATTAACCCCAGTGCACACACACACTCTTCTTGTTTAGAATGCGTATCCGAGCGAGGTGCACCCCTTTCGGTTTACCTTTCCATCTCGATAATAATATCAACCTGGGAGCAAGAAAAAGCAGCCGCTCCCTTTTGAGCCGTCGCTGCTCTGGGGGGAGCGAAACTTTTGCCAGACTTTGCCCTCGGTGGGAAATTTCTGCGCCGCCGTATGTTATAAAAAAAGCACGGAACAAAATATATAACAAAAACCCTGGCTGAGGTTGCTTCAACTTTGAGGAATATTATTATTATTTTGCCTTTCTTGTTAGAGAAAAATATGCAATATCACAGAGGAAAATCAGCGGAAAATTGCCTCCGCATGAAATATTGCCTCTCCGAGAAATTCGTTTTCGCGGGAATCAATTTCGGCATTAAAGAAATCCGGTTGAAAATTTCTTTGTTCAAGTTCTGCGGAGAGTGTGCACGATGTGAATGGAATTTACGCTAGCGGAAAATCCTTTCATCCAATTGCCGAACGGAGTGATATGAATATCGAGAGAAAACCAACCGCCGTGTACGCGCAAGAAAGTATTTAAACGCACGTCGCAAAGAGGCTATTTGATTTTCCGATCGGCTGCCTTTCAAAACGGTGGGTTAAATACGCCTATCGGTTCCGCACCCAAGAAGGAGTATTAGGGGTGCGCAATTTGTGCCGGCTAATTTTCTCAGAAACGACCGCGTTCTCAAAGGAAAGAAGACGAAAAAATCCCCTGTTTGGGAATATAAAAATTTGCAGAACGGAAACGACAGCTGTTAGAGATTGATTAAACCGATTTTTTTTACTCACAAAATTAAAATCTCCATTCGGGATTTCATGGAGGGCGGAGAACAAAAGCCGTTTCCTTGGTCGGGGGGGGGGGGGGGGGGGGCTAATGTAATCAACGCGCGGCTCGGAGATGTAAAAACTTGCTAAAACCGAGGTTATAACCCTTTCTTTTGTGCGCGCGACGCTTCTGCGTCTGATAACACATACATACATATATAGTGGTGGAATAAAACTGACGGAGCCACCCTAATGAAATTCCTTTTCAGCTCATCTCTAATGTCCCTTTTGCTGTGCTTTATGTGTTTGTCCTTGCCAGAGTCTTGAGAGAGAGAAAGAGAATGCGACCATTTTTACTTTCAAATAGCGCACTCCGCTCGAATGGAACAAAATTTAATCAGCCAAATTGACTCTGCAGAGAAAAGTATAAAAATCAATTAACCGGCTTAAAAGGGAAGATAAAGTATTCATTATAAGGGTGGAAAAAAAATTTACGGCGGCACGCAGGTATAATTTTTATAATCTTCTCCGGCGAGTTCTTTCTTTTATCGCCCAGCGAGAGAGGTGCAAATCCTTTTACGACCGCCCGGTCCGGAATTGCCTCAAACGGCCGGCACTAAAAATATTTCTCCCGACATAATCCGTGGCCTGTAATTAAAACGTACCCACCCTTTTCATTCATTGCCTTTTGTTTTCTGCTCTTTTATTGCAGCACTACTTATGGGACGTATAGAGTGAACGAATTAAGAGATAAAAAAACAAAAAAACACTGACCTGCAAAAAGCTGACCGAGTCGGTTTCCTTGAGCGCCTCAATGCAAAACTGCAAGAGGGCGGTGGTCTGCTGCAACCTGGCGGTGCACAGGGTCATCTGCTCCCTGAGCGAACGCAGCCTCATCTCCCTCTCCTGACGCACAAAGTCCAACAGCTGCGCCTTCCTCGCTTCCAGAGCGGCGATCAATTCCATGCACTGCGCTTCCACTGCACTTTCGAAAACTGTGCTGTTTTCCTGCAAAAAATGAAAATAACAATCGTCTTAAAAATTGTCAAATATAAATTTACACATAATTCTAACAAGTATAAAATAAAATGTTAGTTTACAAAATTTATTTAGTATAGTTTCTTTTATTTATATTTTTATTTTAATTTGTAATTGATTTTTATTTTGATCAATATAAATTATTATTAGGAATTAAATGTTTAAGACATGTATTTTATTAAATAACATTATTCCTTGCTACAATTTTTGCTGTAATTTACTTTAAAAAAATATTTTCAATAGATCAACATAGGTAATTGAAAATCAATATAACTGTTATTGTTTTCCAGCCGTCTTTAGTACTGTTCCAAAGTAATTATATTATCACACCTATCTATATTTCAAAAAATAAAACACGTCGTCACTGTTCTGTAATACTGACAAAAAGAACCTTCTCTTTCCACAAAAATTGCAATGAAAATAAATTCAAATTTCAAATAGAGTAAAAACGTCATTCCTCTGCGGAGATGGAAATCTCCAGACATGATTCTATCAAGTGAAATTCGACTAAAAGCTCGAATTAGGCGACCCTCTCAGGCTAATGGAAGCGGCAGCCCCTAGCAGAATCATATTTGGATGGCCTCCTACATCTCAAGTTGGTCCGTAAAAGTAGTAAAGTGTGCCTGTCAGAGACGGACTCCTCGGCATTTTGCTCGCCCGCAACTTTCTCGGTTCAACTCTCTGTGCCAAAACTTTCGCGTGATGATGCAGAGATCTGTATGCAAAAACCGCCGGTGTAATTACGAAGTGCAGAAACTTCCAGGGAATCCATCGTGTGCATTGCAACGTCAGCGGGCGAAGCTCATAAGGAGCAGTAAAACTAGACGCGAAGGCGCAATAAAACGAGAAGGAGCTGCAGTAATTGAATCCGACTAACAATAAGATGGACTGGTAAGTGGTGCTTTTGCGGCTTTGAAGCCACATGCAGCTCTTTGTTGAAAATAAACCAGAAAAATAAACTCATTTAAAGACTTTTATATGGAGAACGGAAAAAACTATGATGTTGATGAGTTTTTGATTTGTTCGCAAAAATCCATACTTGGCGTTTAATACACATAATGTTATGAGATATCTAGTGAAGATTTGAAATTTTTTATTTAGATTCGTTTGCAGAGAATCAGTTTTCTCGAACATTTCATAATTCTAAGTTTAATATTTCCGAACATGCTTTTTTATAAATAATTAAAACCTGCAATTGCATAAAAAAAAATGTAAAAAAATACGAGTTTATGATACGATCGTAAAAAAAAAACACTTTTCCTGCATATAAACTGATAAATTCCATCGTTTTTTTCCTTATAAAAATGAAAGTCGCGTTTGCAGCAGAAGAGTCGTGCCAATATTGCACACAGTGGTGTCCCTGGAGCCTAAAGCGTCGAGGGGACGGCTGGAAAAAAAAAAAGAATAGAAAGGAAGCCCAACTTACTGTCACTTTGTCTGTCAACCCTTTTAGCCTGTGGATGAACTCGGTCGTGCATTTGGCCTTTTCCGACAGCTGCTGCAGGTTCTGTGACAACTCGGTCTGCGAACAAACAGGAAAAAACCGCATTAGGAACAGGGACTTGAGAGAGCAGAAGATACTGCAGTGCGTCTGCAGTTTAATTTGTCTCGAAAGGAGCAGAGAGTCTCTTTCTCCTGCTTTTATAAATGTACTGAGAGCTGGAGATGTTTAACACAAAATTAGGATTTTCGTAGTTACGCCAGTGAGTGCTAGAAGAAGCAGAGATTTAATCGGTGTGCAATTGGAATTAATTAAAACTAGAGAAGAAGCGATTAAGGAAACAATGAAAGAGCTCTCGCAACGCAAACGGCTTCACTCTCGAGTGGAGATCAAGCCGAGAGCAAACGGAAGTGCTAACGTGGCGCACAACCGCGTTAATTAGGCGCGTATTAAGTTATCATAGTTAGCAGACGCATTATTAAATAAGTTGGAGATGCAGACGGAGAAACAGAGAATATCGCCGCCGCCTCCTTCTCTCCTGGCTGCTTTTTAATGAGCGCCAAACTCGTAATGAAACTCTCCCCACAACTTGATACCCCTTGACAAGCACGGGGAGCGAGTACAAGTACACATAATACCCCCGCGTGCTCCAACACCGACGAGTCTGCCGAGCCGAGCCGCGGGCCAGTTTTCCAAGTTTAAGGGATTGTGCACAAAAAGGGGATGCTCTGCGCTCCTTGGCCAGGAGGCGCCGCTTTGAGAATTTGCCATCAACATCTTGAGCAAGAGAGCGAGCGGTTCTAGTTTATCGATTGCCAGAGTCAAGCACCTCATCATAGTCGCTTCATTAAAATAATGTTTGTAAATAAAATAAATGATCAACTTTGAATTCAGCACTTATAATTTTAATGTATCGCCTGAAAGTACAGGAATTTAAATGGTATGAATAAATTATTTCAATGATTTGTTTCTTACACAGTTAGTTGCAAATATTCATTTATGTGTTTTCTGATTCAAAATTCTTTTGCGTAGCATGAAGACAACGGTTATCATCTTTGGAGCGCCATCGTTGCATCCGCAAAGATTGAATGGAGATTGGGGATTAGATTAGTTCTGTTACTATTAACATGAACAATCTATTCACATATAATACTGTAAGAGGCAGCAAACGTAATGTTAATTAATATTTCGTATGCTGCCTCTTGTACTTGTTAAGCAATAGAAGTAAAATATTTATTTTATACTTTATCAACATCACGATTAATATTTCGACAGTTGACCCATTTGAAATAGGTAACAGAATCTATGTCAAAGAAAAATGAATAAATTGTAATTATTATAATTTAAAAAATTTAATTATTAAATAAAATTTTTTTTATAAATTTTTCTTTATTAATAATGATGTGTTGTAAAATATTTTTTTCTCAATATTTTTTAATTTTTTCTTTAATCACAACTTTATTTAAATTGTCAAATATTCCATTTGAATGGGGGAGAGACTTGTGATTAAAAAGCGGTCACCGCGTGTCCGGCACCGCAATGAAAGAGTGTCACTCTTTGGCTGCCCAATCACTCTCCGCCGCCGCCGGACCCTTTCACTTTCGACCGTCGTAATTTTCCAGCGCAACGCTGGTTGCTTTTGCATTGTTCGAAAATAAAAGTCCCTCTCCCGGGGTGCACGGCGGCGGCGGCAACAGGGGCCATTTTAATTCATTTACCCAGCAGCCAGCCCGCGAGCATTTGCATGAGAATGCGATCAATTAAGAGAGAGAAAGAGCAAGTTGCATTCCACTCTCTTTATGCACGCTGCGATAAACATCTTTGGAGGGTAATGCACCACTTTGACTTTAATTCACTCGGTCGGGGGCCGAATTTCGGGGGCGGCTCCCCACTTCAGACGCCGCCACCTGGGGCAAGAGAACGTGGTGCCGCATTAAGGCAAATGACGCGCTAAAAAATCACAGCCCTAACAGCTTTCTCTCTCTCTTCTGCAAGCAAGCAAGAGAAGAGGCACCCCTAGTTGCTATGCAACCCACACGTACACCGGCGAGATATTTCTCGCGCGCGCACTTTTCCTCTTCTGGGGCGAAAAGGTAAATAAGGAATGTCTTCGGGGGCGAGAGTGCACGAGACGTGCACTTACTGCAGAAGTAAAAACACTGCCCTGCTGCAGCAGCTTTAATTTTTTTTTGCTCTGGCCGCCGGAAAAGGAGGGAAAAGTAAGCGCCCGTCTGTCTGCCACGCTTCAAATAATATTATCAGCTCTCGGCGTGAAGAAAGAAAATCCAATCACTGAAGAGCCGAGTCTGGGCAGGAAGAGATATTGGAAAAGTGAGGAGATTTTTGGCTCGGCGTGCACACGGAGGCCGAAAGGCGCAAAAAGAATAATGGGTGGAAAAGTTTCCGCCGCAGACACAAATTCTCTTGCTTTGTTTCCCATGGCTCGAGGTGAAAAGAAAAAGTTTGAAAGTAATGGTGTTTATTCATCCTAAATTATCACATTTTGGACAATTTTATGAGCGGATTTTGTAATTTTCACAAAAAGTTTTGAGCAAATTTATGAAAATTTTGATTGAAAATAATAAGAGGCTTACAAATAGAAAAAGGTGACTAATTACACATGATTTATTCCTCAATATTTAATTTCCAATTTTATTTAAAATTGTAATTGGAACAGTTGCAGGCTATAAAATAATATCGTATTTGTCTACTGACTGTCGAACCAACAAAATCTTGTAAAATATCAGAACAGTCAGAATCAAAAATTCATTATCATTTTTATGATCATTGCTGTTTTTTTTATCGTTTTTTTTATATCATTATTCTAATAAATTTATCCTTGCAACCATTAATGCATATATTTTGTCATTTCTACAAATTCTGCTCAGACGTAACATTTTTTTAAAATGGCATCATACTAAAAAAGGGTATTTTTGAGCATTTCTGAGGGCTTCGTATCCAATCATAATTTAAAAAAAATTAACAAAGCCCTTTTCCCCCTTTTTTTTTGCAATTGTAATAGCGGACAAAATTTGTGATGCCGACACGCAAACAATGCCCGTCCACCCAACAAGGCATGTTATTATGCCGGGAGTCTCCTCTTTTTTTATAAAAGCAAAATACGAGCAAGTTTAGTGTGCACTTCCTGATTTGCGCGTGCCTTTCCCTCTGCGAAAGGGTCAGATTTCCATCATCAGCAGCAGCGAAAGTCCATTATTTGAGTATTAAACCCTTTCCTCTCTCTCTCGGCCGGCAGCTAGCATTGTGCTGATGAGGGTTTGCGTCGGGCCGGCTAATTATAGCGCAAACATGCAAAGAAAGCACGCGGGGCGGACTCCTGCTCCGGAAGAGAGCAACAGTGTTTTGTGAATCGCTCGCGGTCCATCAGGCAGACAAAACGTCAGATTGAAGTAATTAAGCCGGGGCGGAGGGCTTTTTCCTACGCTGGGGCTGCGGAAGGAAATGTCCCACTATTGAAACAAGCCCCGTCAAAAGTTTGAAAGTTTGACGCTGGATGGAATTTCAGAGAGGGCTAATTTCGCAAAGTACACGGAAGAGAGTGAAAATTCGCAGTAATCCGATTTGCGATGGTGAGTTTTAATGTAATCTGGGATCAGAGCCGAGAAAGAGTCAATTTTTTGCATTTTAACTAGCAGAGTTTTGGCGACTTAAGATGAATTAGGAAAAAATTTGACGATTTTTGAAGAAATTTTTACCGATTTCCAGAAAAGTCAAATAATTTCCTGCAATTCTACTAATGGTAAGACTTTTTGAATACATAGTTTGAAAATTTTAAATGTGACTTTTCGTAGCCCTCTTTTAATTTAATTACAGCAAAATTTTTGTTCTTCGCAATTTGAGCTTCTCATCAACTTTAATTAAAAAATATGTTTCTTTTCAATATTAACCAAATTTAGTCTGGATTTTTTATAGTTCAAATTTAATCAACTTGCGTTTAATATTTTTTTGAAGTCAAAGTTTAAGCTTTTAATTGGCATTTCTGCTTAGCCTTAACTGCTTGCTTAATTTATTTTTTTCCATTTTCAGCTGAAGGGCTCTTTTTGGAGAGATTTTAGCAGAGGCGTCTCTTTTACAGGCGGCCATTGGTAATCAAAAGCATATTTTTGCTCCCCGCTGTAATAAAACGCATCAGAGAGGAAAAGAGCGGGTCATTTTCAGCAGTCGCCCCTTCTGGACAGCCGATGATAAAAAATAAAAAAAAAATATATAAGCAGCACATAACAAGCGAGAATACAAAAATACACACACATTTCGATACCATTCCCTGGCTGGACAAAAAACAAAATATACGCACGCCGATAGCGGCACGCTCACTTTTTTTACGATGTTTTTTTCTGCCGAGCTTAATTAACGTTTCATGATATGCGCGCTGCACAAAAAGGGAGCAAGACACCTGGGAATCACTCGGTGGCGGATGACGCTTTGCAGTATCGAGCGAAAATGGCTCGAGTCCCCAAAAGGAAGGGTAAAGGGTTTTTGCTGACGTGAATATGGAAATGGAGAAAATATGAAACTGTTGAGTGCGATTGATACCAGAAACGCTTTCATGTAAATCATGCAGCTTCTTTGATGAACCGTCTTTAAAAAAACTTCAACTTTTTAATTAATTAAGTTAGCGCTTGTAAAATACTTCATAATTAATTGTTGGTAAAATAAAATAGTATAAAAGCAGAATAATAATATATTTTTAATAACCAAAAAAGTGTAAATTATAAATCAAATTAAATTTAAATTATTAAAAATAGAAGAAAATTTTATTAAATATTTTTAAATAGTATTGCTTTTTGTTTCAACAAAAATTAATATTTATCATCTCCTTATTTGATCATTTAGAACTAAAATCACTATCATTTTTAATTATTTGAAATCACAAATTAAATTGTGAAGCAACAAAGAGTTGCTTGACTTGCCTAATGATCTGCTTAATCCTTGAATTAGGACATTTTTCCTTATTAATTTGTGTCTAATGTCATGAATTTTTACCTGTTGCATATTAAAAACATTTAAAGTCAAAATTATCAACAAATAAATAGCAATCAACAAATCTTAGATCTTAAAAG